ATGATTTGGTCTAATGAGAATGATGGAATTGTGTCAAAAAAAAAAATGTGTTACCTTCGAGTTATTAAATAAAATATTGATTTTGAGGAACAAGTACTGAACAAAACATGTTTAAACGTAAAGAAGATCTACTGAGTTTTTAAAACCAAAATAGCCAAAACAAATCTTATGGTATGGTAAAATATATCAACAACAAAAACCCGATTTGTTTCTTATATATGCTTTTGCGACTTCTCCCAAGCGTTTAATTACATCATGAAACAAGTTGCTCACCGGTTCTATATCCATTGGATCCGAAGCAAAAGCATCCTTGAAACAAGTAACCCGTTGCGTTAATAAATATGTCAAACATGCATATCTTCTTCACTCATATCCCTTACTTCGAACTTCTCCAGTCTTCAAGAAAATTGATAGGAATGTTATAGTGACATTCTGCTTGCACGGCAAGAAAGGTTGAGGTTCATTAATCTAATGGGTAATTTGGCTTCATTAGAAAAAATGGAAAATGATTGTAATAAAAATTAAAAACCAAATTCAAAGTTGTTGCATTTATTTTCTTTCTGGCCAGCTAATGTCACTATAAAGCTATTGAACTCTTACAAAACACTCCATTATAAAAAAAAATCATTCGCACGTTTATTTAAAGAAATCAACACTACTTATATATTTTCAAACTAAAATTAATACGGTATTAAAAGGGCATGATAATTTTGGGAACACATATATCTCCTCATCGTAATCTCTCTTAATCTTGGACACTTTCTTATAGCTTCTCAGCAACGCATAGTTGTCAATTTTTTAGAGTTATCCGATACTCCACATCTTAACCTATCCATATATTTGTAATATAATAATATTGAGTTGCTATTGAACAAACTCCTATCTTACATGAAAGTATGAAGGAATTTTAATATTAAATTGTTATTGAACAATCGTACTATATAGTCCTATCAAATTTCTTTCTAACTAAGTTAATTGCATTTATAAAGTGTTATCTTAATTGATTGGTCAAGACTCGAGAAATGAAAATGTCATTTTGTTGTTTAGAATATACCTATATGCATCTACCCCTAGATAAAGCCATCTCAGAATTTCAATGCTACATACAAATGTGTGGGGTCGTTTGTTTCAAAAATAAAACTACGTACGACGCCCGTAAACGAAAAGCAAGAAAATTAAAGGGGCATAATTGAAATATATGGGAAATAGCGAAGATATTTTATTATCATAGAGAGTGTTCCGAAAGAAGGGGATCTAAAGTTCACTCTTCCCAAAACAAAACAGAAATCTGAAAGAAAAAAGAGAGATTGTAACAAATGATGACCATATCTGACACAAGTCAGCGTACACTGTTCACCATGAGAAAGTCCAATATAACCTTACTCTCAAGTTTCTCCATTTGCTTCCTTGTAGCGAAAATTAAGGAGGGTCTCTCAGCATTATCTAGAGACAATGTTCAATGGCTGATTTACAAATTACAACACCGTGGTTCTAACTTCTAACCGAAAAAATCAATATTTTATTTAATAACTCAAAGGTAACACATTTTGCTAGCATTGCTATGTTATTTGCTAGCAGGTCATAACTAGTGATTTACAACATTTATTCGTTAAACGTGTTGTCCCCCCACTTGACACAAGAAACACTTTCTCTCTCCTTACGTCACCTCTCGTCTTTTGATGTCCTCAACCTAAATAGGGGCAAAACCGTCACATTTCCAAGTGTGTTTTGTGTATCAATTTGATTTTCCATTATTACAACCCCTAAATCTAATTCATCGGTCAACTGAATATATACATCATCGGTCAAAATTTGTTTGTCATATTTATTCAAAAAGTTTGGATTATTTTGGATCATGTATATATAGATGCATATAGGATCACGTGACTTGATCTAAAATGTGCAAGCAGCATGCCTAATTAAAATGTGTTATATAAGTTACCAAAAAAAATTAAAATGTGATATATATAGAAAGTAACCCTTCTCTTCTTAAAATATTTTGTTATAAAAAGAATACGACTATACGAGGTGGATTTTAGATAATTATTTAAATAAAGTAATATATTGGAGTACTATGAAGAAAATATTATTTTGGAGTAACAATCAAGAATCAACTATAAAATATTTTGCATGGGACCAATACGAGGTTGGTAATAGTTGTTATAGGAAAACGTCCAAAAGAATGGATTCATCCATGAAGAATGTCATGGCGCAAAATAGACCCACAACTAAAATACATTATCAACTTGAAGACAAACATTCTTTTTTTTTGCTTAAAGACGAATATTCAAATCTTTTATTTATCTAAGGACAAACATTATGAATTCTTTTATGGGAAATTGCAAGGAATATACACAGATAATTGTGAAATTAGATAGCAGTCATTGTCACCTTTTCACAAGTACTGTATAGGAAGAAGAATACCATTTTAACCCTATTAATATTTTATGTAAAAAAAAGTTAATAGATGTAAAAAGGATTATTTTGGTGGGATCTCTTTGGAAATAATTTGAAGTAATATGCTAACACTAACATTAGCACAATATCATATTAATTAACCAATAATTATTATAATACGATATTAGTTTATATAATAATCAAATAAGTTATCACAACATCTTAGTTAGCATAAAATGATATTAGTTAGCACGATACTCAAAATAGTTATCACGATATCACATTTGTTAGCATGATAGTTAAATATTTATCGTAATATCATACTCTCTCTGTTTCAAATTAGTTGTCGTTTTGGCAAAATATATCTGCAAATATTTGGATGTATCTGCAATGCAAAACATGTCCAGATACGTCCAAATATTTGCAGATACATTTTGCCAAAACGACAACTAATTTGAAACGGAGGGAGTATAAATTAGCATGATAATCAAAATTGTTATCACAATATATTACATTAAATTAACATGATAATAGGAAAGTTAAATAGTTATCATGATACTAATTGAGAAATTTTGAGCAATACACCTTATGAGGTGTAAATTTTTAAAACTACGCCTATAGTGTGTCAATTTTCAAAAATACATTTTTCCTAATTTTAATAGATATGTTTGGGTTCACTAATTCTAGATTAGGGTTTAGATTTTAGGGTTTAGAGTTTAGATTTAAGGGTTCAATGTTATATTTTAGGGTTTAGGATTTATATTTTAGGGTTTAGGATTTATATTTTAGGGTTTAGAGTTCTTTTACTTAATGAAAAAGTGTAGTTTTGAAAATAAACATCATAGAAGTGTATTTTTTGAAAATTAGCACCTAAAAAGGTGTAGTTTTGAAGTTTCTCCTTACTAATTAGCACAATAATCAAATAAGTTATCACAATATCATATTATTGATATTAGTTAACATAATACATCTTTTTTTTTTTTTTTTTTGATAACTCAGGTGTAAATCCTAGGCCTATGGTCAGGCCCAGACTAATCCTCTGGGGGAGGTGCAACCCACGAATAGACCCTCTCTCTAGATATTCAAATGGGTCGTAAGTAGGGGCCATATCCGTGTAGTTCCCTCCAGCAGGGTTTGAACTCACAACCTGGGTGCAGGAAGGAGCCCATCCTTACCATTGGGTCACGATGCTCCAGACACATAATACATATTAGTTAGCACGATAGTTAAAATAGTTATCACGATAACTATTTGATTATGTTAGCATGATAATCAAAACTGTTATCACAACATATTATATTAATTTAACATGATAATAGGAAAAATATCTATTAAAATTACACCAATATCTGATGATGAATAGTGAAATCGATTGTTGATTAAATATTGTGATATTGATAAATAAAGTTATTAACATTTTACATGATAGTAACTCTCATATAGGTAAATAGCATCTTATGTAAATATGTTAGGAAAAAAGGATAGTTTTGGTTAAAAAAAATTCTCTCTGCTAAAAAAACTAATTATCATGTTATTTTTTTATATACCTAATTGTTAATTGTCAGGTCATTTGTGTATATTGATTAAATTTTCCCTTCTTTTATTGATCTAATAGTGGGCCAGAAAGTACCGCATCATTTTATTTTATTTTTGTCCTTTGCAAATATTTCTTTTTGTCATCTGTTCGTCCCACTTTTGATAAGAAACCAACAAAAAGAGATTTCCCTTTCTCAAACTTTTGATAAAAATATTTCCCTATCCCTATCTCAACCTTTGGAAAAGGTTATTTCGCTAAAGAAACTGAAACTACGAGGTTGAGATAGGGAAATCAATTAATCGCATGAGATGAAATGTTATATGGAGATTCAAAAGTATGACGGTGAGAAAAAAAGAAATATGATGACAAAAAAAAGTACCCCATCATTTTATTTTATTTTTGTCATTTGTTGGGAAATCAATTAATCGCATGGAAAAGGTTATTTCCTTAATCTTTTTGGCATCTGATCGTCTCATGCGATTAATTGTATTGTTAATTCGCTAAAGAAACTGAAACTACGAGGCCAAAAGGCGAAGATCAACAAACGTAAAGGGACTTAAATGAAATAAATAGCTAACTAAAAAAGTTAGGGTTTCTCTTGTTCATCAACGAAAGGTGTGATGATATTTTGAATCGTGACGAGCGATGGGTGAATTGGAAGGTACGATTCGTATTTCATTTCTCTAAAAAGTAAAGGGCTATATATACAAATTCATTATCGCCCGATCATTTCCGATGAAGATTTCATGTCTCAGGCTGGTCTAATAACTGGCTGGAACCCGCGTGTTTGCTGTGGCAATCTGGTGGTCGTGGCTATGAAAGACCTCCTTACATGACTCGAACCGACGAAGATGAGCCGCATTACACAGCAGAGCAAGAACTTGCCTATATGCAAAAACAAGTCAATGAGAGCGATGTATTTCCCATTTTTTGTTTATTCTTTTGGTTTTGGTTTTGGTTTTGGTTATAGACTTATTCACAATCATCAGCTTTATAACTTGTGCATTTTTATTGCATTTGAAACAGGGGTTTGATATCGATTACACATTAAACCGTTGCGTTTTCAACTACCATCCTGCTATGCTTGATTCACATATGTTCGTTGACAAGCCAAAAACCACTGAAGATTTGCTCAAGAGGCTCTCTCAGAAATCCCTTGATGACTACAATGAAACAAATGTGAGAATGATTCCATGTATTTTGTATTCAATATTATAAGATATATGTGCTTATTTAATTTATGGATGTGTTTTTTTCCCTTAATTTTTTTTTATAAAACAGAAGACCAGATTTGAGTTTGTCAAGGTTGTTAAAGCCAATTTTCACTGGGCTACTGCGATTATGCATCTCATAACATTTGAAGTTAAGGACCCTTTTGATGACAAGATAAAACTCTTCCAAGCAAAGGTACGCCACGCTCAAGGTGTTGTTGAAGAGTACGTCTTCTGCAGACCCAAACCCAATCAAATAGGTATGTATAAGCTTTTCTTTTTCCATCATATGTATATGAATTCTTGAGGAATATATTTGCCTATTGCACCTTGGAAGATGGATTTAGCTTGTGAGTTTATCTTTATTCGTTTATGTTGAAACTGGTTGGTAATTTCTTAGTATCCGGTTTGTTTTGATTAGTGGAATGTGTTGGGAATGTCAAGAAAGATGTGGATGAAGATGTTGATAAAGATGTTGAGAAAGAAGATACCAAGAAACCAAGGTAACGAAACATCATTGATTTTCAAGTGTCTTACTCAGATATTAGATTCTTTCTTTTGTTCTCTTCCAGATTGGTGTAGGAGCTTTTATGTGGCACGAGTGAGAACCGAAGATGATGCTTCACCACTCTTTTATTTCTATCTAATCGTTTGTCCTATATGTGATGTGACTTGATAGACAGTATTTTTTTTGTTTGTGCTTGTTATGTTAAGAATCGCTGTGAGTTCATTCTTGGGTTACTAATTTAAATTTAACTTTGTTTTTATTTAGCCGTCTGGTGATTATTGGATGATTAAAATTACCAACTTTATTTTGTAGTGTTAGACTCACTTGGTCAAATAAAGAGTAAGTTTAGAGAAAACAACATCCAAGTGTGTGATTTAAAATGTGCAAGCAGCATGCCTAATTAAAATGCTTACAGTATTTTTAATGCCAGAATGCAACCTAGAAATATAAGATTTCAGGTCGGATATTCCATCTACAGTTTGATTAATATATTGTTTTAAATAAAATAATTTACGGGATAACCAATACGATCAACTAAACTAAATTATTTGCTTCGGACCCATACGCCACTTTCTTAAAATAACTTGTTATAAAAAGACGAATAATACGGAGTAGATTTTAGGTTGGATATTTCATATAGTTTGATTACTATTTAATATAAATTTAAATAAAGTAATATTTTGGAGTACTAAAATTAAAATATTATTTTGAGTAACAATCAACGAAAGCAAAATATTTTGCATGAGGAAAGGAAAATACCATAACGAAACTGAAACTACGAGGCCAAAAGGCGAAGATCGAGAAAGTTAAACGGACTTAAAACGAAATATATAGCTAATTGGTTTTTTCTACAATAATTGTTTTTGTGATTTATACTTTCCCATTTATAATTTGTAGAAGAACAATCTATTAATATCTTCACTAATTTTAATAGAATCCGATGAGATTTAAACGACTAGAACCAAGAAAACAAGATATTGTTTTCTCAAAAGTGCACAAATTATGAACTTCAAACCTTGTTAATTGAGAAAACCGTAAACAGCAACAAAAAAACTCATGATTTCTTTTGCAAAAGCTTCAAAAACAAAGTTGACTAAGCCAAAACAACACATTAAACCAAAACTAACAACCATTACTAAAATACCAAACCACTTAAATTGACCCACACTATATATGAAAGATCCGAGAACTTAGAAAAACAAATTGATTACTTACGCTGGTTGCCTTGGTTTACCACTTCTCGGACAATGTCAAGCCTCTCACACAAATCAAAATATGCCTGCTTTATTCCATCCGACAGATCCTACAAATCAAAAAAAAAAAAGATTCATAAAGTCGGTTTCCTTCCACATTTAACCCACACAACAACAAAAAAAAAAGTTTTTCGAGTCCGTTTTCCTTTCACATTTAACCCACACAACAACAACAACAAAAAAAAAGTTTTTCGTTTTTCTGAGCAGACCAAAAATAAGGTCTTTGTTTAAATCAATCACCAAAACTTCCATATATATAAATTATTAAAAATATGAATAGTGGATACTTAACTGTTGGGAACTCTACTCAGATACCTTGACTTTCTCCATCTGAACTTCTACTGCTTTCCCTTTGTTCCTAGTAGGCCTTCCTCCACCACTGCCACTGAATGAATCGACTTTGTCCCTCATCCTACTATTATAAACAAGAAACATAAGCAACAACAAAAACATAAGCAAAAAAAAAAATCATGAAAAAGATAAACAAAGGTAAAGAAGAAAAACCTTCGGAGAAATGGAGAAGAAGATGATGAATAGTAGCGACAACAAATTTCTGCTCCAATTTAGCTCATTTATTTGCTGTTGTATCGTTTCTTCACAGAATTGCATGTTACTCCCTAGATACTTCTAAACCGCATAACTAATATTCATAGTTGCATAAATACAAGGCCTTTTTTTGTTAAAGTAAATACAAGGGCTAGTGAAAATAAATGTGTTTCTAACAAATAATTACTAATAAAATAAAATAAAATTGCTTTATCAATTTTGGATAAAAGAATTGTTTACATGTTTATTTATGGTAACTATAAATGTTTACAAGTTGATCTTAAAACAACAACAATTTTTTTTTACAAGTTGATTCTTTTTATAAATTTGTTTCACAAAATGTATATATTAAGAAAGCACGTTTTGTTTTTTTTTATCTGGTTTGTTTTGATTAGTGGAATGTGTTGGGAATGCCAAGAACGATGTCGATGAAGATGTTGATAGAGATGTTGAGAAAGAAGTTAAGGACCCTTTTGATGACAAGATAAAACTCTTCCAAGCAAAGGTACGCCACGCTCAAGATGTCGTTGAAGAGTACGTCTTCTGCAGACCCAAACCCAATCAAAAAGGTATGTATAAGCTTTTCTTTTTCCATCATATATGGATTATTGAGGAATATGCTTGCTTTTTAACCATGGAAGATGGATTTAGCTTGTGAGTTTATCTTTATTTGTTTATGTTGAAAGTGGTTGGTTATTTCTTAAGATTTTTAGTATCTGGTTTTTTTTATTAGTGGAATGTGTTGGGAATGTCAAGAAAGATGTCGATGAAAATGTTGAGAAAGAAGATACCAAGAAACCAAGGTAACGAAAGATCATCTATTATCAAAGGTCTTATATGGTTGATTCTTTCTTTTGTTCTCTTCCAGATCGGTGTAGGAGCTTTTATGTGGCAAAAGTGAGAACCGAGAGATGATGCTCCACCACTCTTTTCTTTCTATCTAATCGTTTGTCCTATATTTGATGGGAGTATTATTTTGTTCTTGTATGTAAGTAAGAATCGCCGAGAGTTTTTATTTAGCCGTCTCATGATTATTGAATGATTAAAATTACAACTTTATTTTGTAGTGTTAGACTCACTTGGTCAAATAAAGAGTAAGGTTAGAGAAAAATACATCCAAGAGTGTGTGATCTAAAATGTGCAAGCAGCATGCCTAATTAAAATGCTTACAGTATTTTTAATGCCAGAATGCAACCTAGAAATATAATTAAGATTTCAGGTCGGATATTCCATTATGCAATAAAAATTACGTTACTATTTTGATAAATTTTCACTATTTCAGAACGTACTTTCTGACAATTTAACTCTCTTTATCCATGCGATTAAGTTGTTTTGTTATTTCGCTAAAGAAACTGAAACTATGAGGCCAAAGGCAAAGATCAAGAAACTAAAGGGACTTAAATGAAATAAAATATAAATAGCTAGCTAAATAAGTTAGGGTTTCCTTTCTGTTCATCAACGAAAGGTGATAAAATTTTGATTCGTGTGACGAGCGATGGGTGAATTTGAAGGTGAGATTCGAATTTCATTTCTCATAAAATTTAAGAAATATAATTACAAATCCTCGCCCGATCAATTCCGATTTCATGTCTCAGGCTTGTCTAACAACTGGCTCGAACCCGCGCGTTTGCTGTGGCTACCTGGTGGTCCTGACTATGAGAGACCTTTGTACATGACTCGAACCGACGAAGATGAGCCTCATTACACAGCAGAGCAAGAACTTGCCTATATGCAAAAACAAGTCAATGAGAGCGATGTATATATTTCCCATTTATTGTTTATTGTTATGATTTTGGTTATATATATTTATTCTCATACAGCTTTACAACTTGTGAATTTTGATCTCATTTTGAAACAGGGGTTTGATATCGATTTCAAGTTAAATCTCTGCGTTTTCAACTACCATCCTGCTAATCTCGATTCACATGAATTCGAGGACGGGGCAGGAAACGCTGAGGATTTGCTCAAGAGGCTCTCTCAGAATTCCCTTGATGACTACAATGGAAAACATGTGAGAACTATTAATTCAATGTATTTTGTATTCAATATAATGAGATATATGTGCTTATTTGTTTAATTTATGGGTGTGTTTTTTTTTCTTTGTTTATAAAACAGGAGACCAAATTTGAGTTTGTCAAGATTCGTGGAGCCAATTTTCACTGGGCTAATGCGATTATGTTTCTCATAACATTTGAAGTTAAGGACCCTTTTGATGACAAGATAAAACTCTTCCAAGCAAAGGTACGCCACGCTCAAGATGTCGTTGAAGAGTACATCTTCTGTAGACCCAAACCCAATCAAGGAGGTATATAAGTCTTTTCTTTTTCCATTTGTATAAATTCATTGTCGAATATATTTGCCTCTTTCACCATGGAAGATGGATTAGCTTGTGATTTTATCTTTGTTTGTTTATGTTGAAAGTGGTTGTTTTCTGATTTTATAGCATTTGTTTTGTTTTGATAGTTGAATGTGTTGGGACAGTCAAGAATGATTGAGTTTGAGAAGGATGTCTAGAGAGATGCCAAGAAACAAAGGTACGTAATGGAACATTTATCTACAAGAATGATTTATTGTTGATCGAGAACCGAGAGATTGCTGTTTTTTTTGTCTATGTATTTGCGTCATAGACTCCTTCAAGAACAACTATCTCACTCGGATTGATTCTATTTTTGTTATCTCCTTTATCAATTCGATTTTTTCTCTTCCTTGCATTCACTAAAGGTTGACCACAGAAGCTGACCCTCTACACCCATATGTGTAATATACCAATATTGAATTGCTGCTATTGAACAAACTCCTATCAAACATGAAAGTGTGAAAAGCTTTTTCAGTCATATGTTTGTGATATTAAATTGCTATTGAGCAGTCTCATATAGGACCTCCTATCAAAAATATTTCTAACTAATTGGAAGTGTTATTTTTAATTGATTGATCGAGAGAAATGAAAATGTCAATTTGTTGTCTAGAATATACCTATATCATGCATCTAGTACATGATTGCCTATACATACCTTCAAAAGTCAACTCTCTCGTATATGATTCTCCGGAATGCACCACCAAACTTTAGCCAAATCTTTGTCTCGTACATGATTGAGTTGTGATTTCTCCAATGTAATTTCACTTCTTACTTATCATATCCAACCAATCTAGCTCACACGTTAAGCAACAGTGGACCCTTTATTATTTTCAAGGTAGATGATGATAACAAAGTCCAAAGAAACAATGAGCAAGTTTAGGATCTCTTGGGTTTAGGATTTGAATATTTATCTTTTGGCATATTTTTTTTTATAATAAATATGATAAATCGCTCTTTTAAATTTTAATTACTCGTTTGCAAAAAATAATAATTAATTACTCTGTTTTACTAAAAAAAAAAGATATTGTCTTAAGTAATCGTTTGAAAAACTTAGGGCTTCCTCATTTCTTTAATCAACGAAAGCCGACTTTTGTGTTGATTCGTGACGAGCAATGAGTGAATTCGAAGGTGCGATTTAAATTTCGTTTCTCTCTCAAATTGAGTGTGTTTATAAATTTCTCTCTCCCAATCGATTTCGATTATACATGTCTCAGGCTGGCAGAGATGGCTCGAACCTGCGTTTTTGCTGTGGGAACCTAACGATCGTCACTATGAGAGACATTCGTACACGACTCGTACCGAGAAAGATGAGCCTCAGTTTACGATAGAGCAAGAACTTGCCAACATGGACAACGAAGTCAACAAGAGCGATGTATATTTATATATATGTTCTTTTATTTTATTTCTTTTTGTCTTTATGGTTTTGATTATATAGTAATTATTTGTAAACCCTAAGGGAGTAAGGGTTTGATTGTTTGTGAAACAGGGGTTCGATATCGATTTTTCATTGTTCCGCTGCATTTTCAACTACCATCTCGCTAATCTCAATTCAAATGACTTTGTCGATGAGCCAGACACCTTAAGGGATTTACTCGAGAGGCTCTCTCAGCAATCTCTTGACGACTACAATAAAGAAAATGTGAGAACTAGTCCCTAGTCTTATGCCTATTGTGCTTTCAAATTCCAATAATATAAGATGTGTTTGTTTCTTTGAGAACAGGAGACAAAATTTGAGTATGTCAAGGTTGAGAAAGCCAATTTTCACGTCGCTGCTGGGATTATGTTTCTCATAACATTTGACGTTAAAGATCCTTATGATGACATGATTAAACCCTTCCAAGCAAGGGTTCGCCACCTTAAAAATACCTTCACTGAGTACATCTTCTGTAGGCCAAAACCCAACCATGGAGGTATGTAAGCTTTTTTCCCATCTGTTATTGTTTTTCTTATGAATATATTTGCCTCTTTCACTTTGGAAAATGGACTTATACAGAAAAAAATTAACAAAAAAAGGGGTGCAACACGAGGACTTCCCGGGAGGTCACCCATCCTAGTACTACTCTCGCCCAAGCACGCTTAACTGCGGAGTTCTGATGGGATCCGGTGCATTAGTGCTGGTATGATCGCACCCGTTTGTTTATGACGCGCAAACGCATATATGCCTTTCCGAGAGGATCTTGAACGTTTATTCGGCGGCGTAGGCCCCACTTGATGCTTAGGCCCGATCCGGAGTCCTAAGTGACCCTTATGTGAGAGGGAGGATGGATGCATCCAAAAAACACTATGCATAGCACTTTCGATTCATTGATTTGTGTCCGCACCAGAAAACGGCCCGGAAAAGCGTCCAAACGCCATTTTTTGGGGTCCAAACGATATTTTACGCCTAGAGCTCTTTTGGAGCTTCACGAAAAGTGGTTGGTGGCAGCATACGGCCTCACGGTCTTCCAGCTACGCATTTTGGAAGTTTCAGATAGAAATACAGAAAAAAATTAACAAAAAAAGGGGTGCAACACGAGGACTTCCCGGGAGGTCACCCATCCTAGTACTACTCTCGCCCAAGCACGCTTAACTGCGGAGTTCTGATGGGATCCGGTGCATTAGTGCTGGTATGATCGCACCCAGTTTGTTTATGACGCGCAAACGCATATATGCCTTTCCGAGAGGATCTTGAACGTTTATTCGGCGGCGTAGGCCCCACTTGATGCTTAGGCCCGATCCGGAGTCCTAAGTGACCCTTATGTGAGAGGGAGGATGGATGCATCCAAAAAACACTATGCATAGCACTTTCGATTCATTGATTTTGTGTCCGCACCAGAAAACGGCCCGGAAAAGCGTCCAAACGCCATTTTTTGGGGTCCAAACGATATTTTACGCCTAGAGCTCTTTTGGAGCTTCACGAAAAGTGGTTGGTGGCAGCATACGGCCTCACGGTCTTCCAGCTACGCATTTTGGAAGTTTCAGATAGAAATACAGAAAAAAATTAACAAAAAAAGGGGTGCAACACGAGGACTTCCCGGGAGGTCACCCATCCTAGTACTACTCTCGCCCAAGCACGCTTAACTGCGGAGTTCTGATGGGATCCGGTGCATTAGTGCTGGTATGATCGCACCCAGTTTGTTTATGACGCGCAAACGCATATATGCCTTTCCGAGAGGATCTTGAACGTTTATTCGGCGGCGTAGGCCCCACTTGATGCTTAGGCCCGATCCGGAGTCCTAAGTGACCCTTATGTGAGAGGGAGGATGGATGCATCCAAAAAACACTATGCATAGCACTTTCGATTCATTGATTTTGTGTCCGCACCAGAAAACGGCCCGGAAAAGCGTCCAAACGCCATTTTTTGGGGTCCAAACGATATTTTACGCCTAGAGCTCTTTTGGAGCTTCACGAAAAGTGGTTGGTGGCAGCATACGGCCTCACGGTCTTCCAGCTACGCATTTTGGAAGTTTCAGATAGAAATACAGAAAAAAATTAACAAAAAAAGGGGTGCAACACGAGGACTTCCCGGGAGGTCACCCATCCTAGTACTACTCTCGCCCAAGCACGCTAAACTGCGCGAGAGTAGTACTAGGATGGGTGACCTCCCGGGAAGTCCTCGTGTTGCACCCCTTTTTTTGTTAATTTTTTTCTGTATTTCTATCTGAAACTTCCAAAATGCGTAGCTGGAAGACCGTGAGGCCGTATGCTGCCACCAACCACTTTTCGTGAAGCTCCAAAAGAGCTCTAGGCGTAAAATATCGTTTGGACCCCAAAAAATGGCGTTTGGACGCTTTTCCGGGCCGTTTTCTGGTGCGGACACAAAATCAATGAATCGAAAGTGCTATGCATAGTGTTTTTTGGATGCATCCATCCTCCCTCTCACATAAGGGTCACTTAGGACTCCGGATCGGGCCTAAGCATCAAGTGGGGCCTACGCCGCCGAATAAACGTTCAAGATCCTCTCGGAAAGGCATATATGCGTTTGCGCGTCATAAACAAACTGGTGCGATCATACCAGCACTAATGCACCGGATCCCATCAGAACTCCGCAGTTAAGCGTGCTTGGGCGAGAGTAGTACTAGGATGGGTGACCTCCCGGGAAGTCCTCGTGTTGCACCCCTTTTTTTGTTAATTTTTTTCTGTATTTCTATCTGAAACTTCCAAAATGCGTAGCTGGAAGACCGTGAGGCCGTATGCTGCCACCAACCACTTTTCGTGAAGCTCCAAAAGAGCTCTAGGCGTAAAATATCGTTTGGACCCCAAAAAATGGCGTTTGGACGCTTTTCCGGGCCGTTTTCTGGTGCGGACACAAAATCAATGAATCGAAAGTGCTATGCATAGTGTTTTTTGGATGCATCCATCCTCCCTCTCACATAAGGGTCACTTAGGACTCCGGATCGGGCCTAAGCATCAAGTGGGGCCTACGCCGCCGAATAAACGTTCAAGATCCTCTCGGAAAGGCATATATGCGTTTGCGCGTCATAAACAAACTGGTGCGATCATACCAGCACTAATGCACCGGATCCCATCAGAACTCCGCAGTTAAGATGATGATTAACAATAAATAGAGAGAAAAATCCCAAGAGTAGACCATTTATCATACCTAGTTCCAGAAGTTCCTTGGCCTCTCTCATCTCTAATCACTCTAACAGTACCAGAAGATTCAACCGGAGATTTTGGACCATTCGGTGTAATATCTTCATCCTCCTTCACTTGATATTTTGGCCGCTCCCTTCAAACAACAAAAAAGACAGCATTAGTATCGTCCTGGTCTGTACTTTCTTTTACAATAAAGCAGATAATAGACAAACTAGAACCACAAACCAACGCTATTTACATGAAAAAACATCACACCTTATTTTTTCAAGAAGTTTCGGGCTTTTCCTAGCATTCTTTATAATTTTTCCGGTCGTATCAAATTTGTAAACTTAATCAGTTTCATTTTAATGATATTTACCATTTAGCAAGAAAAAATCTTTATAGTTTTTCTGTTGAGAATCGTTGGTTTTGAGATTTATAGTATTTTGATTGTTTGTTTTGATAGTGGAATACTTTGGGACTGTTGTCAAGGAAGATGTCAAGAAGCATAGGTAACAGACGTTTATCTAGAAGTGTCTTTACTTTGATGTTAGATTCTCTATTGATTTCTATATTTCTTCACAGGTTGGAGTAATTAAGATTCTCTTAAGAACTACAACGAAAAAGAGGTGAAAAATTAACCTAGTCTTATGCCTATTGTGCTTTCAAATTTAAATAATATAAGATTTGTTTGTTTCTAGCTTTGAATAGAAATAGGAGACATGATATGACATTTTTATGGTTCTTAATGCCAAAATTACATTTTAAAACCAACATTATATTATTTGATCCAGTCTGTTAATATAAAGTAGAGAGTGACAACAAAAAAAAAGTAGAGAGTGACAACATCCCTAATATACTAAAGCACAAGTCACTTCACCAATAAAAATGTGACACATCAGAAAAAACCTATTAAAAACAAAATTACTCCTCATAAAATGTAACTGCTAAAAATCCTGTTACGCGTTTAAATAAAAAAATTATCTCCCACATTGACACGATCTCCCTTTTTTTTTGTTAAAGGGTTTGACACGATCTCCCTAACTTACTTCTTCTCTTCCATATATATATAGCACTTGAAAATTGTTGGTTTCAAATGTCCAATTACACGAGGTTTGTTAACAATTATTGGTTTCAAAGTCAAATTTTTGTTTGCTAATATCTCTTCAAAATCACAATCATTCTCTGTGGCAAGGTACAGATCATAATTTTGTTTTTCCATTCAAGTAATCAAGTCTATGCATGGCTTCAAGGCTCAAAAATCAAAAGGTACTTACATATACGCTAATATTTTTACTGTTTGACTGGTCTCTAACTCACAACTTTCTTTAACTCTTTTTCATCTATTTTTTTTTTCTTCAGTTTTGCGAGTCCATAATCCTTTTTTATGGCTATGACAGGTTACCCAAAGAATTTCCCAAATCGTCGTACAGTATTAATAGTAAGCAGTAACCCGTAAGCACCCAAAAAAATCTTTTTGTTTGTTTCATGGATTTTATTTCTCTTTTGATCTCATCTAAATATCACTTGGCAGTTGTAGAGAATGTTTTTAGCAATAACCTTCGGAGAATAACAAATAAAATCTGAAACAAAAACAAAGAAGACGATGGGCCAAACTAGAAGACCCGTCAAGAAAAAATGCTTCAACTTCAACATCTGAGATGCACTGCATTGGCGACTGAATAACAAAATCGTTACATGCCTAAGAGCACCTGCATTATGCATTAGACATCCCCATTAGGATTCTGGTAATTAAAAGAAAAGAAAAAAAGGAAAAAGAAATGAGGTGTCAAGCCTTATGAGCTGAATTGACTCTGCAAACAGAGTCCAAAGAACTCGTTTCTCTTACACCATTTGCCATGTGTCATATTGTGATTGGCTCCTTTCTTTTATTTTCTTTTTTGAAAATATTATTTATTTAAATTCGTTTTTTCATTTTCTTTTTAACACAAAAACTGTTTTTTTTTTATTGTTAAAGATTCCAATGTGGGAATGTCCATTGCGGATGCTCTAATGCCTTCATCTTTTCCAAGGTTTATTACACTTTTTTCTTGCATTTTAACATTCGTATGGGCAATTCCACATATAAAATTTGTATTTGTAAACTGTTTAGACTAATAATAATAATTTCCTTATTTGATTTTTTTTTTTTGTTTTACTTTTCCTTCTTTGAATTCATGTCTTTTGAATAGAGATGGAAAGTAAAACTAGAGCTAAAAATAAAAAATAAAGAACAACAATACACGAGTGAGAAAAATGATATAAGTTAAATAAAACTTTATTTTATGGTAAATTATATTACAAATGATATCTTATGATTTAAATAAATAACTACAACAAGAAAATATTTAATTAATTTTGTCCCGTACGTAGTACGGGGGTTATACTAGTATCAAAACAACACAAAAGTAAAAGGGAGGATATCATTGTTAAGATAACATATTAAAACAAATGTATATTTTTTATAAAAACAAATCACATCACCTTTAACAATTAGTCCTTTACTTTTATTATTATGGAAAATTCAAGGGGGAAATTCCTTTACGGATAAAAAACTACGAGGCAAAAATGCAAAAAGCAAAGAAACTTTGAGGGACTTGAATGTAATTAGAGATAGTTTTATAAAAAAAACACTTTCCGAGAAATTAGGGTTCTTCAACTGCTTGCTTATTCGAGAGGAGCGATGGGTGAACTATTTGATGGTACGAATCCAACTCAGTTAGTTTCTCTGAAATTTTAGTGCCTTTTTTTTAAAACATTCTCAATCAATTAATCAAGATCTTGATTGCTGATTGTCTTTGTCGGAACAAGGTTGGAGCTGGTGGGTCGAAGATGCGTTTCTGGTACATTCACCTGATGAACCTGAACCCTGGTTCAAGCCCTGGTACATCACAAAAACTGAGGACGATGAGCCTAAGCTCACAACAGAGCAAGAGATTGATCTCATGAACGAACAAATCAATGTCAGCAAGGTACTTTTGTTTTTTGTCTTTTGTTCTATGTGGTATCAATAGAGCTTGAGAGTTTTGAGCATTATTATGTGAATATGGTCGTAGGGGTTCGATATCGATTACAAGCTGTTCCGCTGCCTTTTCAACTACCACCCTGTTGTTTTGGATGATTATCAATTCGTTGAGCCGCCAGAAACCAATGTTGATTTACTCAACAGGCTGTGTGAGAAATCCATTGATGACTACAATCAAGAAAACGTGAGAGAACTAGTCTAATTAGTCAATGCTTCTGCTTTTTTTTTTTTTTTTGGTGTTCTTACAGTCTAATGGGGTTTTTTTTTAATATAATTTGTTATCAAGCAGAAGACGGAATTTGAGTTTGTGAAGCCACTTTATGCCAATTTCCACATGTCTTCCGGGATAATGTTTCTCATAACATTTGAAGTGAAGGATCCTGTTGACAACCTGGCTAAACAGTTCCAAGCTAGGGTTCGTTACTCTTTTTTGGACAAGACCGAGTTTGTCTTCTGCAGGCCAAGACCCACTAAAGAAGGTAAACGGTGTTTCTGTCTGGCGTATTTTATTAACCTCTTCCCTGTTTCATCTGTATTTGAGACTGGTTTGTAGTTGCCTTGAGACTGAATGGTATATATTGGAATTGTTGTGGTAGTTTCGACCGACGAAGATAGCGTTGGAAAGGGAGGATCGATCAACGAAGACAGCGTTGGAGTTGCTGAAGAAAATGCCATGAAAAATCTTTAGATGTTGTGTTCTAGTAAGCTAAGCATGTGGCAAACTTACCATCTCTGAATTGTAATTTAGCTACTCTTAGTTATGTGACTTATGTCTTATTTAATATCTCTAAGAAGGTTGTTTTGTAGTAAGAAATTATGAGCGCTTGGTGTAAGAAGCATCACTACATTGCTTTGCACCTGTGAGCTCTTGGTACTGTGAGTTTGTGACTCATTTGGTACTAGCAACAATTATGATCCTGGTTTTATTAAGCTGTAAATGTTTAGTGTAGTTATGCCAATGTAGGGAATGTAACGAGATTTAAACTAATAGTAAAATCCCTCTCTAGGAACATTGGATTAAAAAAAATATATACTCCGCAAATAAATCGTTACATGTGCTTTTGCTAACAACCCTATGATCAAATCCAAAATCTGTCTAATTTTATGGAAAAGAAAGAGTACCTTCTTGATTGGGTTTTGGCCTACAGAAGACAAAGTCGGTGTTGCTAACAAAAGTGTATCGAACCCTAGCTTGGAACTCTTTTGCTAGGTTATCAACAGGATCCTTCACTTGGAAAGTTATCAGAAACATAATCCCAGATGATCCGTGGAAATTTGCATACAGAACCTTGTCAAATTCATATCCCGTCCTCTATTTGAAAACGAAAACAAAGATATATTATAAGAACAAACGTAAAAGCAGAATCATTGACTAATTAGACAGATCCACTCACGTTTTCTTGATTGTAGATATCAAGGGATTGCTCAGACAGCTTCTTGACTAAATCCCCATTGGTTTCTGGTGGCTCAGCGAAATCATCATCATCGAAGTCAAGAGGATGGTAGTTGAAAAGGCAACGGAACAAACTGAAATCGATATCGAACCCCTACGATATTTCACATGCAAAATCAAATCTTAGTTTCAGAAATCTTTTACTGATAACACAAAACTTGAAAAATTAGAGACCTCGCTTGCGTCGATTTGTTCGTTCATGAGATCAATTTCTTGCTCTCTTGTGAGCTTAGGCTCATCTTCCTCGTTTTTTGTGATATACTTTGCTCTAATATAGTCCTCCTCTTCAGGTGTAAGCAGCAAATATGCATCTTCGACCCACCAGGTCCAACCTTGTTCAGACAAGACAATCAAAATCAAATTTTGATCAATCGATCGATAACCTTACAAAAAAAAATATCAAAGACACTAAAAGTCGTACCATCAAATAGTTCACCCATCGCTCCTCTCAAGCAGTTGAAGAACCCTAATTTTTGGGAAAGTGTCTTTTATGAATGCGTTCCTCTCCTATCGTCTCTGGAAGCCTCTATTAAAACTATCTCCAATTACATTCAAGTCCCTCAAAGTTTCTCTGCTTTTTGCATTTTGCCTCGTAGTTTTATCTTTAGAGAAAATTTCCCCTTGAAATTTCCATAATATTAAAACTAAAGGACTAATTGTTAATGTGATTTGTTTTTGTTTGGGATGACCTCCTAAGGTAGACCTAATTCAAGTTATCAACAATCAAGTTATCAACATAACTTTTTGAAAAAACAAAGCGAGCGAAAACAATCATAATCATGAAAAACAAAGTAAAAGTAGAGTTTTGTTACTTACCAAAGTTCAAACCAGTCGTCACTCACTCATGGATTATACGCTTCATGATCAAGAAGATATACAAAAAAATAACATACAAACTAGTTTTTAAATATAGATGTTGATTTGGTAAACCAAAATTTAGTATTAAGATTTTACCACTGCATACATAATGCTAATAATCAACCATGCAAGTTCCATAACCAGTCAACAAAAGCATATGCTTGTCCAATTTCTTACCGCCATTCTTAGGTTCTATGTTGATAACATCCTATTTCAAAAACCATTATGTAATAACATTAATATGTAATAACATTAATATCAATACTTTAAAATCAGAACAATTTAGGCATTACTTGCCCCCTTTGAAAAAAATCAAAGTCTTTGTTAACCTCGGTCATGACAGCCTTGTTAATGTTAAGCATGGAAATTAGTTGGTTTTCATCCACATCATTCAAGATCTCCAATTCTTCAACTTACTACAGTCAAAAAATTTGAGATATTCATGCAAATTTAGATAGTGTACAATTTTCGTGTATTTCTGAGAATCACAAACATTAATATCCAATACCAAAATTCTGTAGAAATGGTACTATATGACTATAAATAAATAAAAACTAAAGCTATGACACATTAAATAGCTGTTTAGAATATGACTTTGCAAGTGTCGAAAGGAGAACCCAATGAATTTGGTCTAAAACCATCCAAATCCTTAATTATCTAAAATAATTAGGAAACAAAATTCAAGGACTGCAAAAACAAACAACTTATGAAATTTCCTGCTCGTTACACATAATCCAAAATAGGTTAAGACAAGGCAAATAGATATCTTTTTTTTTTCAAATAAAATCTTTATTTTCTGTTTAAATAAAATCTTTATTTGGTCAAAAGCTGTAAAGTGTTCCATTTGACCCCTTAATCTTTCTTATAAGGTCTCTATCAACGATTATCTTGATAACTCTGTTTCTGGAAGCTGTTCATAGGATTCGTAAGCTTCTTGGTCCTGATCTCTCTAACATGGCTTGAATTCAATCTGATCAGTATCATTTAAAAGCTATCATTTTTTATATAACTCAGCTCTGCCAAATTTTGGAAATAGGATTGTTAACTATTATTAATATATCTTGACTATTATAAATTCGTAAGTAATTGTTGAAATATCTGAACTCTGCTCTTTCTTTATTGGTTGATTCCCAAGAAGAGTTAAATAATTTGCTCTGTTTATTCGTAGATTATTAGATTGTCACTTGTTTGTTAGTTATATAAGATTTTGGGGGTGTTTTGATTGATTTCGGGCTGATATTAAAAAACTCTTATCCAAAACGTTGAGACTCAAAATTCGAAGTCTGTCGCAGCTCAAGTTGAAGAAAAAGAGGCAGCTGAATTGGAGAGGAAAGAAACTCTCAACTTAATAGAAAAGCAAAACGTTCCAGAAACATATTTGGATTCCTCCGAGGAGAATATATGACGAAAAATATATCAATGCCTTTAAAGTTCATGCATTGATCCAATAATATCTTACAAAACCAGATAAAATGTGTTTTGTATTATTTCCATTTTGTTTTTTTTTGTTTTAATTTAATTTGATTTTAGAGTATATATATATTGAAAAGTCAATATATACCAACAACATTCACACTCCATAAAAGTGGCAATGCATGAACCAAACCCCTACAAATGCAGTTACAAAATCAGACTATGCAGTAAGACTAAAACCACTATCTTCAAACTTTTGGGTTTTTGGGTTTCAATCCGATTTAGTTAAATTCCGGTTTATTTAGGTCTTTAGGATTTAGGTTAATGGATTTTGGGAGTAGAATTTGTGTAGGAACAGATTCTACTCCCAAGGAAGAGATGAAAAGGCCCTAGCTAACTTTTTTATTTATTATGATTTTGGATTAACCCATTGGATTGTTTTTTTAAGCTCGGAGAAAGATGTGAAAAGAGGTATAACCGTATAAGAAATGTGCATCTATAAGAGTCTTCACTTTGGTGGATCATTTACTCTACGTACGTTGATGTTAGAGTCTTGGATTGATTTGTTTCTTCTGTTGAAAATGGTTATGATCTCTGTTTCTTGACATTTGAGTTGTGTGTGTTTTGGCAGGTCACTGTGATGGAAGCTCGGAGGAAGATGTGAATAAAGGTATATCAAATGTGCATCTCTAAGAAGTCTTGATGTTTATGGATAGGAGTGTTAGTGACACTTTGCTCAGTAAATTAATCTCGGTTGCATAAAACATATTATCATTGTATAAGAAAAAGGAATTTTTAATTGGTTGTTAACGAAAAGACAAAAAAAAAAAAAGAAAACTCGGTGATCGTTACGGGCTTAAAGTACAAGAAGTGCTTAATGAAATCGTCGACGTGCTTAAGAACATCAAGCAACTTGCTCACCGGTTCTATATATATCCACTGGATCCCAAGCAAAGTGTAGGCTTCAATAATTATGTCAAGACATTCTTTACTCACATCCCCTACTCCAAAAACTCTTTTGTCTTTACTCTTCCCGCAGATTATTGATAGGCATGTTAGTGACACTTTGCTTGCGAGACAAGGAAGGTTTGAAGTTCATGAACCTAATAAGTAATTTGGCTTCATAGAAGGTTGAAGTTGCATTTATTTTCTTTCTAGCAAGCTTGGTCACTGTAAGGCTATTGAAAACTTTTTCTCTAAACACTCATATTTCAATGAATCTTTAACATCCATATAAAAAAAACTTCATTCGTACGTGGGTCTAAGAAAATCACACTAGCTACTTATATGTTTTTGTAAAAATGCAACCAATCATATCTCCTCGCAAGACGTCAAAAAAACCGCGGAACACTCTCGTGCATAAATTCTCATATTACAGTGTCAGTATGTGAATATCAAAGGGAACATCTAAGATTCTCACATCATATGCATTAAGGAAAAAATGCATCCAGTCAATTTATCTACATATGAAGGGAAAATGCATATTATTGTTCCATATTGACATCTTTCTTGGCAAGTCCTTAATCTTTATTATTATGTAAATTTCAATGGGGCAGTCTGCAATAGACAAAACTACGAGGCGAAATGTAAAAAGCAAAGAAACTTTGAGGGACTTGAATGTAATGGGAGATAGTTTTTTAATAGAGACTTCGAGAGACAGCAGAAGAACGCATTCATAAAGACACACTCCCAAAAATTAGGGTTCTTCAACTTGCTTGCTTAATCGAGAGGAGCGATGGGTCAACTATTTGATGGTACGAATCCAACTAAATTAGTTTCTCTGAAATTTACTGTCTTTTTTTTTTTCAAAACAGTGTCAATCGATTGATCTAGATCTTGATTCTGATTGCTGATTTGTCTTTGTCGGAACAAGGCTGGACCTGGTGGGTCGAAGATGCGTTTTTGGTACATTCACCTGATGAACCTCAACCTTGGTATAAACCATGGTATATCACAAAAACTGAGGAAGATGAGCCTAAGCTCACAACAGACGAAGAAATTGATCTCATGAACGAACAAATCGATGCCAGCGAGGTATTTTTTTGTTTCCCTCTCATTGTTGAAGTTTTGGTTCTGAAAGTTTTCAAATTGAGAGCTTTGGTTATTATATGTGGATATGGTCGTAGGGGTTCGATATTGATTACAAGCTGTTCCGCTGCCTTTTCAACTACCATCCTGTTGTCTTCGATGATGATCAATTCGTTGAGCCGCCAGAAACCAATGTGGATCTACTCAACAGGCTGTGTGAGAGATCCATTGATGACTACAATCAAGAAAACGTGAGCGAATTAGTATAATTAAGCAATGATTCTGCTTTTATGTTTGTGACCAATTTAATGGGTTTTTGATGTATCTTTTGTTTGCAAGCAGAAGACGGAGTATGAATTTGTGAAGCCACTTTACGCCAATTTCCACATGTCTTCTGGGATAATGTTTCTCATAACGTTTGAAGTGAAGGATCCTGTTGATAACTTGGCAAAAGAGTTCCAAGCTAGGATTCGCTACTCTTTTGTTAGCAAGAGCGACTTTGTCTTCTGCAGGCCCAAACCCAGTCCAGAAGGTACTCTTTTCTTTCACATCAGAAGGAGTTTTCTGTCTGGTTGTTGTTACTTGAGAGACTTAATGGTGTTTTGGATCGTTGTGGTAGTTTCGACCGACGGTGATAGCGTTGGAGAGGCAGTTTCGATCGACGAAGATAGCGTTGGAAAGGGATCTTCGACTGACGAAGAGAGCATTGGAGTTGCTCAAGAGAATGTCAAGAAACTAGGGTATGTTATCTATCTATCCAAACTTGGATGCATCTCTTCTTTATTGTTTGATGTGAGAATCTTCTAAGATTCTTGCTTTCTTGTTTGCAGTCTGGAATAGGAGCTTTTATCTCTGGATGCGCCACTAAAGTCTTTGGACGTGTCTCCATCTATCTACTATGTGGCAAGACTTGCTCTCTAAATTATGACTTGGCTACTACCTTTAGTTATATGTTATATGTAATGTCTTTTAAATGTTGTGTTTCTAGTAAGCTAAGCCAACTGTTGTGAACTTACCATCTCTGAATTATTATCCGATAAACCACTTTGATTAATACCAAAGCCCTCGCAAAGTCACAAGTACAAAAAGGGCTCTCTTTGCCAAAGAGCCGGCCTCAAAGTTTGCTAAACGCGAGACATGATGAAAGCTACAAGTAGCAAAAGAAAACAAACACTCATAGAGAGCTAAGTAGCATTACAAAACAATAAAGTCTTTTTAATGTCTTGGTACTTAATCTTCATCCACGTAGTCATCGAGAAGCTACGATATAAAAACAAATATTAAAAATCTGAACACAATTTATAAACACAGACTATCATATAAGTGAATTACATTGAAAGATTATATACCTCTGGATAGATGATGTACTTGATCAACGATGGTTTTCCATTGCGGCTAACTTGTCGAATTATTTTTCCGAAACCATCTTCACCCCAATCAAGTCCAGCTGAGTTCTGAACCGACCAGTAATGTACCCCATTAAGAGTTTCCGTAGCCCCTGCACAAGACCATGTGGTAATCAAGATCCTCTTGTACACCTTTCTTAGGACCTTCGTAGATACCATCCTGTTTCACAAACACCAAACATATGCTTAAGATACTAACCCCTTTGAATCGGTAATCAATCTGTAACCAAAAAAACAAATCGGTAAACTATGCTTAAGATACGAACCCCTTTGAATTTCGCAAATTCTGTGTGGAACACTATGGAAATAGCTACTGGCCGTTTGTCGAGCAAAAGGATAAGATCCTTCTCAACCACTTGGCTAACCACGTGTAGCTTTTTGACTTTGAACACACTGTTAGGCTGCAAAACAAAGTCACAAGAACATATTTATTAGTCAAAGTAATTACACCAATTAAAGACAAGAAAAAATTTGTTAACAAATTTTAGTTACCGTGTCTTTGTGGGTGCACAGAACTGGTTTATCACGCTTTGATTTACGGCCACCTCCTTTCTTCTTCATCTCAGCTATTGGATCAATGCATCTACAATCTTTCTCCAGAATAGCTCCTTTTTCCTCCATAAAAGTCTTCAAATGCTCTAATTTTCTGAGTCCTCCTTGGTTGTCCGTTTTGTCGAAAAGACCCACCAGCAAATGAAGAAGCGAGAAGTGCTTGAGAGATGTTACTTTTCCTTCAATTTTAAGATCAGCTGCTAAGCCACCTGTTGATGCCACCGTCCAGCAGATTCCTTCAATATAAAAATCAACTCCATCCATTAGCCAAATTAACTGATTATTTATAAACAATCCATTAATATTTATTTTACTAAAGCATGCACAAAACTAGGGTCAAATCAATCACTTACTCCTAGCTCCTTGGTCTATCACATCTCTGAGTTCCTCCACCAAAAATTTCTCGTGGTGCTTTGCTCCAGGAGGAAGATCCTTCAAATATACATAAACAAGAACCAATGAGAATGAAATGTGTGGCCGAAGATGAAATTAATATTTAAACAAGTAGCAAAAGGAAACAAATATATATATATATATATATATAAACAAGTTGGTGTTAAATGAAATTAATCCACAATGTAACATAGAGGAAATTAAGAGACAAGAAGATGTTCTCAATTGTAACAAGAACTTGTAATTTGACCAAACAAGGTAACTATCTTCTTCTGATGAAAGACTCTATATCTATGACCATGAATCTTATCTACTAATGAATTAATTCGGTTTTCATTCATCCTTTTCTAACTTAAACCACAGACAAAACTAAGTACAAGTTAGCTAATTAACGCCTCAAGTCAGGACTCAAAGCAGGGAAGCTGTACACATAGTGGGTTTAGTCATAATTACATAGAAAGCCACAACAAATGGATACTAACCTGTTCCTCGCAATATACAAGTGCTAATGTCAGAGATTATGCAGCAAAAAATACTATAAAAAACATGAATTTGTAAAAAAGACCACAAATTTCACTAATCTAGACATTTAGTGTTCGTGTTAAATGGAACCCACAATCAACAAAGAGGAAAGTATCCATACAAAAGGCATATTTGATCAAAGAAGGTAACCATCAACAGTCTCAAAAGTACACATTTTATATTTCTTCTGATAACAGACTCTTTCTATAACCATGAACCTTATCATATTATAAAAGAAAGTTCGGTTTTCATTAATCCTTTTGTAGCTTATATACCACAGACAAACCTAAGTACAAGTTAGCTAATTAACGCCTCAGGTCTGGACTCAAAGCAGGGAAGCTGTACACATAGTGGGTTTAGTCATAATTACATAGAAAGCCACAACAAATGGATACTAACCTGTTCCTCGCAATATATCAGTGCTAATGTCTGAGATTATGCAATAAAAAGAACGATAAAACATGTACTTGAAGACTTAAACAAAATCATTTTGGGTAAACACATAAGCGCTTCATGGTCATTAGCATCTCAAAAAGTGAACTTTAATTGTTATTGAATGAGAGAAGTTCAAAACATGGAACATCAACACAGAAAAAATGGGTCTTTCTAAAAAAAAAAAAAGATTGGGTGTAATAATGTCATAATCAAACTTTTTTATATATTTCCTGATCAAATTATAAAAAAAGCTACGAACTTTAAGTGTTCTATGCAATTTCTTGTTATAAGGAATCCAAAAACCAACAAGGGAAAAAATGTAAAGGCAGATCTAAATGGTGACGAATAAAAGAAAAGAAAATGGATGAAACCTTTGGATAATCAGAGTCCCCTTCCTTCAAAATCTGCATCAAATCAAAGCTTTTTATTAGTTGATGTTATTTTTGTCTCACTCCAAAAAGAAAAAGAAAGAGAAATTTTTTTTCTTGACCTGTGGTTTCTTCGATGATGATGATGATGATGATGGTTTTGGTTTCTTCGATGACGATGATGATGATTTCTTTTTGCCTCCTCCACCACCACCATGTGATGGCTCCACTTCGTTATCCATCCTAAAAAACAGTAATCAAGCTCAAATCAAATGCTAGAGGAAGAAAAAAGAAACAAAGAAAAAAAAGAGATAAAAACCTCGAAGATGAGACTAGATCTTTAAGGAGAGGCAACTTTGATGGTTTTCTACTTTCTTTCTCCCCAATGTCTTATTATTTATACCGTGATGTTGACTCTGGTTACTTAACACACAAAATCATGTGTCAAAAGTTGATCATGGTCAAGTTGTGATCTTTTTGTTGTTTCAGAAATTGTTTTTCTTTTCTTTTCGGTCTACGACATTGTGATTTTTATATCTGTGGTACTAATGATTTTAGACCTATAATGGTATCATTAATAAGATTATCGTTGGTAAAAGCAACGAACAAAACCAAAAAAAAAAAATGTGTTCGCTATAAACGAAATATCTATTGATAATTAGAACAATAGTTGAACTACATAATTGCCTACTCAAAAACAACTAACTAATATTAAATCTATCAGTTAATCACGAATTACTTGAGTAATAAAGCTATAGCAAACAGCATGTAAATGTAATAGTAATAATCATAAGTACTTCACTACTACTTATTAATAAAGGTAGAACAAATTATTATTTTATTTAAATCTTAAAAATTAATGGCAAACAGAGTTGTATTGTTACAGCAAAAGTCACAAACATTGTAACAAAAACTATCCATTTTGTCGAAAAGGATAGCAAACAATTAATTTGACATACCTATCAAGTTCGTGTATGTTTGTGTGGGTCCCAAGAATAATATTTGACCCCAAAAACCTAAAATCCACCAAAACATAGTCACATGCTCTAATGGTGGTCTTCGCATATTCAAAACTATATTATTCAAATAGTGTTCACGACAGTAACACCATGTTTTTTTATACATATGAGGAGGTTTAGGTTGCTATCCAAAACGTGTATGCCTAATTAAAATGTGTTTATTATTTTTTAATTCCATAATGCAACTTGGCAATAAAATATTTCGGATCGTATATTCCATATACTTTGGCTACTACTTACTACTATACGTTTCTTTAAGAAACAAAAAATTCAAAGCAAAATTTGCTTCGGACTAATACGAGGTTGGAAATGGTTATAGAAAGACGTCCAATACGAAGTAGATTTCAGATCGGATATTACATATTGGTTGCTAATTAGTAATTACTATATAATATAGTTTTTTATTATTATCTAGAGTAACAATCAACAAAAATAAAATATTTGGTTGGGTCCAATACGAGGTTGGTAATGGTTATAGGAAAACGTCCCAAAGCAGGATCTGAGATTCATCCATGAATGGCTCGAAAGACCCCAGAAGATCACACCTACATTATCAAATTCATTTTTTATGTATTAATCTGATAGTGTCTGTTTACCATTAGTCTTACTTTTTGTCTTTTCTGTTTGTTTTTTTTTATTATTCTTTTGCTTTGATTACTATACTGCAGCAGTATTCTTGTCAACGTACTTTTTTTTTTTAATACTTATAGTTATATATTCAAATCATATTATACCAAATTACCAAGTTACCAACGGTTAAAAAATGAAACATGGGTGGTTACATTACCTTCAGGTGTGGGCATTACATAATCTTGTGGCTCATCGTAAATGTTGGCATTACATAAACAAGTCATTACATAATCTTCAGGTGTGCCACTATTCTTGTTCCGGTCAACTATTGAGATTTGAGACTCAAGTAGCGTGTCTGCGCGCGAGTATAACTTGTTTTGACATTCGAAAATGAATATTACTAAGATTTTTTTTTTGTTAAAATGAATATTACTAAGATTTAATTAAGAACATTTTACAACGCGCTTTATTAATGACAGAGAAAGGATCGGGAGGGGCCATATCCTGCATTCTGACCTACATATTCTGTGGAGCCCATGTAAAATAAAAACCACCGTCTTTTATTTACTGCAACAAAATCATTTATGAGATTATCTACTCGTAATACCTGCACTGCTGAATTTTCACTCGACTTAAGCCTTGAGGAATCCTAAATAGTTAATTTTAAGTATGGGGATTTGGACATTCGCTCGGATTTGGATTTGATGAAAATTCAGCAGTGCATGTAAAATAGTCTTTGATAACAAATAAATCCTAGTATAAAAAATCGTTTTATCAAAAAAAAAAAAATCGTCTTAAAAAGATGTTGCACTTTCCATTATTATTTATATATATAAAGTTGCACTTTCCATTCAGAAAAAAATGTTGTTTGCCCTCGAAAAAAGGAGTTTCACAGCCCTACGAAAATAAATGTTGTTTACTTAAATTCTGATTTTATTTTAATTGTTCTTTTTGGTTTATATAGTCGCATACCAATTTGTCTTCATTTGAAATTTTGGAGTTCACATGGCCTCCCTCCGTACGACAGACAGAAAGTAAAGTTTTCGGAAAATAACACCCTCAAGCCCTAGACCTGCTATTATTTTTAGTAGGGTCCACGTTAGCTATATCTATCATGTAATAAATCTATTAAAGTAACCTGTTTATAGGCCAAGCTTATTGACAAATAATTATATATTTTAAAATATTCATTTGCATTACGCTGATAATCACAACTAAGCAAATCACTAATCAGTATTCTAAAAAACACCCATAGTGAAATTTTGGACAAGAAAGAGCCTTATATATAGGGTTTTGCTAATTTCTGGATAATGTCTTACTAATGCTGATGTTGTAGTTTTTGATTTATGCCAAAAAAAATTCCTTTTTGTTAAAGTATACCAAAAGCTGACTGTGGCTAATTTTTATTTTTCCTAACTAAGCTAAGGTTAAAACAAAAGCTCATGTTTGAATAGAGGCTGATCTTTATGTGATCATGGCAAAAACTGACCATGGTTACTTTTTCTTCTAGTCTGGGTTTAATATCATGTTAGTAATTGATTGGTTGAAAATTTCTGTCAATCAAACGAACTTAAGTCGCGACTTTTACATCTACGTTGCTAATCAATTTAGACCTAAATGGTATAATCGATAGGCATAAAATTATTGCAGGATTAAGCAACGAACAAAATCTTTTTTTTGGTTTGCTGAAACGAGTTTTATTGAATTTTACTGAAAACCAAATTTATAATTGGCGACTCCAAAAAGCTAATTAATATTGAATCTATAAAAACACTGTGATAAATTAAAGTTATTTTTCGATAAAATGATAAATTAAAGTTATACAACAAACAACTTGTAATATTACTAGTCATAAGAATTTCACTATTACTACCTAATAAAGTGATAACAAATTATTTGTATATAAATCTAACAGATTAATGAAAATGATAAAAAAAACAATTAATTTGGCGTAGATATCAAGTTTTTGTGTGTTTGTGTGGGTCCCTAACAGAGGAAGATATTCTCCCAGAATAATATTTGACCAAAAAAACATAAAATCCACCAAAACAAAGTCACACTCACATGCTCCACATGTCTGGTCTTCGCATATTCAAAGCATTCAAATTGTTCAGCTATTACTCAAATATTTGTTTTCACAACAGCAGCACCATGTTTTTTTCTTTCTTTTTTACATGTTTTTGTTTAAATAAGGAGGTTTAGGTTTGGGTGAATTAGGTCAATATATATATTGGGGTTCAAAATTAAGCTTATAGCCATATGGATTTCGAAATTAGATAGGGAAAGCACACGCGCTGGGAAAAGTCTATAAAACCCCTCGTACATTGGGTAATTGCTGCTGATGTCATAGTATCAAGCGGAAGCCGTCCACGAAGCGGAGCGAACTGTCACATAACTATTCTAAAACTTATTTGATAAAGTAATTCAAACAATGAAAATCTTTCGTATTAATTTTGTGGATAGGAAAGCATGTATTCAGTATTCTATACCATATTCGTCGTAGAAAACAAAAACAAAATGCATCGCAATAGTAAAATAGTACAAAACCGTAGCAATAGAACTTATACATTACAAAAACTGGTATACTACATATTTGTATACTGTAATATGGTTATTCCCGAGATAGTACATAATACATACAAATTTTACAGAAAACAAGTTATATAAATTCACTATTGACTATTGAGGAAGTCCTAACACCAGCCAGAGAAACTGTACACCGCAGAAGTGATAAGCACTATTGAGTGTTCGTACACATACAGCCTTTCCGGTAATCCAAGCTACTCCATTAACACTTCCCCTGTTTCACACCTTCCACTTACCTTATCTCCCATAGTAAGGTAAGAAACAGCTGCAAAGGCTTGATAGGTAGCTTGCATCGATTTACTCTCTTTCCGCTGAAATATATTGAATATGAGAAAATCACCATGAGGGGAAAAGATCAAATATGTAACACCTCATCTCAAAATTAAGCAAATATATTTCCATTTACATGAGTTTATAAATTTTACCTTGCTCGCTTCAGTAAAATGGAAAGCAGCTTTGTCATACCAACCACAAATGGGAGTATTGTACCCTGATCATGTCAATCACACACACATAAGCTTGCAAAATTGTTGGAAATCGAGTAGACAGTTTTTCATCTCAACTAGCCTGTACAATCAATATTCATTGTTATTGTTATATATTTTCCTGCAAGAAGGCATTATGCTAGAGAAGACAGCTGAAAGGACCTATATCAGAGATTCAGAGCTGGTTAACTCAGATAAATAAGAAGGCTTTATATAAATGTCATGTGGTAGGGGAGGAAAAAAAAATTAGGTAAAAAAGAACAGATGGTCGACCTTTTCTGTTTCAACATATTCAGACCTTGTATGTTCCAAAGACACTCAATAACCACTTATCCAATTAACTAAGTCAAATTAACAGTCCCACTTATGCAGAAACTAGGATATACTATGGAAGACAATAGTATGGAATGGGAAGACTGTAAACAATATTGAACTATGTTTGCTAGGCTAAATGACAAGACGGTACAAAAAACCTAACGTTTTCCAAAAAACGGCACTTTAACCAAAACGATAAACAGGACACATACATACTATGATGGGTATACATTGAAAAAACTAAAACTATACATAATAGGCACATGAAAGAGAGCAGCGAAGACTGGAATATTGTAAGAGAAAAAAGTTTCTTACCTACACGGATGTGTTCTTCGCCTCAAGGAGAAATAAGAGCTGGTGTCGCAATATTTGCAGCTGCAACATGAACACTGATTAGTAACCACAACCGAACTCCGCCATTGAACACATACAATACAATGTTAAATCGTCGGGACTTAAATTAACGACCTCAATCCAGATTTCCCATTGACCCCTCTCTTCGATCCTCAAATCACGACTCCGCACTCAAAACTCTAGATATTAAGTAGAATCTCCAATCATTTGTTATTGCAAGAAGAGAAATGGAAACTACCATCAGCGCCTCCGAAGCTTTAAATCGGTGATTATAACGGATCATAGTATCCTTCAATTCTGATTATAAGTATCCGAGATCGCAGTAATTCTCACAATTTTATTTGGATTTTGGATTAATTTTCCCCAATTTACAGTCACAGTTTATCGGCTTTAGAGAAGCTGACCGTAATTTACTCAGCGAAATGTAAGAAGGTTATTTTGGGTAATATTGTAACTTATACAACGTGTACTCTAGCCAATCCTCTCTTATGGCTACTTTGTTAATTTCCATTTTTTTTATTGTTATTTGTTACAATTTCCCTTTAGGTTTAGTCAAAAAAAAAACATGCATGCCTAATTAAAGTGTACTGTGTACATTTTTTTTTTTAATTCCCAGAATGCAATCTGGAAATAAAAAATTTCGGATCGTATATTGCATATACTTTGGTTACTATGTCAGTTTTTATTTAAATCAGTATATATTAAAGTGTACTGTGTACATTCGATTTGGAGTAACGACCAACCAAACTAACATATTTGCATAGGACCAACTAGGTCCATTTCAGATCGGATAATGCCATAATTCATATACATGTTGATTACAATATAATATAACTATTATTTGGTTGGGACCAATACGAGGTTATAGGAAAACGTCCAAAAAGAGGATCGGATATTCATCCATGAAAAATGATGTGTGGCCCAAAAGACCCCACAAGATCACACCTACATTATCAACTTGAAGAAAAATATTCTACTCTTTCATTTAATTATTGATCTTCTAGTATTATGTGTTTCCCATTAGTCTTATTGTTCGTCTTTTGTTTTCTTGTTTTTCTTTGATTACAATTCTTCATCATTATTTTTGTCAGAGTTTTATTTTTCCATTAAAGCTTGTACTTATTATAGTCATATATTCAAATCACATAACAACAACGGTTAAAATATTAAACATGGGTGATACTATTTTGTATTTCACTTTTCATTTGCACCCTTCACAGTGAATTGAAACTCTCAACAAGTTGCATGTCTGCGCGAGTACAAAAATGCATATGTACTATTAGATTGATTCTAGCTATATCAGTATTGAATTTATTGACTAGTCAGCTCATACTTATTCACAGTTGACAAATCTAATTGACCATTTGCCATGAACAAAATTAAACAATTAGTTATAAGAAGAAGTTTTGGTTAGAAGAGAAGAGAAAGTGGACTCTTAATCGGAATTATCTAAACTAAACTAAATAATTAAGTAAAATGGTATGATCATGCGACGATTGATCATAGATGGCGAAGGCAAAATCTACAAGATCACACTTAAGAAACCAAATACTCATAGTCCTAGTAGTTCACTTTATCCGTTAAATAAATACGTGTTGATGTAGAATACTTATCCGTTAAAAACTTAAAACTAATAAATTATCTTGTTTTCCATTGTAGATATGTTAACTACAATTATTTAGGACACTTGTGGGAAGCTCATTTACTGTTCATAAGCCAATAATTTAACTATTACCCATTTCATTTTTATAGTCCCATAAATCATTTTGCTTTGTCTTCTAAAAAGATGTTGTACTTTTAAACTTTTTTAAATGAAATGATGACTTGTCAGTATTTAGTTTATTTAATTAATTTATCTTCTTTAAAAGTCCTTTAGATACATGGAAAATTGGAAAGTTCAACATCTTTGTAGTAGAAGGATGACACGCAAAATTTCTCAATAAATACAAACATCTAGCCGTTGCACTATATTTATTTTCAATACCAAAATTCTGTAGAAATGGTACTATATATGACTAAAAAGATTCTCAAAAAAGACTAAAAAGAAAGAAAAACTAAAGTGATGACGCATTAAACAGCTGTTGAGAACTACTCTAAGTCTCTAACTTCGCAACTCGCAAGTGTCAAAACGCGAACCCACTGAATTTGGTCTAAAACCATCCAACCAAATCCTTTATTATCTAAAACAATTAGGAAACAAAATACAAGGACTGCAAAAGCAAATTTCCTCTAATCCTCGTGGATTTGGACCATGGGCCTCTACTCGTTACCCATAGTCCAAAAAATAGGTTCAAGGCCCGCAAATGGATCTCCTTTTTTTGTTCAAATAAAACCTTTATTTTTTTTGTTTAAATAAAATATTTATTTGGTCAAAATCTGTAAACTGTAAAGTGTTCCATTTTACCCCTTAATCTTTATTTAAGGTTTGGTTTGGATCATCGATAATCTTTTTATAACTCTGTCGTCGAAGCTGTTCATAGGATTCGTAACATGCTTGCATTCAATCTGGTCAGTACCATTTAATATACCTTGGAAGAAATTCATAATTAATTGTTGAAATATCTGATCTCTGCTTTTTCTTTATTGGTTAGTTCCCAAAAAAAGTTAAATAATTTACTCTGTTTATCCATAGATGATTAGATTGTCACTTGTTTGTTAGTTATATAAAATTTTGGGGGTGTTTTGATTGATTTCGGGCTGATATATTCAATTACTCATATCCAAAATGCTGAAACTCAAAATTAAAATTCTGTAGACTATGAATCCATACACGGTCGCAAACATCAAAGTTGTCATCTTGAATATATTTTGATCTTTAGGTTTCTTTTTCTGAGCCCTTTTAAATTTGGTGGACTCGTTTTCAAAGATTAAGATTATGAGAATGTTTATGTGTTGGTGTGACATCTTATAGTACTGCTTATAATCTTGCGGGTAATATTATAGAATTGTTGCTTCGTGAAGATCATGAGGGTATAAGGAAAGATTCCTAAGAAGCCAGTCCTGAATTTGAGGCCATGCATGAGGTTGAAAAAGTGATAAGCCACATCAAAGTGACAATGCATGAACCGAACCCCCTACAAATGCAAATACAAAATGCGACCACTATCTTCGATTTAATTTCGGTTTAATCAGGTTTTTCGGGTTTCTTTTTATTAATTTGTTTTTTCCCCACATTTCAAAAGTCTACCATTGATTAAAACAAATCAGTGTGATCCATCGATTTTTGTCAATCTATCTAGGTTTATAAACTGGTTATATTATATACCGATTTGTTTTATAGAATATTTATATTGACTTTTTAATAGTACTAAATTAGTAATATTTGCTGTAAGTTTCAGGAAAAAAAAATAAAAAATTCACTTATTAGTTTTAGGTCTGTCTGTGATTATCAAAACAAAAACCTATAGCATTGAATTGCATTATTTAAACTTTGACGCAAACTACGAAGAGAAAGAAATATGTAGGGGCTTGAAAGAAATTATTCAAGAAATAGCTGGATATTAAAAATACAAGGCGAATGATTTCCAACCCAAAAACCATTCAAAAAGAAAAACAAAGCTAGCTAGGGTTTTCTCATCTGTTCCTCAAGGGTATGTATAACATGGGTATGTATCTCGAATCTGTTTCTCTAATCTCTAGGGTTTGTAAATTACTCTAATCGATCGATGAAAGCTCTGATTTTTGATTTGTTATCTCAGACTGGACTTGGTGGCTCGAAGATGCATACTTTCTGTACCCACCTGGAGATCCCGAGTGCTTGAAGTATCACTACATCACAAAAACCGCTGAAGACGAGCCTAAGCTCACAATAGAGCAAGAAACTGAATTGATGAACGAACAAATCGAGGAGAGCGAGGTTTTTTGTTTGTTTTGTTTATCTCAACTAATTTCATCAATCGTCAGTCCTTAAATAGTTTTGTATATATACTGAGTGTTGGTTCTATATGAACATGTTAGGGGTTCGATATTGATTTCTCCATGTTCCGCTCTCTATTCAACTACCATCTTGTTGATCCGGACGATCATGATTTCCTTGATGAGCCAGAAACCGATGGGGATTTGATGAAGAAGCTTTCTCAAGAATCCATTAAGCGCTACAATGAAGAATCGGTAAAAACATTTCATTTATGTCCACAATGATGTTCTTTAATTTGTGTGTAGACGTTTATGTTCTTGATCATGAAGAGATTGTATAGTATAATATGATGTGCTCTTCGTTTATATATGTCCCTGATTTGCGTTTGCATATTTGTATAGAGGCTTATGTTCTTGATGAAGAGCTTGTATAGTATATATAATATGGTGTGATCTTCGTTTTGTGCTCCTGATGTGCTTTTGTATACTTACGATGAATGTTCTTGTTTGAAACAGGAGACGAGATTTGAATTTGTGGAGGTTGTCAAAGCCAATTATCATTGTGCTGCTGGGTATATAATTCTCGTCACGTTTGATGTGTTGGATCCGTCCGATAACAAGAAGAAAACCTTCCAAGCTAGGATCTATTACTCTTCACATTACCCGACTGAATACGTCTTTGTTAGGCTGAAACCTAATAAAGAAGGTACTCTTTCTACAGATTTTTGGATATTTTTGGGTCATAGCAAAAGCATAAGTGTGTATTGATGGTTGTATTATTGTATATAGTTGTTATGTCTCTGTTTCTTGACAGTTAATTTATATGGATTGTTTTGTTAAGCTCGGAGAAAGATGTGAAAAAGGTTTAAGAAATGTGCATCTATAAGAGTCTTTATACTTCAGTGGATCATTTACTCAACGTTGATGTTAGAACCTTGGATTGATTTACTTCTTTTGTTGAAAATGGTTATGATTTCTGTTTCGTGACACTTGAATTGTGTGTTTTGGCAGGTCATTGTGATGGAATCTCGGAGGAAGATGTGAGTAAAGGTATATCAAATGTGCATCTCTAAGAAGTCTTAATGTTGATGGATCATATGCATGTGAGACTGTGAGTATACATTTTGATATGTCCAACTTCCAATGTGGGATATTATGTAATAATTATCAAGAATATTCACAAATTGTGTAGAAAAAGGTTTCGTCTAAGTATAGAGGCTTTGTCTGATAATATATAACCAATCTTATTATATAAAGTCCAAATCGAGTCAAAATATTTACATTTTAAATTTAACCGTGTAACAAGAACGGGACAGCGACATATAGTTGTGAGACTTAGTTTTTACATGAACGAGAGTTTCAAATCAAGTGAAAAAAAAACATATATTGTAAATGCTTAGCAAAAGATTTCTGAAGTGATCAATTCCATAATATCTGGTTAATGGTTTGACTGAGACTGATAAATCCAAAATGAGAACATTGCCTAAGAACATCCAATACTACCATTGTCTAGGCAAATGATCACTTGAATCCAAATTCATAACACTTGTTGCGTCTCATCACCATTCACTTTTCAGCATTAGACAGCTCTTGTGCCAACCTGAGGAAGTGAAACTGCCAAAACATGGCAATCCAAATAAGTAGCAAATATACTATAACTTAGTTTCAAACTTATCTATCTTAATTTCTAGCTTTCTTACGTGGTATTGTACTGATAAAAAAAGATGCTTAATTCCATCTCGTTATTGTTGAACTTTTATTTAACAAAATTAAGAGTTTCAACCAAAATAAAGTTTCAAACACTCCCGTAGAAAAGAGGCAAATGTGTAAATCATTCTACGCCATTTCCTACAAATAACTCTTGGGAAAGAAAAGAGTACCACTTTTCTCAGGTTTGAGCTCGCAGGAGTGGTACTTGTTTGGGCGATAAGAGTAATGGCAGACCTTAGCTCGGAAGTGATTTGGCTCATCGTCATCGGAAGGATCTTTACCTTGAAAGGTAATGAAATACATTGTGGAAGGAGTACCAGTTTCACACACACCACACACACACACAAAAAAACCATTCATAAAATGCAAAAATCTTGTATATAGATGAAAATCCAAACGAGAAAGCATATAGAAGAAATATTGGACGTTCTCTTCATTGTATCTCTCAAGGGAATCACGAGAGAGCCTGTCCATTAACTCTCCATGGGTCTCTGGTGGCATGACGTATTCTTTATCATCGAAATCAACTGGTTGGTAATTATAAATGTCTCGGAACTCCTTGAAATTGATGTCGAACCCCTATATACATAAACACAAGATTCTCAATATATCGGAACCCTAAAATGTAAACTGATTTCTAAAAAAAAAAAGTCTACAAATGAACATCAAAAAGTTTAGGAAAATCAAAACCTCGCTATCCTCGACTTGTTTATTTATGAGGCGTAACTCCTCTTCCAGCGTGAGATAAGGCCCTTTCCCGCAAGGATTTAACACATCTTCAGGTATATCCTCAGGCTCGCATCGCAATCGCATGTACACATGTAAGGTATCGGCGGCAGTCCAATCTTACACCGGAAATCGAAGTTAGGGTTTTGATACTGTTTATGTGTAGGTTCTTGATTAAGCTCGGAGTTGGATACGTACCTGGATCCCCAATGGCCATTGGAATCGCTCCTTTGCGTTTATCAACAAAAGAAAACCCAAACCCTAAGTTTTATTCTAATAACTGTATTATGGCTTTATCACTATGCTAAATGTTTCTTTTTTTTTTTTAATTATTAGTAAGAAACCAGACTTGAGGAAGTATGAGTGGGGTTTGGCTGGTGCTTGAGGTATATAGTGAGTGGGCCAAAAGAAATATGTCGAGGCACAAAATGTTATTATACATTTACTATATAGTGGTTATGATCTCTGTTTCTTGACATTATATTTATTTGAATTGTTTGTTTTGGCAGTTCATTGTGATGGAAGCTTGGAGAAAGATGTGAAAAAATTTATAAGAAATGTGCATCTATAAGTGTCGCTACTTTGATGGATCCTTTACTTTACGTTGATGTTAGATTCTTGGCTTGATTTGTGTTTCTTTTGTTGAAAATGGTTATGATCTCTGTTTCTTGACATTTGAATTGTTTGTTTTGGCAGTTCATGGTGATGAAAGGTATATAACATGTGCATCTATAAGAAGTGTTTTTGTTGATGTTAGAATCTTGGACTGATTTTTTTTCTTGTGTTAAAAATGGTTATGATCTCTGTTTCTTAACATTAAAATTATTTGAGAATGGTTAAAGATCATTTACTTTCCTCCGATAGCACATAGAAACGAATAGTTAAATGTTAAAATAACACCTAGATGAAATTAAAACCGGACTCTAAACAGCGTAGATTAAAAAGAGAATACCAAATCAAAATAAAATTTCAAGAGTTTTTCAAGAGAAAAAACATATTTCGCAAATGCTACGCAAAAGATTTCTGAACTGATCACAGATCATAATATCTGCTTAAAGAGAATATCCAATACTACCATTGTTGCGTCTCACCACCATTCACTTTTCAGCATTAGACAGCTCCCAGTGCCAACCTGAGGAAGTGAGGATATTAATTAATAAAAACACAACAAAAAAACATCAGCAAGATTAAGAAACAAAAGACTCATTATAAACATATACCTGCGTTTCTTGGCATCTTCTTTCTCCTCAGTTTCAATGAAGTGAACTGCCAAAACATGGCAATCCAAATAAGTAGCATATATTATAACATAAGTTTCAAAAGCTAATCTCAAGACCCATCTCCCGTAGATAAAGAGGCAAATCAAGTTAATCATTCTGGATAAACATTTGCCTCAAGAATCATTTTTTTGGAAAGAAAAGAATATCAAAAGAGCACCTTTTTTCTCAGGTTTGAGCTCGCAGGAGTGGTACATGTTCGGTTCATAACAGAAATAGCAGACCTTTGCTCGGAACTCTTTTGGCTCATCATCAGAAGAAGCTTTACCTTGAAAGGTAATGAAATACATTACAGCAGGACAACCAGTTTCATGAAGATTGCCTTTGATAAACTTGACAAATTCAAAATCTGTATCCTGTTTTACACAAACAAAAAAACCCATTCATAAAAATGCAAAAATCTTGTATATAGATGAAAATCCAAACGAGAAAGCATAAAGAAGAAATATTCGACGTTCTCTTGATTGTATCTCTCAAGGGATTCACGAGAGAGCCTGTCCATTAACGTTCTAGTCGTATCTGGTGGCATGACGTAGCCGTTATCATAAAAATCAAGTGGTAGGTAATTAAAAATGCATCCGAACTCCTTGAAATTGATGTCGAACCCCTATATACATAAACACAAGATTCTCAATATCGAACCCTAATATAATATTAATCGACAAAATGAACATGAAAATGAAAACCTGGCTTTCTTCGACTTGTTCCGTCATGCGGCGTAACTCCTCTTCCGGCGTGAGATAAGGCTCTTCATCCTCGTTGCGTATGCACGGAAGTAACTGTAGGACCGCCAAAATCCAGATTGAAAAATACGAATAGAAATCTTATAATATAGATATTATATAGTAGGAAAAACGATTAGAAATAAACGAATTACGCAGAAGCGAGATTTGATCTCTTTCCTTAACTCAATAAATCTCCCGCAGTGTGGCGATTTTGTTGAGACTTTTGAATCCCAGGATACAACTGCGTGAGACTATAGTTGCAACACCCAACACTACAAGAAAACAGGCCTTTTGCAACGGAGCAAAACATTGTTAATTCGTTGGTAATCGACCACAGCATCGTATTTACGTCGAATTCCAAATCGTTGGTAAGCGGTCGACGTTAATGAAATTTCGTCGCAAATTCGTCGTTCAGTAGCGAGAAAACAAAATTCGTCGTTATTTCGTCGTTAATCAGCAAGGAACATATTCGTTGTTACTTCGTCGTTAATGAGGGAGGAATATATTCGTCGTAAAGCCGTCGTTATAGTTGCGACGGACTTACAAGGAAAAGAGAAGACGTCGGTAACATGTCGTCGTTAAATCGACTGAAATTTACCGACAATATCCCATCGAATATAAGACGGCTATGGGCATACAGTAAAATCAGAATTCGTTGTTAATTTGTCGCAAAGGTTACAACAGATTTACAACGAAAGTTGAATTCGTGGGTGACAATTCGTCGTAAAAGCCTCGCAAAATTAACGTCGAGACAACGTCGGATTAAGCCCGGAATTGCATGGACCAGAAAACCCACGAATTCGTTGTAAATCCGACGGTTAACTTCGTCGTTGTTTTGTCGCCAAGTTAACGTCGATTTAACGAGGGATGTCACAATTTTGACATTTTTTTTCTCCGTCGAATTTACGTCGCTTATATAATTTGTTTAAAAAAAAAGAAATAATACAATAATTAAAATTATCCGAAAACATCATACAAAATATTAAAATTAGCCGAAAATATCATACAAAATATTAAAATTATCCGAAAATATCATACAAAATATTAAAATTAACCGAAAATATCATACAAAATATTAAAATATTATACATTTATTCAAAAGGCGGGAGGTCTCCTGCCTCACGAGCTGCCTGAGCTGCAATGTCCGCCGTTCGTTGTTGCTCTGCTGTAAGCTCCTCTTCCTCTGCTGCTCCGGCTGCTGAACTCGTAACTCCGGCTGTAGCAGCTTCCCGACGTCGTCTCTTGTTTGACATGACTGCTGCAATGTCGGGGTGGTGCGTAGCAATGATGCTAAAAATAACATCATTCTCTGAGTTCTCAATTTCCATAGTCTCCTCAAGTCTTGAGATCTTGGCTCGCAGTTGGACCGGATCATCCTCGGGACCTCGATACCGCGGAGCAAATGACGAAGCAATCGGGACTTGGCGGATTGAACCCAACCCAATCACTTTCCCCTTGTTCTTCGGGGCAACCTACATTTTATAATTATTAAATATTATGTTAATATAAATAAATATATATATAGAATAGATATGTAATGATATATATATTATTACCTGCTCATAGATGCGGTCGATCGTGGGAGTTCCCAATTCCACCGGATGTTGAGTACCGCCCGGGGATAACTGTTGAGATAGTTGTGTTTGCTCCTCCAAAACTCTAGCAGTGAGGTCGTTGTGGATTTCCTCGGCTCTCGGGGTTACGAAGGTCCCGTCTTTCCTAGTATGGGTGTCCTGAAAAAGAGCCGTCAATGGAGGGAGCACACCTCCGTTCTTTGCAGCCTATATATAAATTGAAAATATATATTGTATAGTTAGATATTTTAGTAGTTAATCAATTAAAAGTAGGTATTAATAGGATGTAATATTAATAATAAGAGCAAAGAAACTACCATATCTAAACGTCTTCCCGCGAAAGGTGTCTGGCCAGCTGTGTGAGGAATGGAGATAGGTTTGCCATCTGGACCAACAGTCAACCGCGCAGCTATAGAATCTGCAAACTAAATATCTACGCTATATTCTCGAGACTTACTTTTAGAGAAGAAGGGAAGAGATGTGAGAGATTTGCTGGAGTGTTTGATTTTTGAATGAATGAATAATGAGAGGGGTGAGGCCCTTTATTTATAGGTGATAGGAGACTTGTTCTCCAAGGAGGGAATATCCTTTTTTGATGTTTATCAAAAAAGATAAGGAATAATTTCATTAAAGTATAATGAATAATTCCATTAAGGGATAAGGAAGAATTTCATTATTCCATTAAGGGATAAAAAAGAATTCCATTATTAATTTTCGTGTTTATCAAACTGCAGGTTCTTTACCATAGTGCAATCCATAACTTTTAATGTGTCTCACATAATTTAACACTCTTGTTATGGCTTTCCAGTGTGTATGACGAGGATTGTTTGTGTAGCGGCTTAATACATTCACTGCATGCGCTAAGTCAGGCCTGGTACAATTGGTTAAGTACATTAGACTTCAACTTGTGACACTCCTTCACCAACTCTGCCAAGCAACATATCCGCAGCGCTTACGCCTGACAAATTCGATGGCACGAATTTCAAGCAGTGGCAGCAGAAGATGCACTTCATCCTAACCACGCTGAATCTGGTAAAGTGTCTCGTTGAGACAAAACCTGAGGTGCCTGCTGAACAAGAGGCAAACCCAGATCCACGAGTTCATATGACTTTGGAGAATTGGGTGCAAGGAGATTTCCTTTGCAGAGGTTACATTCATAGTCGCCTAGTGGATCAACTGTTCAATGTGTACAGTGAGGTCAAATCATCCAAGGAGCTGTGGGAAGACCTTGATAGGAAGTACAAGACGTTCAATGTGGGCTCAGGAAAGTTTGCTACTGCAAAATTTCTCAACTTGCGTCATGGTGGACTCAAAACCAATCATGGACCAAGTGCATGACCTGCAGATGATACTCCAAGAGATATCAGATGAAGAAATGAAGATCTGTGAAACCTTCACAGTGAATTGCTTCATTGAGAAGCTTCCCCCTGGTTGGGCGGACTTCAAGAACTATTTTGCATTTAAGCAGAAGGCTTTGACTTTGGCGAACTTGATTTCTAGGCTGCAGAATGAGTCACTGAAGCGTGAAAAAGCTGAAATAGTTCAAACTCATGATGCGAATGTGGCTGAATTTCGCAACAAACCGAAAGACAGGTTTAACCCTAACAAGGGTGCGCTCAACAAGGTTGCTAGTCAGGCTTCCACGGGCTTTAAGACTGTAGGACCGTGAAAATCCAGAGTTTTTAGTCAAGTGCAATTGCGTATCCACTGGAGTTTTCGCAGTTCCATTCGAATACTTCTTGAACCGCTCAAGTATCTTTTCAGCATAATGCTCCTGAGATAAGGTGATTCCCTCAGAAGTCCTTGTGATCTTAATACCAAGAATAACGTCCGCAAGACCCATGTCTTTCATGTCAAACTGACTCTTAAGCATGTTCTTGGTTTGTTGGATTATATCCTTGTTACTGCCCATGATGAGCATGTCGTCAACATATAAGCACAGCAAAACGTACCCACTGGGAGTGTTCTTGACGTAAATGCATTTGTCACATTCATTGATGCTGAATCCATTTGACATCATCACGTGGTCAAATTTTTCATGCCATTGCTTTGGAGCTTGTTTCAGTCCATACAGCGATTTCACAAGTTTACAAACTTTGTGTTCTTGACCTGGTGTCACAAAACCTTCAGGTTGTTTCATGTAGATTTCCTCTTCTAAATCACCATTAAGGAAAGCTGTTTTACATCCATCTGATGGATTTCCAGGTCTCTCAAAGATGCAATAGCTATCAATATTCTGATTGAAGTTATTCTCGTCACTGGAGAATAAGTGTCAAAGAAGTCTAGACCTTCAACTTGTCTGAATCCTTGCACCACAAGTCTTGCCTTGTACTTATCAATAGCTCCATCAGTTTTGATCTTCGTTTTGAAGATCCATCTACACCCTAGTGCTTTAAACCCTGGAGGTAAATCAGTGATTATGTAAGTATGGTTCTGCAGAATAGAATCCATTTCACTGTTTACAGCTTCTTTCCATAAGTCTGCTTCTGGTGTAGACATGGCTTCAGAATATGTCCTTGGCTCATTCTCACAGAGAAATACCACTAAGTATTCATCACCAAATGATTTTTCCTTACGAGCTCTCTTGCTACGCCTAGGTTCAACCTCATTTTCTTCTGCTTCATTTACTGAAGTACCAGATGTACTAGCCTCATCATTTGCAGGCACAATTGCGTCATGAGTTCGCTTCAGCTTCTGTCTATCTTTACATGGAAAGATATTCTCAAAGAATGACACATTCCTTGATTCAATAATTGTATTTGCATGGATATCTGGTATATCTGACTTGTGCACCAGAAACCGATAAGCACTACTGTTGTGCGCATATCCAATGAAAATACAGTCCACTGTTTTAGGCCCAATCGAAACCTTCTTAGGAGGTGGTACTTGAACTTTTGCTAAGCACCCCCACACTTTCAAGTATTTGTAAGAAGGTTCTGAACCTTTCCATCCAGATACATCCACTTTTTTTCTGATACATTTTGCTTAATTGCTTATAATATGGGACAGAAGGAATATGATTTACAGAAGCGAAATATCAAATTTGCCTATAAAAAATTACAACAGCCCGTGTTTCCCAAGCATAAGTCAAAGACCTAGTATTTATTTAATTTGGTGGTCTAAGTCATAAGTTTTACCAACTTTATAGATAGGCTTAGTATTCCCCCTTTGTATTCTACCCTTGCTGTAAAGATTTCAACAGAAAAAAAAGTCAATTAATGATAAACTATAGATAAACAACAATAATTAGTAAGCCGATGTTCAATAAAAGAAAAAGAAAAAGAAAAACATCAATAAGTAAGCACAATCATGACTTAGGTTTCTTGGACTAGAAGCGATCATCAGACCAACCTTCCAAGCTAGGATCTATTACTCTTCATGTTACCCGACTGAATACGTCTTTATTAGACCGAAACCTGATCCAGAAGGTCCTCTTTTACAGATTTTTGGGTAATTGGGTCATAGCAAAATCATATAGTGGTTATGATCTTTGTTTCATTGTAGAGTATATTTGCCTCTCTCTTGTTAAGAGATGGTGGTTGTGTATATACTATATAGTGGTTATGATCTCTGTTTCTTGACATTTTATTTATTTGGATTGTTTGTTTTGGCAGTTCATTGTGATGGAAGATTGGAGAAAGATGTGAAAAAGAAGGTATAAGAAATGTGCATCTATAAGTGTCGTTACTTTGATGGATCATTTACTTTACGTTGATGTTAGATTCTTGGCTTGATTTGTGTTTCTTCTGCTGAAAATGGTTATGATCTCTGTTTCTTGACATTTGAATTATTTGGATTGGCAGTTCAATGGAGAAAGATGTGACGAAAGGTATCTAAAATGAGCATCTATAAGAAGTCTTATTAGTGTTAGAGTCTTGGACTAATTTTTTTCTTGTGTTGAAAATGATTATGATCTCTGTTTCTTAACATCAAAATGATTTGAAAATGGTGAATGATCATTTACTTTACTCCGATAGCACACGGAAACGAATAGTTAAAACAACACCTAAATGAAAACCTGACTCGAAACAGTAGATTAAAAAGAGAATAACAAACCAAAATAAAATTTAACGAATTTTTCAAAAATGAAAAAAAAAAAACATAATTTGTAAATGCTTAGCAAAAGATTTCTGAACTAATCAATTCCATAAAATCTGGTTAATGGTCTGAAGAAAACATAAATCCAAAATGAGAACGTTGCCTAAGGATATCCAGTATTGTAAGTAACACAAAATGATCGGTTGACACAAAGAATATTATCAAGTAACACACTTGTTGCGTCTCATCACCACCATTCACTTTCCAGCATTAGACAGCTCCTCTGCCAACCTGAGGAAATGAAGATATTAATAAATGAAAAAACAACAAAAAAATATCAGCTAGCAAGATTAGAAACAAAAGACACATTTCGATATACCTGCGTTTCTTGGCATATTCTTGCTCCTCAGTTTCAATGAAGTGAACTGCCAAAACAATTAGTAGCAAAATATTATAACTTGGTTTCAAACTGATCTCAAGACCCATCTCCCGTAGACAAAAGAGGCAAATGTGTAAATCATTCTACGCCATTGCCTACAATAACTCGTGGGAAAGAAAAGAGTACCATTTTTCACAGGTTTGAGCTCGCAGGAGTGGTACTTGTTTGGGGAATAAGAGAAATGGCAGACTTTTGCTCGGAAGTCTTTTGGCTCATCGTCATCGGAAGGATCTTTACCTTGAAAGGTAATGAAATACATTGTGGCAGGAATACCAGTTTCGTGATAATTGGCTTTGAAAACCTTCACAAGCTCGAAACGTGTACCCTGTTGTTTTAATCAAAACAATATAAAATGCAAAAATCTTGTATATAGATGAAAATCCAAACGAGAAAGAATAAAGAAGAAATATTCGACCTTCCTTTCATTGTATATCTCAAGGGAATCACGAGAGAGCCTGTCCATTAACTCTCCATGGGTCTCTGGTGGCATGACGTATTCTTTATCATCGAAATCAACTGGTTGGTAATTATAAATGTCTCGGAACTCCTTGAAATTGATGTCGAAACCCTATATACATAAACACAAGATTCTCAATATATCGGAACCCTAAAATGCATACAGAATTGATTTCTAAAAACAAAAAGTCTACAAAAATGAAGATCAAAAAGTTTAGGAAAATCAAAACCTCGCTATCCTCGACTTGTTTATTTATGAGGCGTAACTCCTCTTCAAGCGAGAGATAAGGCCCTTTGCCGAAAGGATTTAACACATCTTCAGGTATATCCTCAGGCTCGCATCGCAATCGCATGAACACATGTAAGGTATCGGCGGCAGTCCAATCTGACACCGGAAATCGAAATTAGGGTTTTGATACTATTTTATGCGTAGATACTTGATGAAGTTCAGAGTTGGATACGTACCTGGGGCACCTGGCTCCCCCATTGGAATCACTCCTTTGCGTTTATCAACAAAAGAAGAACACAAACCCTAAATTTTGTTCTAACTATTATAGTATTATGGCTTTTTCACTATGCTAAATGTTTTATTTATTTATTATTATTAGTAAGAAACCAGACTTGAGGAAGTGTGAGTGGGTTTGGCTGGTGCTTGAGGTATATAGTGAGTGGGCCAAAAGAAATATGTCGAGGCACAAAATGTTATTATACATTTACTATATAGTGGTTATGATCTCTGTTACTTGACATTATATTTATTTGAATTGTTTGTTTTGGCAGTTCATTGTGATGGAAGCTTGGAGAAAGATGTGAAAAAAGTTATAAGAAATGTGCATCTATAAGTGTCGCTACTTTGATGGATCCTTTACTTTACGTTGATGTTAGATTATTGGCTTGATTTGTGTTTCTTTTGTTGAAAATGGTTATGATCTCTGTTTCTTGACATTAGAAATGTTTATTTTGGCAGTTCATGGTGATGAAAGGTATAAAATGTGCATCTATAAGAAGTGTTTTTGTTGATGTTACAATCTTGGACTGATTTTTTTTCTTGTGTTGAAAATGGTTATGATCTCTGTTTCTTAACAATTAAATTATTTGAGAATGGTTAATGATCATTTACTTTACTCAGATAGCGCACAGAAACGAATAGTTAAAAGTTAAAATAAACTCTAGATGAAATTAAAACCGGACTCTAAACAGCGTAGATTAAAAAAGAGAATACCAAATCAAAATAACATTTCAAGAGAAAAAAACATATTTTGCAAATGCTACGCAAAAGATTTCTGAACTGATCACAGATCAAAATATCTGGTTAAAGAGAATATCCAATACTACCATTGTTGCGTCTCATCACCATTCACTTTTCAGCATTAGACAGCTCCTGTGCCAACCTGAGGAAGTGAGGATATTAATTAATAAAAACACCAAAAAAAAAAAACAAAGCAAAGATTAAGAAACAAAAGACTCATTATAAACATATACCTGCGTTTCTTGGCATCTTCTTTCTCCTCAGTTTCAATGAAGTGAACTGCCAAAACATGGCAATCCAAATAAGTAGCATATATTATAACATAAGTTTCAAAAACTAATCTCAAGACCCATCTCCCGTAGACAAAGAGGCAAATCATGTAAATCATTCTGGATAAACATTTGGGAAAGAAAAGACTATCAAAAGAGTACCTTTTTTCTCAGATTTGAGCTCGCAGGAGTGGTACAAGTTCGGTTCATGAGCGAAATAGCAGACCTTTGCTCGGAACTCTTTTGGCTCATCATCAGAAGGAGCTTTACCTTGAAAGGTAATGTAATACATTGTGGCAGGACAACCAGTTTCGTGAAGATTGCCTTTGATAAACTTGACAAATTCAAAATCTGTACCCTGTTTTACACACACACACACAAAGCAAAACCAAAACCATTCATAAAAATGCAAAAATATTGTATATAGAGGAAAATCCAAACGAGAAAGCATATAGAAGTAATATTCGACCTTCTCTTTATTGTATTTCTCAAGGGATTTACGAGAGAGCCTGTCCATTAACGTTCTAGTCGTCTCTGGTGGCTTGACGTAGCCGTTATCATCAAAATCAACTGGTAGGTAATTAAAAATGCATCGGAACTCCTTGAAATTGATGTCGAACCCCTATATACACATAAACACAAGATTCTCAATATCAGATGTCAACACAAGATTCGCAGTACTATAACCCATATCTATCAATACCCAGACTATCAACTGGTAGATAATTCACAAGATTCGCAGTAAAACAAATCGACAAATGAACATGAAAAGTTAATCAAAACGAAAACCTGGCTTTCTTCGACTTGTTCCGTCATGCGGCGTAACTCCTCTTCCGGCGTGAGATAAGGCTCTTCATCCTCGTTGCGCCTTATGCACGGGAGTAACGCATCCTTAGGTTCGGAACCAGCCTCGTGTTCTATAAACACATGTCCGTTATCAATAGTCCAATCTGCACCGGAAATCGAAATTAGGGATTTGATCCGTCGATCGGCACTATTTTTTCACGTAGATTCTTAATCTCAGAGTTAGATACGTACCTCGAAACATCGCTCCGTTGCGTTTATCAACAAAAGAAGAACCCTAACCCTTAATTTTGGTTCGGCCCTCGTTTTAATCAACTAACAGACCCTCTCTGGAAACGAAGATGATGAGATCTAGATATTCCCCGAAATCAAAAAGTTTGGCGTTCGCCCTAATTTCGTTTTTCTCTCTCAAGTCTAGCGCCGCTTCCCTTTTTTCAGATCTGGAGATCGGTGGCCGGTGGCTTCCAAAGCACAGTCGCCGGTCTCTCCTTTCTTTCTTCCTTCTTTCTCCCTCTCTTCTCCTCCGTCGCTCTGCTCGTGGAGGTTGTTTATTTGGCTTTTGCTTTGGCTTCGCCTCTGGGCTCTATCGTTTGTTTGTGCAGTCGCGGCGGACCGGTCGGCCGATCTCTCGTGGTCCGGCTCAATAGAGCGACGGAGCGGTTCTGCCGATTCACCACAGAGCTCTGTTTGGCTGGTCGCTCCCTCCGGTGTTCTAGTTCACGAGTTTGGGTTTTAGCTTTCGAGGGTTTTGGTGCTTCTACTGCTCTCCGATCCATCTGCAGTTCTTTGGCCTTGATTTCGGGACGCTATTGTGAAAAGTTATTGCTGTGGAGGTATCTGCTAGGCTTTCTCTCCTTTTGGGATTGGGTTCTTTGACGATGCAGCGGTTTCGATCTTCAAGTCTTCTCTTGCGAGGAGGTGGGAGTCTCTGTTCTGTAGGTCGCAGAGGCTGGTATTCACAGTGTCCGTGTGTAAGAGTTGTTGATCTTCTTGGCGTTTTTCCCAGGTGGCTTTCTTTTCCTGCGGGTTTTGGAGCTTTTGTTGTTGTGCTGGTCTTTTTCTGCTTTTCTTCAGTTGGCAGTAGTTTCTAGTCTTGCGGTTGGTGAGATCCTCTGTTCTTTGTTTGCGCTTGTGGTGCGCTTGTTTCGGCAGTTTGTTTACTGCTTTGGGCTTGGAGTATTGGTTTGGGTGTACTCAAGCTTCCTTGGTCAGTTTTGGGGATCATTAATCTTCAGGTCAGATTTAGCACCTCTCTCTCTATCTAAGTTCCCTTCTCGTTTAATTATCGTCTTGCCTCCCTTGTTTGGGCTTGTGTCTCCTAATTTATTTAGGCTAATGTTTCCCTTTGTGGGATTTGCTCCGGGGATTTCTCTTTGTTCCGCCGGCCTTGTAACTCTTGTTTGGTTTCTTCCTTCGTTGTAAGGTTAATAAATCTTTAGATGAAAAAAAAAAAAGATATTCCCCGATTTAATAGTACTGCGATCCCTGTAGTTTTTGTATACTTCAAATTTGGTCTCATAGTTTGTTTTGACAATAATACCCCTGCGATTTGTACTCCATTTCTTAATCTGAATTTGGACTTGTTTATTTGGTGTGTGATGATGTTTAAAGAGGAAATTTGGATCAATATTACCTAAATTAATCATATTTTGAAAACTAATCCTTTTAAAATTTGTTGGAAAATTAATCTTCTAATATTCAAAATTACTAAAATACCCTCAGTTTTTTAGATATTAAAATTATTTTAAAATTCGTTTATCAAATTTAAAAATTATTTAAATTGTAAAAAACAAATATGTTATTCTAAAAATAATTCCAAACAATTATTTTTATTTTATATAACAAAAAAAAAGAGAAGAAAAAAAACTTGTGGGAGATTTCCCATAAAATCTCCAACAAAAAACAAAAAAATACTTAGAAGATCTTATTTGAAATTTAACATCTCATAAATATAGAATATGAGTTAACTTTAACACATTTCATCATCTTTTTTTGTGAGAATGAATGAGTTTTTCTTTGTTCTAAAATGATATTTATGTGTATCTATTTATAAAGTTTGATTCATATCTTATTATATAAAGCTGGATGCGCGCAACGTGGTTGCGACACGTAAGATTTTTATAAAATTCAGGATCGTGACATGTGTCACTTTTAATGTTATATCCGTCAAGATCGTGACACGTGTATTAGGGGAAAAAATAAAATTTTAATAATTTCTAGAAAAAGTATATTTAAAAAAACAAAATTTAATCTATTATATTAAAAAAACAAAATTTAATCTATTATATTAACATGGAAAAAATAATATTTGTCATATCTTAACAGAAAAAGGTTTTCTATTCAACAAATTTATATTATCCAAACACATATAATTTTCTAAATCCTATTTAGTACATAGAATAGGTATTTAAACTAAAAATCCTATAGCAGCATGGAATATGTTATATGAACACCTATAAATACAAAGTTACAGTAGTCTTTTTTTTTTTTCTCATTCACAAACTCATCCAAGCAAAGTCATCAAATTTCTCTGATTCTCTTTCTCTAATTTAAAAATCATATTTTTGAAAGTTTTACGATACATAAGATTTTTATAACTGACAAAATTGCAACATGTGTTTTAGAAAATTCTGGATAAACATTTGCCTCAAGAATCATTTTTTTGGAAAGAAAATACTATCAAAAGAGTACCTTTTTCTCAGGTTTGAGCTCGCAGGAGTGGTACATGTTCGGTTCATAACAGAAATAGCAGACCTTTGCTCGGAACTCTTTTGGCTCATCATCAGAAGAAGCTTTACCTTGAAAGGTAATGAAATACATTACAGCAGGACAACCAGTTTCATGAAGATTGCCTTTGATAAACTTGACAAATTCAAAATCTGTATCCTGTTTTACACAAACAAAAAAACCCATTCATAAAAATGCAAAAATCTTGTATATAGATGAAAATCCAAACGAGAAAGCATAAAGAAGAAATATTCGACGTTCTCTTGATTGTATCTCTCAAGGGATTCACGAGAGAGCCTGTTCATTAACGTTCTAGTCGTATCTGGTGGCATGACGTAGCCCTTATCATAAAAATCAACTGGTAGGTAATTAAAAATGCATCCGAACTCCTTGAAATTGATGTCGAACCCCTATATACATAAACACAAGATTCTCAATATCGAACCCTAATATAATATTAATCGACAAAATGAACATGAAAATGAAAACCTGGCTTTCTTCGACTTGTTCCGTCATGCGGCGTAACTCCTCTTCCGGCGTGAGATAAGGCTCTTCATCCTCGTTGCGTATGCACGGAAGTAACTGTAGGACCACCAAAATCCAGATTGAAAAATACGAATAGAAATCTTATAATATAGATATTATATAGTAGGAAAAACGATTAGAAATAAACGAATTACGCAGAAGCGAGATTTGATCTCTTTCCTTAACTCAATAAATCTCCCGCAGTGTGGCGGTTTTGTTGAGACTTTTGAATCCCAGGATACAACTGCGTGAGACTATAGTTGGAACACCCAACTATAGAATCTGCGAACTAAATATCTACGCTATACTCTCGAGACTTACTTTTAGAGAAGAAGGGAAGAGATGTGAGAGATTTGCTGGAGTGTTTGATTTTTGAATGAATGAATAATGAGAGGGGTGAGGCCCTTTATTTATAGGTGATAGGAGACTTGTTCTCCAAGGAGGGAATATCCTTTTTTGATGTTTATCAAAAAAGATAAGGAATAATTTCATTAAGGTATAATGAATAATTCCATTAAGGGATAAGGAAGAATTTCATTATTCCATTAAGGGATAAAGAAGAATTCCATTATTAATTTTCGTGTTTATCAAACTGCAGGTTCTTTACCATAGTGCAATCCATAACTTTTAATGTGTCTCACATAATTTAACACTCTTGTTATGGCTTTCCAGTGTGTATGACGAGGATTGTTTGTGTAGCGGCTTAATACATTCACTGCATGCGCTAAGTCAGGCCTGGTACAATTGGTTAAGTACATTAGACTTCAACTTGTGACACTCCTTCACCAACTCTGCCAAGCAACATATCCGCAGCGCTTACGCCTGACAAATTCAATGGCACGAATTTCAAGCAGTGGCAGCAGAAGATGCACTTCATCCTAACCACGCTGAATCTGGTAAAGTGTCTCGTTGAGTCAAAACCTGAGGTGTCTGCTGAACAAGAGGCAAACCCAGATCCACGAGTTCATATGACTTTGGAGAATTGGGTGCAAGGAGATTTCCTTTGCAGAGGTTACATTCATAGTCGCCTAGTGGATCAACTGTTCAATGTGTACAGTGAGGTCAAATCATCCAAGGAGCTGTGGGAAGACCTTGATAGGAAGTACAAGACGTTCAATGTGGGCTCAGGAAAGTTTGCTACTGCAAAATTTCTCAACTTGCGTCATGGTGGACTCAAAACCAATCATGGACCAAGTGCATGACCTGCAGATGATACTCCAAGAGATATCAGATGAAGAAATGAAGATCTGTGAAACCTTCACAGTGAATTGCTTCATTGAGAAGCTTCCCCCTGGTTGGGCGGACTTCAAGAACTATTTTGCATTTAAGCAGAAGGCTTTGACTTTGGCGAACTTGATTTCTAGGCTGCAGAATGAGTCACTGAAGCGTGAAAAAGCTGAAATAGTTCAAACTCATGATGCGAATGTGGCTGAATTTCGCAACAAACCGAAAGACAGGTTTAACCCTAACAAGGGTGCGCTCAACAAGGTTGCTAGTCAGGCTTCCACGGGCTTTAAGACTGTAGGACCGTGAAAATCCAGAGTTTTTAGTCAAGTGCAATTGTGTATCCACTGGAGTTTTCGCAGTTCCATTCGAATACTTCTTGAACCGCTCAAGTATCTTTTCAGCATAATGCTCCTGAGATAAGGTGATTCCCTCAGAAGTCCTTGTGATCTTAATACCAAGAATAACGTCCGCAAGACCCATGTCTTTCATGTCAAACTGACTCTTAAGCATGTTCTTGGTTTGTTGGATTATATCCTTGTTACTGCCCATGATGAGCATGTCGTCAACATATAAGCACAGCAAAACGTACCCACTGGGAGTGTTCTTGACGTAAATGCATTTGTCACATTCATTGATGCTGAATCCATTTGACATCATCACGTGGTCAAATTTTTCATGCCATTGCTTTGGAGCTTGTTTCAGTCCATACAGCGATTTCACAAGTTTACAAACTTTGTGTTCTTGACCTGGTGTCACAAAACCTTCAGGTTGTTTCATGTAGATTTCCTCTTCTAAATCACCATTAAGGAAAGCTGTTTTACATCCATCTGATGGATTTCCAGGTCTCTCAAAGATGCAATAGCTATCAATATTCTGATTGAAGTTATTCTCGTCACTGGAGAATAAGTGTCAAAGAAGTCTAGACCTTCAACTTGTCTGAATCCTTGCACCACAAGTCTTGCCTTGTACTTATCAATAGCTCCATCAGTTTTGATCTTCGTTTTGAAGATCCATCTACACCCTAGTGCTTTAAACCCTGGAGGTAAATCAGTGATTATGTAAGTATGGTTCTGCAGAATAGAATCCATTTCACTGTTTACAGCTTCTTTCCATAAGTCTGCTTCTGGTGTAGACATGGCTTCAGAATATGTCCTTGGCTCATTCTCACAGAGAAATACCACTAAGTATTCATCACCAAATGATTTTTCCTTACGAGCTCTCTTGCTACGCCTAGGTTCAACCTCATTTTCTTCTGCTTCATTTACTGAAGTACCAGATGTACTAGCCTCATCATTTGCAGGCACAATTGCGTCATGAGTTCGCTTCAGCTTCTGTCTATCTTTACATGGAAAGATATTCTCAAAGAATGACACATTCCTTGATTCAATAATTGTATTTGCATGGATATCTGGTATATCTGACTTGTGCACCAGAAACCGATAAGCACTACTGTTGTGCGCATATCCAATGAAAATACAGTCCACTGTTTTAGGCCCAATCGAAACCTTCTTAGGAGGTGGTACTTGAACTTTTGCTAAGCACCCCCACACTTTCAAGTATTTGTAAGAAGGTTCTGAACCTTTCCATCCAGATACATCCACTTTTTTTCTGATACATTTTGCTTAATTGCTTATAATATGGGACAGAAGGAATATGATTTACAGAAGCGAAATATCAAATTTGCCTATAAAAAATTACAACAGCCCGTGTTTCCCAAGCATGAGTCAAGACCTAGTATTTATTTAATTTGGTGGTCTAAGTCATAAGTTTTACCAACTTTATAGATAGGCTTACTATTCCCCCTTTGTATTCTACCCTTGCTGTAAAGATTTCAACCGAAAAAAAAAGTCAATTAATGATAAACTATAGATAAACAACAATAATTAGTAAGCCGATGTTCAATAAAAGAAAAAGAAAAAGAAAAACATCAATAAGTAAGCACAATCATGACTTAGGTTTCTTGGACTAGAAGCGATCATCAGACCAACCTTCCAAGCTAGGATCTATTACTCTTCATGTTACCCGACTGAATACGTCTTTATTAGACCGAAACCTGATCCAGAAGGTCCTCTTTTACAGATTTTTGGGTAATTGGGTCATAGCAAAATCATATAGTGGTTATGATCTTTGTTTCATTGTAGAGTATATTTGCCTCTCTCTTGTTAAGAGATGGTGGTTGTGTATATACTATATAGTGGTTATGATCTCTGTTTCTTGACATTTTATTTATTTGGATTGTTTGTTTTGGCAGTTCATTGTGATGGAAGATTGGAGAAAGATGTGAAAAAGAAGGTATAAGAAATGTGCATCTATAAGTGTCGTTACTTTGATGGATCATTTACTTTACGTTGATGTTAGATTCTTGGCTTGATTTGTGTTTCTTCTGCTGAAAATGGTTATGATCTCTGTTTCTTGACATTTGAATTATTTGGATTGGCAGTTCAATGGAGAAAGATGTGACGAAAGGTATCTAAAATGAGCATCTATAAGAAGTCTTATTAGTGTTAGAGTCTTGGACTAATTTTTTTCTTGTGTTGAAAATGATTATGATCTCTGTTTCTTAACATCAAAATGATTTGAAAATGGTGATGATCATTTACTTTACTCCGATAGCACACGGAAACGAATAGTTAAAACAACACCTAAATGAAAACCTGACTCGAAACAGTAGATTAAAAAGAGAATAACAAACCAAAATAAAATTTAACGAATTTTTCAAAAATGAAAAAAAAAAAACATAATTTGTAAATGCTTAGCAAAAGATTTCTGAACTAATCAATTCCATAAAATCTGGTTAATGGTCTGAAGAAAACATAAATCCAAAATGAGAACGTTGCCTAAGGATATCCAGTATTGTAAGTAACACAAAATGATCGGTTGACACAAAGAATATTATCAAGTAACACACTTGTTGCGTCTCATCACCACCATTCACTTTCCAGCATTAGACAGCTCCTCTGCCAACCTGAGGAAATGAAGATATTAATAAATGAAAAAACAACAAAAAAATATCAGCTAGCAAGATTAGAAACAAAAGACACATTTCGATATACCTGCGTTTCTTGGCATATTCTTGCTCCTCAGTTTCAATGAAGTGAACTGCCAAAACAATTAGTAGCAAAATATTATAACTTGGTTTCAAACTGATCTCAAGACCCATCTCCCGTAGACAAAAGAGGCAAATGTGTAAATCATTCTACGCCATTGCCTACAATAACTCGTGGGAAAGAAAAGAGTACCATTTTTCTCAGGTTTGAGCTCGCAGGAGTGGTACTTGTTTGGGCGATTACAGAAATGGCAGACCTTTGCTCGGAAGTCTTTTGGCTCATCGTCATCGGAAGGATCTTTACCTTGAAAGGTAATGAAATACATTGTGGCAGGAATACCAGTTTCGTGATAATTGGCTTTGATAACCTTGACAAGCTCGAAACGTGTACCCTGTTGTTTTAATCAAAACAATATAAAATGCAAAAATCTTGTATATAGATGAAAATCCAAACGAGCAAGCATAAAGAAGAAATATTCGACCTTCCTTTCATTGTATATCTCAAGGGAATCACGAGAGAGCCTGTACATTAAGTCTCCATGGGTCTCTGGTGGCATGACGTATTCGGTATCATCGAAATCAACTGGTTGGTAATTATAAATGTCTCGGAACTCCTTGAAATTGATGTCGAAACCCTATATACATAAACACAAGATTCTCAATATATCGGAACCCTAAAATGCATACAGAATTGATTTCTAAAAACAAAAAGTCTACAAAAATGAAGATCAAAAAGTTTAGGAAAATCAAAACCTCGCTATCCTCGACTTGTTTATTTATGAGGCGTAACTCCTCTTCAAGCGAGAGATAAGGCCCTTTGCCGAAAGGATTTAACACATCTTCAGGTATATCCTCAGGCTCGCATCGCAATCGCATGAACACATGTAAGGTATCGGCGGCAGTCCAATCTGACACCGGAAATCGAAATTAGGGTTTTGATACTATTTTATGCGTAGATACTTGATGAAGTTCAGAGTTGGATACGTACCTGGGGCACCTGGCTCCCCCATTGGAATCACTCCTTTGCGTTTATCAACAAAAGAAGAACACAAACCCTAAATTTTGTTCTAACTATTATAGTATTATGGCTTTTTCACTATGCTAAATGTTTTATTTATTTATTATTATTAGTAAGAAACCAGACTTGAGGAAATGTGAGTGGGTTTGGCTGGTGCTTGAGGTATATAGTGAGTGGGCCAAAAGAAATATGTCGAGGCACAAAATGTTATTATACATTTACTATATAGTGGTTATGATCTCTGTTACTTGACATTATATTTATTTGAATTGTTTGTTTTGGCAGTTCATTGTGATGGAAGCTTGGAGAAAGATGTGAAAAAGTTATAAGAAATGTGCATTTATAAGTGTCGCTACTTTGATGGATCCTTTACTTTACGTTGATGTTAGATTCTTGGCTTGATTTGTGTTTCTTTTGTTGAAAATGGTTATGATCTCTGTTTCTTGACATTTGAAATGTTTGTTTTGGCAGTTCATGATGATGAAAGGTATAAAATGTGCATCTATTAGAAGTCTTTTTGTTGATGTTAGAATCTTGGACTGATTTTTTTTCTTGTGTTAAAAATGGCTATGATCTCTGTTTCTTAACATTAAAATTATTTGAGAATGGTTAATGATAATTTACTTTACTCCGATAGCGCACAGAAACGAATAGTTAAAAGTTAAAATAACACCTAGATGAAATTTCAAGAATACCAAATCAAAATAAAATTTCAAGAATTTTTCAAGAGAAAAAACATATTTTGCAAATGCTACGCAAAAGATTTCTGAACTGATCACAGATCATAATATCTGGTTAAAGAGAATATCCAATACTACCATTGTTGCGTCTCATCACCATTCACTTTTCAGCATTAGACAGCTCCTGTGCCAACCTGAGGAAGTGAGGATATTAATTAATAAAAAACACACAAAAAAAGCATTCTGCATTTCAGCTAGCAAGATTAAGAAACAAAAGACTCATTATATACATATACCTGCGTTTCTTGGCATCTTCTTTCTCCTCAGTTTCAATGAAGTGAACTGCCAAAACATGGCAATCCAAATAAGTAGCAAATATTATAACATAAGTTTCAAAAACTAATCTCAAGACCCATCTCCCGTAGACAAAGAGGCAAATCATTCTGGATAAACATTTGCCTCAAGAATCATTTTTGGGAAAGAAAAGACTATCAAAAGAGTACCTTTTTTCTCAGGTTTGAGCTCGCAGGAGTGGTACATGTTCGGTTCATGAGCGAAATAGCAGACCTTTGCTCGGAACTCTTTTGGCTCATCATCAGAAGGAGCTTTACCTTGAAAGGTAATGTAATACATTGTGGCAGGACAACCAGTTTCGTGAAGATTGCCTTTGATAAACTTGACAAATTCAAAACCTGTATCCTGTTTAACACACACACACATACACAAACAAAAAAATCACTCATAAATTGCAAAACAATTGTATATAGATGAAAATTCAAACGAGAAAGCATATAGAATAAATATTCGACGTTCTCTTGATTGTATCTCTCAAGGGATTCACGAGAGAGCCTGTCCATTAACGTTCTAGTCGTCTCTGGTGGCTTGACGTAGCCGTTATCATCAAAATCAACTGGTAGGTAATTAAAAATGCATCTGAACTCCTTGAAATTGATGTCGAAACCCTATATTCACATAAACACAAGATTCTCAATATCGAACCGTAATATAATATAAATCGACAAAATGAACATGAAAAGGAAAACCTGGCTTTCTTCGACTTGTTCCGTCATGCGGCGTAACTCCTCTTCCGGCGTGAGATAAGGGTCTTCATCCTCGTTGCGTCTTATGCACGGAATTAACGCATTCTTAGGTTCGGAACCAGCCTCGTGTTCCATAAACACATGTGCGTTATCAATAGTCCAATCTGCCATCCTAATTAGGGATTTGATCCGTTGATCGGTACTATTTTTTTTTTATGTGTGGATCCTTAATTTCAGAGTTGGATACATACCTCGAAACAACATCGACATCGCTCCTTTGCGTTTACAACAAAAGAAGAACCCTAACCCTAAATTTTGTTCTAACTATTATGGCTTTTTGCTAAATATTATTTTGTTTTTTTTATTAATAAGAAAACAGACTTGAGTGATCGAGTGGGTTTAGCTGATGCGCTGAGGTATAGTGAGTGGCCCAAAAGAAACATGTGGAGGCACAAAATGTTATTATACATTTCCTATCGACTATCGTTATGTAATCAACGTTCAATGCGTTTGGTTTTAGATCTGACTGCAGTGTTATTATGTTTCATGTCTCACTAACATGTTTTGTTCTTTTTATTACGAGTTTGCACAACTTCTGTGATATTGCAAATTATAGATTGCAAGTGTATGCATCTTAAAAGTTCCACAATGAAGGTAAAGATGGACTTGAGTTGACGGAAATGCACAGCTAGGGAAAGCTCAACAATCAAGAACATATTCAAAAATAAAAAGAAGCATGACATTCTCCTGTTTCTTATATTACTTGTTCCTTTAACTAACGCAGCGCCAGAGGAGAGCGATCAGAAAATAACAAACAGAAAACAGAAAGTTTGACGTTGTTTCGAGTCGCTGGCACCACCTCCAAACTATCTAATTTACATTATAAAAAAAAATGTTGCGGACGTGCCCTTTATATATTTTGGTCGCTTTCTTCTGCCGCTGCGTCACTCGCCTTGTATTGTTTTATTTCTCGACAATTTCAGTCAACAATACATTGTTTGCTCTTCGCATTTTGCGTCGTCTAATCCATATTACTTACGTCTTCACAATACCTCCCCCAACCTTATCGTATTAGACTCTAATCTATTTTGATCACTTAATTCCACCTATCCAATTAAAACTTAAAAAGTATCGAGCTGAGTTCAATAAATCCCAAATAGCGTTTTACCAAGAGCGATTGCCTCACAAATCCAATTTGTAAGTGATCCAACTAAATCAGGCCCAAATGAAATTGGCTCAGCAACATTGAAGCCCATCAGATACCTTGACAAAATCTTTTTACAGCCGTGATTAATATAAGATTTTAGCATTGTTCTAGATCGTTTTATAAATCCACTGTAAAAATCTCTTTCTGTAAATCATTGAGAAATAAATTTATCAACTTATCACAATTCAGTGAAATTTATCACATAGATGGTGATAAGTGCCAAAACAATCCGAATAACTTTAGACCCGTTTTCGATAGAAAACTAGGCAAATATTAATTAAATCATAATCTAGTAAACATATCAATTAAATCATATCAAAAGTGATCACTCACCAAACGGTTTCTCATCTTCAATCTTCACACATGATACACATGGTCAAGAAGCTACATACATTGTAAAAAAAACCCACCATCTGTTCACCATGTAAGACCTCATAAGTTTTTGTATTATATACAATTAGTGTAACGAAATGATCTTTCGGTTTCTTTTCATTCATAGGTCATAATAGATCTCATCCTAATTTAATAAAGAAAACACAATTACATTGAAACAAAAGAAAAGACTTTGAAATAGATTTAAAAGAATATAATAATTGCCATATGGTTTCTTGTAATCATACTTGTATTTACTAGTTTGAAAAGACGATTCTTTTCTATTTTATTAAACTTTATTAACATTTTATTTTCATGTCTTTGGATACAAACCATGTAAGTTTGCCCATTCTTTGTACACAAATCCTTGTGATGCTTCTGCTTCCAAGATAAATTATCATGTTTGTATCTCATAAAATGAATTCACAAGTTGATGTATCATTACGGTAATGATATCATAAGAAAATGTTCTTCTATTTCGTATAATGAGGTGAAACTATGAATTAATTTGTTAGATTGAAATCTTTGAAAGAGGTCTATGAGATAAATTTGTTACTTCTTTCTCATCAACGTCAGATTTTCTTAACATTTCCGAAACACATTTGCATTCACCTTCTAAAATAAGCTATACTCTTTAGAAATTTCACCAGTCCTTCATAGTTTTTTAGAAACCCATCACTAAATTCACCGTCTACTTTTTATAGTGAGCTGATATCACTCTATTGAACACTATTGTCCAACAGTAAACTATTAATCAATAAATTTAGAATATTAGTTACTCTCTTCTAGTTAAAAATAAAGAAAAGTTAGATTATTTGTCTTAAATAAATGAAAAAAGCAATCAACACAAAACATACTCGCAAGAAAAAGGAATTTATCAAAAATTTTAATAACTATAAAAATTAAGAAAACGAAAAATAGATTACACCAAAGACTGTAAAACAAGCAAACAAACATACAAACATTTCTTCTCCAATCCTCGTGGATTTGGTCTTCACTCGTTATCCATTTATCCAAAAATAGATAAAGAAAAGGGAAATGGATACTTTTTTTTTTAATTGTTCAAACAAAATCTGTTTTTGGTCAAAAAGGTGTAAAGTGTTTTCTGGTCAAATTCTTTTTTTCCCCCCATAGTTTCATTCTTTTTATATCATTTTGTTTCCTCATCCTAGGGCCAAGATTCTTCCAATTTGCTATCTCCACTCCCTCTCCCTCCAAATAGATAAGACATTGGCTTAATTAGTTGGTTACATGCATGTGTAGCGACTACTAATCTAGGAGGAGGCATTGTTTCGCTGTTTAGATTATACATGTGTTATTCAATCATTGATTTTTTTTTTTTTTTTTTTTTTTTTTTTTTTTTTTTTTTTAATAGAGTTTGAATCTTCGGAATTTCTCTCAACTTCATTTGCATTGTTCTATAATGGAATTGTCGTAGATGTATATATATTATTTGTTTCTCTTCAACTTTAAGAAACCAAATAATCCAAATAGAGGAGTAATAGAGGTTTAAGATTGTACGTTACCAATGTATTTATGAAATACAAACTAGCTTCTTGCTCGAAAAATAAATTTTAGTTGCAACTTTGTCATTATCCCTAATGTTTTCAAATAATTTGCAACTGAACGAACACTAAGTAAACAACTAACTAAATGAACTAAGAGTTGTAACGAGATGGATCTGTGTGCGTCTCATGGACGGCAAAAAGATGAAATCTGGCTCTGCAGACGCAATCAGTTCTCTTCCAGATGAGATACTTGCTCAGATATTGTCCTCTCTTCCCACTAAACGAGCTGTTTCTACGTGTATCCTCTCCAAAAGGTGGAAAAATGTGTTTCCATTGGTGAATCATCTCTTTGCATGTCAACATCATTTATACTTTGACGACTCGGATCGTTTATACTTTGACGACTGGAATTTACTGGAGGACACGTGGGAGTTGAGAGACAGGAAGAAAGTGTCAAGATGGTCTTATCTGTTTTACTCTTACAAGCAAATGGATACGCGTTGCCTTGGAACGAGGTCTCGTGGATCTTGATCTGCGTTTAACAACGAGTTCGGTCCACGAGATTGCTTGTATCCCACGTAGTATTGTCTTCAATAACAAGACGCTGGTTAAGCTAACTTTAGGAATAGAGATTCATACTCTCCCTATGGATAAATTTAAAGTATCTCTTCCAGTGCTAAAGAGTCTCTTCCTCCATGGACTTTATTTTAGATGCGAGTTTTTGTTGTCTATGATGCTTCCTGGTTGTACAGTACTTGAGGAATTATCTTTACAATATTACCCACCCCTTAGGTATTTTTTTGAGACAAATGTTTCACCACTTTTATATATATCCCACCAAACCCTAAAGCGACTCACAGTTCACTACAATAACTGTTTTGGGCCTGGCTACTCTCGATACACCATATTCAACACACCGAGTCTTGTTTACCTTGACTTCTCTGGTCTCGCTCCTGCATGTCATCATAGTTCAACTGCCAGTTTCTTGGATACCCTTGTGGAAGCCAAAATAGATGTTTCTTTGAATCCGAAACAATGCGATAGTCATATATCTAGAATCATTAGCTGGATGAGAAACGTTAAGAGCCTTTCCCTGTCTTCTAGATCTCTTGAGGTGTGTCTCTTTGTCCTTGCCTTAATTAGTATGGTTTGATCATGAGTAGCTACAAGTTTGTTTTCTCTACGTGTGTGTTTCAGGTTATGTATTCAAGTGATACGGAGTTACCTTTCTTTGCGAACCTTGTTAAGCTTTCCATAGAGAGTGATACAAGAAATGGTTGGCAAGTGCTTCCGAGTCTGCTCAACCATTCTCCAAACCTAGAAACTTTGGCCCTCAAGGTATTGTACATCTACTCTAGAATTAGTTATTAATTCACAATATACGTATTTAATTTGTGGTCATGCAGGGCTTGCACTGTGTAAACAAAAAGGGAGTCCACATTGGTCCGAGTGAAGTGAAGGTGTTGGAGATATATGGGTTTAGAGGAAGTGTTGGAGAATTCAGTCAATCCAAGTGCTTTTTGTCTCAAATGAAGTTTCTTCAAGTGATGAAAGTGGAAATTGATGCTGATGATAACAAGAAACTGAAACTCATGAGTCGCCTTCTTGCTCTTCCTCGCCCTTCATCTCAATGCCAAATCCACTTCTCGTGAGATTCAGAAGAATTTAAACGTTTAGTAGATCTTGGAATGCTTATTATTATTATTCTTATTGGTTTGTTCATCAATTTCTTAATATTGTTAGGCTGAAAAGAACACTTTTTGTTAGTTAAATCTGTCCATCTTCGCAAACCATTTCCATATAATCTTGATTTGAAAAAAGAGTCACGTATATGCATGCAAACATCATTCCACTTACGTGAAATGTTGACATATTTGACAATGTTGGCAAAAACAATTTTGTTTTTAAAAGGATAACCCATTAGGAAAAAAAATTTAGACTACACGAAAGAACTGAAAAAACAAACAAATTTACCTCTCTAAACCTCGTGGATTTGGTCTTCACTCCTTATCCATTTATCCAAAAATAGATCAAGAAAAGGGAAATGAATATCTTTTTTTATTGTTCAAACAAAATCTGTTTTTGGGTCAAAAAGCTGTAAAGCGTTATTTAAACCTTCACGAGTTTCATACCAAAAAGAACACATCTTCACCTTTTTTATAAGAAACCAAAAAAGAAGAGATACGAAAAGGAGGAAAAGAGATAAATGCAGCAAAGTACTCATTTGAGCTACAGATCACTTCAAATTCAGGCAAGATAAGCGTCTCAGAGAGGATTCACATCTATATAAAAAAAAAATAGTTACACTAAAATATAAAAGTCTCAACAACATGATCCAATTCCAAAACCAATACATGAAAAAATCAATAAGAAATTGGGAGAAGAAGAAAGGTTTTGCTGAAGGAATCTCAGTAGAGATTTACTGGATTTCAACAGGAGAAAATACCAAAATTGCATTACAGAAACTAAATAGCTACTCAACAAATTAAATCAAATCATAATAATTAGTTTTCATCTCAAACAGCTGAGTTCAATTAATCCCAAATCGCGTTTTATGAAGAGTCGATTGCCTCACAAATCTGGCCCAACTAAGTGATCCAACTAAGTCTGGCCCAATGAAGTTGGCCCAGCAACATCAAAGTCCATTAGACACTTTCAGAACAAGACAAAATCTTCTTTACAACTGTGATTAAGATAAGATTTTAGCATTGTTCTAGATCGTTTTATAAACATAGATAAATCTACTGTAGACCCGTATTCAAGGGGCAAATATTACTCATTTATTGCTCCATAAATTAAAAAACTATGTATATCTCATAAATCATAATCTAGTAAACATATCAATTAAATCATGTCAAAAGTGAGCAATTACCAAACGGTTTCTCATCTTCACACATATACACATGGTCAATAAGCTACACCGTTTTTGGTATTATGTCCAGTTAGTGTAACCAAATGATCTTTTGTTTTCTTTTCATTCACAGGTCATAATAGATCTCATCCTTATTTAATAAAGAAAAACACAATTACATTAAATCAAGAAAAAACTTTCAAATAGAGTTAAAAGAATATAATTTACCATATGGTTTACTTGTAAGCAGATTTGTTGTATTTCCTATCTATTATATTAAGATTTTCTTTTCATGTATTTGGAATCCATATAGGTTTGCCCATTCTTTGTACAATCCATATAGGTTTGCTCTACTTAATAAATTTATGACTTCGTCAGATCCTTCTACTATGACAAGTTCGGAGATATAGAAAGCTTTTTCACATTCAAATCAAATATACCGATAATTGATATGATAACAGAAGAAAATTACATTTACTTTGCCACATGATGTTAGACAAATTCTGGTTCAGCTCTGAGCTGGGCTCGTCTTACAGAAATACCGGTCGCAGTTTGCAAATGGTCATGTGCTGCACAGTCCTAGTTTTATAAGATAAAGCGGGATCTACTGATGTTCTTCGTATCGATGTGTGACAAAAATTCACATTCAATATAAAAATAGAATTCATTTGGTTCACTTGTTAGAGTTCTATAAAGGGTATATACATATAGTTCTTTTGGCTCATTTCTTTAAGTGAACAAAGTGAATATGATGTTTTCCGATTCCTTCTATATGTTTACCTTTTTTTGTTTGTTTTGGTTTTGGTTCCTCTACGAACAAAATGCTCAAAGAATCATTTACAAGGAACTGCCTTCCACTTCCACCTCCACTTCAAATTTGTATCTTCGAATTATGATGTTTCTTGAGACTTCTTGATTCACACGTTAGACGACTTAAGACTTCCTTCTTGCTCTTCCTCACCCTTCATTTCAATGCCAAATCCACTTCTCGTGAGATTCAGAAGAATTTCATGCGTTTATTGTTTTTCAAAACATCTCTCTCATAGTAAATCTTGGAAGGCTTATTCTTTTTATTATTCTTATTGGCTTGTTCATTAATTTCTTAATCTTGTTGAGGCTGTTGAGACTCGCTCACAGGAACAACTTGCGTGTCTCATTGTACTCATCTCATATAAATCCAATTATCCAAGATAGATATTGAGTACGTTGAATCTGAAAAGAATACCTGGTATTAGGTATATGCATGGAAACATCATTCCACTTACGTGTATGTCACTTTGTCAGTATGTGTATATCATACATTCATACGTTGACATATTTGACAATATTGGCAAGAAATTTTAGTTCTGAAAGGATAACCGAAGCTAATCCCAAATCCTTAATCATCAAAAAAAGAAAAAAGGAAAATAAATTTAGATTACACAAAAGGACTGAAAAAACAAAAAAATTTACCTCTCTAAACCTCGTGGATTTGGTCTTCACTCCTTATCCATTTATCCAAAAATAGATCAAGAATTGGCAAATGAATATCTTTTTTTATTGTTCAAACAAAATCTTTTTTTGGGTCAAAAAGCTGTAAAGTGTTATTTAAACCTTCACGAGTTTCATCCCAAGATCAAAAGAAAGAACACATCTTCACCTTTTTGATAAGAAATCCAAAAAGAAGAGATATTTCTCATTTCTCTATCTCAAACATTTTCCTTAATTTCGCTTTTGCGGCGTCGTTCTTATCTTCTCACAAGAAAGCAACACATCATTAACATCCCAAAATAAATAAATAAAGACTGTTACGTTTTCTTCTCTCCCTGACTCCTTGATTTGCTCAACCGTCGATTTCATCTTTTCTTTGTCTGTTCGCAAGAAAAGTTTCGATTTTGCCAAGTGGGTTTCGTTAGACGAAATGGGTTCTTCTGTGGAGCAGAACATTTTGGTGACTGGTGGTGCCGGATTCATTGGAACACACACTGTTGTCCAGCTTTTGAATCAGGGTTTTAAGGTTACGATCATCGATAATCTTGATAACTCTGTTCTTGAAGCTGTTCATAGGGTTCGTGAGCTTGTTGGTCCTGATCTCTCTACCAAGCTTGAATTCAATCTGGTCAGTCCCCAAAAAGAAAAAAGCTTTCATTTTTATGCTTCTTTCCGAATTTGCTCTGTTTCTTTCAAGAACATTGATAATTTGCTCTGTTTTACTCAAGAACATTGACAATTTGTTCTGTTTTCTTAGTTTAGTAGTTTAATGGTGTTTTGATTGAATTTCAGGGTGATTTAAGAAACAAAGAAGATATTGAGAGACTCTTTTCCAAACAAAGGTAATCTTTAAGACTCAAATTATGCGATTTTTTTATTTATTAATATTTCTCCCTTTTTTGGTCTAATATTCTGTTTCTTGTGTGAGGGGTAAACAGATTTGATGCTGTGATTCACTTTGCTGGTCTTAAAGCTGTGGGTGAAAGTGTTGGAAACCCTCGTCGTTACTTTGATAACAACTTAGTTGGAACAATCAATCTCTATGAGACAATGGCAAAATACAACTGCAAAATGGTTAGACACAACACAACACAACACAATCCTTTCTTTTTTTTATATGTAAATGGTTAGAATGATTGTTTGTGATGCTGAAACATATATATATATATACACAGATGGTGTTTTCATCGTCTGCAACAGTCTATGGCCAACCTGACATAGTACCATGTGTGGAAGACTTTGAGTTACAAGCTATGAATCCTTATGGTCGTACCAAGGTATTAAGCTCTTGAACACATCAAAGTTTTAAGCTTTACGTCCATAATCTTGAAAATGGTCTTATTTGTGATTGAGATCTTGAAAGCCTTGTCATTTTCTACTTTTGTGTTAGCTGTATCTTGAAGAGATAGCTAGAGACATTCAGGCAGCAGAACCAGAATGGAAGATCATTCTTCTGAGGTACTTCAATCCTGTTGGAGCTCACGAGAGTGGAAGAATCGGAGAAGATCCAAAAGGCATACCAAACAATCTCATGCCTTATATACAACAAGTGGCTGTTGGAAGATTACCTGAGCTCAATGTGTTTGGACATGACTATCCTACTAAAGATGGTAGCGCGGTACAAGAATCGATCTCTCTTAATCAAAGATACGGTTTAGGATTGTGTGGTGATAGATTTGTTAACTTAACATACACTTACTTGCAGGTTAGAGACTACATTCATGTAATGGATTTAGCAGATGGCCATGTTGCTGCACTAAACAAGCTCTTTACAGACTCCAAGATTGGTAAGACTTTATAAAACATTTTAATCTATGGACTCAATCAAAGTATAGAAAACTGAGAATGTTTGGTAATCTTAATCTTAGGCTGTAATGCTTATAATCTTGGGACTGGTCAAGGAACTTCTGTCTTAGAAATGGTTTCTGCTTTTGAAAAAGCTTCTGGCAAGGTAAAAAACTTATCTTCTTTCTTTCTCTCTTGTTACCACAACTACAACAAATGAGACAGAAGATTTGGTGTTACAATAAGCAAAACATTTTTTGTTTGCAGAAAATCCCTATCAAGCTATGTCCAAGAAGAGCAGGAGATGCAACAGCTGTTTATGCATCAACTGAGAGAGCTGAGAAAGAACTTGGATGGAAGTAAGTCATCTTTTTTACCATTTCCGCATGTAAAATGAACAATCTTGACAAGAACTTTAAGAACCATAACTTGAATATATCCTTTTTGGTGGACTAATTCTTTTGTGATTTGTGTTTGTTAGGGCAAAATATGGAGTTGATGAGATGTGCAGAGATCAATGGAACTGGGCACATAACAATCCATGGGGTTTCCAGAAAAAGCCTTGATTTTTCTTTTTTCATCCTCTTAAAGCTTTTTCCTTTCTTCACCACTCAACATAAAGAAGAAAACACCAAATATATAGCTGTAGTTTTATTTCCTGCACTTTTTTCTTCATTTCTCTCTTCCAAAAAAGTTTGTATTGAACGAGTCCCTCTTTCGGCTAATAACAATATTAACTAATCATTACAAAACAACAAATCATTTGTGAGTTCCATTATCAAGAATCTGAATTTAACAAGGATGTATCAACTAATCAAGCTCATAGTTACTCGAATAAACTCAAATCATATATATCACTGCAAGAAACATTCTCAATTCGAGATTGATTAATAAAGGATACAGAGAAACAAGATGTTGTTAACATAATTCATCAACATCCACTAAAATGTGTATTACATATCACAACAAGCAATGTAAAACTATAAACTTATCAAATCTTGAACCCTTTTTAAATGGGTTCCTCTTCAGCTGCTAATGATACAGATCTCTGCGCATATTTGCAAGTTTCTTCTTCTGTTCTAGACTTGCTCGCCATCTTCAAAGCTGCTACTCTTGAGGATGTTGTATTTGCAGAGAGGACAAGTAGCGTTTATGTAAAGCCATTTGTCCACACATCCGCAATGGAAATGGTGGCCACATGGAAGTTCTCTTAGCTCTGTCTCGTCTTCATACGCCGAAAGACAAATGCAGCATTCCTATTGATTCATCACATAAGCAGAATCTTAAACAAAGTCTATATCCACAAACATAACATGAAAAAGAGATTGAATGTATGTTTTACTTACTGCATCCTCATGAGGAAGGGAATGTTCAATAGGTGAATCTGTACCACACTCAGTCATCACTCCTCCTGAATTTCCTTTCGCTTGTTCTTCTTCATCAACACTTTGTTTCTCAGAATCACCAACTTTCCGGAATTTGAACTTAGTTAGCTGGTCAATGTCTTCTTTCGAAGCTCCTTCCTACAAATTCAACATCTTTGCATTGGAACAAATTCGATTTCCTTAAGAGGACGCAAAAGCAGATTATGAGAGAAGCTACCTGTTCTGCTACTGCGTATAGAACTGCAATGATGCAAGGCAAGCAGCAGCAAACAGCAATGCCGATAACACAAGCCAACGCAACGCAGAAAACCACAAAGAACACATCGAAACCGAGAAACACTATACACAACCTACACCAATAAGCAACACCATTCAAAAGCTTGACACTTCCAACTTTAAGAGATGGTGAAAGAGAACAACAACTAACCAATAAAGCTGAGGAGATCCTTGAGCTAACTCTTGTCCACCAGAAGAAACCCAGTAGAATCCAATGATCCACCATATAAACGAGAACATTGTATTTGCAGACTCTACATGCTTAGCAAAACTGCTTAAAAAAACACTACTTTAGCCAAAATTCACATCACATTATCACAATCACAAGTGATCTATGCATAAAGAGCTTACCTTTTTCTTTCGCTCTCTAACATGTATTGATCTTCCAAACTCACTTCTTCCTCCATAGAAGATAATGAAGAAGAAGAAGAGGAAGACGAAGAAGAGAGAGATCTCAGACTCCTATAACTTCTCCTTCTATTCCTCCTACGATACTCCACACAAACACACACCATATGCATCACACATTGCAACCCATACCCAACAATCCAGACTCTAAGCGGCGAATTCGGCTTCTCGTCGCTGCTAAGCACGAGCACAGCTGTAGCGACGGCGACGAAAGCGAGGTTCCAGACGAAATCCAGAACCACCACAGGCTTAGAGTAAGCCCAATCGCTTTGCCTCTCCTCGAGCTGCTCCGCCGCTGCTTCGCGAACCAGCATCGACGGCTCTCTCATCATCATCCTCCCGCTACTTGCATGTCTTAGTAACCTCGACGCTTCTCTCAGACCTTGACTCCTCACCGACCTCCGTACACCTCCGCCGTCGTCGTCGTTATCGCCTCCGGTTAAAATCAAAGGCGTCGTCGCATCAATGGCGTCGGCAGAATGACGGCGAGATGACGAATTGTTAGCTGTAAACTCTGTTGACATTGTTCTCTTGCTCTAATCTTCAGCAGTTGATCTCAATTCGATGAAATTGGTGTCGAATTACGCCATTAAAACGGAGAAATTTCAATCTCAGAGAAAAAATCGGATTTGTTAGGGTTTCGATTCGAACAGAGAGAGAGAGAGAAAGAAGATGACACGGACAAATGGGAAAAACGTGAATGGTGTTTGAATTAAATTTCTCTAAAATCAATTTAGTATTTAATGTCTCCTCAAACGACAGCCAGACAAAATAAATGGGGCAAATATGTAAATATCGAGTATTTTTGAAGGGCTAAATAACGCATTTACAATACTTTCGTCCAGATTTCGTATTCTTCTGTTTTTACACGACCTTTAATGAAAAAGGACAAATAATTGTGGGTATACATGTAAGATTGAGTAGTTTAGGTCCAGAATTCGTATTCTTCTCGTTTTACAGGGACTTGAATGCAAATATATTGTAACTCTAAAACCCTTGGGATTGATTTTCTCCAGCAATTTTCCCTCCAAACCAGAAAAATCCCCAAATCTCAATTTCTCTTTCCGACTGAAAATGGCGTCATCGTCTTCTTCCACCGGCGGCGGATACGAAATCCCGTGGGTCGAGAAATACAGGCCGAGCAAAGTAGTCGATATCGTCGGAAACGAAGATGCCGTCTCGAGGCTTCAAGTCATCGCTCGCGACGGAAACATGCCGAATCTCATCCTCGCGGTGAGATTTACTCTTCTTAGTTTGCTCAATCCTCTACAATTTCAAATCCTCCTCGGCATTTCCAAAAATGAAATTGGTTAATTAGAAACCCCTTCGGGAGATTAGGTTTCGTCTCCGGTGTAGAATTTAGGATAAAGCTCGTCCATTTCTAGGGTTTTCATCATTTACTATCCTCTGTTTAAGTGAACAAAGCTTTGATTTCACTTCTTAGATTGATGATTAAGCTGCAATTTTATAGTGTTCACTAGACTACAATCTGATTTTGTGCATTTGTGTTTTTTCTTCAGGGTCCTCCAGGAACAGGTAAAACGACGAGCATTTTGGCTCTCGCTCATGAGCTCCTTGGACCTAATTACAAGGAGGCTGTTCTGGAGTTGAATGCATCTGATGATAGGTACCAATCTTTTTACTAAATGAGATTCTGATTTTGGATTCTACGTTCCTAATCTACTGTGCTGTGGCATTGTGTCTCTGTAGAGGCATCGATGTGGTGAGGAACAAAATCAAGATGTTTGCGCAGAAGAAAGTAACACTTCCTCCAGGACGTCACAAGGTTGTGATTCTAGACGAAGCTGATAGGTTCGTGGTGCTTAAAGTTGGAGTCTTTTATTCTCTTCTCTGCAATATACAGTGTCAAGCTTTTTTTATCTGATTTCATTGTGGTGGTTTGGTGAGATTAGTATGACGTCTGGAGCGCAACAAGCATTGAGGAGAACGATTGAGATCTACTCAAACTCTACGCGGTTTGCACTAGCTTGTAACACATCAGCCAAGATCATTGAGCCTATTCAGAGTCGATGCGCGCTAGTTCGGTTCTCTAGGTTATCTGATCAGCAGATACTTGGCCGTCTCATGGTGGTGGTTCAAGCAGAGAATGTATGGACTTGGCTCAAACTTTTTCATTTATTAAATTTAGTAGATTCCTGGTTTTTGGCTTGGCTTAATATTTGCTTGTGTTCTCAGGTTCCGTATGTACCTGAAGGTCTTGAGGCGATAATCTTCACAGCTGATGGTGACATGAGGCAAGCTCTGAACAACACGCAAGCCACATTCAGTGGGTTTCGGTTTGTCAATCAAGAAAACGTCTTCAAGGTTCGATACAGTAACGCCTTAGCTTGATGAAGTGTAACTTCGGTTTTCACCGCTTATTTACTTTTCTTTTCTTGGTTCTTTGACAGGTCTGTGACCAGCCTCACCCGCTTCATGTCAAGAACATGGTTCGCAATGTGTTGGAAAGCAAGTTTGACGAGGCTTGTAACGGCATGAAGCAGCTATACGATTTAGGATACTCTCCAACGGACATTATCACGACGCTGTTCCGTATAATCAAGAATTATGATATGGCTGAGTTTCTGAAGCTTGAGTTCATGAAGGTATTTGAAACTTTTCTTCACATCTCTAAACATTCACACTCTAAATTTCTCTATTTAACACAAATGGGTCTTTCTTCAGGAGACTGGATTTGCGCATATGAGAATCTGTGATGGAGTTGGATCATATCTTCAGCTGTGTGGTCTTCTTGCTAAGTTATCCATCGTTCGTGAGACAGCAAAAGCAGCTTAAGCCAGGTCAATTCCACTCGTATCTAGTGATAAACCGGTGGCTGGTCCGGTTTATGTTTGAACCACTTCGGTTAACTCATCTTGGAACTTCCCTGCTGTATTATTACTCTGTTTTCTAGATTTGAATTGTTTGTGAATGTTCTGAATACTTTTATGTGAAGCTTAATCCATAACCATTTTGGTATTTAACGTTACAAAAAAACATTATGAGAGAAAATTATTAGCCATATATAAGTTTCAATAAACCTTGGTCATTGGAGAAATTTTTTTACTGAAATTTGAAATTATATAATGATCTGATACAAGACTGAAACAAATTACATTATTCGGCTCCATAGTGTTTCCATAATTTGTAGTTTTATGACATGGTGAAAGTTTGGAATCTATTTGTGGAATTCGATAACATGATAAGCATTTACACGACAAATGATTTCACAACGATGAAAACCAGAGTCGTGGGCTAAAGTCTCGAACTGGGAAAGAGACTTCTCCTTACCACCTGAGCATTGCGTTAACATGACCATGTCTTTGGCGAGCACAAATTTGGAAGAAGCATCGTTGATCTTTGGTTGCATTGGCGTGATCATCTCGACTAATATCACTTTTCCTTTTTCAGAAAGACTTTTCCAACAATTCTTGAGAATCTTTACACAGTCTTCGTCATTCCAGTCATGTAGTACCGACTGACATTAATTGATCATATTAATATATTGTCGACCATGGAATATATAAAACTTGTCCATGTTTATGTATAGAGAAACTTACTTTCATGAAGATAGCATCTCCTCTTGGAATTTCTGCAAACATATCTCCTGAAACATGCTCAACTCCTATATATATAACATAAGATAATTTTTTAGGGATATAACTTGGTAATTTTATCACCTTAATTAGTGTTATATATACCTGGTTTAAGAGGAGCATGTGCTACAACAGAGGGTAGATCGAAATTGATGCCTTTAATATGAGGATACTTGGAAGTCACGAGACCTAAATTTGTTCCAATGCCTCCTCCAACATCTACCAAACTGTTTACATCTTCGAATCCTTTGTAAACTTGTAAAATCTTGTTCATGGTAAATGTGGAAGTTTCCGACATTGCCTTGCTAAACATCTCACCGAATTCTTTGTTTGAACCAATGTAATCGAAAAGTTTCATGCCATGAGCGGAGACAAATGCATCCTTTCCTTCTAATATCACATCTTTGAGATTTGTCCTATGCAAGAAAGTAAATAATAATAATAAAAAATCAGTTGTTCAGTGATGGTACTACATATATTTATAGACCATTTTGTTGCAAAAGTAAATGTTATTCAAGATGACTTATAATTAGTATAAAGTGGCAAAAGGGCCAGCTCTCATGGGCACTGGTCATGGGTACCGGTAGATCTAGGTTTATGAGAGTCTATATATAAGGTTCATAAGGGTTTGTAATACTTTATCACACGAGTAATAAGAAAACACTAACAAGATATATTGCCTCAATCTCTCTTGTTTTATTTGTTCCAAATCACAACAGTAAACTAATTTAGTTAGAAGATCACTTGATGATCATGTATTGTCTTATTTACCATAATAGGACAAAAACATTGTGTTGAAGTTTGGCTTGGTTGTGAATAGTTAAGAAGTACGTACCAGGTCTTGAAATAGACGTCGCTTAGGTTTACCAAGAATAGAGACGCGAGAGAACCCGATCCGTCTCCACGGTTCAAGAAAAACTTGCAAACCGGTTCAGCTGCATATTCCCTCTCGGTCTTTCCGGTTTCATGCAAACGGTACTTCAAGATCGAGTGGCTAGCTAGTAAAATCAGCATACGGTCCAACAAAACCGGTGCCTCCGGGTTGGTGGGTTTGATTGGGAGACGAAGCACAATCTCAGAAGATGAGAGCCACACGCCTTCATCTACGGATGTGATTGTGTCGATGACGCCAAGCTCCAAGGCGGCTTTGAGAACCATGGGGAAGGCCATTGTGTTCACGAGACTCTGCGCTTGCAAGCTCACCTTTTCTTCGGTCAGTTGTTGTTCTTCTCTGATTAGACTTGGTTTAGGGGAAGTAGTTGACGAATCTTGAAGATGGTTTGCCATTGTTATTGTTGTCGGTTGAGAAGTTTGAGAAAGGTATATGATTGTAAGAGAAAGTTGGTTTCGACGTTTATAGGAAGAAATCTCAAAACATAATTCGTGGACCAAAGATTCTGCCAAATGACAGTAAGTGTAGACGTTGACATTGCTTGTACACCACTAAAACGTTTCCTTTGTATTTAGATTTTTAAATTTGTTTCTGAATTTTAATTTTGGCTAATATTTTAGTTTTGTAATTTTATATTAGAAACTGGAGTATATCGTAATTTATGGATGGATCCGAAACTATATAATTACTTCTAGGATTTAGATTTATTTTTTCTTGAACTTCTAAGACATCTAAGATAGTTTTGGTCGTTATTTTGGAATTTACTAATTTTTCTATGACAGTGAAAATATGCCACTTAAATATAGAATTGTAATAGTTCATTACAACAAAAATCTGTGAACCTGAGTAATTGCAAATTTGCTTCTATCGAAAAGTGTGGACCAAATCTGAGCTACGAGGATATCGTCTCGTTAGACAGACTTTGATAATTTCGTACACATTATATAAATGAGATCGATATTTTACGTAACCTAGTTATTACGTCAGTGTCCCCACAAACAAACAATGTCACATGCACCATGCATCAGTGGCGGAGCCAGCCTTGTAGGAGGGTGGTCACTTGACCCTGTGAATTTAAAGAATTTTGTTTATTTACCTATAAGTTTTTTAAAAAATCTGAAAAAAATATCCGCCACTGCCATGCATGATTGCCACCAGAGAAAATAGAGTTTTGATTGCTAAATGCTAATTAGTATAAGCAATCACAAAATTTCATGAAATTTATATTAATGTCCTGTTCTCCACATATATCAACACACACAAAATTTTAAATTCATTCATGTAAACTAACACCAGATATGAAAGAATCTTATTTAGTTATTCGAGTCGTTACACACATTTTAGTTAATTAGTATAAGTAAACTACAGTTTAGTTAGAAGGCTTATCACTTGATGATCCTGTATTGTCTTATTTACCAAAATACGAAAAAAACATTGTGTTGAAGATTGGCTTGTTTGTGAATAATTAAGAACTACGTACCAAGTCTTAAAATAGACCTCGCTTAGGTTTATCAAGAATAGAGACGCGAGAGAACCGGATTCGTCTCCACGGTTCAAGAAAAACTTGCAAACCGGTTCAGCTGCATATTCCCTCTCGGTCTTTCCGGTTCGAACGTTTTCTCCGGTATCAAGCATACGGTACTTCAAGACCGAGTGACTGTGACTCGCTAGTAAAATCAGCATACGGTCCAACAAAACCGGTGCCTCCGGGTTGGTGGGTTTGATTAGGAGACGAAGCACAATCTCGGAAGACGAGCCACACGCCTTCATCTACGGATGTGACTGTGTCGATGACGCCAAGCTCTAAGGCGGCTTTGAGAACCATGGGGAAGGCCATAGTGTTCACGAGACTCTGTGCTTGCAAGCTCACCGTTTCTTCGTCTAGTTGTTCTTCGTTGACTAGACTTGGTTTAAGGGAAGTAGTTAAGGGATCTTGAAGATGGTTTGCCATTGTTATTGACTTTCTTTTGTTGGTTGAAGATTGAGAAAGGTATTTGATGGTAAGAGAGAAAGTCTGTTTCAACGTTTATACTTAGTGTCACCATTTATTCATTTTATAAGGAGAAACACCTGAAAACATAATTCGTGCAAGATTATGCCAAATATTTTATTTGCATGGGAATTAACGAACGCTAAATAGTTTCTTACATCTACTACGTGTTTATCAATGATCCGAGATCCAATCAGAGATTTGAAGTTTTTGAATCCAGATCTGATTGTTTTTATTTAAAGATTAAGATATCCAGATCTGTTTTCATAAACACATTTTCAATGTATTAAACAATAAATGGAATATTGGATTTCCCTGCTGTATTAGTACTCTGTTTTATAGATTTTAATTGTTTGCGAACACTTTATTTGAAGCTTAAACATAATAATTTTGGTATTTAACTCTACTAACAAAAAATTATGAGAAATAATTCTTAGCCATATAGTTACAACAATCCTGTATTCAGTTGATAGAAGATTGAAATAAGTTATATTTTGGATAGAATTTCGAATCTATTTGTGGAATTCGATGACATGATATGAATTAACACGACAAATGATTTCACAACGACTAAAACCTGAATCTGAGGCCAAAGACTCGAACTGGGAGAGAGACTTCTCCGTACCACCCGAACACAGTGTTAACATCAACAAGTCTTTGGCAAGAACAATGTTGGAAGAAGCATCGTTGACTTTTGGTTTTATTGGCGTAACCATTTCTATTATTATCACTTTTCCTTTTTCAGGAAGACTCTTCCAACAATTTTTGAGAATCTTCACACATTTTTCATCATTCCAATCATGTAGTATCCACTGCCATTAATTCAATCAAATTAATATATGGACGACCATGGAACTATAACTTTGGTTATGATCAAAACTTTTAGTAGCTAGTAGTTATATAGAGGAACTTACTTTCATCAAGATAGCATCTGCTTTTGGAATTTCTGTAAACATATCTCCTGAAACATGCTTCACTCCTACATATATATAAACAGTTATAAGTAACTATCAAGCAAAATAAATATAATAATTTGTAGAGATATAGCTAGTCTACTAATTTTATTACCTGGATAAAGAGGAGCATATGCTACAACCGAGGGTAGATCGAAATTGATGCCTTTTATATGAGGATACTTGGAAGTCACGAGACCTAAAACTGTTCCAATTCCTCCACCAACATCTACCAAAGTGTTTACATCTTTGAATCCTTTGTAAGCTTCTAAAACCTTCTTCATTGTCAATGTGGAAGCTTCTGACATTGACTTGCTAAACATCTCACCGAATGGTTTGTTCGAGCCAATGTAATCGAAAAGTTTCATGCCATGAGCAGCGCTGAATGCATCATTTCCTTCTAATATCACATCTTTGAGATTTGTCCTATTGAACAAAAACAAAACATGAAAATTTAATTGTTCGTTGAAGAACATTTTGTTGTAAATGTAAACTAGTTTAGTTAGAAGTTTTTTTACACTATAACATTTTTCTCTCAAGCGCTTTAATTATATGAACTATTAACTGATCGAGTATACGTTGATGTACGTGATAATCAACTACTCTATTATCATTTTTTTTGTGGTAAAAACTAATCTATTATCTTATTATACGTTGGTTTTTCTTTTAATTATAAAATTTGGTTTTGTTTGTACGTACCATGTCTTGAAATAGACTTCGCTTAGGTTTATCAAGAATAGAGACGCGAGAGAACCGGATCCGTCTCCACGGTTCAAGAAAAACTTGCAAACCGGTTCAGCTGCATATTCCCTCTCGGTCTTTCTGGTTTCATGCATCCGGTACTTCAAGATCGAGTGGCTAGCTAGTAAAATCAGCATCCGGTCCAGCAAAACCGGTGCCTCCAGGTTGGTGGGTTTGATTGGGAGACGAAGCACAATCTCAGAAGGTGAAAGCCACACGCCTTCATCTACGGCTGAGATTGTGTCGATGACGCCAAGCTCCAAGGCGGCTTTGAGAACCATGGGGAAGGCCATTGTGTTCACGAGACTCTGTGCTTGCAAGCTCACAGTTTCTTCTTCCAATTGCTGTTCTTCTTTGGTTAAACTTGGTTTAGGCGAAGTACTTAAGGGTTCTTGAAGATGGTTTGCCATTGTAATTGTTCTTGGTTTGATAAAATTGGGAAAAGGGCATAAGATGATAAGAGAAATTTGGTTTCAACGTTTACACTTAATGTCATTTTATAGGGAGATACGCCTAAAAAACAATTTTTGCAAGATAATGCTAAATATTTTGGATGGATCTGGAACTAAATAGTTACTTATTTGTTTTCACAGATCCAGATTTATACATCTTGAAGTTCTAAGATCACACTCCATGTGCCTTATTTTTAGGAATTTATATGACATAGTGCATATTCATATGGTATTTAAATAAAATAATAGATATCTACAATAATGGTCTGCTGAAAGTGATTATTAGCAAATTTTGATTACATTTTTGGTGAAAGAATGGAGCAAAACCTATCCAAAAAGATATCGTGTCCATAGGACAAACTTTACTAATTTCGTTCACACTCCACAGTAGTGGCCAGGTGTTTCTTAATACTAGACATGAAAAATATGTTACGTAGCCTAGTTGACTAGTAGTTAATGTTCTCATTGTGTGTCACCGCCATAAATTTGAACTAAATGTAAACAAACAAAAATGTCCTTAGCACCGTATTACAGATTTCATGAGTCTATACATATAATCAAAGAATCATTGTACCTTAGATGTAGTCTTTTCCTTCATTAATTTCTTTGGAGGTTGATGATGGAAGAAAATTTCTTATGCAAGAACTTCCGATAAATATTAGACATGGATATAAGAAAGCTTTTCTTGCAAGAATTCTGTTTTTATAATGGAAATTGGAACTCTTTGGTTCTTACAATTACGGAAACAACTAAGAAAGCCATTGAAGGGCATACTCTTACATTTCAGAGCAGTGGACTCTTCTTATTATGCACGAAACAATTAAATAAACTAAAGAAAAGACTTGGTCAACATACTTATATTTTGGTTTCGACTCACGGATCACTTCATTATTATTATTTTTTTCCGTTGGTCATCGTGATCCAAATATTTCCATACCTGATCAGAACTGGAGGGGATTTGTCGCTAAAGAACCGAGCAAGAACTTTGTCTTCAAGAATTGCTAACACGTCAGGAGAGTTTATGCATAGAGGTGTCTTGTATTGGGATGCAGAAGCACCCTTGGAGATGAAATATTCCATGAGAGAATCAAATGTTCCTTGTTGCACCACCCTTATCTCTAGAGGTCCGATTTGACCAGATTTGCTCCTAAGTACTTTATAAAGAATTCAAATGATTCTTCAACTACACAGCAACATTCAACCAGTAACTTGTTATCAAGCTTAACAATGCCATTTGTTTTTTTGGCTTTAAGCTCCCAATAAAGAACATAGTGACCAGGGTTAGTGGAGATATCAGAATAGCATGTGAACCCCATCAACATTAAACCTGAAGATTCAAGGACGCGAGCCGCATGATTCAACGCCTTTAAAAGATCTTCTTCAGTTGTTGTCTCCACTTGGACGCTTATAACAGCATTTTTTCTACGTACAAATTTGAACTGAGGAGCACTATTGTAAAATCCAGTCACTTGTAGAATATCTCCCATTTTGTATCTGTATAAGCCTAGCAACAATATTAATAAAGAATAGATTAGTTCTATTATAGTTGAGAGAGATTACATATATTATATCTATATATATGTATGTAACTCACCGAAATGATTTGTGACCAATGGCTCATAAGAGTAGCCTATCTTGACGTCCACAAGATCAACAATTTCATCATTGATTCCTTGGTCAACAAGTAGGAACTCAAAGTAGGACATGTTTGGCATAAAAGTGTATGACACATCTTGTGGCTTGCATAATGGATTCACATTTACTCCAAAAATGTTTCAGAAGACACATAAAATGAGGAGATGAGAGGCAAATTGTTGGAGTAGAACTCCAATGTTGGAATGTATTGACTCATTTGTCCTGTATATGCTTTGAATGAATATGATGTTGGGCCATAGCCGAGTGATGATACCTTCCCATGACTTCTGGCTGCATTCACGTTCAATTATATCTGCCAATTCAAGATTGGGTCCTCCAAGTATGGCAGAGACAGATTCTCTGCAACTAAGGTCGGTGATCCACTCGCTAACATGCCCATATCGGATATTAGCACACAATTCTTTCCAGTGAGTTTCAAGAAAAGATATCGCTTGGACTAACGTATAAGCAAAGGAAGAAGTCATACTCACAACCTCCTCTCTCTGGACAAGACCACATAGAAGATGACAGTACATGCTCTGTTTGCTGTCGACACATAATATGACTTCGTCAGGGCTGGTATAACATTTTGATGGCCAGTTCTTGAAATAATCGCTCGCTATGAACTTGCACTCGCAGGTGCAAGCCTGCAAACCAGAGGGAGTTGTAGATAACATCATAGAGTTTAGAAAATTCATCCTTTTTCCTTCCTGGACACCATCCATGTACCTATAAACCGGAAAAAAAAATGGATTTTTTGGTAATGGAAGTCACAAATACACTTAACATAATGTATTTTTGTATAAATATATATATATATATGAAGAGTTACTTGGATATAATTGCAGAGGATAGAGCTTGGATGAACGCAAAATTTCCAAGTACTTGTTGTTGTTGGTAGGATAGATTTTTTGTTTCCCTCCACTAGTTCCAGTGCTACACACCAACAAGGTTACAAGCATTTAATTTTCAAGTATAAAACCTTAATAATATGATTAAATCTAGTTTTAGTCATATGAAAACGTATATATACCTTAGCAAGAAATTAGTAATAGGTTCGCCCGAAATGATATATGAGGGTTCTCCGTTTGCGACCCGTTCGATATAAGGCTTAACATCCTCGTAACTCGACACCGGTATGTTCTTTTGGAAGAGCTTTTTATCAGAGCTCCCATGGAGGAAACGTCGGAGATATTCTGTGTTGGCGTTAGCTTTGAGTATCTCCTCCAATATGTCATCTTGTATTTGCTTTGCATTTGACGTCAACTCCTCTAGCTCCTTGAGCTTGGAGGCTAGAGTACTCATATTTGGTTTTGATCTCTTGATTCACACCAAGTCAAGGTTCTCTATATGTAGAGAGAAGTTCAAAGACATTGCATTAACTCGTCTAAAAAACTTTCAAGCGAGGAAAACGTTCCGATTATATTTGTATAAATTAGTTATACAAGTCAAGTATATTATTGTCTTTGTATGCGGAGCTGTTGTTTGAATTCATAGCACAGCAAAGCAAATTATATCATTTCAATGAAATAGATGGATTAGGTGAGTATCCTTTGATTTATTAAAGGATAATAGTAGTTAATTACAATCAGTGATTACTTAATTGTAGATTAGATTCCAATCAGTGATTTGAGTCATTTTTTATATTAATGTGGTGGTTAAACCATTTTCTCAAGAAACCATTTTCGGAACATATACAGTATATGGTTTTGCCGACAAAAAAAAATATACAGTATATGGTTTAACCACCACATGTCTCCAAATAATTTGAGTGTCTTAATTGAAAAGGGCCTCCCTCTTTAATATAAAATTTAATACATGGAACTACTTCCTTCTCCTTGCATGCACACCAAGCCACACTATAATCCAACTGACACTTTGGTCCCACGAAAAAAATCAGTGCGTGAACCACACTGTAATCATATTTTTTTTTTTTTTGGATAAAATGTAAATTATTATACCAAAAAGGAAAGTTTAATAACAAAAGCTTAAAAGCCGAGAACTTCTATGGCCAAAAAAAAATGAAAAACCAGTGAGAAGCTAAAGGAAAAAGAACTAGGAACCTAACTATAGGTATTCCAGGTTTGAAGAAACAGAGAACATCCTTTACGATGTCTTCTTGATAAGAGAGTTTCCCTCAGAGTCTTGTCAATTTGCCTGAAAATAGATGGCGGAGGCAAAGCTAGATCGGAATGTCTTCTTCCGTTTCTCTCCTTCCAAAGAAAGTAGATAGTTGTTTGGCAGGCCAGTTTCTTCAGAATCTTTAAGCTCCCACTTCTATAATCACATTGTAATCACATTTAAAACCGCATTCTAATGCATATTTCGTCTTTAGATCAGTAAGTATTGCCATCGATCATTCATTAAACGTAATAAGATAGAGATTTTATAACTATACATATGCATTCGTAAACTTATAAGTATATAATAACAACATGACCTTGCACGTTTGTCGCGAGGGAAAATAGAGCTTTGATTGGCAGTATAAAATTAAACAAACAAACAATCAGCACGACCGTATCTTTATGAATATTTCTTTTTTCATTAGATCAATATTAGTATATTACAGATTTCGTGAGTCTATACAGATAATCAAGGAATTATTATACGTACCTTGGTGTTCTTGAAATAGTCTTTCCCTTTTTTACTTTTCTTTGAACTAAATAAAGCTCTTATGAGGGGATTCATATTTTTGAATAATATCACATTAAATAAAAGGTGGCAACGAAGTTAAAAACAGTATAAAGTTATTATTATTGGAATAATCTACAATTCTACAAAATAAATAATACCCGAGTAATGCCAAAGATTTATTGTGCAGAAATCATTTTATTAGTCTCATTATAAGGTGGCTGAAATGGAGGTTGATGATGGAAGAAAAACTATAATGCATGAAATTCTGATTAACACTACAGTGTCCACAACCTTGAAAAAAATAACTCAATATACCACAACATGTACGAGGTGATTCATACTCTCTTTTTTTCTTGGTACCATTTCGAATCTATTTATGGAATTCGATGACATGATATGAATTTACACGACAAATGATTTCACAACGACGAAAACCTGAATCAAAGGCCAAAGTCTCGAACTGAGAAAGAGACTTCTCTTGACCACCCGAGCACAACGTTAACATCACCATGTCTCTGGCCAGCACAACTTTAGACGAAGCATCGTTGATCTTTGGTTTTACTGGCCTAACCATCTCGACTATTATCACTTTTCCTTTTTCATGAAGACTTTTCCAACAATTCTTAAGAATCTTTACACAGTCTTCGTCATTCCAATCATGTAGTACCAACTGCCATTAAATATTATTAAATTTTTTCTAATTAATTATATAGTCGAGGTCGACCATGCAACTATAAACTTGGTTATGATAAAAAAAAAAAACAATTCCCACCAAACAGAGTATATATAGTAAGTAACTTACTTTCATGAAAATAGCATCTCCTTTTGGAACTTCTATAAACATATCTCCTGAAACATGCTCCACTCCTACATACAAACAAATTTTAGTAGTAAAAGTAAGCAACAATAATATAACAGTTTTAAGAGATAGTTATCAAAACTAAAACTTCGAAATACAACTTGTTAATTTTTTTCAGTTGGTTTTATACCAGGATAAAGAGGAGCTTGTGCTATAGCCGAGGGTAGATCGAAATTGATGCCTTTAATATGAGGATACTTTGAAGTCACTAGACCTAAGACTGTTCCAATGCCTCCACCAACATCTACCAAAGTGTTTACATCTTCGAATCCTTTGTAAACTTCTAAAACCTTCTCTATGGTCAATGTGGAAGCTTCCGACATTGCCTTGTTAAACATCTCACCGAATTGTTTGTTCGACGAAACGTATTCGAAAAGTTTCATGCCATGAGCAGAGGTGAATGCATCCTTTCCTTCTAATATCACATCTTTGAGATTTGTCCTATTCAATCAAATGAAAATAAATTTCAATAGTTTGTTGACGGTACATATACTTATAGAACATTTTGCTATAAACGTAAACTAGTTTAAGAAGGTTTGTTATACTATAATACTATAACATTTTGTTCTAAACCGGTTTAATGTCGAGATTCATTAACGGGAGTATGATTATTGTACTTGATCATCAACTACTGTATTGGCTTAATTATCCCCCAAATAAAGAAGAAAGTTATTGTATTGAAATTAGCTTTGTTTGTGAATAATAATATAAGAAGTACGTACCAAGTCTTGAAATAGACTTCGCTATGGTTTACCATGAATCGAGAAGCGAGAGAACCTGTCCCGTCTCTCAAGAAAAACTTGCAAACCGGTTCAGCTGCATATTCCCTCTCCGTCTTTCCGGTTTGGACGTTTTCTCCAGTTTCAACCATACGGTACTTCAAGATCGAGTGGCTAGCTAGTAAAATCAGCATACGGTCCAACAAAACCGGTGCCTCCGGGTTGGTGGGTTTGATTGGGAGACGAAGCACAATCTGAGAAGATGAGAGCCACACACCTTCATCTAGGGCTGCCATTGTGTCTATGACCCCAAGCTCCAAGGCGGCTTTGAAAACCATGGGTAAGGCCAATGTGTTTACAAGACTCTGTGCTTGCAAGCCCACCGTTTCTTCGCCTAGTTGTTGTTCTTCTTTGGCTAGACTTGTATTAGCTGAAGTAATCGAAAGATCTTGAAGTTGGTTTTCCATTGTTATTATCGTCTGTTGAAAAATTGAGAAAGGTATTTGAAAGTTGGTTTCAACGTAGGTCTAGTGTCTAGACTTGATGTCATTTTATAGGGAGAAATCAAGAAAAAGAAAATAAAGTATAGTATAATTAAAGTTTTTGGATCCAGATATGAGCTAGTGATTTGATTTAAAAATTCAGATATCTGATTTCGTTTTTTTGTTTTTTTGTTTTTTTGTTTTTTTTTTTTTTTTTGACTAAAAGTATGGAGCAAATTTTTTACATAAAATATGGAGCAAATCCTCTCTAAAAGGATATCGTGTCGGTCGGACCAACTTTAATAATTTCGTCCACTAGACCAGTGAGGTTTCAGATGCTTTACCCTTGTATTTCAGTTTATACAATAATTAATAAACATGTGCATGGAAACGTTTATCTCTGACTTGTCTCTTTCCAATTGAGCAAAACTCGTGTGGACCTTTACTATTTTATATTCTTGTAATGATTCATATATATGATCTTATTTTAATATGCATAGTTACAAGAAGGAATAGTAAATCTACTAATCAAATGTCAGAAAACCTAACAGAGTGGGCCGTCTTTACGACATAGCTCAATGATTTTGAAACTTTACATTATTACTTTCGGGGATTCGAGCTGAGTCCAATTATTGGACTCCAAAAGAGAAGAGATAACGTTCCTACGTACCTTACATCACACATATAAACGAAAGAACCAAATTAAGAAACATTTATTGCAAGAATTACTCGGAACCATAGCAGTTGTTTTCCGTTTGTAACCATTTTTGTATCTTTTTCGTTAGATATGGATGTTATGTATTTTCATTTAAGGCAAAACAGATTCTTAATCAGGACGCAACTCGTTACACTAAACAATCTCCACAATCTTGAAAAATAAAAACAACCCAATATTTGTTTTTTTGTATAGAATCTTCACATGCACGAGATGAAGACTTGTAGTTTATTTATCCTGGTAAACTTTCGAATCTATTTGTGGAATTCGATAACATGATGAGAATATACACGGCAAATGATTTCACAACGACGAAAACCCGAATCAAAGGCTAGAGTTTCGAACTGGGAAAGAGACCTCTCCTTACCACCCGAGCATTGCGTTAACATCACCATGTCTTTAGCGAGCACAATGTTGGAAGAAACATCGTTGATCTTTGGTTGTATTGGCGTGATCATATCGATTATTATTACTTTTCCTTTTTCAGGAAGACTTTTCCAACAATTTTTAAGAATCTTTACACAGTCTTCGTCTTTCCAATCCTGTAGTGTAGACTGCCAATAATTAACAAAATTGTTCTTAGTTTAATATCCTTTAATATATATCGACCATAAAATTATAAAACTTTTCACATTAAACAGAGAGTATCTATAGGAACTTACTTTCATGAAGATAGCATCTCCTTTTGGAACTTCTTTAAACATATCTCCTGACACATGCTCCACTCCTACATATTACAAATATTAGTAAAATGAAGCAAAAATAATATAACAATTTTAAGAGAGAGAGAGAGAATTATCAAAATTAGCATTTCAAAATACTACTTGTTTTGTTGTCACTTAGTATTATACCTGGATAAAGTGGAGCATGGGTTATAACTGAGGCTAGATCGAAATTGGTTCCCTTAATATGAGGATACTTGGAAGTCACTAGACCTAAAACTGTTCCATTTCCTCCTCCCACATCTACCAGAGTGTTCACATCTTCAAACCCTTTGTAAACTTCTAAAACCTTCTTCATGGTAAATATGGTATTTCCCGACATTGCCTTGTTAAACATCTCCCCGAATTGTTTGTCGGAACCAACGTATTCGAAAAATTTCATGCCATGAGCAGAGCTGAATGCATCCTTTCCTTCTAATATCACATCTTTGAGATGTGTCCTATGGAACCAAAAAAAAAAAATCATTGTTCCTTGACGCTTTAGCTAGAAGGTGTTTTTTTTTTCTTTGACCAAAAAAAAATAGCAAAAAGGTTTATTATACGTATTTTTGTAGATTAATGTACTTGATGATCAACTACTGTATTGGCTTGTTTGTGAACAAGTAAGAAGTACGTACCAAGTCTTGAAATAGACTTCGCTATGGTTTATCAAGAACAGAGACGCGAGAGAACCGGACCCGTCTCCACGGTTCAGTAACAACTTGCAAACCGGTTCAGCTGCATATTCCCTGATCTCGGTCGGGTGGTTTTCTCCGGTTTCAAGAATACGGTACTTCAAGATCGAGTGGCTAGCTAGTAAAATCAGCATCCGGTCTAACAAAACCGGTGCCTCTGGGTTGGTGGGTTTGATAGGAAGACGAAGCACAATCTGAGAAGATGAGAGCCACACGCCTTCATCTACGGCTGCGATTGCGTCGATGACGCCAAGCTCCAGGGCGGCTTTGAGAACCATGGGGAAGGCCAATGAGTTTACAAGACTTTGTGCTTGCAAGCCCACCGTTTCTTCGTCTAGCTGTTGTTCTTCTTTGATTAGACTTGGGTTAGGGGAAGTAGTTGACGGATCTTGAAGATGGTTTGCCATTGTTGTTGTTCTTGGTTGAGAAATTTGAGAAAGGTATTTGATGTTAAGAGAAAGTTGGTTTCAACGTTTACAGGGAGAAGTCTCAAAACATTATTCGTGGACCAAAGATTCTGCCAAATGACAATAAGTGTAGTAGTTGAAATTGCCTGTACACCACTAATAAGATTCCTTTGAGGTTTTTAAAATACTTTGTATTTAGATTTTTAAATTTGTTTTTTATTTTATATGCTAATATTTTAGTTTTGTAATTTTATACTAGAAACTTGAGTATATCATAAATTTTTATGGATCCGAATCTAGATAATTACTTCCCGGATTTAAATTTATTTATATCTTGAACTTCTAAGATAATTTTGGAATTTAGCTAATTTTTCTGTGACAGTACTTTTTGGTAGAAAACAGGCAACTTAAATAAAAAAAATTATAATAGTTGATTACAATAAAAATCTGTGAACTTCATTAATTGCAAATTTTGTTTTAACCAAAAGTAATAAAGTATGGACCAAATCTCATCCAAGAGGATATCGTGTCCGTTGGACCGATTTAGAAAATTGCGTCCACATTATCTAAATGAGATATGTTACGTAACCCAATTATTATGTCAGTGTCCCCACGATAAATTTTAACCAAATGTTAACAAACAAACAATGTCACACCATGCATGTTTGCCACCAGAGAAAATAGAGTTTTGATTGTTAGTATATAAATGGTGAATAAACAGTTCTGCATTCTTACAAGATTTTCAGTTTCACCTACCAAACTCGATTTTTAAATTTATATTATTGTTGTTCTTTTGAACAATGATACAGAATGTATTTCACATATTATAAGCAGCCAAAAAAAAAATATTACCATTTTATTTCGTGCATATTATTAGGTTAACACATAAGAAGAAGAAAAAAAGTACTTTTGGGTATACACTAGCTTTAGTAGATTTTTTTCATGGTAAAGTTTGGAATCTATTTGTGGAATTCGATAACATGAAAAGCATTTACACGACAAATGATTTTACAACGACTAAAACCAGAGTCGTGGGCTAAAGTTTCGAACTGGGAAAGAGACTTTTCCTTACCACCTGAGCATTGCGTTAACATCACCATGTCTTTAGCGAGCACAATCTTGGAAGAAACATCGTTGATCTTTGGTTGTATTGGCGTGATCATATCGACTATAATAACTTTTCCATTTTTAGGAAGACTTTTCCAACCATTTTTAAGAATCTTTACACAGTCTTCATCATTCCAATCATGTAGTGTCGACTGCCATTAAATTATCTAATTAATAAATGGTCAACCATAAAATTATATAATTTTTGGTTATGATAAAACTTTTGAACTTACTTTCATGAAGATAGCATCTCCTTTTGGAACTTCTTTAAACATATCTCCAGAAACATGCTCCACTCCTACATATAACCCATATTAGTAAAATTGAGCAAAACTTTCAAGAGATAGTTATCAAAACTAGCATTTCAAAGTACAACCTTTTTTGTTGTCATTTAGTGTCATACCTGGATAAAGAGGAGCATGGGCTATAACCGAGGCTATATCAAAATTGATGCCCTTAATATGAGGATACTTGGAAGTCACTAAACCTAAAACTGTACCATTTCCTCCTCCAACATCCACCAAAGTGTTTACATTTTCGAATCCTTTGTAAACTTCTAAAACCTTATCCATGGTAAATGTGGTATTTTCCGACATTGCCTTGTTAAACATCTCACCGAATTGTTTGTCCGAGCCAACGTATTCGAAAAATTTCATGCCATGAGCAGAGCTGAATGCATCCTTTCCTTCTAATATCACATCTTTGAGATTTGTCCTATTCAAAAAAATATATAATAATAATAATAATCAGTTGTTCGTTGACGGTACTTAGATTTTAGAACATTACGTTGTATATATAAACTAGCTTAATTAGAAGGTTTATTATACTAGAACTTATTGTTGTTAACCGGTTTAATTATGAGAATTATACAGGAGTAGTGATTAATGTACTTGATGATCAAGTACTGTATTGGCTATATTTGTCCCCAAAAACAAATACTGTTGTTGTTTGTGAATGATTGAGAAGTACGTACCAAGTCTTGAAATAGACTTCGCCTAGGTTTATCAAGAAAAGAGACGCGAGAGAACCTGATCCGTCTCCACCGTTCAAGAAATACTTGCAAATCGGTTCAGCTGCATATTCTCTCTCCTTCTTTCCGGTTCCATGCATACGGTACTTCAAGATCGAGTGGCTAGCTAGTAAAATCAGCATCCGGTCCAACAAAACCGGTGCTTCCGGATTGGTGGGTTTGATTGGGAGACGAGGTACAATCTCAGATGAGGAGAGCCACACGCCTTCATCTACGGCTGAGATTGTGTCGATGACGCCAAGCTCCAATGCGGCTTTGAGAACCATAGGGAAGGCCATTGTGTTCACGAGACTCTGTGCTTGCAAGCTCACCGTTTCTTCCGCCAATTGTTGTTCTTCTTTGATTTGACTTGATTTAGGGGGAGTACTTGAGGGATCTTGAAGATGGTTTGCCATTGTTATTCTTGTTAGTTGAAAATTTTGAGAAAGGTGTTTGATGGTAATAGAGGAAGTCTGTTTCAACGTCTACACTTGTTATTTTATAGGGAGAAACGTCTCAAAACATGATTCATGCACCGAAGATTATGCCAAATGGCATTAGGTGTAAACGTTGAAAGTGCATATACACCACTAAAAACTTGTCAAAATATATATGATCCTTTTAAATCAAAGTTGATTTGTAAAAGAGGATACATAAAGTTTTTGGATCCAGATATGAGTGATTTTATTTAAAATTTAATATACAAATATGTTACTATAAATATATTTTTCAAAATATAGAAAATATATGTATATATTTTATGTAGTAAAATAGAAGAATATCTCCAAAAAATTACAAAAACATAGTATTCAAAAATGAAAATATCCGAATCTGCCATATAATTTTTCTAGTATAATTATATGACACTTTTTGGCCAAAAATCTGCCAACTTAAATAAAATTATGGTACCATTATAAGAAAATATGTTTAGTTGCAAAATTTGTATGTTTTCACTAAAAGGATGGAGCAAATCCTGCCCAAGATGATATTGTGTCCGATGGATGGACCAACTTTTCTAATTTCGTCCAAAATATTTAAATGAGATTTTTTTTTTTTATGAAAATTTTAAATTAGATATGCTACGTAGCCACGGTATTTTGATGAAACTATGTAACAACGATACTTATAGGGAAAATATTACTTATTGTTGTTGGTTGTACATTAATGAGGAAGATAGATAAGTAGCAACAGTATATATAGATGGTAACAGAAGTTGGTTTCAACGTTAACATCAGAAACGTTAACATCAGAATCATTTTATAGGCAGAAACGTCTAAAGCGAAGTGTATACCCAAAATTATGCTAAAATATTAAAAAGTTCGAGAAGCTATCAATTTTACAACATTTCGAAAATAAAAAAATAGAATCCAATGCAAACTAGCACAAGAATGGAGGAATTTCATTAGGCTAGATATGGATGAGAACATATAGTCTGCAAATTATTATTTTTGATAAACATGAATGAGATGATTCGTAGTTTCGCTTGGAAATATTTCGAATCTATTTGTAGAATTCGATAACATAATATGAATATGCTTGACAAATGATTTCACAGCGAATAAAACCCGAATCAAAGGCTAGAGTCTCGAACTGAGAAAAAGATCTCTCTTTACCACCAGAACATTGTGTTAACATCAACGTGTCCATAGCAAAGACAACGTTAGAAGAAAAGTCGTTGGTCTTTGGTTGTATTGGCGTAATCATCTCGACTATTATCACTTTTCCATTTTCGGAAAGACTTTTCCAACAATTCTTTAGAATTATTACACAATCTTCGTCACTCCAATCATGTAGTATCCACTGTCACAAATTTATTTTGTAGTTACTATGCAATTTATGAAAATTTTCACATTGAAGTAGAATGTATACTCACCTTCATGAAGATGGCATCTCCTTTTGGAATTTCTGTAAACATATCTCCTGAAACATGCTCCACTCCTATACATGACCAATTAAGAGTAATACTGAGCAAAATAAATATGATAATCGTTAGAGATATAATTTGGTAATTTTACCACTTAATTAGTGGTGTACCTGGATAAAGAGGAGCATGGGCTAAAACCGAAGGTAGATCAAAATTGATGGCTTTAATATGGGGATACTTGGAAGTCACTAGACCTAAAACGGTTCCAAATCCTCCTCCCACATCCACCAAAGTGTTTACATCTTCGAATCCTTTGTAAACTTCTAAAGCCTTTGTCATGGTAAATGCGGAAGCTTCCGACAATGCCCCATTAAACATCTTAGCGAACAGTTCATTACAAACAATAAATTCGAAAACTCGCATGCCATAAGCATAGGTGAATGCATCTTTTCCTTCTAATATAACATCTTTGAGATGGGTCCTGTGAACGTCAAGTTTTCACTATAGAGTATAAACTAACGAAACGTCCATATAGAACACTTTTTGTTGTTAACCGGTTCATTTAGAAGGTTTGTTAATTGAAATATGTACTTGATGATTGTGAATATTGAAGTAGTACGTACCATGTCTTGAAGTAGACCTCGCTTTGGAGTAACATGAACATAGACTTGAAAGAATCCAAGCCATCTCCACGGTTCAGAAAAAACGTGCAAACCGGTTCAGCTGCATATAGCCTCTCGGTTTGACCTTTTTCTCCGGTTTTAACCAAACGGTACTTCAAGATCGAGTGACTGACTAGTAAAACCAGCATCCGATCCAACAAAACCGGTGCCTCTGGGTTAGTGGGCTTGGTCGGGAGACGAAGCACAATCTCAGAAGATGAGAGCCACACGTCTTCGTCTATAGCTGCGATTGTGTCAATGACGCCAAGCTCCAAAGCGGCTTTGAGAACCATGGGGAAGGCCAAGGAGTTCAAAATCCTCTCTGCTTGCAAGCTCACCGTTTCTCCTTCTTTGCTAAGGCTTGATTTAGGGGAAGTAGTTAAGGGATCTTGAAAATGGTTTGCCATTGATCTTGTTGGTTGAAAAAATGGAGAAAGATATATAGATTACAAAGTTATATACAGTTCTACTAGTCGCACTTGGAATATTTTGGGATTATTACATTGTTGAATAATTTTGTATTTATAAGAGCCAAGGCAAGACCCAAGCTTATAACTTTTGGAGGAAATCTAAGGACTCATATCCGTTGGACCAGTATTAATTTCGTCCATCAACCAATCTACCAAATATCCAGTGATGCCATCACACGTATTAAATACATATATATACACTTGAAAACTATACATGATATCATAAAGTAGACCGCAAGATGTATTATATATCCATTTGATACCAAAGAATGTAGACTTTCTATTGGTGATATAACAATGTTGAAACAGCTGTGCGAATTCACAAGATTTTATCAGTTCTACAAAATTTTGAGTTCATGTTAGACTATTTTGTGAATATGTTAACAAACAAACAAACATTCGACTATTTATAGTCTGGTTATCATTCGACTAGTTATAGTCTCCAATTTATGTGACTCTCGTAGATCAATGTGTTTCTCAAGTATCTCCAAATGAATGAACATGAGTATGTCCACGTAATGAGAGGATATTTAGAAGATCGTTATCTATAATTCATACCCTATAAAAAATCAAATGCTATACTAGCAATTAACGGTGACAAAACACTTGGCCCATGGCTTCACACTGACAGATATATATAATCATGGGATGTCATTTAATTTGAACAATAAGTATTCTTTTGGATAAACATTTAAGCTGAATCCGATCCTGAACCACATTTGTCTTATCCAACAAATTGGTAACCCCAAAACTCTCAGAGATATGATTATGTGAAATCATTACATATCTCAGATTTGCCTTTAAGACCATGCACAAAATCAAGACTATGCGCTCATGATAACACCAAAAGCTAAAACCATGATCAGTAAGAGGTGAATGGGATTTGAGCAGGTTATCGCTCAATTTTATTAATTTACATCACCAATTTTTCAGCTGGTTACATAAGTTTAACGCACTAACGTCTCTAACATGTCTCTTTCTAATTGAGCTGAAACCGCGTGGACCTTACCAACTTTTTTTCTTGTAAGGTCAAAAAACTGGTCCTAAACTAGTTTAATATGGACATATACAAATACGTATGGTTATCATTTGTTTCTAATACATTTTGGCGTTAATCTTTTGCATTTCTCTTTTCAACAAGAGAATGAAGTTTTTTTCTTAACAACTTTTTTGGTAAAAAAAAGTTGAACCTCCGACTACACGAGTATAAAGCTGAAGACTCTGCCAAGAAACCGAAGCAGCTTGATACAGAAATAAATACAAAAAAAATAAAAATATAACTTCAAATGATAGCTCAATGATTTAGAAACCCTATTGCATGTTTGCTTTTCAGGATTCGAGCTGATGTACGAACCTAGGGACATGAATATAGGAAAGCCTTTCTTGCAAGAAATACGCGGAACGATAATACTAGTTTTTCGTTTGTAAGCATTTTTTCTTAGATATGGATGTTAATGTATATTCATTTTTATACAAATATTTTAGTAACTTAGATCGATGGGTCATCATAGTGACCTAATACTCTTTTAAAAACTTTAACCGTATATTTTGGTGGATTACCACGTAGGCACGTACAAAACAATAATATAGTCCGAAAGTCTATCGAGTATCGACATCTAACAAAACTTCATAAATTATTTTGACATCATTAGTAGTTGCCATTATTTTTAGAGAACAAAAACGACACTAAACTTCACAAATACATGTATATTCTTAGAAGAATTTACAAAATTATACCATAATAAGAAACACATTCATGTAAGCAGTACTAACAGCTTTTCTAGCTAAGTATAAAACTATAAATAAATTCTCTCAAGAAAGTATGTAAAATGTACAAATAATAATAATATTTTATATAACTTTTTATCTTCTCTTTTCTATCACAAAATTATCTTCTTTTATTTTTTTTCTTCCACATTTGATTTTTCTTTGTACTTTGGTCTCAAGTCTGAGTTGTTTTTACTCTGAAAATAAAACACGGCAAAACCTTGGAGAGAGGAGCTGGCACCACCGCCTAACGCTCCATTGACACACCACCAAAGTCCAAAGCTCTCTATTCTTTACTTTATTCCACAATACTGAGAATTTGAGAGAGACAAAGACTAATAATTAATTTACACTAAACTTTTTAGGTAAACGCGAAAAAGAATTCTCCTCTGTAGTAAACATCAATTCAACGGTTGAATTCATAGAAACCAAAGAAAAAAGCGTTTTTTTTTTATTTCTCTTTAATTTATTAAAAAGGTTACAACTTTGGCGTTAATTCTCACCGATTACTGATGCTCTGTCTCAATCTCTTCTTCCTCTAATTCATCATCCTCCTTTCTGTCTTCTAAGCTACTTCTCAGTTTCGTATTTGATCCGTTAATCCAAGTTTCAATTTTATATAGCCACATCGAGACAGATCAGATTGTGTGAAAAGAATCACAGAGAGAGAGAAAATAATGGCGGCAAGAGATGTGGAGAGAGGAGGGACGAAGAACAGAGGATCGAATAACAACAACAACTATTTCTACGACGAGAGTTCCGGCGATACTCATTGGACTTCATGGCTGATTCCGGCGATTGTAGTGGCGAATCTCGCCGTCTTCATCGCCGTTATGTTCGTTAACGACTGTCCTAAGAAAATCACCGGACCTAACAAAGCTTGCGTCGCTAGATTCCTCGGAAGATTCTCTTTTCAGCCACTTAAAGAGAATCCTCTCTTTGGCCCATCCTCTGCAACGTAAGTCTTACTTAAAGCTCGAGATTTCAAATTTTAATCTTCTGGGTACCTCAAAAGTCTCAATCTTGTTTTCAAATTCCCAATTGAAACTGCTCAGATTTGTGGGGTTTTCTCAAAGTTTCCATTTTTCTTCATGAATTGACAGATTTTAGCTACCATTTCAATCACTTTACCCAATTGAAGCATCCAATTTTACTCGAAATCAAGTTTGATCTAATGGGTACTTCAAAAGTCTAACTTTTTCCGTCTAAGAATCGAATTTGATCTCTAGCCTCTGTTAATGGCTTGGACAATGAGCTCTAGCTTGAAGGGTTTCTCAAAGTTTCCATTTTTCTTCCGTAATTTAGATTTTAGCTACCATTTCAATCGCTTTGCCCAATTGAAGCATCCAATTTTACTCGAAATCAAGTTTGATCTAATGGGTACTTCAAAAGTCTAACTTTTTCCGTCTAAGAATCGAATTTGATCTCTAGCCTCTGTTAATGGCTTGGACAATGAGCTCTAGCTTGAAGGGTTTCTCAAAGTTTCCATTTTTCTTCCGTAATTTAGATTTTAGCTACCATTTCAATCGCTTTGCCCAATTGAAGCATCCAATTTTACTCCAAATCAAGTTTGATCTTATGAATAACTCAAAAGTTTGAATTTTTCCTTCTAAGAATCGAATTTGATCACTAGCCTCTGTTCATGGCTTTGGCCAATGAGCTCTAGCTTGAAGGGTTTCTCAAAGTTTCCATTTTTCTTCCATAATTAAGCATTTAAACATTGCTATGATCTCTTGATTGACACACCCAATTGAAAGACTACTCTGTTCTAGATTTTAGTATAAGCACTCTTCTGGATCCAATTGAAATTGGTAGACTTGTGATTTGTGTGAATTCTTGTTGTCAGATTGGAGAAGATGGGAGCTTTGGAATGGAGGAAAGTAGTACATGAACACCAAGGATGGAGACTTCTCTCATGTATGTGGCTACACGCCGGTATCATTCATCTTCTCACAAACATGTTGAGTTTGATCTTCATCGGTATCCGTCTTGAGCAGCAATTTGGCTTCAGTAAGTATTTGCCTTTTACACTACAAACACACTTTTTTCTTCCCATCAAGTCTCTTTAATCTAATCGCCATTTGATCTTTAACCGTTGCAGTAAGAGTAGGACTTATCTACTTGATCTCTGGTCTCGGTGGAAGCATTCTCTCCTCTCTCTTCCTTCAAGAAAGCATCTCTGTTGGTGCCTCTGGTGCTCTCTTTGGACTTCTTGGAGCAATGCTATCTGAGCTTCTCACCAACTGGACCATCTATGCCAACAAGGCCGCGGCTCTGATCACGCTTCTGTTCATCATAGCAATCAACTTGGCGTTAGGGATGCTTCCTCGGGTTGATAATTTCGCGCACATTGGGGGGTTCTTAACCGGATTCTGTCTCGGTTTTGTCCTTCTCGTCCGGCCGCAGTACGGCTGGGAACGTTCCCGGACCCACACTTCATCATCGCATGCCAAACGCAAGCACAGTGTGTACCAGTACGTGCTGTTCGCAGTCTCGGTGGTTGTGCTTGTGGTTGGTTTAACTGTTGGGCTAGTGATGCTTTTCAAAGGAGAGAATGGGAACAAACATTGCAAATGGTGTCATTACCTCAGCTGTTTCCCTACTTCTAAATGGACCTGTTAAGTGTTAAATCATCATCATAATCATCATTATACTATAAAAGCTTTTATGTGTTCTTTTTGTCTTTTGATTTACTCATATGTGTATATTACTTAATTCGTCTTGTGTACAAAAAGGGAACGAAACAAAAGAGTGTATTACAAATTTACAGTATCTCAAACCAAAGTTTTCACTATAGTTGCTTGATTTTATACAATAATACTAACAGTTTTTATTAAAGAAAGGTATTTTCCACATTCAAACAATGTTTTACAGTTCTCTAAATCTCTTTATTTTTGAGTCTAACATGATAACCATTTGGAAACTGCAATCCAGGAGTTCGGATTATGTTTCCTCCACTGATTTCCTCCCATCTGATTAGATTCAAAACTACAAATATCATCAATAAGCACTAGATAAGAGTAAGACACAAAATGTAGCTTATAAAGAAGTTCTTGAACCTGTATTTTGTGACTAAGCTGTGAAGAAAAACAGCCATTTGGACTTTGGTGAAATCAGTTCCAACACAGAATCTCATTCCACCGCCAAACGCCAAGAAGTTCTTTGATGCATTAGTCGATTCTGATCCCTGAAATGTTTCACAGGTTTATGATTAGTTTTTGTTTCTTTAACATTTTAAAGGTTACTTGGAGTAAAAGTTATCTACAAGATTTTGATGAAACTTACTTCCCATCTAGATGGATTGAAGACAAGAGGATCTTGATACTTTTCTGGATTCAAATGTACAGCTGGTGGACAAACCATCACAGCCCAACCCGCTGGAATTGTATAATCTGAAACCATTTACAAAATATTAATTTGATAAGATATATAAAAAGTTGGAATCAATTTCAAATGGTGAAATTGGTTTATGAATCATTACCTTTGTATTGGATATCTCTTAAGGCTTTTCTGAAGATTGCAGGAACTATATTTGCTAGCCTCGCTGTTTCGTTTATGAACTGCATTTTAGTATTTAAACATTTTATTAGCTGAGAGGATTTGTGTTATATTGACATACTAAATGAAATTGTTTGTAATCTATCTACCTGAAATGTACATGTCATTGATTTATATTCTTTCCATGTAAGTCCAGAGTTAGCATCTTCACGGTTCCTCAGAATTGTCTCATGCTCTTCCTGATAAAGAATGAAACATGTTTTGGTAATGATTAGAGATAAGAGAAGTTTAATATTTAGAGGGATGAGTTTTTCTTTTCCTTTTTTTGTGTGTTTTACTTACTGTTAAACGTTTTAGGACTAAAGGGTCGTCTGAGAGGAACTTGATGGCTAAAGTTATAGCAAGAGAAGTTGTTTCGAAGCTAGCGAAAAGCAAGACAAACATCAAGTCTAGTGCAATTTCTTCTGTGAGAATTGTCCCTTCTTTCTTTAGCTCTTCAATGACATAATCAAAGAAATCACTTGGATTCTCTCTTGGCTTCTCACGCCTCTCCTTAAGCATATTCCTCAACATTTTCATCGCTCTTTCTCTTCCCTACAAAAAAACCAATTTTAGCATATCAAAAAGAGTCACAAGTTTTTTAAGAGAAAACGTAATTTTGCCTAAGTAATAACCTTTAAGCACTTGTGATAAGCTGTCCCTGGGATGTCAAAAGGAAATGAGATCAAACCGCGGATGAATGAAACAAAGTTTTCCCTTAAATTCTCTGAGGACTTCTCTGGATGGCTAATTAACTTCTTCGCGGTGAGATCAAATATCAACTGATAAAAAAAAAAAGTGACAGTTTTAAGAAGTCAGAAACTTAGGAATGTTGTAAACAGAAGTGGAAAGTAATTTTTTGAAACTCACGCTTGCTGTTGAATCTTTCAGCTCAACTGATTCTTGAGTTGACCAGAGCTCTAACTTCTTACATGCACTTTGTTCAATTTCAGGAAGCATCTTCTTGAGACTTTCATGGCCAAATAGATACAAGACCATATGCTTGAGGTACTTATACATAAACCCATGTAATGATCCCACGTTCTGTTTTCCAAAGATCTCAGTGAAAGTGTCCGGATACCAACTCTGGAAACAACAACCTTCTTGTTGGAACACAAAACAACTCAAATCAGAGTCTGTCGATACAATAACTGGTCTTCCCACAAGGTTGGTTTTGAAGATTGGACCATACCTACAACACAAGAAATGTTAAAGTAAAGGTTTTAACTTTCACATATAATACAACGTACTCTGCAAGAAAGAAGAGAACACTCACTTCTGAACCCTCTCTTTAATAAACTGTGAAATGTCTGAAGTTGTGTTTGGTTTGAAGAAATGTATCGTCTCACCGAGAAGTGGTAAGCCCATAGAACCTGGTGGAAGCTTCCCTCTGCATGTAGGGTTCCTCCATTTGTAAACCCAAGTTGTGATGCTTATCAAAAGCAGAGAAGCCCAAATGTACAATGCCCACACCATCACTGTAAGACGATTGTAATTTGATATTTGTTTTGATGTTTTCTTAACTATGAAATATCTTTTTCTTTTGGTTTCTTCTGTGTATGTTTGTGTTAGAAAAAAAAATATGAAAACGTGCAGATGAAAAAAGCAAAGAAGAGAAGAAAAAAGAAGCTAAACTGCTGGCATGTTTTGTCAACTAAACCATATGAAACTCCTTAAATAGAGAGGCAACTCCTTACACACATCTCTGTTATCACATAATAATAATAATAAATTGCAGCTTTTAAGTACTTGCACATTGGAATAATAATGCACTATTTAAGTAGTTTCAGTTTGGAATAATTTTCTTTTAAAAACACACATCTGTTTATAGAAACTATTTAAAGGAGAAGAAGTTAAAATTCAGTAACCACATATGACATGAAGGTTCCTCTATACGTATTTTTTGTTGTCATTTCTCATTGATCACTATGGCATTAAAAAACAGACTGAACATATATAAGGAAAGTTTCCAGACATTTTCGGATAAAAAAAAATATTGGATATTAACTTAAAAGTTGAAAACTCAGATTGTTAAACACACAAGAAAAACGTCCCAGCTTTTACAGTGTTGACTTCGAAATTGTTTATCTTGTTCCTCTTTCCATATCTATGCTAAATATTCCAGTATCTAATGCAATCTTTGACATCGGAGAAGCAAAAGTAAACTCAACACATAAAAGTGTTTATAGTTTGTTCACATTCATGCTTAGAATCTCTTGTTTAGATTTGGTTATCACATAATCATTATCTTCATAATAGTTTTAAAACTCACTTGTCAAACTCAAGATCTAAATGCAATAATGCATACATCAGTTTTTCAATTCTTATAACCACTGTATCTTGCATATCCAATGTTCAGATTATAACCTGAAAAGATTAATCAATTGTTTTTATATCTTTATTGTTGGCTTTAGCTCTTAAAAACTGATTGCTCTTGCCTCTTGGGACCCCATTTGGTTTAGCCATTAAGCCACGGGCTTCATAATTGTGCAATGATCTGAACTCTCCAATAATTATTAATCTTCATTACATCGGAAATGGTTTGATTTTGCATTTGAGTGCTAGAAACTTAGTCAAAAAAGTGTTTTCTTTTTCATCAGTATGAGCTACTGAAACAGGTAACTAAGACAAAGCCTAAGAGCAATTAATTAGGTGTAGCGTATAAAATAGTATATAGAAGATGATTATTGAATTATTATGGAAAAAAAATGCTTGAAAACTTCTTCAAGCTTTCCCAGCTTAGTATTTAATTAGGGTCTTATTAAAAGATTGTGAGTTTGTTGATGAAGACAAAAGCCTAATAGCTTAGATTAATATTTTTTTATTTTTGAACGAGGGTTGAAGTAGATTAATATTGTAGCAAAGCATAATATTTTTCTCATCAAAACCCCAATATAAAGGAAAATAAAATACTGTATTAATGATTATTTTTTCCAGTACAAGAAAAACAAATTGGTTCGAAAATGAAAAGTCGACGTGAAGTATGCATTGCTTGGGTCCTACGGGTTTTGTTTTTTACGTGGCAGAGACTAATTGGCGTTGGCGGCACCTTAACACGGAAAGTGGGCCCACGTGATGCACATCTTCTGAGTTCTTATTTGAATCCGGTCGTCGTTATTTTATAAAGTGGAGTTTAGTTAACCAACGTGATTATGCCAAATTTACAATATAAAACATGCTCACATAGTCACATATAAAGAAAGATGACGAAGTCATTATTATTATTTTTAAACTCGAAGTCCTTATTTAAATTATAAATTAGTGGATGATTTTGCATTTTTGCTTTCGGTGATCAAAATAACTACAAATGCAATGAGAGTGAAAGGTTTCTTTTACTTAAAAACTTTATAAACCGTACACAACAACCAAAAAAAAAAACTTTAGAAAACGTAAACTTTGGTTTACAACGATTAACGATACAACAAGAAGCTCACGCACCAATTAATCACAGTTTTAGAGGAAACATTTTCACCCATGTTTCGTAGAGATCACTATTATGTTTGGATAATAGAAGGAAATGAAGGATAAACAAACTTATATTTATCGTTACTAAAACTAGAGTTTAAGAGGCAAAGAGTGGTCAAATGCTCAACATAGGTATACTACTGGCAGCCTTGTACGAGGGTTACTTTGTTATGGTATGCTTAAGTGCTCAACATAGGTATGACCAAGTTTAAGCGCCAGACATTATTAAAAAATTTAGGACAGCAAAGTATAGTAAGTTTGCATTAGTCCAGTGGTTACTTACTATACACGACACCTGAACATGTGATGCGAACACTAAAGCTTAAACATAACCATTTTGGTATTTAACGCTACTAAAAACCATTATGAGAAATAAATATTATTAGCCATATATGTAGTTACAACAAACCTGTATTCAATTGATAGAAGATTGAAATAAGTGATATTATTCGATTACATAGAGCTTATTCGTAGTTTCTATTCTTGATAGAATTTCGAATCTATTTGTGGAATTCGATAACATGATATGAATTTACACGACAAATGATTTCACAACGACTAAAACCTGAATCTAGGCCAAAGTCTCGAACTGGAAAGAGACTTCTCCGTACCACCCGAGCACAATGTTAACATCAACATGTCTTTGGCAAGAACAATGTTGGAAGAAGCATCGTTGACCTTTGGTTTTATTGGTGTAACCATTTCTATTATTATCACTTTTCCTTTTTCAGGAAGACTCTTCCAACAATTTTTAAGAATCTTCACACTGTCTTCATCACTCCAATCATGTAGTATCCACTGCCATTAATTCAATCAAATTAATATATGGTCGACCATGGAATTACATTAATTTGGTTATGATTAAAACTTTTACGAGTATCTATATAGAGGAACTTACTTTCATCAAGATAGCATCTGCTTTTGGAATTTTTGTAAACATATCTCCTGAAACATTTTTCACTCCTACATATAACCGACTTAAGTAAGTATCAAGCAAAATATATATGATAATTTTTAGAGATATAGCTAGTTGTAGTCTGTTAATTTTATTACCTGGATAAAGAGGAGCATGTGCTACAACCGAGGGTAGATCGAAATTGATGCCTTTTACATGAGGATACTTGGAAGTCACGAGACCTAAAACTGTTCCAATTCCTCCTCCAACATCTACCAAAGTATTTACATCTTCGAATCCTTTGTAAACTTCTAAAACCTTCTTCATGGTCAATGTGGAAGCTTCTGACATTGACTTGCTAAACATCTCACCGAATTGTTTGTCGGAACCAACGTATTCGAAAAGTTTCATACCATGAGCAGAGCTGAATGCATCCTTTCCTTCTAATATCACATCTTTGAGATTTGTCCTATCCAAAAAAATGATAATAATAATAATCAGTTGTTCGTTGACGGTAGTGATTAATGTACTTGATGATCAATTACTGTATTGGCTATATTTGTCCCCAAAAAAAATATACTATTGTTGTTTGTGAATAATTGAGAAGTACGTACCAAGTCTTGAAATAGACTTCGCCTAGGTTTATCAAGAAAAGAGACGCGAGAGAACCTGATCCGTCTCCACGGTTCAAGAAGTACTTGCAAATCGGTTCAGCTGCATATTCTCTCTCGTTCTTTCCGGTTGCATGCATACGGTACTTCAAGATCGAGTGGCTAGCTAGTAAAATCAGCATCCGGTCCAACAAAACTGGTGCTTCCGGGTTTGTGGGTTTGATTGGGAGACGAAGCACAATCTGAGAAGATGAGAGCCACACGCCTTCATCTACGGCTGAGATTGTGTCGATGACCCCAAGCTCCAATGCGGCTTTGAGAACCATAGGGAAGGCCATTGTGTTCACGAGACTCTGTGCTTGCAAGCTGACCGTTTCTTCTTGTAATTGTTCTTCTTCTTTTATTAGACTTGGTTTAGGGGAAGTAGTTAAGGGATCTTGAAGACGGTTTGCCATTGTTATTCTAATTAGTTGAAAAAATTGAGAAAGGTGTTTGATAGTAATAGAGAAAGTAAGTTTCAAGGTTTACACTTAACGTCGTTTTATAGGGAGAAACGTCTCAAAACATGATTCATGCACCGAAGATTATGCCAAATGTCATTAGGTTTAAACGTTGAATAACATGATTTATGCATATACACCACTAAAAACTTGTCAAAATATATATGATCCTTGTAGAATAATAATATTTATATTATATCTAAACAAATTTCGAATCCGGATATGAGTGATTTGATTTAAAAATTAAATGTAAAAATCTGTTTCTATAAATATTTATTTCAAAATATATAAAGTATATGTATTTTTATGTAATAAATAGAAGAATATCTAAAAAAAAATTATAAAAACATAGTAGTATTCTCTTTTTTTGATAAAAAAAACATAGTAGTATTCAAAAATAAAGATATCCGAATATAATAATTAATTTTCGGATTCAGGATTATAAATCTTGAACTTCTAAGATATACGATAACAAATCTATGTTCCTCCTATATATTTGCAATTTAGATAATTTTTCTAGTACAATTTATATGACACTTTTTGGTAAAAAAAACTGCCACTTAAATAAAATAATGATAGCATTGCAATCAAAATCTGGTACTCTTAACCTGATTAGTTGCAATTTGTTTGTTTTCACTAAAAGAATGGAGCAAATCCTGTCCAAGAGGATATCGTGGCCGATGGACCAACTTTTATAATTTCGTCCACAATATTTAAAAGAGATATTTTTTTCTTTTTTTGATAAAAAAAAAGATAAATGAGATATGTTACGTAGCCCAGTAGACTAGTAGTTAATGTGGTTATTATGTTACCACAATAAATTATTAAGTTTATAAACTAAATGTTAACAAACACCATCACGGTATTTTGATGAAACTATGTAACAACGATACTTATAAGGAAAATATTACACACTGTTGTTGGTAGTACATTAATGAGGAAGATAGATAAGTTACAACAGTATAGATGGTATAGCAGAAGTTGGTTTCAACGTTAACATCAGAATCATTTTATAGGCAGAAACGTCTAAAGCGAAGTGTATACCCAAAATCATGCTAAAATATTAAAGCTTCGACAAACTAGCACAAGAATGGAGGAATTTCATTAGACTAGTTATGGATGAGAACATATAGTCTGCAAATTATTATTTTTGATAAACATGAATGAGATGATTCGTAGTTTCGCTTGGAAAATTTTCGAATCTATTTGTAGAATTCGATAACATAATATGAAAATGCTTGACAAATGATTTTACAGCGAGTAAAACCCGAATCAAAAGCTAGAGTCTCGAACTGAGAAAATGATCTCTCCTTACCACCAACATTGTGTTAACATCAACGTGTCCATAGCAAACACAACGTTAGAAGAAAAATCGTTGGTCTTTGGTTGTAATGGCGTAATCATCTCGACTATTATCACTTTTCCATTTTCGGAAAGATTTTTTCAACAATTCTTTAAAATTCTTACACAATCTTCGTCATTCCAATCATGTAGTATCCACTATCACAAATTTATTTTGTAGTTACTAATACTATGCATGGTTTACTTTGAAATTATATTTAAATTTATAAAAAAAATCACATTAAATCTATTTACTTTCATGAAGATGGCATCTCCTTTTGGAATTTCTTTAAACATATCTCCTGAAATGTAACCATATGCAATGTTTCTAATTTTTCAAAGTGGGCACGGCCCTAGGCTTTAATCATTTACGGTTGAGAGTTGAGACCTAATCACACCATTAAGCTAAACACCAAACTCATTTCTTTTTTTTTTTCCGAATTGTATTTTAAATTAATTCCAGCCAAAAACAAAACGTTTGATGTATTTCCGAATTGTATGTTAAATTAATTCAAGCCAAAAACAAACGTTTGTTACATCAAATGCTACTTTGTAGCTGAGTTTTTAGAGGTGGAGACTAATCACGTAAAATTACAGAGGATAAGGAGAGGGTCTCATGAGTTAACACCAAACTCCATTTTCCTTTACGTGTGGTGCAAGTGACATGCAAATGGCTTACTTCTTGACTTCTCCATGGTTCGAGTTACATTTCTTCAACGCCCGGTCGTGGTTCAACATTGCGCTTACACTCTCAACCACGAAAACAATCTGTAAAAAACCGTAAAGCCGGTTTAAAGCCAAGAAAAACCAAAACTATAACACTCTTTTGAGCAAAACTTGTTGATATCGAATTGTACATAGAGTCATGGCTATATGTTACCTGGAAGCAAGCGTAGCCAATAGCATTCCCGAAGTAGAAATTGGCATTTCCAGTCCCCTGAAATCAACAATCAAAACAGTTGTTCTGAATCTGTGATCACCACTAGAACATTTGGTTGCAAACTTTGTGACAAATTTGGGTTGAAGATGATTACCCTCCATATCCAGAGGTTATGCATCACAGGGCTGAGGAGAGAGATCCCAAGATATCCACAGAAGAGGAAGAACGAGAACTTCATATCAACCAACTCATTGACAAACAATGCCCATAGACTCAAGTATAAAGCCGAATCTCCAACCTAAACAAGATCAAGACGAAACAAAAGAGCACAGTTTTTCACATTTATGAACACGATTCTTCAGAAAAATATACTTCACACTGATTTCAAAGAACTTACTGAAGGGTAAGATTTGAGAATCGAGGAGATGGCTAAGTATATGAAAGCCAAGAAGCAGGGCCGATGTTTCAACCGTATGGCTAAAGGAAGTAACATAAACAGAATATTTACGTGGAAAACTATCAAGAAGAAACTTCTGAAGAAGTCGAAAACTTCTGCAAAGAAGTACCTGAAAAAGTGATAGAAAAATCAATCAAAGGCAAATTTTTCTTATTCGTCACCTATGTATAAACACTATACTTACCAAAAGACTCCAATGTTTGGTGATAGATCTTCAATACTGAGAATGAAACCATATGTCCTATAATACGAGGCACAAACACAGAGAATCTTAGATTTTCTCTAATGGCTATCAGAAACTTAGCCTATTTTCGATTCAAATTTTGGTTTGTTTCCAGAGCTAAGTGTTACCTGTTGAACATCTCTTCGAGGCCACCATATTTAGTCAGTGATAAGGCACACAAAACCAACACACAGAGCGACCAAAGAAGCAACCAGAACACGAAGTGGATGACTGTTTTCCATAGAAAGGGAAGCCGTGTCGTCGGTTTTGAGGTTGATCTGTCCTCATTGTCTACTTTCTTGGTCTGTAGGAACAATTTCAACGGAGGAGCATCCAAACCATATCCCAATAGAAAGATTATCTGTATCGAAACAAAACACAAAAAGATCTATAAGAATCTGTTTCCTGCGAGAGAAATTCTAAATATATAAAGCAGGAAACGAATACATACTGGGATTGTCAGAGTTGCAGGGTAAAGAGATAAATGTGTGGCCATGACTAATCCAAATGCAGCCAGAGGAACTTTCCCTGCATCAACAGAATACATTAAAAAAATCGTAGAATGTCAATTGAAAATATCAATCTGCAAGTATCATCATCATAATCTTCTTCTTACGAGTAACTGCTCCATAAAGTGCCGATATCACAGCCAGATTCTCGATTGGTGAAGTCGACAAGCCCACACAACAAGCGATTGTGAAAGGATTCCAAAGGTACACAAGAGCAGCAATATCACCAGAAGGTAGGATCCCTGAAAGAGAAAACCAAAAGGAGAGATCACTCTATGCCTTGCAAGTAAAGAGAATTACTCTCTGCTCCAATCTCAATGAGCCAAAACAAATCTACTTAAGGACTAACATTGTAGATAACACACTTGTGTCTCATCAAGGAAGTAGAAATGAGATTGAATGATACAATGAATTCAATAGAATGCCTCCAAATTTACCTTTATCTCTTGGTGTCTTAAGAAGACCAAGAAGCCTCGCATTCAATCCATAAGCCATCTGGAGCTTTTGACCAATACCTCGAAGAAGCATTGCACTTAATACATCTGCAACAACAAAAACCAAGCTGTATCCAAGAGAATGTTACTACCAAAGTTCTTGATGAATATGAAAACATTGAAAGATGATCACTTTTCCATATCCATATCTCCTAATCCCATACAGAAACAGCTTACCAAGATCCAAACTCACAATCTAATCCTACCAAAGATTCTCAGCAAGTTCAAAAATCTGAGAAGCAAGAGATCACAGAAATGAAGAGAGATTGAAAAGTACCTGCACAAGAGGTGACTTGGTTGCCCTTTAATCCTGCAACACCCAAATTTGTATTCCAATTTAAACTCAAAGTTGAACAACGTTCAAGTTTTCATATGATTTCGGATCGATTTACAGGCAATACCTTTGAACGGTGAGAGGTCCGAGAAGAGAGAGTAGCAACGGGGAGCCGTGATACATAGATCCTGCTCAAACACAAGTACAGAATCAGCTCCCAAAAGCTTTAAAATCAAAAATTTACAGAGGATCGAATATGAATTGAGGAAGAAGATAAAACCTGCATATGGTGACATCGATGCTTGCTTCAACCAGTAACCTTCAGCAACTGAAAATTCACACAAAAACGAAGAAATGTGAGCAGCAATTGAGATCGTATAGTGATAGTGAGAGATAGAGAGAGTGATAGAGTGAGAAAGAGAGGCATTTACGGCGGCGAATGCTGGTGAGAGGAGTGGAGACCTCCGGACGGGAAGAGAGATTGAGATTTCCGGCAAATGAAATCAATATCAATCGGAAAGCAACGGATGACAAAGCCCAAATCCAGAATCGACATGGCTTCTTCTTCTCTTCCTCCGCCATTTCTCCGTCGTCCTTCTTCATTTCTCTCACTTTCACAAATTCTCCGGCGACCAAAAGAGCGACGACTTGGACGAGAAGCCGTACTGACGAAACGACGCCGATTTGATATTAAATAATAAGCCCATTAGTTTAGGTAGAAAGACAATTAGTTTTGAAATTCCTCTCTCTGTACTTGGTTGATTTTTTTTGGTGTGAAATGGACTATTATTCTTTGACTTCGATGATCTACGTAGCAACTGAGTTCTTAGGATTTTAATTATTTTACGAATTATGTTGAGCTGTTACTGTACAAACATGTAAACAACTTTAATTTTATAGCTTTCTTGCTACTAATATTGTACTGGATCGTCCTCTTTGTGTTTATTTGTTTCATGGCTAGTGCGAGTTGAATAGATAGGTTCTTGAAAGACAGTTTTTTTTTTTTTTTTAATTGATATAGATGTACAAGAGGATAATTTTTTCAAGTGAATAACATACTAATTATGTTTTTAGTCAAGGTTAAATGTATGTATAATAAAGTATTTAGAGCATAAAAATATTTAAGAAAAAGGCGTTGTTGTGCAATGGGATTTTTGATATAGGAAGAACAAAGATATTGCTACGAGTCTCGCCTACATGATCAACATAATGTAGAAGGATCTAGGATACCTAATTTGTTAGTAAATATATTGTATATTTATTACATAGATATTCAGAGAATATTTTTTTGGTAAACATATATATTCAGAGATTTGTATCTACACTCCAGTACGTTAGTTTAGGAAATCTCAGTACCAATCTTTATAAGAATCATAAGCATATTCTTCTCATTTCTCAGTATATTTGTACAAATATCTCTTGCTGATGATCCTGATCGTTCCCGACTTCCCGGAGAACCGACGAGCTAAAAACTAAGACTCCGGTTTTTATGGGTCAGTGGTAAATATATCCGGTTCGATTTTTCATGTAAATTCGGTATGTAATTAAACCGGAGTAAAGCCAAATCTTTTAACTGAATTAAAGAGTAATTAATTATTCTAGTTTTGGAATCAACAATAGTCAATACTCAATACACACAATTTAGATGGGTTCAAAAAAATAAAAGTAAAATTCGGTTTTGATCTTAAACCGCACGATAATCAACCTAAACCAAAAGTCAATTGAAGTTTGGTTCACTATGAAATCAATACGCAATTAACCGGTCCAGAGAGAATCAAATTCGGTTTACGAAAATCAACCGAAACCAAAAGTAGTCAATTGAAACTTAAACACCAAAGCCAAATTCGTCACACAACAAAACCAAACCAAAAGTCATAAACCAAACTACAAACCAAGGGCACGAAAATCACTGAGAACTCTTGACCAAGGACCTCATCATAATCATACCCTGGATCTTATTGAGTAACGTCTTGCAGCTCTTGAACTCTCCACGAGCAAAGGCATCTTGAACCTCTTTCATCATCTCTGGGAATGGCTGCTTTGGTATTTCTTCTTCTTTCTTCTTCATCTTTACCAGATACTCGATCTTCCCTGCAACTGTGGTTAGCTCAAACTCTGTGACCTCCGATAGGAAATCAAAACCTGCAGGTTTGGATGTCTCCAGCTTAGCTTTGAGCAGTAGGGCAGAGTCCAGAGAAGCTGCAATCTCCAAAGCATGTGGTGAGTGGAGCCGGTCAAGTTGTTCTTCGAGAGGGCGGATGATTTTTCCGGATGATCTATAGTCCCTAGCATTGAAACATTGTGTGATCTTCTCCAGTTGAATCTCAAACGCATGCACATCGATCGTGTGTACCTCCTTGTGTCTTCTCATCGCAGCCTGAGCCACCTCGAACTTGACAGCTAAACCATCATGCTGAAAAGTAGGAGCTACACCAAACGCATGGAGAATATCGGCACGGGATTTACCAGCTCTCACGGATTTTAGAATGCTTGATCTCGTCTCCACAATTTTATCATACATTTTGAACCTCTCGGATGTAGGCTCCTCTTCTCCAGTCACACTCTTCACACCCAGAGTAGTTTCCTGGACTTCGACCTGAGCCATTCTCCCAATCTTTTCATCAACATTAGACGTGTACCTGGAGAAAGCAACTTTCTTGTGGAGTGGAAGCAAGTCGTCAGAGTCGACGATGCGTGGTATCTCATTGGAGAACATGCTCTCATTGGTGGCATACAGCAGCTCCCTCAGAATTCCAACGACAGAGAAGGATGGCATGGCACAAAGATCGGTACAAGTAGAGAGGCTCACTTCTTCCTCGGTATCACCCAAAAAATCTGATTGAATGTTCTTAAGCCTTTCAATTAAACTGATACCTTCTTGTTGGAGACTGACATGTTCCTTGTCTGCAGATTTCACAGCCCTTCTTAAACGACTCATTGCATCACTAAGCCTTGCTGGTCTGAAATTAGTGGCTTCCACCTCATGCAAAAGGCAAGCTTCACCATAGAATAGCGCTGACTTGAGCTCTGCATATGAACTCCAGCTTTTCTCAAAGGAGTCACTGAGAGGAGCAGCATTGAGTGCCTTGAGAACCTCAGCATAGTACAAAGACACCGCAAACAACAAGTTCCAACACACAAATCACATCACATATCACAAAAAAATTTACGATTTACAAAGGAGGAGAGAGAAGAAGATTCACAAACCTGGGAGCAAAGTTTTGCTTTAACAGCATCGATGCTTGTTGACTCTTCCAGAAAGTTGAGAGAGACCAGTTCCTGTGCCTGAGCAAGCATGAGGGACTCCAACATTCCACTACAGGCTACACTGAGATCAACCGTGCATTCCTCCACCGAGGCCTTGAAGGATTCATTTTGGCGCAGGTAGGAAAAGGCAGTTGCTGCTGCTAAAAAGTCCTGTGAAGCGTTACGCCGACCTTCAACGGTGCTAGTGTCATGGCCGAGTCCAAGCTGACTGTAGAGAGCTCCTAGGTTGAATAGAACAGCTGCTTTCTCCAGATGGATGTTATCCTGGCTGGCTTCTAGCTCCGGCTTAAAGGCATCTTTCCACGAAAAGGAACATTTGACACTGAAGAGAGGAAATCGATTCTGGACCAGGCATAATAACCTGTAGTAGTCCAGAAGCGAGTGACAGCGCTCTCGCGTGAGAGGTTTGGGATCTTCATCTTTGTAAGATGCACAGTCAGAGCGAAGAGACATTAACTGTGATAGGTCATCGTTGAGAACGTCAGGGTCCTCTCGATGACCCAGCACGATGTGGCTTCGAAGTCTTCTCATGGGATTCTTCTCAACATACAGCTTCTCCTTGACAATAAGACTCATTGCTGCAAACATCAGAGTAGACCTTGAATCAGAAAGCATCAAACTTGAATCTTGGAATCAAAATAGACACTGAACCAGAAAACATCAAACTTGTTACAAAAAAAACCTCACCTTTGCTTTCAGATCTTGAAGAGAAGCTTGGAGACGAAGGGACGACCAAGGGATTGTGACTTTGTGAGACTCCTTGGAAAAATACTGTTGTGACCTTTCAACGCTACCATTAAAGCAAGCGTCTTTGTTAAATGTTCTACTTTCATTAAATCGCTTTTTTTCTTTTCACTTGCTATTTACGATTTTTTTTTGGTTGTCTTTCTAATACAAGGAAATCTGTAAAAATATTACCAAGAGACTAGGTGCATTTTGAAAACTAATATTTTCATCAACATTTTAAAAACTGACATTTTCACCTGAATTTATCATTGGGTAAATATTTATAGAGGAAAAAAATCAAACTTTCTACGGATTTTGTATTCACAATTTATAAAAAGCTAACAACTTTACTTTTTCTCATGTATGTTATGTGTACACTAAATTATCTGTTATTACACTACTTATACTTTATTTTTATAGTGAACTCAGAATATATATCTTTAACCCAAAAAAACCGGGAATCTATATATATATAAATTCAAGTAAATGAATCTCATCCCCTAGTAAGTGAAGTGCTTATTTGATTGTTTACACTGCTGCCTGAGGCAGAGGCTGAGGATAAGATGTAAGTTTTAAAAACAGAAAAATAAATATAATACTGAAAGTAAACTTACTTTATTAATAACGACAGAGAAGGGAAAATCTCGGGAGGATATGGCCATGTCCTGCATTCTGACCTCCATATTTTTGTGGAGCCCATGTAAAATCAATATCTCCGCCTTTTATTACTGTTACATGATCACTATGAGACTATTTACATGCTAAATTAGTAATTACTCTTTAAATTTTTAAATGTTGATAAAAAAAAATAAAAACCCTTATTTACTTCAGATTCTCACTACATTCACTTAATATTGAGTATGAGGTTGTACTGAATTCATATCAAAACAGTAAATCGTCTTGCGAAAAAAAAATTAGTGTCAATTTTCTTTGTCATCATCATTTGTTGTTCACATGGCCCTCCTCCGTCCCACAAAAAGGGTGGTTTTCGTTTGATGGGAAATAACACCTTCGAGCTCTAGTCTCTAGACTACTACTTTTAGATGGGGTCCACATTTAATAACCTTTTTGAATTAACTAGCCTGTTTATATGCAAGGCTTATTGACAAATAAAAATGTCCTTTTTGAATTAACCTGTTTATATGAAAGGTTTATTGACAAATAAAAATGTTCATTTGCATTAAACTGATAATCATAACTAAGCAAATCACTAATCAGTTTTCTAAAAATCCACCGTAGCGAAATTTTCGACGTGCAAATAAATTAATATTACTGTTGATGATTGATGCCAAAAGTTTTTCCTTTTTGTTAAAAGTATACTAAAGGTTACATGTGGTTACCTTTTCTTTTGACTAACTAACCAAGGGTCAACCGTGGTTACTTTTTACTTTGTTTTCAAACCCTTGGTTAGTAACTCATGTTAGTAATTTATTGCTTCGGATTATCTGGCAATCGAACGCACTAGAGTCGTTAACTTTTAGATCTATGCTGCTAATCATTTTAGATCTAAATGATACTCCCTTCATTTTTTTAAGATGAATTTTCTAGACATTATTTATTGTTTCACAAAGATAAATTTTCTATCTTTTTGATACACTTTTTCAGTTTTCAAGAAACAATAATTGTGTTTATTAGATTTTTATTGGTTTAAAATCATAAAAAGTTGTTTTATTGCAAAAATCTATACACTAATGATTGAAAATCAGCTTTTTTTTAATATGTGTGAAATGTTTAGAAAATTTATAAAAAAAAAACGGAGGGAGTAGTATAATTGATAAGCATAAAATTATGGCTGGTATTGGCAACGAACAAAACCAGATTTGTACTTTTTTTTGTTTGTCTGCTGTAAACGAAATCTTTTGATAATGAGACCAATAGTTAAACTCGTATAATTGTCGCCTCAAAAACTACTAACTAGTGTATGAATCTATAAAAACGCAAGCATAATAAAGCTAGAATAAACAACCTGTAATAGTAGTAATTATAAGAATTTTCACTACTAAAGTTATAACGAATCTTTTTATATAACATAAAAAACAAATGGCAAACAATGCTCTAAACATTTAATTTGGCGTGCCGATCAAGTTTTTTGTTTGTTTGTGTGGGACCCAACAGCAGATATCCTCCTACCCGAAGAATAATATCTGACCCAAAAAGAATTTTTTAAAAACCAAGTCTTCGCATATTTGTAAAGTTATCAAACTGATCAGCTATTATTTATATATAATTACGATTTAGGATCACCTGACTTGATATAAAAGTATAAAACGTGCATGCCTAAATATTAAATTTAATGCTAGAATGCAACCTTGTTACAGTATGTACAATATGTTTCTTTAAATAACGATTTTCGCTTCGGACCAATACGATTACGAGGTTGGAAATCCGACGTCCGATACGATGTGAATTTCAGATCGGATACTCATACCTTTTCATTATTAATTAAATAAAATAATATCATGGAGTAAACTACTAAAATATTTGGTTGGGACCAATACGAGGTTCGTAATTGTTATAAGAAAACGTCCAAAAGGGGGATCTGAGGAGATTCATGGACAATGTGTGGCCCAAAAGACCCCACAAGATCACACCTACATTATCAACTTGAAAATTCTTTTTTTGGATCTAAGGGCAAGTGCAGCGGACAGTTTGTCACAGGTTCTTTAACCCAAAAGAAAAGAAAAATTGAAAATAATTACTTATGTGGCGAGTCCAAAGCCCAGATACGTCTCTCCCGGCAGAGACTGTGGAGACGGTTCTACTCTCTACGTGTCGTGACGACAAAGCTCGCGATAATTTTTTTTGACGAGATTTTTTTTTTCTTTCTTCGTCTTCGTCTTCTCCAGTTCTCCTCATCAATCAATCCAGCTTTTTTCGTCTTCTTCTCTTGGTTACTCCGTTAATCTGCCACAATCAATCCATTCCGGCGAGGCAGTCTCTCCGACGGCGAGATCGAGCGCGGAAGAGTTAGAGCGAAGAGAAAAAACAGAGTCTCCTCTGGATCCACGGCCCAATCAAATCGGCAAGGTTCTGGAGTCGAGATCGATGTTCGAGAGAGCCTGGAAGTTACATGCATGATGTCGGACTCCAGTGAGAAATTTGATTTTGATATTCTCTCTCGGCTGTTTCTATTGATTGGTTTTCGCTTTTGATTTTCTCAATCTTGGGTTTTGTCAAAAAACCATATTGATTTGTTTGCTGTAAATCTCTCCTTAACTTATAAGTGAGTTGTTGTCATGGTGATATTTTAATCCGGATTTGTATGATATTGTGGAAAAATCTGAACTTTGTACAAATTATTAGTCTTCTTCAAGTTCTGCTCTATCATCAAATTGAGAGGCTTTCTCTTACTGTACTCTGATTTGTGTCTTTACGTGTGTTGTTACATCGATGCGTGTTCCAGCTACAAGCATGGGATGATCTACAGAGGCTACGACCACTTTGTAAGTCATTTGCTATCATCTTGATCTGAGTTCTGTTGAAAAACTGCTTTTTAACAGATTTTTGTTATCTTGGTTTATATGGTTTCAGGCAAGAATATGGGATATGCGTAAACTACAGCGAGGAGTTTCTCTTAGAGATTGTTCATAGCCATGATTTCAATCGGCATTTGATGCCGTTCAAAGCTGAATAGGATTAGGATTTTAAGGTTTTTATTAGTTTTGCTTTTGTGAGGTTTCCTCTTTCGTCGATTACTCTTTTTGATAGCAATTTGTGGTTTCTTTGTTCATCTGCAGGATGCGTCTGAGTCGCTGATTGTGGTTGGTCGTTACATTAGTGAAAACTACAACGGAGCTGCTCTTCATCTGATAGATTTCGTTGATTCAAGCAATGGATAATTGGTTGCAGAGGTTATGGATCCGAACATAACAACTCGTTGTAGCGATGATGAAGATGAAGACGACGACATGTTTAGCAGTAGAGGGAAGAACGTTAAAGTGAACAAAGTCTCAAGTTAAGACGACGAAGTCTACTCGGAAGACAGAAACTTAAAGATGAAGTAAAAAAGGTTTCATGTTTTAAAGAACCCCCAGTGAGTTCTCCATTGTGGAGGCTAAATTCTTACCAAAACTCTACACTTAAAAAGTTAATATTTTTATTACAAAATAAGTTTAAAGAGCTCCGTATGGAGCTCTCCATTGCACATGCTCAGTATGTGTTTCCCATTAATGTTACTGTTTGTCTTATCTCTTGGACAGTTGGACTACAATAGTTCAGCATTATATTTATCAACGTTTTTATTAAAAAAACTTATGATACTATCAAACACGTAAAAATCTATACGTTTTGTTCAAAACAAAAAATGTATGAAACATGTTTTTTCCGATTAGTAAAAAGCTTATGTTCTAATCCAATCGCTGATAAAACTATTTGCATCGTTTTATAAGAAATTTTAAGGAGGGGAACGAACGGAACACAGCCATGCCATACCTGGCGCGTGACCCACTAACTCTGTACATATAGTATTAGATTTATCGACTAGTCAGTTCATATTTATTCAGACAAATATATAATTTTACCATTTACCTTGAAATGGCCAAATTTAAACAAATTAATATTCGATCTACTACTGACGAAGAAGTTTTGGTCAAGAGGTGAAATATAGATTAGAATTATCTAAACTAGACTGAAGAATTAAGTAAAATGCTATGATCATGCGAAGATCGATCATATGGCGATGGCGAAAACCTAGATATAGCAGGCGAATTCTACAAGATTCCACGTAATAAACCAAAAACTCTTAGTCCTAGTAGATCACTTTATAGATTAAATAAATACGTGTTTACGTAAGTTGCTTATCCTCTAGATTTTGATCCAACGTAAAAGTAATCAATAGTATCTTATTTTCCCTTGTAATTACTACTTACTAGTTATGTTTACTACAATTATTTAGGAAACTTGTGGGAAGGTCCCTTAACTGTTCATAGGCCGATAATTTAACTATGACCACATTTCCCATTTTTGTAGTCCCCATAAATCGTCTTATTTTGTCTTCTTCGATGTTGCACTTTAAAAAGTTTTAAATGAAACGAGGATTTGTAAGTATTTCATTTATTTGTCTAGATTAATCTTTTCAAAAGTCCTTTCGAATATATCATGGAAATGCACATCTTTAGAAACACGTGGGTATATAAATTTTCCTTATAGTTTGTTTTTTATGGTTTCCTAATTAAAGAACTACTACTATATATGGTTAATCGTTGTACCATAGCTTTTTAAAGGAAAATTCAGATATGTAGAACTATCGTTGGTGAATGTGGTACTATTAAACAATAAGCAAGCATACAATCATGCCAACGGTTCTTGGTTAAAAGTAATCGTTAGTTGTTTTCATCTCGAGACAAATCTTTTCCAATTTTCCTTAATATCTATAAAGATTAGTAAACTGATTTTATATTTAGTTGCGTTTTTAGATAACTAACCGTATTTTATTTTATTTTTTTCGTTCTGAAGGAAAGAACTTATACTTTTGCATTCATCTATTTTGTGATACATTAAAAATGGTTATTTATATACGTTTTAAACGATTTTGATATCTTTCTTCCTAGATAAATTATTGAGTTTACTACGATTTAAAACTTTGGTGGTTTTGTAAGAACATTTAGGATCTCAACTCTTTAATTTTATGGCACTGAGTAAAATGAACCTTTCTTTTTTGGGTCAACAACTACATGCAAAAACACTTTTAACTGTTCAAAAAAGTTTGTTACTCCGGTTGCGGCACTGTCGGTGTGGAGTATTTAATTTTGAAAAATACCAATATTTCGAAGTTTCAATGAATACAAACATATAGCCGGTTGCGGCACTGTCGGTGTGGATTAACATGAAACTCAATATAAATTGCAAGTTTGTCTGTGATTATTATAGTTTGTCGGTGTGCAATTTGTAAATTTGTCGGACGGTCAGAATCCAAAAGAAATCGAAATCAACACATGTCACTCTAAAATATCCGGTAAAGGTGTTATTGCAGTGGATATCTAAAACTATGGTGATGATTGGTTCTCCCGCTACCACCCGCAAACGCAGCGTTTGCGGTTCGTAGCGGTTCTTAGCGTTTTATAACAATCACGACAACCGCTTTCAACCGCTCTATACCACTCTGTACCGCTCTATATCGCTGAAAATCAAAAGCTCCTTTCCGCAAGCGTTTGCGGTTGCGGGCGGTTGCGGTTTGAAAAAAAAAAAAAAAAAACATAATATCTCCAAATTTGGAATAAGGGTATATTTTTTTGAAAAATACCATAATTATGTTTAAAAATTTCGAAAATACCCTAAATTTTTTCTGTTTTGAAAAATACACTTTTAAAATGTAAAAAGTATGTTTTGACGTGATTTAAACAAAAAAATAATAAATAATTACAAATTATAAACGAAAATTTAAAAAAATAATAAACTAATAAGTTTTTTTTCAAATAAATATAGTATATGTTAAACTGAAACAAATTTTAATATTTTGGATCTTTATATAAACAACTTAACCTCATACACATTCAAACCAAATGAAACTTTAAATAAATTAAAACTTTACATATATTTAAAGTTTATAAATTATTAAAAATTTAAAAGTGGAGAAATATATCTTTCATTTTTAATGTTTATCTTTTGAAAAATTTAAATATTTTTGAAACTTTGCATAAACAACTTTAATCTCACCCCATTTAAACTTTATATAAACAATCTTATATTTTTATTAAATTGTTTAAAAAAAACTAAACAGGTAATTAGGATGTTAAAATGATACAAAATTATTATCAAATATTAATATTTTATATTTCTTATTTGAATTTCGTTTTTATTAAATTAGGAATAATCATTTTACATATAAAAAGTGTATTTTTCAAAACCAAAAAAAAGGGTAGTTTTCAAATTAAAAATTCATCAAAAAATATATTTCAAAAAAAAAATTATTAATATGGTTATAAATGTTTTGAATAATTATATATTATTTTTATTTTAGTAACTTTTGGTTAAACCGCTCTTGCACCCGCTGGCTAACCAGTCAAAAATATCCCGCAAACGCAACCGCTATGAATTGCTATACCAGTCGTACAAACAGCTTTTAATCGCAAACTCCCGCTTCCGCAAACTCCCGCAGCCGCAAACTCCCGCAACCGCAACCGCAGCGGTTAAACCAGTCAGATCCTATAACGCAAAATGTGAAGCGCAATAAATATGTAGGGGCTTGAATGAAATTATCTAGATATAGCTGGATATAAAAATACAAGGCGAATGAAAGTTATCTATATTTCCGTAACGGAAGGCATGGGTATGTAACAATGTATCCATTTCGTCTCTCTAATCTCTCTCTCTCTCTCTCTCTCTCTAGGGATTGTATACTCTTGAGAAGTCATGATTATTATTATTAAAATATTTGGTTGGGACCAATACGAGGTTGGTAACTGTTTATAGGAAAACGTCCAAAAGGAGGATCTGAGAATCATCCATGAAAAATGTGTGTGGCCCAAAAGACCCCACAAGATCACACCAGAAATATATTCAAATGTGATCCCATTAATGTTACTGTTTGTCCTTTCTCTTTGAATTTTTGTTTTTTTTTTTTGCTTTGATTACAATAGTTGAGCATTATTTTTATCAACGTGTTTTTTTAATTAAAAACTTATACTTGTAGTTAATTATACACTCAGATCAAACTATACCAACGGTAAAAAATATAAACATGGGTGGTGCTGAATTTGTTTCACTTTTCTCAATAATAGGGGAAACAAGATTCAGATTTTCGGAGCAACAATACAAGTTTGTTTCACCTGAGAATCAAAAACAAGACAATCAAAGACCTGATTCAAGAATAAAGCTTTTAAGGCAAAAAACTTATCATGAGTCCTCTACACAACCAAGACCTATTGTCTCAAAACAAGCTGAGATACTCGACGAACCTGCCATTAAACCCGACTCTAAAGTTTCTTTCGCATTGTGTGAAGTTGGTTACGTAGCAATTAGTATACCTCTTTTGGAATGGTGGCAGAGAAGAGAAGAGATTGTCTTTTTGACGAGGCAAACAATCAATGATCTGTTGGACAACTCTCCTGAAACCTAAACAACTTAAGCGCCATCAAACGAGACGTTATGTTAGACTTATTCTCTATATGATCCAAAAGCCTCCCCGGAGTTGCAATTAGTATCTGCACACAACAAAGTGTGGGAACAAAAGAAGATTAGAGATTTAACACAAACACTTCTTGCAAAAATCATGAGGGATCTGGTCAAGACCTGGCATGGATCGGATTCTAGTCGTTGCTGATCAAGTTTGTAGCGTGTGCCTCCAATCAGAGTCTGAACACCGATCCCTTCGTGGTATTTAAGCAAAGCCTTGCCTTCTGCAGCGATCTGGCTTGCAAGCTCTCTTGTAGGACAGAGGATAAGAGCGAATATCGGAGAAACTCTGTGACCAACATCACTGCTTCTCATAGCTTTCACAACTGTTTCAATAGCAGGAAGCTGATTTTTTTTTCAATTTTAACAGCGTTATCTACAGAATCAAACAAATGCTAATCACAATCTTATTGGAGGCAAAGGATTGTGAAATACCAAAAACGCCATGCTCTTCCCTGTCCCGGTTTTGGCTTTCACTAACGCATCTTTACCTAAGATTACATTAAAGAAGAATCCTGTTGTCAAAATGCTAAATCCTAAGCAGAGTTAAGGAAGCAAACAAACAAGAAGAAGAAATAGATTACCGTCAAGGCACACTCAGAGAGAGTAGCATCTTGTACTCTAGTCATCTTAACAATGCCAGAAGCAGAAAGAGCTTTTAGAGTCAAAGGAGATAAACAAGACTCATCAAAATCTGCAACACACACAACAAAAAGCTCATCAAGATCAAAACTTTGACAGATAAAAAAAGCCTTACCTTTTTCCACTGTAAATCGAATCACGAGGCTCTCTGTTCTCTTCCATTACATTTTCCACTGATTTTTCTTCTACTAAGATCTTCTCTAACCACATTGATATCCAGAGGAGGATAAAGCTCTTCATCGGTGACAATACGGTTCGCTCGTTTCGTCAATTTGATATCATGGTTTCCTAACGAAGCACTGCTTCCTGTTCTCCTCAAATCAATCCAACCTTTCATCTTCCCATTATCGTTTTCGTCATCGCAATCATTCTTCCTAAACTTCCTCTGACTCTGACCAAACAAACCTTTGTTCCTTATAACTCCATCGACATTCCTCGAGCTCTCAACTTTCTCCTTCTTGCCAGCAGATTTAGTAGAAAAAGGACTCAAAGTATCCAACTTTTTTAGCATCAAAGCCATCATCGTCTCCTTCATCACAAGAACTCTGGTTTCTCTTAAACCTACCTCTACTCATACTGGAAAAGCCTCTGCTTCTACGACTACCAATTGAAACACTACTCCCAGAAACCATTCTCCTCACATCAATTGGCGAATTTGAAGAATCAATCGAATTCGAATCCGAATCCGAATCCGAATCCGAACCTGACCGTGAATTTTCAATCAATGGATTCAATTTACAGTTATTATTTAATGAGAGAATAATAAAGAAACTTGTCTACAAAACAAAACATAATCATCACAAGAAACAAAACCGGTGACCAACAAAACCAAATTTTATTATCCCCAAAAGTCGATTGAATTGAACCGGAGATCAAATTGAAACCTTGATAAACCATATAAGGTTTGGTTAGCATTGGTTTGGTTTGGGTTGGGTCGATTTGGATTCGGGTTGGTTATTTTTCCCCTAGCCGCCTACCTCTCTCTCGCCCTTGATCAATTGGGAATCCTCTCGAGTCGGATCAAAATCTTCGATTAAACTCTCATCCAACGCTTCTTCTTCCATTTCGATTCTAAAAAGTAAGTTGCTCGGAACTTTTGTTCAACCTAGATCATAATTAAGTAGACCGAAATCTATCTAGCCGAATGTAGATCTGTATTGGTAATCTTGCGAGTTTTTTTTTTTTAAAGGACAAAAAAATTGACGTGTATTGTGATTTACTCTTGGATGTAATTTGATCATATCATTCAACACCGAATTAGGGTTTGTACTAATTCACTTTGTTTCTTCACGACTGCAGAAGTTTTTTTAATTCGTGTTCCGTCTCTAATGGGTGGGAAAGATTCAATCAGCAATCTGCCGGATGAGGTCCTGGGCAAAATCCTGTCTCTGCTTCCGACAAAGCTTGTCGTCTCCACATGGGTTCTGTCCAAGAGGTGGAGGAATGTGTTCCCTCTGGTAGACACGTTTGATCATCGACCAACAACAACTCCTGGAGGCCCTAGCTTCGTTTCTTTCATTTCCAAGCATATTTTCCTCAAGCCTTCAACTCACATCAAGAAATTCTCTCTGACTTGTCAACCTGGCGAACATTCCAACTGTTTGATCCAAACTGTGTTGGAACGCGGCTGCTTGGAGCTACACGTGCAGTGCAATCTCACCCATTCTCTGGGTATCATTGTCTTTGAGAGAAACACATTGGTTAAGCTCACACTATCCGACGGACTTCACCTGTGTAATCATAAACAGAATTTTGATGTTCGTGTTGATCTCGACCGGGCTCCGTATTTCCCCTCGCTCAGATCGCTTTCTCTCGGTGCAGTCTCGGTAGGTGCCGATCTGTTCAAGCTGCTGATTTGGCACTGCCCTGTCCTGGAAGAGTTATTCATACGTGATGATGATGCTGACCTGTCAACTTGGCAAGGCTTCGTATCAAGTGAATCCCTCAAGCGGCTTGTCGTTTCTGTTGTCAACCTTCCCAATGACGACGTTTGGCTTTTCGCACCCGCTCTTGTCTTCCTTGACTATTCTTCTTGTGTCCCTTGTTACTTCGGTGAAGTGGTTTTGGATTCGCTTGTCGAAGCTAGGCTGGACGTTCGGTTTTGGGAGTCACCTACTGATGATGATGATGACGATGATGATGATGATGATGTGTGTGGTTATTTTGATGGTGATGTTACGAACCTCGTTGCGGGGATAAGCAACATAACGACCCTTCACTTGTCTCCTAACTCTCTTGAGGTCAGTTTCGTGCTCTACTTCTTCTTGTATTTAATTTTTCAGAGTAGCCATGAGAGAATCAATCAATCTATTGGTCTTAAAACCAGGTGTTTCACTGGTGTTGTAAAACCATGCCGGTATTCAACAACCTCCTCCGTCTGTCTATTGAGAGTGACAAGGAAAAAGGGTGGCAAATAGTGCCTCTTCTGCTTAACAAGTCTCCAAACTTACAAACCTTGGTCATCAAGGTATTAGTTTCCCTTTGGCAAACTAATTAACATAGCTTTTTAATTTGTTTGTTGCCATTATTACTTATTTTGTTAATATGCTTTCAGGGTCTTGTGCACAAGGTTACAAATGGATGTGGGGACGTGTGCCCTTGCAACCCTAGTAAAAGGAGGAAGAAGAGGAAGAGGATGATGAAGGAAGAGGAAAAGGAAGTGGAAGAGGATGAGGATGAGGATGATACGTCTTGCTGTTTATGGACCTGCCAAGTGAAGTTTCTTGAGATTTCAGGGTATAGAGGAACGCGGAGAGAACATAAACAGATGAGACATTTCTTGGGGAAATTGAAATATCTTGAGACTGTCAATGTTGGTCTTCATCAAGAAGTGAAGAGTCTTAGCTACTTGCGAGTCACCAGCGATCTAAAGAAGCTTCGCAGTGTTTCGCCGACGTCTCAGATTCACTTCTTGTGATGTCTCTCCTTCCTCCTTTTGTCTTTTTGTCTTTCAGCTGTTTTTGACCTAATCCCTTCTGTCTTGCTTGGAAGATACGTCCATCTTTTTAACTGTAATAATCTTTGGCAAAATACACAGCTTTGGGAGAGTCTTTGTCCCAATACACAATTTGGAGAGATTTTTGTCCCACTACACATTTTGCCAACTTATAATCCCTTTTTACCCTTAAAATTGATTAAAGTAATTAACCCTTTAATTGAGATATTTTTAATTAAACATAAAAGTGAAAATATTTCCTTTCTTCCCCGACATCTCTCCTCTTTTCTTCTTCCCGACATTTCTTTTCTTCTGCGACATTCTTCTTCTCCGCTCTTCTCCGTCACATAATCATCTCTTTTCTCTCCTCTCTTCTCCGTCACATAATCCTCCGTCGCCTCTTCCGTTGTTGTCTGTTCTTCTCCTTCAAACTACTCCTCTGTGTTTTCCTCTTCTCCGCCAAATAATTTCAATTGCGTCGTGGGAGAAGGTTGGAGAAGAAAAAGGAAACAAAATATTCAAAAAAATATTTGTTAATATTCTCTAAGATTTCCGGCAGAAGACGATTTCTACATTTGGTAGAAGACTGATTTCTCGAAGAACACGACCTCTACCAACATGGTAGAAAAGTGGTTTTTAGTAGAAACTGAACTCTACGGATGGTAAGAGATAATGTGTGTAACAGAATACGAAATCTACGCCTGCGTAGAAGGCTGTGTTTCTCGTAGACAACAAATTCTAGAACATGTAGAAAACTTTGTTTTTGGTAGAACATATCTTCTACCAAATTTACAAAATCGCAGAACATAGAGTAACAGGTAGAAGTGATATGCTACTAATAGTAGAGGTATATATAGATTATAGAACTCGTGTTCTACAAGTGGAAGATGTGTGTATAAATGGTAGATATCGAATTCTATCTCCAGTAGATGTAATAGAAACGTGTAGGATACATATTCTACTTTGAATTTCAGAGCTGGTAGAAGAAAACTTCAATATATTTTTTAAAAATCATATTTGTGAAAAAAAATTGTGAAAAAATTATAACAAGTCTGAAGATCATTTATCTGATTTTTAGAAATATTTTGGATTTCTTACATAAACTATTTCATATTTTTAAATATATAAAGGGTATTAATGGCAAAAATAGGTAAAAACATGAAAATGTGTATATGGACAAACCTTCCCTCTTTTCTGTGTATAATCACAAATCTCCCAAGATTAACAAAATTAAGCTTTTGTAAGAAATCACCTCATTTTTTTTTTCAATTCAATTCATTGATTACATAGTAGAAAAGAATGAAGAGATGCTGTGTTCTTCTTGTGTGCCTCTCAAAGCCACTCTATTGCAAAAAGAAAAAAACATTGACCAACATCGAATGAGCCAATCTTTTCTGCAACTTCAGTGAATGTCAATGGATATTTTCTTAAAGGAGATATACAACAAACACTATTAAAGGAGATATACAACAAGACTCATCAAATCTGCAACACAAAACACAAAGCTCATCATCAAGAACAAAACTTAAACTAGTTTGTCTGTACTGTATCATAACGGTAATTTGAAATTTGTTCCAACAAAAATCTCAGAAATATAAACTTTCTCTTCTCTTTGGTTTCTCTAATTAAGAAATGCCAGTACGATCAAGCATATCAATCAAGGTCATAGCATCTTCAATCTCAATAGGAAGATGAGTCGCAACAATCACAATCACAGTCATAGGCATCAGCTTCCTATGCTCTGCAATAACAATCACGGTCTCAAGCAGCCTCACACCTTCATCATCCAACAGCCAAATCGGTGTATCGATAGCGAAAAGCCTCCCCAAGTTGCAACCTTTTCCTCTGTCCCATCGAAAGCATTCTCGACTTCTCCTTCACCAATCTCCCTAAACCCAATCAGCTTCCCGTTTCCCTCAAACCCATCCAACCTTTCGTCTTCCCATTATCGCCTTCCTTTTCGTCATCGGTATCATTCTTCCTCAACTTCCTCTGACTCGAGCTACCAAAACAGACCTTTGTTCCTAACATAACTCGAGCTCTTCAAAGCATCTAACTTTTTTGCATCAAAGCCATCATCACAAGAAATCTCTCATTTCTCTCAAACCTACCTCTACCTTGGATTATGAAACACGATAATCTTCTAGCATGAATTGACAGTTGGCGAATTAGAAGACGAATCAATCGAATTCGGACCTGGCGATTTCTAAACCGGCCCACAAAACCGATCAGCCAATGATTCGATATGTTCTCTCGGGCTCATCGGACCGTGACTCTGGCTCGATTTCCCTCGCCGTTTTCTCGCCGGAATCTGAATTAATTTCTGACCGGACCCGAGCCTCGTAAAATTCGATTGACCTGTCAAGCTAAATATATCCGGTTCGATTTTTCATGTAAATTCGGTATGTAATTAAACCGGAGTAAAGCCAAATCAAATCTCAATATTCGTTATCACGTATCAATATCATGAATCGTAAATATGCAATTGAAACCGGTAAATCCAGAGAAACAAAATAAACCGTCAAAGTTTCGATTACATATGATCATATGATAGTCTCTAGCACAAGACAGAAAGACCATCCAAAAGTCTCACAGAGTTCAGTGGAAAAGAAAAGGATCCAAGAGCAAGAGGTACAAGTCAAGCCAATTGTGATAACTTGGCCATTACAGCCATTTCCTTCACTCGCTGGAGGATGACTTGACAGCTGTAGAAATCCTCGGCATGAAAGGCCAACACCAGCTCATCAAGTAGAGCCTTGAGGGTCATATCCTTGACAGAATTTTGACTGTAGCATTTTCTTTCTCTCTTCAGTGCAGCAAGGGAGGAGATCGCACGGTGAATTTCTTTCAGGCCTGCTTCAGTTACCAACGACAAGAGGCTGCTCAGATCACTACCACTGATCTTGGACTCAAAGTCCGCCATTGCCTCATAGAAAACCTTGAAAGAAGCACCAACCTTCATCTCTTGTTCTGTCTTCAAAGTAATCATTTGAGCAATCAGTTGATCCAATACATCTTCGCAGGAATTCTCTTTCCCCTCCATAGCCTTTCTGAATTCCTCCTTCACCTTCTCCACTTGCTTCACAAACCAAGCGCCATCATTCTTGTCTACATCCATTTGAGCAGATATAACATTTTCGATCTGTGACAGCTTTTCAGCGAAACCACCACCTAATGCTGTGACAGATGCTGCTGATGGAGTGGGATTTTCTGCTGCAAACGCTGTGGCGATGATGGATTTTCTCTGTGCCTCAGTATCAGTTTTCCTGAGCTTCTTTGCCTTGTGATCTCCACCAAAAGCCTCATCCTCGTTAAGCCCCTCCAATTTTTTAAGCAGCTCAAGCTGTTTTCCCAAATCTTCCTCTTCACCACTAGCACATCTCCTGATTTCATCATCCACCATCTCAGTGTACCTCGCAAAACTCATAGCATGCTTGTCTGGAAACTCTTTGCCAAACATCTTCTCGCTGCTGGCTTCCAATAGCTCTCTCAATAGCTCAATAACAGAGAAAGACGGAATCTCAGGCAGCTTTCTCTCACACAAGTTCTTCTTGAACCTATCATCATAACTTGCTAGAAAGCCAGTAACTCTTTCAATTAAACTGCTAGCTTCTTCTTGGAGAATAGGATGTTCCTTGTCTGCAGATTTCACAGCCCTTGTTAAACGACTCATTGCCTCACTAAGCCTTGCTGGTCTGAAATTAGTGTCTTCCACCTCATGCCAAAGGCAAGCTTCAGCATGGAAAATCGCTGCCTTGAGCTCTGCATATGAACTCCAGCTTTTCTCAAAGGAGTCACTGAGAGGAGCAGCATTGAGTGCCTCGAGAACCTCAGCATAGTACAAAGACACCTGCAAACAACAAGTTCCAACACACAAATCACATCACATATCACAAAAAAATTTACGATTTACAAAGGAGGAGAGAGAAGAAGATTCACAAACCTGGGAGCAAAGTTTTGCTTTAACAGCATCGATGCTTGTAGCTGCCTTCTCCAGAAAGTTGAGAGAGATGCACTCTTGGGCCTGAGCAAGCATGAACACCTCCAACATACCAGCAACTGTGCATTCCTCCACCAAGACTTTCAGGGACTCGTTTTTCCTCAGATATGAGAAAGCAGTTGCTGCGGCCAAAAACTCCATGGATGCCTCCCTACGACCATCAATGGTGTTGTCATCGACGCTAAGCCCCATGGCATGGCTTATAGCTCCAATATTGTACAAGACAACAGCTTTTTCCATGTGGATGTTGAAGGAAGTCTTACAGAAATCTGGAAAATGACTCTCCAAAAGGCAGAGAGACTTGTAGTAGACCAGGAGAAACTGACGATGGGTTTGATTTGGAGCACCAACCTTCCTCTCGAAGCAGCTGACCCGAAGCTTTCTCAGTACATTGAGATCATCACTCAGATTTTCCAAATCATGGCCCTGAGACTTAGATATGTAGCTTCTCCTTGATCATCTACCATGAGGTCAACAGGACCAATTTGTTTCTTCTCCTTGATCATCGGAAAGCTCATAGCTGAATCTGACCTAAGAGTAGAGAGATTTGAGGATGGAAGCAAATGCGACGGTGAGCACAAGTCGAATCCAAGACTCAGTCCAAAACCTGATTTAGGGTTCACTGTAGCTCGGTTTACTCAAATCAACTTAAACCAAATTTCAATTAGCTTTGGTTCACGTGAAACCAATCAATCCTATTCCTACCCCATGATCTTTTAACCGAGTACCGAAATTCGATTTAAATAGAAGTACTCATTCCGATCCCCGGTTTAGGAGTCAAATACACACCAATTTAAATAAATAGAAGTTGGATTCGGTTTAGGAATCTTAAACCATACGAAAATCGAATTAAACGCATTTAAACGTTTGAAACACATAACAAACCTATCTAAACGCATTTCGTTATTTCTCAAAGCACTATCTAAACGCATTTCAATTAGCTTTAGTTCACGTGAAACCAATCAATCCTACCCCTTGATCTTTATTTCTCAAAGCACTATCTAAACGCATTTCAATTAGCTTTAGTTCACGTGAAACCAATCAATCCTACCCCTTGATCTTTTAACCGAGTACCGAAATTCGATTCAAGTAGAAGTAGTCATTCAGATCCCCGGTTTAGGAGTCAAATACACACACGATTTAAAATTTTAAATAAATAGAAGTTGGACTCGGTTTAGGAATCTTAAACCATACGAAAATCAACTTAAACGCATCTAAACGTTTGAAACACATAACAAACCTATCTAAACGCATTTCGTTATTTCTCAAAACACTCGTCATCAAAGACGATTGGATCTACTAGGAAGCAGCCTCACCGTCATTCCGTAGCTTCCACGCCTTTCCCAAAAACCAAATTTTCACGCAAGTTTCAAAGCTTCATCATAAGTCACCGAACACTGATTAGTCACCATAAGCTTCTTCGAAAATGTAAAGACAGTAAGCATATCCTATCACTGACACGACAAAGAGATTAAACATTTCCTTTCACAGACACACAGTTTCGATAACACTATGTATATAAACCAGTCAGGATCGAAACGGCGTGTCTGTGAAAGGGAATACTTACGTTCTTCGCGTTTTAGGTCACAAGAGTCATCGGATCCAAGAACAAACACATCTCTTTTCCAGAAATAGTTTTTGGATCGATGGAAATTTTTTTTGGATCGATGGAAAAGGTTTACCTCTTATTGCTACGGCATAAGAAGGTTGCTCCCAAATAACAGAGTCTTTATATAGTGTTCACCTAAAAACCCTAATACTTAACACAAGAAATAATAACCTAATCGTCATTAAAAAAAAATATAATCCAAATAACAACTGAAAACCCAAACGTTAAAACAAAAGCCCATTAACTAACACTCAGATTAGTGAAGATCCGCAATAGAAATGAGAAATTAGTGTTGTAGCTGCTAGTTAAGAATTGGGTCCGGTTTATTTCTGGTTAAGGAATGGGAATATTGAATACTCTTGATAACTCAGAGTGTCTCCTCTGAGAAATTGTGAGAGATAGTGAGATCTAAGTTACGATCCTTAATTGCGACTTGATTTTATTAAAAACGCTCGTATGTATATATATAATAGTTTTGATTTGTTGTTGTTCTTAACACTTTTGTTAACACCGTCTTATATCAATGTGCTTTTTTCAAATGCAGACACTTTTGGACTTTACAAACATTAGTAGATTGGTCAAGACTAATACTTATAGATTGGTACCTTCACCGAACCATATGACTATTTTTTCTTTTCGTTATTTATCGAAACTCCATTGGAGGAACTTGGCCTCATAAACAAACAAGAAGCTTGGAAATTATCTAATTAGTAATTACAAAGCTTAAACATAGAAATAATGTCTATTTCTATTTCTATTAAGCTTAAATTTCTGTTTATATGTTTAAGCTTTGTAATTACTAATTAGATAATTTCCAAGCTTCTTGTTTGTTTATGAGGCCAAGTTCCTCCAATGGAGTTTCGATAAATAACGAAAAGAAAAAATAGTCGTATTTTGTGGTGTCATTGTATATACACTGTTACATGTTAGCATTTGAAAGTTTTGAATGGATTAGAAAGTCTTCATTCTTGATATAGCCATTTAACAACAAGTCATGAAAAACAAAAATATTCTTTCCATCTTATAAAAGATTTGAGTTTTTTCAATTTTTAACTTTGTTTGATGAAAATTAAGTTTCTTTTTTTTACTTAAAGAATCATAATAATAATATATAAGCTTCAAAATATATTTGGATGTTTAAAGGAATTGAGCTAGTATTGGTTCATAATCATGAGAAAGTGTATACATTTTTCTATGCATTTTTAAAAAAATATTGTTTCTAGTAAATATATTTCACAAAAGTAACACAGCATTTATTCATTGTGCAGAAGTATAGCATATTGTTTCTATTGGATTCATGTAATTTCTGGGTACACTACTTTGTGCAGTACTCTAAATTGGCTGACCTTTTGATTTACATAGAAAATCGTAGGACACTGTCCAGATGAAGTATCAAAGTATTTTGCTGCTAAATTCCCAAATCTACTTACGGAAATCTACGATATCATCAATCAAAAATGTAAATGTAAAGAGGAAAAAGAATTCAAAAGATTCTTCCAACTTACGGAGGGCATTATGTGAATTATTATGAGTTTATCTTAATTATTTTGAATCGTACATGTTTCTGATTATAGCAATTTAACATCTAGTTATGAAAGCAAAACATATGTTTTCAATCTCATATGAAATATTGATTTTTTCAATTTTTGTCTTTGTTTCATGAAAATCAAATTTCTTTTTTACTTTGTAATTTAGAATAACAATATGTAAACTTCAAAAAATATTGGATGTTTGGATAAATTGAGTTGGTATTAGTTCATAATCATGAGAAAGTGTACATCTTTTTTTAGCTTTTCTATTCAAAAACAAATATTGGTTCTAGTATAAAAGAATGAAGCAGCACACAGCTTTTATTCATGACAGGTAGAATTAACACCCAAAATAGTGTATTGTGTCTGTAAAATAATTTTCTAAACCAGGAATATGTCATAGAAAATAAAACTAATCCCCAACAAAAAATAAAAATAAAAAATACCTTATAATACTAATAAATGTCATTTTTGGTGCGTGTGTGTGTATGTATATAAAAGTCGTTTATTTTTATTTTTTGGCTTTCCCAATCACACTTCATTGATGTCCGTACACACCCAACACTCTTCTTCCTCCTCAACGGTCATATTTCTCCGACAACTTACAAACGGTCACTAAACCCCTAACTATTTCCCACCGTCCGATTCCGAAGATCCAACGGCTCAGAAACACCAGATTGCCTCGTGTACCACTTCACTCTGCCCAATCCCAAAAAACAATTACTGCAAAAAGAAAAGTGACAACTTCAATTCTCGAAGTCCCAAGAAGAAAACAAACTAAAAAAGTAGGTGAAGTATGGTATTAGTAGAAGAAGCTGTATCGTACCTCACTCTTGTAGAGTGTTAGTGAGAGAGAGAGAGAAACAAAAGTGAGCGAGTGAGAGAGAGAGAGAGAGAAACAGAGTGTGAGAGAGAGAGAGAGAGAGAAAAGGAACAAACTTTGATCAGTTTCAGTAATCTCAGAGTGAATTTCTGATCTGGGTTTTGTGGGTTTCTGGATGTTTTGAGGATTTTGGCAAACCGGAATGGAGAATCGGAATGGAGAACCGGGTTTCATCAATGGAACCCAGCAGCTTCGTGATCTTCTTCTTCAGCAACATCCTCTGTTCATGATGATGTGAATTCGTTGGTCGTCATTATCATCAAAAAGATCAGATTTTTGTTTTCGAAAAAAAGCTTGAGGAATCCGATGATTGTTTTATGGTAGATTGATTTGACAAAGATTTTTTTTTAGATTAGTTCGATTATTCTTTCATTCTTTTATTTGAATATAAGATTTCTTCGTTCTTTTTTGGGGAAAAGGGTATTCATTTCATTCAAATTTGCATATTAAGTCACACAAAAATTCATTCTTCATATAGGATTCACTTTGATTTCATAAAAATTCATTCTTTTCATAAAACAGAGGAAAAAAAAACCTTCTTTTTATTTTGATTCTTTATTCATCGGATTCCATTTTTGTGCAAACACACACACACACACTTAGATTATTTGGGTGGGTTAGAGATTTTGTAAGAGGATGTTGGCAGGTTGTTCAAGCTCTTCATTGTTGTCACCGACTCGAAGATTAAGGAGCGAAGCAGTAGCAGCAGCAACAACAGGAGCCGTAGCAGCACACTTTCCCATGAACACACAGAGACTGGACTTACCATGCGGTAGTAGCTTCACTCGCAAGGAAACTCCATCGAGTCGACCACTCGGAAGAAGCATCTCACTCGACAACAACAACACCAACAAACCAATCGAGCGAAGCAAGACCAAGACCGGTGCTTGCTCGCTTAAGCAGAACCTAAAGCTTCCACCTTTGGCAACAACCAGAGGAAACGCAGAAGGGTTCTCATGGAACAACGACAGAGGGAAGAAGGGTCTCAAGAGATTGGCAGCGGAGAAGGACGACGAGGAAGACGAGTCTTGTTTGAGCAGAGTGAAGAGGCAAAGAAGCGGTTTGGAAACCGGAGATGACCACAACAGAGGATTCTGGTTTGAGCATTTCACAACGCAGAATCCATCTCCAGCGTTACCGTTTTCTTTGACTTGCTCAACTGATGATGATGATGAGGAGGAAAAGGTTTGCTTTGCTCCTAGTGAAGTCATCTCTCAGCCGTTACCGACTAATCCAAACTGGGTTCACTCGGTTATCATCACCGAGTTAGCCGGTTTAGGCGATAAGGACATTGGTCCTGCAGCGGTTAAAGAAGCTTCAGGATCATCCACAAGCGCATCATCAGAGACTCATAGCTTAAGCCACAGAGTAACAACAGTAGCAGAGCCTACAAATGGTTCTTCAAGAAACCCCTATTCACAACACAGAGGCAACACAGAGGAAAGAGCAATCGAAAACAACAACAATCACAGGAACGATCTGCAGAGAGATTTCGAGCTTGTGAATCTGCTTACCGGATGCTTAGAAGCGATCAGAGCAAGAAACATAGCTGCGATCAACCACATCGTCGCGAGAACCGGCGATCTCGCATCTCCGAGAGGAAGAACACCGATGACTCGACTCGTATCTTACTACATCGAAGCGTTGGCGTTACGAGTCGCTCGCATGTGGCCTCACGTCTTCCACATCGCGCCTCCGCGCGAGTTCGAGAGAACGGTGGAAGACGAATCGGGAAACGCGTTGCGGTTCTTGAACCAGGTGACTCCGATTCCGAAATTCATCCATTTCACGGCCAACGAGATGCTGCTGAGAGCGTTCGAAGGGAAAGAGAGAGTGCACATAATCGATTTCGACATCAAGCAAGGCCTTCAATGGCCAAGCTTCTTCCAGAGCTTAGCTTCCAGATCCAATCCACCGACGCACGTACGGATCACCGGAATCGGAGAATCGAAATTGGAGCTCAACGAGACCGGAGATCGGCTCCACGGATTCGCGGAGGCGATGAATCTCCAATTCGAGTTTCATCCCGTCGTCGATCGGATCGAGGACGTGAGGCTGTGGATGCTCCACGTCAAGGAAGGAGAAGCGGTCGCTGTGAACTGCGTTTTGCAGATGCACAAGACGCTCTACGACGGGACCGGAGCTGCGATTAGGGATTTCGTTGGGTTGATCAGAAGCACGAACCCGATCGCGCTCGTGCTCGCGGAGCAGGAGGCCGATCACAGCTCGCCGCAGCTCGAGACGCGGGTTTGTAACTCGCTCAGGTACTATTCGGCGATTTTCGACGCGATTCACACGAATCTCGCGACGGATAGTTTGATTAGAGTCAAAATTGAGGAGATGCTGTTTGGGAGAGAGATTAGGAACATTGTGGCGTGCGAAGGGATTCATCGGCAGGAGAGGCATATGGGGTTTCGACATTGGAGGAGGATGCTGGAGCAATTAGGGTTTCGGAGCTTGGGAGTCTCGGAGAGAGAGGTTTTGCAGAGCAAAATGCTGCTTAGGATGTACGGATCTGGGAACGAGGGGTTCTTCAATGTCGAGAGGAGCGGTGAAAACGACGGCGGTGGAGTTACGTTACGGTGGTCGGAGCAGCCGCTTTACACGGTCTCGGCTTGGACTATCGGAGGGAGTTCTTCGTCTTTTACTCAACGTATTTAAGAAAAAGTTAATTTTATACATTTAGGGGTTTTAGAGAGTTTAGAAAAGGGGGGAAATGTTTTTTTTTAAGAAAAAATAGGGAAAATTTAATTTTATTCTTTCATTCTTTTTTCTTGGGGGGTTTGGAATTTTTTTATAAAGAAAATAGTTAAGGAATAGGAGAAATACTTTGTATTAGTTTGAAATTTTTTTACATGTAAACTGCATTAGAAGAAATCTTTTGTATTAGTTTGAAATTTTTCTATACCGTTTTTATCAATAAGAAAAGTGAAGTAATTTTATCTATTCTGAAACTACAAAGATTATTGATAATTTACTTTATTAATTCTGTAAGGAAAATCTCCTTTTAATATTGAAAACAATAAATGTAAGTTTGAGAAAGAAGAAACAGCCACCACTGTCACAGTGTGCTTGTTGAGGTCGGCCCATTTTGTATTGGCAAGTCTCATTTTCTTGAAACATTTAAAAGCAAAAGTATTAACTTTGTGTATCAATGTATTGTATCATTATCTTGCGTTATATATTGTGAAATTAATTAACAACATGACATAATATTCTCTCCTGGAAACACCTAACCGAATACATGAAATTTGCTTTTTGAGTTGGATGGCGAGGATCGAAGAAAATGTACTTGTCTGGTTCCTTACACGCGGTCGAAATTGGCAAACAAGTAGCCGAGGTTGGACCACCATCATAAGCCTTGGGACAACATGGGCTTGTTGTGTTCAATAGATTCGAACTAGACGGTTCACGTAGCTCCAACATGAAGTTGAAGTAATCAGAGTATAAAAAGGAAGTGTTGAAGAGTTTGTGATGCATATCAGAAAGACTTGCTCTAAGCTTGTCATTGTAAATGGTAATCGCAAGGTTTAAATCGTGGTCGCAGCTTCCACGTGGGATCGTTTTAACAATGATATTTGGGTAACAACCTAAAGGTTTAACGTTGTTGATGAAGAACCTACGTGCTCCTAACTTATGCAATCTCTGCAACAAAAATTAAAATATTTAGTAACACAAATATTTATCAACACTTCAAAAAATCTCCTCGGTTTTTGGATTATTGGGTTATTTGTTTGGTTCAAATAGATTTGATTTGGTTTATATGAGCTAAACATTCCTACATGAAACTAAAAGTTATATAAAGGCCAAGGAAAATCACATTTTGTTTTACCTTGATTTGTATCAAAAAATCATGAAGAAGTCTGTTTGCAAACTCATTAGCATTGTGTGTCTTCTTGTCATAGGAGAAAGCGTAATCGTTAACCCCAATAACGATCAAAAACAAAGATTTAGCCAAGTGGCTACTAAGCTCTGACTCCGTCTTGAAGTTTTTCTTCAGATTCTTCTCGATAGTTTTATTGAATAGATCGACTTGGACACTCATCGACAAACATCTTCCCTGTTCAGACAAAGAACCATACAAATTCATTAATAAATTTCCAGAAACGGATATTGCAAAATATATCTTTCTAGATATTGAAACATACCATTTTCTTTCCTGAATTAGGGAAAATCCCACAACTAGCAGAAGCATAGCTAATACCAGTTGACATACTGTTCTTCTGGTTTTTAGATAATCCCATGTAAGCAGGAGCCAGAGGAAGCCCATAATACATAGCTCAATGGAAAGAAAAAAAAACATAACAAAGAGGGTTAACATTATCAATATTCTAAACTGTATAGTTTAAGTTAATTTTATATAGTTGTTTTCTAAGTTTAGTAGTATGGCATATTCTAAAAACTGAAAATGTAAGTCCTCCTAATTATAGAATTAAGAACTATAAACGTTTATAAATTACTTTTGTTCTTACCAATATAATCAGCAATTGTTTTGCCGTCACTAAAACGGCCAGTAGTTTTGCCTCCTTCAAAGTTAGAGCCATAAGGTGGATAATTCGCTTTAACTATAGTCAAAAGATAATTATTGTTTCCTGGATCCACTAATGAATCTCCAATAACATACAAAGCTGAAAAATTTCCGCCAAAAAGCACAGTCTCTTCTTTCAATAACTCCGTTGAGATAATGGTGAAAACATTATTAAGTAAACAAAATAGGAGTAAAAGAATATTTGATTTTAGAAAAAATGGCAAACCCATTTCTTGATTATTTTTTCCAGTTTTAGTGAAATAGAGATTAACTCTGCAAATTATAGAATCTTTTCTTTCTTTTTGCTTAGATTCTAAGGAAATAATTTCAGAAAATAGAGGAAGATATAAGTTTTTGAAAAAGGTAAAGAAGGAAACAAAGAGTATTTTGTCACGTATTATATATGTGCTCATCATCCTTTTCTTATGTTCTCCTTTCGATTGTTACTTCACGTATGGTTTCGCTTTTATATATATATATATATATAAAACATTCTCTATTGTATAAACAATAGTGGAATCTCATCAGAACTTGGCGAAATTAAAGTACATACTAAAAATAAAGAGCACCAAAACTTGTACTCGGTTTTATCATTCGGAAAATGTTGATGTTTAAGCGAATGAATGATTACTCGAGTTTGAACTACTATAAACATTCAAAAGTCTAATGCCTATGATTCTTTTGTGTTAAAGATTGTCTATATTGGACAATATCAGTTCATAACACATGTACGTCATGAAAATACCACTGTCAGTCACATTATGACTGTTGAATTGGGTCTTGTCTGAGGTCGGCCCAATATGTTTTGATAAGTCTCATTTTCTATACTTGGTTTAGTTGTGGAAGTATTTTCTTGAAACTTTGTGTATCATCATCATCATGTTGTGAAATAAGAAAACTACATATATTCATGTCTAGATTGAACACTACAAGAAAACATGATGTTTTCCTACGGAACATATGGTAATAAATTGGTAGAAATAGGCTAGTTTTTACCATTTTCTTACGAAAATACACCGTAGGATTTCTTCCGTAGAAAAACCAAAATGGTAGGAATATCGTAACATATTAGGCATAATTCCTACGAAATAGTTGGTAGAAAATTTCGTTAAAACTTTTGGTAGGAATTTGGTAAGTAATTTAAAGGAAATTTTTTACCGATATTTGACCAAATCTGTCCGTAGAAAAAAGTTTTCTTACCATATTCCTACGATTCTACATTTTACAAATAATTAAAATAATAATGATTTTTTTTTTCCAAATGTTTTTTTTTATAAATAAAAGTTATTACGAAATTTAAATGTATAATTAAAAGCTTAATAACAATTCAAATTTCAAATAAATATATTTACATCAAAATATTTTAACAATACAGAAAACAAAGCCAAAAAATCTAAAATAAATCATAAACAAGAAACCGTTGATCAAAAAAAAAAATCATAAACAAGAAATAAATCATAATCTAAACTTTGGAATAGTTGTTTCTGGGCTAGATCTCTTCCTCCGCTTCTTGAACTGAATCGTCTTGAATTGATTGGAATCATCTTGGGTTGGTCCAATTGATGTTATTCCCTTCAGATTTTGGCATGTTAACCTGATTTCAAAATTCAAATCTGAAAATAATCAGAACTGATTTTGAATTAAAATGAAGAACTTTCACAAAATTAAAATAGATAAGATAAGATCTTGTAAGAAATATTTTTTACCTTCCATCTCCTCAAGATCTGCTACTTCAAACATCTTCTCCACAATCATTTCCATCATCAATCTCTTACAATCTTTCACCTATCTCTTCACCACCGCATTTCCTTCCACCAACTGCCGTTGCCGTATGCGGCATTGACGATAACCTCGCCGGAGACGGTGGCGGTGACAACAACTCGATTTCCTCCACAACAATAGACGAAAAGCTTTTTCTCTTATGAAATGTCTTCCTCCTCTTGACACACCTGACCACTGTGAAGATGAATTTTACAGCAAAAGGGTTGTACAGAAGAAGGGAGGCTAGGTTTCATGCCTTAGAGAAAAAATAGAAGATTGTAGAGAATGTTAAATTTGGGCCTCATTTTATTCTTTTACAGATCCATTCTAGAATTTATTGGGTTTATTGTTAAGTGTGGCTCGTTTTTGTTTTTTTTTCTACCAATCGTTTACCATTTATTGATATTTAACTATGTGATTCGTAGGAAATTAGTAAGAAATTACTTACCAAATTCTTACCACATAAGTTTTATATTTTAAATTATTATCTATAACCTACGAAAGCAATTTGGTAGAAAAGTGGTTAAAAAGTTTTAACGAATTTCCTACATTTTTAACAATCAAAATATATCAACCAATTTCCTACAACTTTTTTACCAAATTTCCTACGAACATTAATTTGGTAGAAAATGGGTAGAATGTTTTTGATCATTTTCTGACGACTTTAATCCGTAGAAAATTATTTACCACTTTCCTACCATTTTTATTTTTCGTCATAGTTTCGTAAACAAATGGTAATAAACTTTTCCTACCAATATTTTCGTAAGAATTCTGGTAGGATTTAGTCATGTTTTCTTGTAGTGGAATTGCAAACTATATAACTCAAGTCGTTGTACCTAAACAATAAAAATTTCAAGTAAGGCAATTAGAAAATGCACTTAAGTGTGTTGAAATGCCATACTTCAAAAATTAAGACACTTACTAATTTAAAACAATCATATAAATGAATCAAAGCCTAATAAAATATACCTTTTACTTAAAGAATTAGTTTGTAATGTAATACAACTATTGAAAGTAGTTCGTTCTGAAACAACATTATTTTCAATGACTATATGTACTTGATATGCTACAGAAGTTATGATCCTCCATAATCATTTGACAGTGACGTATAATAGTTTTTTTGGGTAGATTATAATTTATAAGTAAACCAACAATAAAATGTATATATTTCAATCTTACAATTTTGAAAACTCTTAAATATTTTCAAAACGTTGTTGTCTACCAAAAATTAGTACCCCATACTACTTTAACTTATTTTTCTTCTGAGATGGTGAGATTAAAGTTTAGACGCACGGAAGTACTTGTAGTAGTAGTGATCTCAAATCAGTCACCATTAACAGATTTTATTTGTAATTTGTTTTAAAGTGAAAAATTAACTCAAACTTTTGTAAAATGAGGAAAAGATAATAGAAAGCTGCTAAAATCATAAACTCAAAAAGGTACCAACTTGAACATGGTTTTATGCTACGAGGAATAAAAACAAAGGACAAGTTGCACGGAGTTTGTCTCCTACGTACTTCTTCTATGTTCCGCCGATAGGGTCCTTTTCATTCGTTTTGTTTATTAAATGTTTTACAGTTGTTCTGATGTTTATTTTTCTTTTGTTCTCATGTTTAATTTATAATCTTCTGTCGTTCTAATCTTTTGTCGTCTAAGCTCAAGTCTTATCACTCATGTGTCACTTCTCAAAAATAGAAAAAAAGAAACTTGCTAGTTTAGATCTTGGAAATTTTATTATCTTTTCTTTTTCCTTTTTATACTAATAGACAACAAAACATAGATGTTCTAGTAAAGAAATTATCAGTTGGTGCATTAAAGGCTTATGGAGAGCCATGCAAAGAGGTTGGTCGGAAAGTAGGTCAGTAGTGAGTGGTGATCAAATTTGAAATCATTATATATGTGGTCACTAGAATGTTCATAGTTTTTATTAGGAGTTAAATTACAATCAATGGTCAATTATTTCGTTATAGAGGGGGGAAAAATCTGTTACTACGTTAAGGAAATATAAGTAAATGTTGAGAGAAAATGAACAAATACAACCAATCCTAACAGATACTGTACACACCCAAATCAATTGTTATACAAAGTCATCATCAAAGAAAGGGAACACACACGAGGACTCGAAAAGGCACTTGTACCAAACTCATTCTCGTGCTTAATGAAAACATACAATTTATACCAAAAGAAACATATGTACATATGGTTCTCACCCCAAAAAAAACATACATATCCGATTTGGTCAAAAATATCATAGCTAAAAACCTAAAATTAAGACTATCTTCTTGGATTTTGTTTAGGTCACTAGTCATAAAATTGTATAAATAATTTGCACGTACTCAAAATAAAGAGTCACCAAAACTTGTATATACATCATACGCAAATTGTTTGGTCTTTGACTGAATGAGACCTAATGTATTAAGAATTTACACTAATACAAACATTCAAACGTCTAGTTCATATAATTCTTTATTGTTTAAAACCAAAAAAAAAAAATTCTTTATTGTTAAACAGTGCCTATACACGTAATCATCATTTCTTTTGTTAAAATAATGAAGTTCGTAGGTTTACAAATATCTTCAGTTTTAGAATGAACTTCTTAACGTTATTCTCTTTTTGGGTCGGCTAAAAACATGTCGATGGATATGGATTTCAACAGAATATTAGTACCTACGTGTATCCAATCCAAAATACTGAAAAGCCTGTATCTGTATGGACTGACTACAACTTTATAAGAGAATGGCATGGCATCATAACAACAATACACGTATTGAAGAACTGTACATGACATCACTATAAACTACATAGTGGAATCCAAACCTTCCAATCACATAAATTATATTATTATTTAGTTTTTGTTCTCATTTTTCTCGATTTTTAATATCATTTTCCATGGTCGTCTTTGGTTGCTTATTCACTCCGTAACCTTTCGGCCAAAAATATAGAAACAGACGATAGTTTTCTAAAATTATCATTCTAAGATTTTGTGGTCTTTTTGTGGTCAACAATAATAAAGAAGAGTATCAAAACAATATTTTTGTAAAAGCTTGTACGTTTATACCAGGTGAACTATAGTCATTATTAGACAACAATTTTTGTGGTCCATAATATTCATTTACTCATAATACAATTACTTATTTTCAAAAACTATTTCAAATTAATATTATTATGCTAAACCACTTTAAAAAAAAATCAACAACTTATATCGAGTTATGGTAAGACTAGCATAAACAATAAATAATTCTGTTTGTAACAAAAAAGTATATGTATACACATTATACTATACATTTTGCAGCAATCAGGATACTATATAGCAAATTAGTTACCAAAAAAAGGATACTAGATAGCATACAAAGTACCCTATATTGAGTAATATACTAAACAAGTTTATCAAATGATTTAGTTTCTTTCCAAATCTAACAACAACTTATTGAACAAAGCTTTTAGTACATTTGACCTAACAACCTCAAAATATAATAAACCTCAGAAATTGGATAACTCGATTTAGATTAAAATACGTATTGTCCAGATCCGCGTCGTATATTTGCATTGTCAGAACAAGTGTTCCACGTCCACAACACGTACGTTCACACATGCCACGGTTTCTACTTCTGGTCTTTCACGCGTGGCTTTTTTCTTTTTAATAAACTACGCGTACTTGTAAGGTCGTATTATTAGTTTTAAGTCTTAGCTTATGGAGCGTGTATTTATTTCTTTGATTTAATTTCTTCTATGCATGCATGTTCGAAATCCAATGGTCAATTTAATCATAAGTAGCCGAAAAAACAGTCATTTAGTATTTCTACTGGTCCGTGGCTAGATAAATATAATATATGTCATACGATTTTACGAGATATCACTTCTTCTTCTGACAGGTGGTCCGTAGTGATAACTTATCACTTCTTCTTCTAGCTAGTTGAAATTCAGGCTAAGGTTCGATTATCCTTGTGATACGATTTATTATTATTTATTATTATCGTGTAAAGAATCTCTTTGTTGTTTATAATAATGCTTTACTCAATTCGTAATAGTAATTCAGATAAGGCTTAATGCTTTCTTCGAATACTTTTGGTTCAAATGATTGATACTTTCGGCGATAACCAGGGGCTAGCGTTGTTTATTTGTTTGACCTTGACACCTTGTATGAGACTAAGTCAAATCTTTGTTATTTTCGTACGTTTTTGTATGATATCACCTATATAGTTTATTATTTAATCAGCCATGTATACAAGGTGTTGTAAATACAAAGTACGGTCAAAGATTATATACATGAATACCTGCTTTAGCTATTTTATTTTGTGTATGTATAACATACCGTGTTTGTTCTAGCTTTATGATTATGAGTTGGTGGATCTTTTGAGATCTCTTCTAAAGTTGTAGATATGTATAGTTCGTATATGGAATTTGTACTTTATACATTAATTTAACATCAAAACCCATGAAATGAACATTTGTGATCGATTGTTAAAAGATTTATTATGGTAGATTGAAAGATCATGATAATTTTTGTACCGAGTTTTTGATAATAGTTGATATATAAACGTTCAAAATAAGAAAATCATTCTACGATATTCTCTATAACTTTTGTAACAAACATCGGAAAGAAAGAGTAAAATTGCAAATCAAATCAACAAAAATGCCAGCTAATTGCACATTGTGAGTTTGTCCTTTTGTGAAGACAGTTAGTGCTTCTACTTGGATTCTTTGCCTAATCAATAGAAAACAACGAAATGTAATTTGTTCTTCCGTTCCAACCATAAATCTTTACATTTTTAAGTTCATTCTTATTTTGTAAATTACATCTTCGTACGAAGACGAATACATTTATATTTGTTCTGATCATTATGGTCTAAGCATGCATATAAATATATACGTATTGTAAAAGAGTTTATGAAAAACCAAATACATTTGATTAGTAAAGGTCAATATTGATAAGCCGTTTCAGTCTTCCAGAGACTATCATGGCCATGTTAGTATCGCAGGATCGTAGAACTAAATCGCAGCCCATAAAAAAAGCCTTCGAGAAGTACCTAGCTATAACATGAAAAACTGGATTAACTGGTAAAAAATCTCATTATATAATTATGAGTTTAAAACTATATCATAGAAAATCCGTATATAGCTAAATACTTTTACAAAAAAAGAAAAATTCCGTATAGAAATAAATGTTTAATCAATGTTAAGACAGTATCTTTACGTATATCAGATTAAGATATTAATTAAGATAAAACTATAAAAGACATATATCTCAATGTTGTTCAAAAAAAAAAGAGACAAATATCTCAACATTTCTTAACTAGTTGGTAAAGCAAATGGAATAGGTAGTGATTTCATACTTATTGCAAAAATGTTTAGTATGTGAAATGTGTAATAGCTGGAAAAATGATTAGAAAAATAAATATATCACAGTTTATTTTGATGATTCAAGAAATTAAAATTTATGAACAAGTAAAATAAATAAAAACTAAAAATATTATTAAGATTTTCTTGGTAAGATAATTTACAAAAAAAGATATAATTAGAGTATAACAAAATATTCAAATACCTAAACCCAATCATGAATTTCTAAAATTTTAAATTATAACATGAAAAATTCGTGTAGAGTTACTACATTGTAAGATGTCATTATATATACGTTATAAAGTGTAGCATGGAAAACTGTGTGGTCCTTTATTTATGTTACGACAAAATATTGTATGTTTTTCTATATCCCGTCCGTTTCGTTTAAATATAATACATGTTATTGATAGAAAAAATTAATTAAAAAATAATACTCTCTCCGTTTTTTTTAGATAAATTTTCTAGAGTTTTCACACATATTAAGAAAAAGTTGATTTTCAATCATTAATGTATAGATTTTGGCAATAAAACAACTTTCTATAAACTTAGACCAATAAAAATCTAACAAATTCAATTATTGTTTCTTGAAAACTGAAAAAGTACTTCAAAAAGCTAAAAAATTGTGTGGATTATCTTCAAAAAGTACTTCAAAAAACAACAAAAAATGTCCAGAAAATTCATCTTAAAAAAACGAAGGAAGTATCTATGAATTTCTAAAGTTTGGAATTATAACATGGAAACTTGTGTGGATTTAAAAAAATTCATTAATGTGTATGCGTTTCAAAGCATAGCATGAAAGACCCGTGTGCAGGTAAGTTTTCAGTTGTCGTTTACTAAAATTTTATTAATATATATACGTTTCAAAGAATTGCATGGAAAATCCGTGTGCAAGTAAGTTTTCGATTGTCGTTTACTAAGATTTTATTAATATATATACATTTCAAAGAATTGCATGGAAAACCCGTGTGCAGGTAAGTTTTCAATTGTCGTTTACTAAAATTTTATTAATATATATATACGTTTCAAAGAATTGCATGGAAAACCTGTGTGCAGGTAAGTTTTCAGTTGTTGTTTACTAAATTTTTATTAATATATATGTTTCAAAGAATTGCATGGAAAACCCGTGTGAAGATAAGTTTTTTATTCATAGTAAGACAAAATATATATTTTTCTTTCTTATTAAGATTTATTTTTACTTTTTTCTCAAGTGTGAACGAGATTTATAAAACAAAACTAAAAATTACCAAAATTTTATTTATGACAGAATTTACAAAAAAATTAAAAATATTATTACTATGAATAAAACTTAAATATCCAAATGCTAACTTACTTTGTTCATTTGGATAAATATTATTGGTTGTAGTCTTAAAGACTTGTCTTATAAGTAATAACAATATCTAATTCTTACACCTCATAGATTACAAAGTATTTGAATATCTGAAAGAAAAAAACCGAAAGAAAAAAACCGAATGGCTAATAATCTGTAATTTCCAAATAAAAAGTAGATAAAACAAAATCCGAAAAAATGCAAAATCCTACAGATTATCTCCATGCTAGTACAAGAAACAAAACAAAATAAAATTACGAACGATTTTCCACAAAATTATCAATTAATAGTCTAATTCCATTTAATTATTTATTTAATAGTTACTTGAGTTGAAGCATATATATAAATACCCACATCCTCCTACTATTTGCGTCACCGTCGAAAATCCGAATCCTCTTCTTACACCATTTGTCTGTCACCACCACCAAACCCTTCTTCTTCTCTCCATTTCGCTTTGTTTCTCCGGCACGATTTGATTTCTTCTTCAAACCCACAACGAAAAGTCTCGAAATTTCCATTTTGATTTTCCCGTTTTCTTCAAAGTCTCGAAATTTTCAAAAAAACGTGTTTTTTTTTTCCTTCTTTCTTCTTCCGTGTGATTGAATGGGTTTGGGTCTCTCTCTCTTCCAAAATGGTTCATCGTCTTCTTCGTCTCTTCCTGTGATTCCTGGTTTAGGGGATATGCCCGAGAGCTGCGTCGCTTTGATCCTCGAGAATTTGGATCCGGTCGAGATCTGCAGATTCTCCAAGCTGAACAGAGCTTTCCGCGGCGCTTCCTGGGCTGATTCCGTCTGGGAATCGAAGCTCCCTAAAGATTACAGATCGATTCTCGAGAAAATCCGTGGCGATTCCCAGGAGAAAAAGCTCCGGAAACGTGACATCTACACTTTCCTCTCCCGCGTCAATTCCTTCGACGACGACACAAAGGTTCGTCCTTTTTCTATTTACAGAAGAAAGTTTCAGTTTTTTTTGTTTTTTTAAAAAATTCAATTTTCTTCTGCAGCAAGCTTGGGTCGATAAACGAAGCAGTGATCTCTGTTTATGCATAGCCGCCAAAGGATTAAGGATCACCGGAATCGATGATCGGAGATACTGGAGCCGTATTCCGACTGATGAATCTCGGTGAGTCTTCTCACTCACCACCACTGTTCTTATCTCAATTAAGATCCAATTTCTCAAACCCAATTGGTTTGGTTTATGCAGATTTTCTTCAGTAGCATACCTTCAACAAATCTGGTGGTTCGAAGTCGCCGGAGAAATCGAATTCCCGTTTCCAGCTGGAAGGTACAGCGTTTTCTTCAGGCTTCAGCTAGGCAAACCGGTTAAGCGGTTCGGTTGGAGGAGGACATGGACATGCAACACCGATCAGATTCACGGTTGGAACATTAAACCGGTCCGGTTTCAGCTCTGGACTGAGGATGGACAACACTCTTCGTCGCAATGCAAGTTAACCGAGGCAGGAAGCTGGGGGCATTACCACGGCGGAGATTTCGTCGTCGGGAAATCGAAGAGTTCGCCGACGAAGCTTAAGTTCTCGATGACTCAGATCGATTGCACACATACCAAAGGTGGGTTGTGTGTTGATTCTGTGGTTGTGTATCCGAGCTCGTGTAAGGACCAGTTGAACCGGGTTTAGAGTTGCGAAATCGGAGTTTCGGTTTAGTTTAATTTAAGAGGTTAAGAGCTGGTTGTTTTTTTTAAGTAGTTGTTTTTTAACCTTCTTGGGGTGGGGTAATTAGAAAAAAAAAAATCTCGGATGTAAAGAGAAAAATAGGGTAATTAGGGTCTTTTGTATTCAGAGTTTCAGGTGAAAATTAATGTAAAAAAACTTGAGTTTTATGCATTAATCTGCGTTTATGTTGAAAACTTTTCCCATCTCTGTTTATAGTACCAACCAAAATCAGCAGAAAATGGTCTCTTATGACATCTTTTTAGTTAGATCCGATGATAAATCTCATTAATCATTTAATAAAATTTAGTTAATTGACTAATGATATATAGTCTGTTGAATTGTTTTTAGAAACTTTGTTTGTTGAATGTTTTGTGTTCTTATGTAAACTTGAGACTGGAACAGAGAGACTATTCGTGAGAAGTGAAACGCAGCGTGTTATGCTGACCGGGGTGATTAAATTGAACCGGTTTTGGATTAGGTTTATGAGAACCGACATTGAACCGGTTCGAAATTAAACGCAGCCAAATAATGGATCTTCGTTCTTCTGCAACATTGACAGAGATTCCATTTTCCGAAGCAAAATCTGTGAGAAGATGAGGAGATTGGTTGCGATTACGGGTAATAGGTTTCTTCATCGGCGTGCTCTGGTGAAAGGTAATCTTTCTTCTCTTTGCGGTGTGTGTTGTTTCTGGGGAAGAGGTTTCTCTGGTGCGAGTTATGATTACAGAGAGAAGATTAGAGGTGGGTTTCTACAGGATGTTAAGTTAGATGATGCAATTGGTTTGTTCAGTGAAATGGTAAAGTCTCGTCCTTTGCCTTCCATTGTTGATTTCAGTAAATTGTTGAGTGCATTGCAAAGATGAAGAAGTTTGATGTTGTGATCTCTCTGGGCGAGCAGATGCAAAATTGGGAATTCACATGATCTGTATACTTACAGTATTTTCATAAACTGTTTCTGCCGCTCCTCTCACTCTCTCTGCTTTAGCTCTTCTTGGGAAGATGATGAAACTTGGATATGAGCCCAGCATTGTCACGTTTAACTCGCTTCTCAATGGTTTCTGTCACGGGAATAGGATCTCGGATGCAGTCTCTCTGCTTGATCAAATGGTGGAAATGGGATAAACCTGATACCGTCACATTCAACACTCTAATCCATGGACTTTTTCTCCACAACAAAGTCTCAGAGGCAGTGTCTTTAGTTGAACGGATGATGCTGAAAGGATGTCAACCAGATGAGCTTACTTATGGTGCGTTGGTAAATGGAGTGTGCAAGAGAGGTGAGACTGATTGGCTTTAAAGCTTCTCAAGAAGATGGAAGCAGAAAATAGAGCCAGATGTTGTGATCTACAACACAATCATTGATGGTCTTGCAAATACAGCATCCGGATGATGCTCTCAACCTATTAATGAAATGGAGAACAAAGGTATTAGACCGATGTTTTACCTACAACTCCCTGATAAGCTGCCTTTGTAATTACGGAAGATGGGAAGATGCTGCTGGACTACTGAGTGATATGATTGAGAAGAAAATCAACCCGGATGTTGTTACGTTCAATGCATTGATCGATGCGTTTGTGAAAGAGGGGAAGCTTTTGGAAGCTGAAAAATTGTACGAGGAGATGATCAAAAGGTCTATAGCTCCTGATATTTACTTACATTCACTGATCAATGGGTTTTGCATGCAGAGTCGCCTAGATGAGGCCAAGCAGATGTTTGATTTGATGGTTAGCAAAGGATTGTCTCCCAGACGTTGTGACATATAATACTCTGATAAATGGATTTTGCAAGTCTAAGAGGGTAGAGGATGGCATGGAACTGTTTCGTGATATGTCTCAAAGAGGATTGGTTGGCAACACAGTCACTTACACACTCTTATCCAAGGGTTTTTCCAAGCTGGAGATTGTGAGAGTGCCCAAGAAGTTTTCAACAGATGGTTTCTGTGGTGTGCCTCCCAGATTATGGACATAAGCATTTTGTTGGATGGGCTTTGTAAAAACGGGAAGCTAGAGAAAGCATTGGTCATATTCCAGGATATGCAAAAGAGTGAATGGAACTCAATATTTTCACATACAGTATCATCATTGAAGGGTTGTGCAAGCTGTAAGGTGGAAGATGCGTGGAAGTTATTTTGTAGCCTCGACCTCAAAGGAGTGAAGCCTGATGTTGTAACATACACACAATGATCTCGGGATTCTGTAGAAAGGTTTAAAGGAGGAAGCAAGTGCCTTGTTCAGGAAAATGAAAGAAGATGGGCCTCTCCCAAATAGTGGTGTTTATAATACGCTAATCCGGGCACACCTTAGAGATGGTGACAAAACCGCATCAGCAGAACTCATCAACGAAATGAAGAGCTGCGGGTTTGCTGCAGATGCTTCAACGTTTGGCATGGTCACTCATATGTCACATGATGGGAGATTGACAAAAGCTTCCTTGGTATGCTTTCTTAAAGCATCGTTTGAGGTGAATTAGCTTTTCTTCTAATAATTTCTTCTTATGTGTTCCCATGTTATATATGGACTGATACTGTCGTTTTGTTTATGTCCTTGTTAGGTTGCAGACACACTTTGTTAACACAAGATCAGTGGTGAGTGCCAGTGCATGATTCCTCTGTTTTTACTTTACATTTGGTTTTAACCAAACGTGTTTTATAACTTGGAAGTTAAATGGGGAGATTGTTTAGGAAAATTTGTGGTTCTTTTTGGTTCAAAAAAGTAATTTCATTTGGCTTTCCACTCTCGATTCTGTTTTCTTCATACATTTTTTTTTTATGTTGTTTCTTTTAGACATCTGAGACATTGTTTAACATGAGTTTAGCAATGTTTAACAATTGGAATCGAAACTAATGGCATTTGGCTAGCTGGTGAAGTGTAAAACTGAAACCAGACACTTTCAAAGGCTTTGTATTGGGAAAGTTCAAGTCTTTATTTTAGGTTCTATCATCGATTTAGATTTAGTTGATATCTTCCCATGGTTTGAATATTCTTTTCTACTGAATTTTTTCTTGCAGGCATCTTCTCGCCTTTCCCAATGGACATAATGTAGAGACTACTTGTTTTTGTATCTAGAAGTTGCAGATTGTCAAAATCCTTCTTAGGTATAGTAAATCATTTTTTTGACCGTGTAAGTTTCATCAATGTTTGTTTTTGACTAGAGTTCTATGTTGCTAAATGGTGTTTGTGTGTGCTTTAGATCTTACTCATAGCTGTGAGGTGAATCAGTTTTGTTGCTCTTATTCTATTAAACAATTTTTAAGCATCTACTATTCTGTTGCTGTTTCTTTTTTAAGCAAACTTAGTTTATAACTTGGAAGTTAATGGTTGTTTAGGAAAATTTGTGGTTCTTTTTGGTTCAAAAAAGTAGTTTCATTTGGTTTTTCACTCTTTACTCTGTTTTCTTTATACAAAGTTTTTTGAATTTTTGTTTCTTTAAGAACTCTGAGACATTGTTAAAGTGGGTTTTTTTTTTTCTAAATGGATATTCAAAGGTGCTTTGCAGGATGGTGAATAAAAGAATGGAAGATTTTCTGTCTTTAGCAGCAGAGCTTGAGTCCCATAATTTTTTTTTGTTTCTAGATCTATTGTTTATCAAATTACAAACTATTAAAGGTTTGTTATGGTTGGTAATTATCTTTCATTTTCATGGATTTAGTATTGTCAAGGAATGTTGAAATGAGACATTATGTGATGAACAAAAACTTGTTGGAATCACTTGGGTCTGATGTCTCGATACTTTTTCTTTGTCCTTTTTGGTCTCTCTGCAAAAACGTGTAGTTTGGAGTGAATGGTTGCAGATATGATCAGTATTTCTCGACATGAATATGAAAATAGAGATCCCAAAGTACATAGGATTGAGCTTAATTGTCTTAGTGTTGAGTTTTTGTTTGTCTGCTTAGGGAGTTTGGTAATGCTCTAAAGAGAATTGCTCTGTTGTTTCAAAGCTTTTGGAGTTTGGTATTTCTGTAATTTCAGATGGGGACAAACTGTGACAAGCAAGCTTATGGCTCTTAAAATCTGTTTTGTGTGAAGGTCACAATATCTCTTTTCCTAATTTACTTGTTTTGTTCATACTTGACAGCAATTCTTTGGTCTGATTCCGATGTCTCTATCGAAAGATTGCTTTCTTTCTTTCTTTGGTGCTGCTGCATCTTGGTACATGCTTCTCCTCGCTTATATGTTTATATGTTCCTTCTCATTCAAGCGTGTGTGTACATGCTTTTGTCTATTTGTCGTTCTCTGGTAGCAATTCTTTGGTCTGATTCCGATGTCTCTATTGAAAGATTGTCTCGATTCCGATGTTGAAGATGGGTGGAAGTTATTCTGTAGCCTCAGACGTAAAGGAGCAGAGCCTAATGTTGTGACATACACTACAATGATCTCGGGATTGTGTAGTAAACGCCTACTGCAGGAAGCAGATACATTGTTTCTTTACCATTTTATAATGACGTAAGATTCAGTGGTTACATAGTCTTAATATATATATGATACTCCGCAGTGCTTCGTTTTGCTCTCATTTACACAAAAGGCAAAGGACAAGTCTGGTCCTTTGAAACCATGTTGCTGTATTAGAGCTTGATACAACTTTGTCATGGAAAACAGTATCTACTGTTGTAGAGCTATGTCCATCATATAGATATACTTATTTGAACTGATATGATTGAAATCTTGCATTTATAGATAAGGTAAAGCTGGTGATGGTTTCAAGCTATACATTGTGTGTTTTTGGGGTTGCTCCTGCGAATGAAAGCATTTCTTTTGAGTTTTTGTTTTGGATAATAACCTTCAAAAGTGTCATTATGACTTTGATATAACGAACTTGTAAGATGAATTTCTTCATTATGTGTGAATTTGGAGGCTCCAATAGGAAATCCGAGAGAAGCTAAATCAACCGCAAATAGTTTTATGGTTAAACTAAACCATCTCAGAGATGAATGTATCAGAAAAAAAAAACCTTCTAGTCACATAATCTGAAGATGTCAAAAGTCTTTCATAACATCAAAGAACTGAAACAAATCGTCGGTTTATTTCATTTTTTGTCTCTAGAAGTTCCACTTTCCGGTTAGCCGGTCACGAAATAAAAATCGATTCGTAATTGTAAATAACTAAACCGGTCGGCCGGTTTAAACAAGTCACACTCTCTTCGTGAGTCTTCTTCTTCTACTTCTTCTTCTTCTTCTTCTCAGTTCTCACAATCGTTGGTTCAATTTAAATGTAGTTTCACTTTGCAGAGCAAATTCGAAAGAGAAATTGAGAAGGTAAAGCTGAAGCCAAAGTCGAGATGATGAGGAGATCCTTTGCGATTGCATCGACAGCGAACAGATTTGCTCGTCGGTGTCTTCTGGTGAACCAAGGTAATCCTGGAACTGCTTCTCCTTCGTTCTCTCTTTGCGGTGTGTGTGTCTGGGTAAGAGGTTTCTCTGGCGGGAGTTATGATTACAGAGAGAAGATTAGAGGTGGGTTTCTACAGGATGTTAAGTTAGATGATGCAATTGGTTTGTTCAGTGAAATGGTCAAGTCTCGTCCTTTGCCTTCCATTGTTGATTTCAATAAATTGTTGAGTGCCATTGCGAAGTTGAAGAAGTATGATGTTGTGATATCTCTGGGAGAGCAGATGGAAAAGCTGGGAATTGCACATAATCATTATACTTACAGTATTCTGATAAACTGTTTCTGCCGCTCCTCACAAATCTCTCTCGCTTTAGCTCTTCTTGGGAAGATGTTGAAACTTGGATATGGTCCCGATACAGTCACGCTTACCTCGCTTCTCAACGGTTTCTGTCACGGGAATAGGATCTCGGATGCAGTCTCTCTGCTTGATCAAATGTTGGAATTGGGATATCAACCTAATACCGTCACATTTACAACTCTGATCCATGGACTTTTTCTCCACAACAAAGCTTCTGAAGCGGTGGCTTTAGTTGAACGCATGCTTGTGAAAGGTTGTCAACCAAATGAGCGTACTTATGGTGCGTTGGTGAATGGAGTATGCAAGAGAGGTGACACTGACTTGGCTTTAACTTTGCTCAAGAAGATGGAAGCAGAGAAAGTAGAGCCAAATTCTGTGATCTACAACACAATCATTGATGGTCTCTGCAAATACAAGCATCCGGATGATGCACTCGACCTTTTCAATGAAATGGAGAGCAAAGGAATTAGACCGACTGTTGTTACCTTCAGTGCATTGATAGATGCGTTTGTGAAAGAGGGGAAACTTTTGGAAGCCGACAAATTGTACGAGGAGATGATCAAAAGGTCTATTGCTCCTGAAATTTTCACTTACAATTCACTGATCAATGGGTATTGCATGCAAGATCGCCTAGAGGAGGCCGAGCAGATGTTTGATTTGATGGTTAGCAAGGATTGTCTCCCAGACGTTGTGACTTATACTACTCTTATAAATGGATTTTGCAAGTGTAAGAGGGTAGCCGAGGCCATGGAACTCTTTCGTGTGATGTCTCACAGAGGTTTGGTTGGCAACACAGTCACTTACACCACTCTAATCCAAGGGTTTTTCCAAGCTGGAGATTGTGATAACGCCCAACAAGTTTTCAAACAAATGGTGTCTGGTGGTGTGCCTCGTGATATTCGGACATTCAACATTTTGTTGGATGGATTTCGTAAAAACGGGATGCTCGAGAAAGCGTTGGTCATATTCCAGCGTCTGCAAAAGAGTCAAATGGAACCTGATATCTTCACCTATAATATCATCATTGAAGGGTTGTGCAAAGCTTGTAAGGTGGAAGATGCGTGGAAGTTGTTTTGTAGCCTCGACCTCAAAGGAGTGATGCCTGATGTTGTAACATACAGCATTTTGTTGGATGGATTCTGTAGGAAAGGTTTAAAGGAGGAAGCAAGTGCCCTAACTCATCAACGAAATGAGGAGCTGCGGTTTTGCTGCAGATGATTCAACCTTTGGCTTAGTCACTCATATGTTACATGATGGGAGATTAGACAAAAGCATCCTTGATATGCTCTCTTAGAACATTGCCTACTATTCTAGATGGCAACTTCTCTCGTTTGTTGTTATGTCTTATCTTCATCGAATCTTTCTGATTCTGTTTGTTATTTCCCTGCTAGGTTTCTGATGATGCAAACACTTGTTGTCTTGTTAAGTCAAGAATAGTGTAAGCTAAAATAATTGAGTGTAGTTTATATAGCCCCTGACCTTTTGTTATCCACAGAAGCATAGTTTATATAGCGACCTCCAACAAGAAAACAGTTGAGCAACTAAAAGCGTTTATTAGTTAATTGTTAATATGTTAGGAAACACACCCATTACGCTTCAAGCAAGTGGTGTTAAATTGCTAATCCCAAGCCTTGCGTGTACGTTTTTTCTGATCTTGTTCTCTCTGTGAATATAGATATCTGGAACATTGGATCATCTTGATGGTGAAGATATTTTGCAAGATGATATGTTCATCGAGAAAGGGAGCTTCGGTTAAAAAGTCTCGACATGAATCTGAAAATAGAGATCCCAAAGTGGATAGGGTTGTGCTTACTTGTTATAACAGATGCAGCAAAAAAACTCTTCGGATCTATTGTCTTAGTGTTGAGTTTCTGTTTGTCTGCTTAGGGAGTTTGGTGCTGTCTTTGTATTGATTTAAGAGAATTGCTCTGTTGACGATTTGAGATGGTGTCGAACTGTGTCAAGCAAGCTTATGGCTCTTGAATCTGATTTGTGCGAAGGTCACAATATCTCTTTACCTAATTTACTTGTTTTGTTCATACTTGGTAGCAATTCTTTAGCCTGATTCTGATGTCTCTATAGAAAGATTGCTTCTCATTCAAGCGAGTGTGTCCTACTCATTTGGTATGGCTTTTGTCTATGTTGTTCTCTGGTGACTCATTGTCATATGTAACATAGTGAAGTGATTTGGCATCTAAATATTTAGATTGAGTGAGTGCTGTAGAGTTGGACCTTTTGCTCTTTAGAGAATGAATAGTAAAAAGTATTGATTTTGATTTCTTCTGAGGCTAGTTTCTGAATAGCGCCACGCTAGTTTCTGTGTCTCGGCTCTGTTTTGATTCGCCGAGATTTTAGTAACTGCAAATCAAATCAAAATATGTACTTTCTCGTCATCTCCACCATGAAAGCAATTACATTTGCAGCCGGTTTTACCTAAACCGTATCTGCACGATTACAATAACCGATTACATTTCCGTCAAGTTATTTGATTAGGTCTGGATAAATTATCTGCAACTGAACCTAACCGAACCTTTTTTTTGAACAACCGAACCAGTACCAGAGAATTCGCCGGAAAGTTACCATCTGCAGATTCTCGTTTGAGAATCGAAGCTTCTTCCACTCTTCTCCTCCCTCCCATTATTTTCAGTGCATTTTAAGCCCACCAAATTGAGAAACAAACCAGAACAAAAAAACGCAAACCGGTAAGCTCAATAAGCTAATTAAGAGAAAGTAGTAAACCGGTTTTGGAGCCAACTCTCTCTCTCGTCACTCTCAGTGGCTGAAGAACATACTTTTCATGTGATTCAAGGGTTTACTGAGTTTTACAGATCGAAAGAAAAGAGAAGATTGAGAAGAACCCAATCACCGAATCCCAAATCGAGAAGATGAGATTCGCGATTGCAATTACGGCCAAGAGATTTGCTCATCGGGTCTTCTGGTGAACGAAGGTAATCCTGGAACTGCTTCTCCCTTCGTTCTCCCTTTGCTGCTGCTGGAAACGAGCTTTCTCTGGTGGGAGTTATGATTATAGAGAGAAGATTAGAGGTGGGTTTCTACAGAATGTTAAGTTAGATGATGCTATTGGTTTGTTCAGTGAAATGGTCAAGTCTCGTCCTTTGCCTTCCATTCGATTTCAATAAGTTGTTGAGTGCTATTGCAAGATGAAGAAGTATGATGTTGTGATATCTCTGGGAGAGCAGATGCAAATTTGAGAATCACATGATCTCTATACTTACAATATTTTGATAAACTGTTTCTGCCGCCTCTCAACTCCTCTCGCTTTAGCTCTTCTTGGGAAGATGATGAAACTTGGATGTGAGCCCAGCATTGTCACGTTTAACTCGCTCTCAATGGTTTCTGTCACGGGAATAGGATCTCGATGCTGTCTCTCTGCTTGATCAAATGGTGGATTGGGATATGAACCTAATACCGTCACATTCAACACTCTAATCCATGGACTCTTTTCTCCACAACAAAGTCTCAGAAGGCGTGGCTTTAGTTGAACGGATGGTGCTGAAAGGTTGTCAACCAGATTTGCTTACTTATGGTGCGTTGGTAAATGGAGTGTGTAAGAGAGGTGACACTGAACTTGGCTTTAAAGCTTCTTAAGAAGATGGAGGAAGAAAAATAGAGCCAGATGTTGTCATCTACAGCGTCATTGATGGTCTTTGCAAATACAGCATCCGGATGATGCTCTCAACCTATTAACTGAAATGGAGAAGAAAGGTATTAGACCGACGTTGTTCACCTACAACACCCTGATAAGCTGCCTTTGTAATTACGGAAGATGGGAAGATGCTGCTGGACTACTGAGTGATATGATTGAGAAGAAAATCAACCCGGATGTTGTTACGTTCAATGCATTGATCGATGCGTTTGTGAAAGAGGGGAAGCTTTTGGAGGCTGAAAATTGTACGAGGAGATGATCAAAGGTCTATAGATCCTAATACTATTACTTACAATTCACTGATCAATGGGTTTTGCATGCAAGATCGCCTAGAGGAGGCCAAGCAGATGTTTGATTTATGGTTAGCAAGATTGTCTCCCAAACGTTGTGACATACATACTCTGATAAATGGATTTTGCAAGTCTAAGAGGGTAGAGGATGGCATGGAACTGTTTCGTGAGATGTCTCAAAGAGGATTGGTTGGCAACACAGTCACTTACAACACTCTTATCCAAGGGTTTTTCCAAGCTGGAGATTGTGAGAGTGCCCAACAAGTTTTCAAACAGATGGTTTCTGTGGTGTGCCTCCCAGTATTATGGACATACAACATTTTGTTAGATGGGCTCTGTAAAAACGGGAAGCTAGAGAAAGCATTGGTCATATTCCAGGATATGCAAAAGAGTGAAATGGAACTTATATTTTCACTATAATATTATCATTGAAGGGTTGTGCAAGGCTGGGAAGGTGGAAGATGCGTGGAAGTTATTTTGTAGCCTCGACTCAAAGGAGTGAAGCCTGATGTTGTAACCTACACCACAATGATCTCAGGGCTATGTAGAAAGGTTTAAAGGAGGAAGCAATGCCTTGTTCAGGAAAATGAAAGAAGATGGGCCTCTCCCAAATAGCGGTACTATAATACGCTGATTAGGGCATATCTTAGAGATGGTGACAAAGCCGCATCAGCAGAACTCATCAACGAAATGAAGAGCTGCGGGTTTGCTGCAGATGCTTCACCTTTGGCTTGGTCACTCATATGTTGTCTGATGGGAGATTGAACAAAAGCTTCCTCGATATGCTTTCTTGAAGTCTTTATCCTCTATAAACAGATTGTAGAGCAACCATCTTCACTTGAGAGCATTTATGAGGTGAATCGGCTTCTTCTTTCAATTTTTTGCTGTTCTTGTGATTACTTCTTGATGCAAGTTTACGTTTTCATGTTTAAATTGATTCTTGTGTGTGAGCTGCTTCATGGACATGACATGATCAGTGATGAGAGTCGGAAGAAGACTTTGATGTAACAGAGAGACCCTTTTGGTTGGAGCTGAGATAAATGCATAAAGGTTTCTGATATTACAAAGCAGCTTTATTTGATGCAAGCTCAAAGAGATTATTATGTATGTACAATACTTGGTGAAAATCCATTCTGATTTGAAAGTATAAAATTTTATTTGATTCATAGAAAGTTTTTCAGATTCCCTTTAGAGTTCACTGTCTCTGTCTCTGCAATTTTTTCACGTCAATTAGCAGTGTTAAACCAAGAAAAACCAGATAGATATGGATCAAACTAAATTCATAGTAACTTAATTTTCATTTGATAAAAAAAATAACCGAAACAAAAAATAAATGGAACCAAAATAAATTTTATCTCAACCAGAGATATACTTTTCTAGAAAACTAAAACAAACGTTGTCAAAAGAAAAAAGAAAGAGATAACCAAAGCAAATAAGATTATATACAAATCAAACCGTACCAGAGAACTCAGAGTGAACCGGTCACCGAGAAATGATAAGACGAAATCTTGACCGTCAAAATACCAAAATGATCCGACGGCTCTGGAAATCCATCTTCTTCAAACCGAAATTAAAATTTGCTCTGGGTTTCACAAAAAGTTTGTGAGTTTGAAGTTTCTGCAACTGTTCATTTAGGGGTAAACGAAGGTTGTGAGAGCGATTGATTGCGTCCGAGTCGGAGATTGAGAGGAAACCCAATCCACCACCTGAAGCTAAAGTCGCTGAAGATGAGATTTGCGATTGATTGCGTCTGAGTCGGAGATTGAGAAGAAACCCAATCCACCACCTGAAGCTAAGGTCGCTGAAGATGAGATTTGCGATTGCATTGAAAGCGAAGAGATTTGTTCACCGGAGGCTTCTGGAGAGAGGTAATCCTGGAACTGCTTCTCCTTCGTTCTCTCTTTGCTGCTGGGAACGAGCTTTCTCTGGCGGGAGTTATGATTACAGAGATAAGATTAGAGGTGGGTTTCTACAGGATGTTAAGTTAGAGGATGCAATTGGGTTGTTCAGTGAAATGGTCAAGTCTCGTCCTTTCCCTTCCATAATCGATTTCAATAAGTTGCTGAGTGCTATTGCGAAGATGAAGAAGTTTGATGTTGTGATATCTCTGGGAGAGAAGATGCAAACGTTGGGAATATCACATAGTCTGTATACTTTCAATATTTTGATTAACTGTTTCTGCCGCTCCTCTCAGCTCTCTCTTGCTTTAGCTCTTCTTGGGAAGATGATGAAACTTGGATATGAGCCCAGCATTGTCACGCTCTCTTCGCTACTCAATGGATATTGCCATGGAAATAGGATCTCTGAAGCCGTCGCTTTGCTTGATCAAATGGTTGAAATGGGATATAAACCTGACATAGTGGCGTTTACAACTCTAATCCATGGACTCTTTCTCCACAACAAAGCCTCTGAAGCCGTGTCTTTAGTTGAAAGAATGATTGCGAAAGGATGTCAACCAAATGTGCTTACTTATGGTGCGTTGGTAAATGGAGTATGTAAGAGAGGCGAGACTGATTTGGCTCTAAAGCTTCTCAAGAAGATGGAGGCAGAGAAATTAGAGGCAGATGTTGTGATCTACAACACAGTCATTGATGGACTCTGCAAATACAGGCATCCGGATGATGCACTCGAGTTATTCAATGAGATGGAGAACAAAGGTATTAGACCTGACGTTGTTACTTACAACTCCCTCATAAGCTGCCTTTGTAACTACGGAAGATGGAGTGATGCTTCTCGACTAGTAAGCGATATGACTGAGAGGAAAATCAACCCCGATGTATTTACGTTCAATGCTTTGATCGATGGGTTTGTGAAAGAGGGCAAGCTTTTGGAAGCTGAAAAATTGTACGAGGAGATGATTATTAGGTCTATAGCTTCTGATATTGTCACGTATAATTCATTGGTCAATGGGTTTTGCATGCAGAGTCGCCTAGATGATGCCAAGCAGATGTTTGATTTGATGGTTAGCAAAGGTTGTCTCCCAGACGTAGTGACGTATAGTACTATTATAAATGGATTTTGCAAGTGTAAGAGGGTAGAGCATGGCATGGAAATCTTCCGCGAGATGTCTCAAAGAGGATTGGTTGGAGACACAGTCACTTACAACACTCTAATCCAAGGATATTTCCAAGCTGCAGATTGTGATAATGCCCAACAAGTTTTCACACAGATGGTTTCTTGTGATGTACCTCCTGATATTTGGACATACAACATTTTTTTAGGTGGATTATGTAATAATGGGAAGCTAGAGAGCGCATTGGTCATATTCCACGATATGCAAAAGAGTGAAATGAACCTGATATCTTCACTATAATATTATCATTGAAGGGTGTGCAAAGCTTGTAAGGTGGAAGATGCGTGGAAGTTATTTGTAGCCTCAGTCGTAAAGGAGAAGAGCCTAATGTTGTGACATACACTACAATGATCTCAGGATTCTGTAAGAAAGGTTTAAAGGAGGAAGCAAGTGCCTTGTTCAGGAAAATGAAAGAAGATGGGCCTCTCCCAAATAGCGGTACATATAACACGCTAATCCGGGCACACCTTAGAGATGGTGACAAAGCCGCATCAGCAGAACTCATCAACGAAATGAAGAGCTGCGGGTTTGCTGCAGATGCTTCCACCTTTGGCTTAGTCACTCAGATGTTACATGATGGGAGATTGAACAAAAGCTTTCTGGGGATGCTTTCTTAAAACAGACCATCTTCTCTTGAAAGCATATATGAGGTGAATCGTGTGTTTAACGTTTTCTTGTTTAAAGTTAGTGTTGTTTGTGAGCTGCTTCATGGACATAACGTTAGGTTGCAAACACATGATCAGTGATGAAAGTTGGAAGAAGACTTTAAAATTTTAGGAAGCTAAGCTTATGTACTAGAGACCCTTTTGCTTGGAAGTGAGATAAATCGGATACATAAGTTTCATCATAAAATAACTCAAAAAAAAACAAAAAAAGCCAAACATAGAAATAGTTGGTGTGTTACGTTACATGATAATAAAAAACACAGTTAGAGATTAAGAATTGGCACAATCCGTGTTCGGTCGGTGCGGAACAAACAGCATAAACATACAAAACACAAGATGAACACGACCATTATAGCGACGACTGGCAGAACTAAGATGAGAACTCGACCCATATTCATAATCATATTTGTTTCTTCACACCACAACTTGATCTTTCTAACTTTTTTCTTGTGTCTTCTTTTTCTTTTTGCTAAGGTCTAAATTATATATATATATATATATATATATATATATATGTATTGTTAACATAAAAGTGAAATTTGTAAGGTTTACATTTTATCATTAAGGAACATTGACTAGAAAAAAAGTTGGAAATTTTACATCTAGACATTAAAGTAAAAATAACTAGACAAAAGTATATAGAAGTTTTACATTTTGTAGTTTTTTGTCAATCAAGTATATAGTATATAGAAGTTTTACATTTTGTAGTTTTTTTGTCAATTATTTAAACCTACTACAATATTTTAACGTTTTGTTTCAAAACATTCTGAAATTTTGGTATTTAGGTCATTTTGCATGTTAATGTAATCTTTGTTTTTTAACGTGATAGGTTGCAAAACACACTTGTTGAAGACCCATTTGGTTGCAACTGAGATATATATGCATAATTTTTCTGATATAGATTTGTAAAGACAAAGAAGCTTTATTTGAATCAAGCTCAAAGAGATTATTATATGTACAAATACTTGGTGAACAAAACTTAGAAAAGTTAAAAATGCATTTTAATTTGAAAGCAAAAAAACTTATTTGATTCATAGAAAGATTTTCTAGATTCCCTTTGGAGCCACACCAACGGAGTTCAATGTCTCTGCATTTCGAGGCCTTTGGAGTTCACATGCACAAAAACAAAAACAAAATGAAGATTTCAGTTCTTGTTAGTTAAAACCAAGATAAACCAAATCAAACTAGGTCAAACCAAATTCATCATTGAACATACGTGGTGAATGGGTTAGGTCTGGTGGGATCAGATAAGATTGCACCAGACTTGTCTTGAATCTGACCTAGTTTCCTAAGCCAGGACTTGTTAATAAATTTGTCGGCGGAGGAAACACAATTGTCCGGATCATCGACTTCTGCCATAGCCCCTCTTCTGTTCTTCCTTGTACTGACCGACGGATTATGCACAATCTGCTGCTTGAGGCTGTGTCCGGCCATAACCACCGCTAAAGCAACAAAACCTCCTATTATAGCAATTGGTGCAAACTCTCCTGTTACTGAGAACCTGTTTGACCATAATCCAAGTGATGATCATCAAATTATGTTTCTTTATTTTGATTTGTTCCTTTTTTGTGTTATACAAATATTTTTGTAATTAACTATCGTTATGAGAAGATACAACTTATGAAATCACCATGACTAGGAAAAATGGAAGCTTAAACTAACCACGTGTATATACACTTAGGGATGTTTAAACTAATATTTTAATTATGTATATAGAAGAATATATTTAACTATATTAAAAATCAACAGATTTAACTAAAATCAGTGTAAAAAATAAAAATATGTCTAAAGCCTAGTCAAATGAACTAAATTGTGATATGATTCCCAATGCATGAGAGTTATTTTTCTAAAACTCGAAAATCTAAAAACTAAATCGAATAATGAATACTAAACAAATGAATATTAAACCGAACCATCTAAAAAATATATAATCTCTATTTTTGTTCAATTTCTTCAAAAATTGATGAAAAACATGAAAATGGGGCAACACACAAATGAATATTAAACCGAACCATCTAAAAAATATCTAATCTCCATTTTGGTTCAGTTTCTTCAAAAATTGATGAAAAACATGAAAATGGGGCAACACAAAGCATAAACTAGATCTCCAAAATCGATTTATACAACTCTAAGACTTTTTATGAATAAAAATAAAAATGAAACATGCAATAAAACCACTAAGATTCGATTAGAATTGTTGAAATATCCATAAATACTAAAAACTGAGATCTCCATCATAAATCAATAAATCTCTTACTTGTTATATGTTTGTTTGGCGGCGTCATGGGCGGTTGATGTCGCAAAGCGACGAGAGACACCGATTTGTTTGCCGGCCGACCGCAACTGGCTCTATAAACCAATAATCATAACAATCAGTTTCACAACAGATTCATTTGTTTCTTCGATACTTAAATGTGAAGAAACAATGCTTAAAACTATACTTACGGTGATTCTGAAAGCCATTTCTGTGAAAATTAATTTTTTGACAGAAGTTAGAAAGATTGAGATGAATAGTTGATTATATACACGATGGGATGAGACTATTTAGGATCTTTGTAACTGAAAATGAAGAAATTTTCAAAATGGCATCTTATATTTAGTCATATACAGAAATTAAATCTCACCCATCAAAAATTAATTTCTTAAAAAAAAAACAATAATATTTAACCTCAAAAAAATAGAAGAATTTTGAGGTTATTGATGATCGGTCCTAATACTATTGCACATCATATAATAAAATCGATGATTCTGCATATGTGTATATATGTGTGTGATTGATTTAATTTTATTTGACGTTGTTACTTATAATGAAAATCGACCCATCAGAATTTGCAAGAAAAACATGAGTTAGACAGATAACTACTATATTTATCATAGAAAACATTATGAGATTATACATGTGATTAGATTTTTAAAATAAATAAATCATAAGAGGAGCGAATTAATATCTTTCGCTCTTTGTTAATTTAGACATATATATATTACTATCGCTTTAGTTCTTCTTCCCTTCTTCTTGTTACATGTCTCCAAACAATTAACTACGCATGAGTCAAACCAAATCTGAAGAGCTTTCATTTTCTGAAGGTGAAGGAGATGGTGGAACCTCAAAATTATCTACTGAAGGTGAAGGAGAGACTGGTGTAACCATATCTTCTGAAGGTGAAGGAGACACTGGTGTAACCTCAAAAAAAACTTCTGAAGGTGAAGGAGAGACTGGTGTAACCATATCTTCTGAAGGTGAAGGTGAAGGAGATTCAGTTGGAGAAGGAGAAGGAGAAACTCTGTGACGACCACAATGATTACCGAGTTCACACAAGGGACGGGTTGCATGAACCAAAATGTTCTCCATTCCCATTACCACTATCATCACCATCATTAACATGGCTACACTTTTTGTATTCATCATTTTTCTTTTTCTTTTCTCAAAGATTATATGTGTGATATTGTTGTGAGAATTGTGAATGTTGATGTTTGGTTGCTTAGTTTCGTGTATTTATATAGGAGGATCTGTGTAAGTTTGTGTTATAGGTGATAAGAAATTATTAAGGTGAAAATGTCAGAGAATAGTTTATAATTTGGGTGCTAATTCAAGTATAGAATAATATCTTACTATCTGGATAGGGTATTAATAGACATGTATATCCAAAATGTTATTCATATAAGTTAAGGTGATATTATACTAAGATCAATTCATGAATCATAAAAGTATAAAATTAGAAGCATCATATATAACTTTTTTAAGAAACATACTTAGTATATATAGGTTACTTACTAAGTTATTTAATCATGTAGTATTCACACTTTTTAGATATTCATTAAAGAAGCATGGATTTTAATTGTTTTATGAACTTAGAAGATTTATGTTTCTATTTGTAAGCTGAGTTTATCATATATTTTCAATAACTTTTTAGAGATATTCAACTAACAGACCTACTAAACTTGACTACTAAATCTTTAAGTTGGTCGACTTTAGAATTTTAATCTGTCATTGTTATATGTTTCCTTCAACTAACAGATCTACTAAACTTAAGTTAATAATTAATTGAGAGAATTACCAGTCACTTATGAGACGTGAATCTACATGATATTTAATTCATATGGCTAATATTTAATTCATATGAAACTTTCCATCCATCGTCTTCGTCGTATTCGATCGCAATGGAGATAACCGTGATTATGAACTTAGATAAATCAGTTTTTGGAAGAGAAAAACAAGAGAAAGAGAGACAAGAACCTCAAAGAAGCCCCAGTTTTGGCAAGCGTCGTCGATCAAAGCCATGGTCTGGTCTCTCTCTTCACCATTGAGCTTAGCCAAGTCTATAACTGGAAACTTAATGTTCTTCTCCATTTCTCTCACTCTAAGTAAACTCTCTGTTTTTTAACTGGCAACTTAATGCTTATGATGATGTTAATTGTCAAATGTGAGTTGAGAAATTGAGAGAGGGTCGCTATATATAGGCGCAAATAGTAAAAAGATCTTGCTATATAAAAATAAAATGGAATAATACGAAAACGATAGACAAGCATCATGAGATAATATAATTGTGCCATTCAGATAAAGTTGCTAAATATGTCTATTTTTTAAATTTGAAAAGAAATGGAATTTGTGGAAGTTGTATATGAGTGCAGTGCAACATAATTGGTAGGACCCTACTCTTCCTTTTGGGATGGGATAAAATTTGGTTTTGCAATTCTATTGGTTTTTTCTTTTGCTTTTTTCATATGAATAATTGCTATGATGTTTGAACAAATAAGAGAAACACTCGAATACACCTTTAGCTGGTGCTTTGCGGTGTCATTATATACGCAAAAGAAGGGCTAGGGAGGATGTGTGATACACGATTTCGAAGTACAATAATACATTAAACTGGTTATCTAGTTAGTGATGTAAATATAAAAAAAAAATCATAGTTTAAGGTTCTGAGTGAGTAGTTTATTTGAATCGCTCTGGTCAGAGAATGAGTATGCGAACAAGTAAATATAAAATACAAAAAGTTGTTACTTGACAAAATTTTGCGTATTTTGTCAAACAGAAAGTCGTTGATAAAAATTACATTTCAAGTAACTTTTGTTTTGTAAAACATGTCTAGTCACTTAAAAAAAAATGTATATTGCATGGCAAGAGATAAACACCGATCGTATTGAGTTAAAAAAGCAACGATCGTATCTTTTGCTAAGGTAGCATTAGCTTAGCTACTCTTATCACGAATATTTTGTATTTTAAAAGAAAAAGCTCGAAAGCGCTATCTTTACTACCAACTTTTTCATGTTCGAGTTTCATGCATAGTCGATCGATTAATTCTTTCTCGTAGAAAAATTGAGATTTTGACTTAATTAGAATAAAATGATGAAAATATTTTTGTCATGAGGGTTGTGAGAATGAAAAATAAAATAAAACGTAGTTATAAATAATTGTGTAAACGAAAAACATAAAACTGCATAATAGTAAAATCAGTTTATCATTCTAATTCATGGAATACTAACCATAATTAAGTTCATAACCAACTTTTTATCATTTTGGGAATAAAGTAGATAGATAAAACTTAAATCACTTTTAATTTGACACACTTTGTCATTTATGAGGTTGCTTCTTCGAAGATCGGTTGGCTTGGCCACCTAATTACAATAAGTTATCTTTGGATTCCTCCACGACAGGGAAATAAGATTTCGCCGTAGTTTAAAAAAAGTTTAATCAAGTACTTTAATAAGATGTTTGGTAAGAAAAGCATACAATATTCCCAAACTCACTAGAAGTATTTTCTATCTTTACTCATATTCCCAAACGCGGACGTGGCTGATGTGGCTCATCTCCAACCCATCCTCTTCTTAAGTTTCAAGCTTAGGATTTTCTATCTTTACTCATATGTTTGTCTCAAATATATGCTTCTCTGCTATGTTGTTTTAACTTTCATAACTGTATGACTTAATTGTCATAGCCCTGTACCTTTTAATTTCTGCAATTTTAATATGAATACCCTTTGTCAAAAAAAAAAAAAAACTCACTAGAAGTAAAAAAATACAAATAAGGTTGACGTTGTATCACAACCAGAAGTTGTCATGATTCATGAATACAAAACTACATAAAATGTTATTAATTAATTCCAAGTTGTGATAGTTGAGGTTATAATAATTCGTGACGAGTATATAATCTTCTCTTTTTTTGATAAAGGACGACGAGTATCTATCTTTGTCCCAATTAACTAGATATATTTTTATTATACACCAACAACACAAAATCAGAAGCAAGACTTTGGTCGGTGGCTACTGCTACCTAATTTTCCTTAATCTTAGCCCCAAAAGTTGAAAGGGCGGTGGATACATTCACTCACTACCTTATGATTTTGAATCAAATTAATACTTGCAGCATAATCATATAGAATCTTAGCAAGAATCATGATGTTGTTATTTTTCCCTACCAAGTCGAGACTCGTAAGTTAGTAATCAGCAAAGATTACAAAGTCGATGAAAATCTTCTTGATCTTCTTATTCTTAAAACAAATCTCACAGTTCATTTTCTTTGATTTGAAAGAAATTAACCAACAAAGTCAAAAGTCGTGATGTGAGATCGTCTCATCTTGTTCATTTGCTGTATTTTTTTATTACTGTTTGTTAATGGTTTGATATTTGTTACTTATAAAGTGCTGTTACAGAAAGGAGTTACAAAATTGCTTTTACGGCTAAGGTGAAGAGTGATGGCTTTAACTTGAGTTTTCTTCTTCTTGTTGAATGTTTTGTCTTACTTTTTGGTGAAAGTAAATAGTAATCATAACTTATGGTGTTAATATTATAACCAACATATCTATTTTACCCCAAAAAGGAAAAGAAACTTACATATCTCCTTTTCTTTTCCTTATGATTTACGCTACTGATGTTTTCTTTCTTTGGATTTCATACTTCCATCTTAAACAAATACATTGTACCGTACGTTCTTTTGCTTGTGCATCTACGCATGGATATATGCGATTTATTTTAACAGCCGTGCCACTGTACCAGTAATCTAAGAAAATTTGTAAATTGAAAACGTAGAAAAAGTCTTCCGAGTTATAAATCATGAATGATGTGGAACATCTACTGTGAAATTTAGCCCTTTTGTGTTTTACAGAATCACAAACTCAAACTTAATAAGGTCACACACTTTCTCTATATGAATATTAGTCATCCCTCGAGGAAACAAAAAATGTTAACAAATGAGTTCACATTATTAAATAACAGCTCTTGAATACTGGGATTGGATTAAAATGGGGATTTGAAGACAAAAGAAAAATCTTTATACAAACACGAGACAAGAAGCATAAGGCCTTTTGTTCGATGTCGAATCTTAGGGCCTAGAAAGTAAAAATGTTCAGCCCACTAAATATTATTGGGCCGATACATCGTATATACCTAAAATACCCTTTGCCTTGTAGGATGAGTCAATTAATATTGACTTTGATGCCCCTTTGAGTCATACTATATATTCACACCAACCCCGCAGCGGAGACCTCGAAGAGTGAACTCCATTGAAGCTTATTAAAAGGAGGGAAGTTAGGTTCGTCGTACAAACCATCGCAAAGAGTTAGGTGAAACCAAAGGAATGGCCCCATCTCTCGCCGTTAACCGAGATCTCGTCGCCGGATCTCCGGAGAATGCTCCGGCCAAAGGACGTGCTTCAGTCTACAGCGAAGTTCAGTCTAGCCGAATCAACAACGCTCTTCCTTTGCCTTCTGTGCTGAAAGGAGCTTTCAAAATCGTCGAAGGTCCTGCTAGCTCCGCCGCCGGAAATCCAGGTGACGCCTCGGGATTGGGATTGAGTTCTTTTTATTTATTTATTTCGCTCTGATCTAATGATTGTGTATCGCTTTAGCTTGATCTGATACAACTATAGATCTTGTTTGTGAGGGAATCGAGGACCTGAATGATTCACGAAACCATATCAAATTCGTTTTATTGTATAGATCTGTGGTTTATGCTCTTCGTAAGAGTTGCAAATGATTTAGCGTTTGGTTTATGTGATTGCAGATGAGATTGCGAAGTTGTTTCCGGGTCTATATGGTCAGCCATCTGTATCGGTAGTTCCAGATGAGAGTGCATCTTCGTCTGCACCGAAATTGAAGATCGGTGTTGTTCTCTCCGGAGGTCAGGCACCTGGTGGCCACAATGTCATCTCTGGATTGTTCGGTAAGCGTTTCGTTCTTATGTCAAATGGTGCTTTCTTTAGCATTTTAGCTGATTGATTTGTGATTTTTTCTTTCTCGGCCTTTAGATTACTTGCAGGAGCGTGCCAAAGGAAGCACATTCTACGGATTCAAGGGTGGTCCAGCTGGGATCATGAAATGCAAATATGTCGAGTTGAATGCAGAATACATTCAGCCCTACAGAAACCAGGTACTGTATAGTTTATGAATCCTTTCCACGGGCTTTGTGATTGATTGAGATTTTAGAAGTTCATCATCATTTTTCGACTTATTTCAAGTATTAAAATCAATATTTACACTGTGATGATCTGTAACTGGTGGAGCATAAAATTCTCGGTTGGATTGAATGTGCTTTGTGTTTTCTGTCTCAATAGGGTGGTTTTGACATGATCTGCAGTGGAAGAGACAAGATTGAAACGCCTGAGCAGGTTGGATATTGTTTTCTAGTTTTAAAAAGATTTATTCCTGCTTCCAGTCATGCAGTAGGTAACTATAAAAGGCTCACGTGTGCAGTTTAAACAAGCTGAAGAAACCGCAAAGAAGCTCGATTTGGATGGATTGGTGGTTATCGGTGGAGATGACTCCAACACCAATGCCTGCCTCCTTGCTGAAAACTTCAGGTAAACCTGGCAATCAGATCATTTCATGTTTGTTGTTGAAACTTTGTCTTGGAGATTTATGTGTACGGAATCTTTAATACTTTGCTGATTCAGTATTTGACTTGCTTTTTTACTGGTGTGACTAGGAGTAAGAACTTGAAAACCCGAGTCATTGGGTGCCCCAAGACCATTGATGGTGACTTGAAATGCAAAGAGGTTCCTACTAGTTTTGGATTTGATACAGCTTGCAAGGTGATCATCCGTTTTGATCAATATTTTGTCTAAACTTTCCTCCGTATTTACTCAAATTTTTTGCTATGGTGAAACCTCTTAAAACCATTCTGATGCTTATGCAGATATACTCTGAAATGATTGGAAATGTCATGATTGATGCAAGGTCAACTGGAAAGTACTATCATTGTAAGTAATTGTGTGAAAGAAATTCTTTAAATTGCATCGTTTCTGTTCTGCACTTTTTGTTTACTGATGCTCGCAATGCTGGATCACATTTTACACTGCAGTTGTACGACTTATGGGACGTGCTGCTTCCCACATTACGCTTGAGTGTGCTTTACAAACTCACCCAAACATAACCATCATTGGAGAAGAGGTGTCTGCCCAGAAGCAAACTCTGAAGAATGTCACCGACTACATGGTAGAGGTTATCTGCAAACGTGCTGAGCTCGGTTACAACTATGGTGTCATACTGATTCCAGAAGGTCTTATCGACTTTATTCCTGAGGTGTGTTTTTGCGGTAGAAAATAAATTTATCACTTTCAAAATAATTAGTATGAATGCTGTTCTTTACTGATGAGTACTATTATTCTGTGACTTCTCAGGTCCAAGAGCTGATCGCAGAACTGAATGAAATTCTGGCAAATGAGGTTGTTGATGAAAATGGACTGTGGAAGAAGAAGCTCACAGAGCAATCAGTGAAGCTGTTTGATCTTCTGCCTGAAGCGATTCAAGAACAGCTGATGCTCGAGAGAGACCCACACGGAAATGTCCAGGTGGCCAAGATTGAGACTGAGAAGATGCTTATTCAGATGGTTGAGACCGAATTGGAGAAGAGAAAGCAAGCTGGTGCGTACAAGGGACAATTCATGGGACAGTCTCACTTCTTCGGGTACTTACTCGCTTTTCAAATGATCCAACCAAATCGCTCTACATAGCTGCATAATCCACTGTTTGATTATCAATGTGAAGGAAACAAGCTGATTTATTGACATGAATACAGGTATGAAGGAAGATGCGGTTTGCCTACAAATTTCGATGCCACCTACTGTTACGCACTCGGTTATGGTGCTGGAGCTCTCCTCAACAGTGGGAAAACCGGACTGATTTCTTCGGTTTGTACTCCCATCTCCACTCAAATCAGTTTTCTCCTTGTTTCTCATCTTCATCAAAACAGCCTTTGACAATTTACTTAATTGGCGCAGGTCGGGAACTTGGCTGCTCCTGTGGAAGAATGGAGTGTTGGTGGGACTGCTCTCACAGCCTTGATGGACGTCGAGAGGAGACATGGTATGGTTTCAAACGAAGACACTTTTGTTTTATGATTGCTTAGTAAATCTGAGATATTAAAAAACATGAGTTGATTTCAACTTGCAGGTAAGTTCAAGCCTGTGATCAAGAAAGCAATGGTGGAACTTGAAGGTGACCATTTGATTCCCTTCTCTTCTTATAGTTTTTGATGCAGCGGTAAAATGGACTTGCTAAGTGAATTTTTGGAATCTGCAGGTGCTCCATTTAAGAAATTTGCATCGCTGCGTGAGGAATGGGCATTGAAGAACAGATACATCAGCCCAGGTTTGTTACACACAATCTTTGTTTTGAACATAACATCTGTTTTTTTCAGATTCTTATCGGAAATGTTATCGACTCGCAGGTCCGATCCAGTTCACGGGACCTGGCTCAGACTCTCTCAGCCACACCCTACTTCTCGAACTCGGAGCTCAATAGTCTCGATAAGGATTAATCACTGCTCTCTTTTTTTTTAATGCCTTGTTGCGTTTCTGCTTTGCTTCGAATTATCTTGAACCCCTCCGTCTCCGTTCCATCTCTGTTTGAGTTGCTCGTGTTTTTCTTCGACAATATATATAATTATAGTACGAGTGATGACAGATTCTAAATTTAATACAAAGTTCTGAAGTCGGAGTGACGATAATTACTAGATTTTCTATTAGGAATATCATAAGCTAATAGAATCATGAAACGGTTATCAGTGTCCTATAAATCTAACTAACTCGTTTTCAAATGAAACTATACTGTAGGTTGCTTTGTTTATTCACTTTCAAATCTAACAGAACGCTGAACGCCTTCTAAATAATTTAAGAGCGCATCGTAAAAATATTGAAGTTATAAATATATAATCGATATCACCAAAGGTGTTGTTTTTGTAATTAGCTTAACTATAGGGAAAGCTTGGTCTAAAACGAATAATTAAATTATTACTGATGTTCGAATTTCAAACGAAGAAATAACAAAATTCAGACAATCTCTCTCTCTCAGTAGCTTCGTTAAATTCGGCAAAGCATTCGCGCGTGCTCTTATTTACGGCAATATCTTCTTACATCCTGTGGTTTAGTCTCTCTCATTTCTCTCTCCTTTTGTCCAGACAAGAGGAGAGAGAAAGAGAAAAGGAGGGGACTTTTGTTAATTATGGGACATGAAAGACCTGACGAAGAGAGACCCGAGTCACGTGATCTTCGTGTCTACAGAGGTCCACCGCGTCTCGGCCCGACCAGATTCTCTGCATTCGCCGGATCTTCGAATCCGAAACAAACGACCAAGCGAGGGAAGAGGAAGAGATTAACCAGAGCTTGGTACGAGACAAGGATGGGTAAAGCGGCCATTGGCGTAGTCTTGATTCTAGGTTTCTTCTTCCTCGTTAATTGGTTAATGCTCTCTCGGCTTCACGACGCTCGACTTTGGCTTCATAAAGGATTCCCTAAGAACCCTAACCTAAACCTGAAACGGGTTCATGCACAGGTTAATGATTGTAATCTGTAAACTGCACATGTTCCATAATTTCTTACATTTCTTGCGTTACACTCATTTTCACATACCACGATACAAAGAAAAATGATTTTAGCTTTTAACAGAGAAATTAAGTGAAAGGGAATCTTAGTACAATAAAATATTAAATGTTATAGTGTGGTAATGATTCTAATTCTAATGAGGGAGTTGTGGATTAAGAAATAGTACTTTGCTTGTGATGAAAGTTACACTGACCTAAACGTGTTATTTGGATTAGAATGAAGAGCGTAAAAAGTCTGGAAAACCAAAGAGGAAATATAACAGAACATATGATAGAATGTTGGGTTTGGCTGCTCAGGCTTTGGCAAAAGTAAGTTGTATATCTTCAAAACCCATCTCTTATCCGTAACATTGTTTTGTTACTCTGATTTCTAATATTGTTTGTTTGGTTGGAGCAGGAAAAACTTGAGCCAAAAGACTTATGGCAGGAGCCAAAGGTACAAGCTTTGGCTTGGAAGCCTTGTGCCGATCAACGTTCTTGGGCTCCCAAGGGTATCTCCGTATCTCTATCTTTGAAATAAGATTGATTACAGCTTGTTTCCTATAACGTTTTTTTTTCCTGATTTTTAGATGGCAAAAATGGATATATCATGGTTACTGCAAATGGAGGGATTAATCAACAAAGAGTTGCTGTAAGTTTCCTTCTACTTTAATCTTTGAAATTTATCTATTGACTATTTAACAGTAGAATTTTGTTAAACAGGTATGTAACATCGTTGTTGTAGCTCGGTTGCTCAATGCGGCTCTCGTCATCCCCAAATTCATGCTAAGCGATGTTTGGACAGATGCAAGGTAACTATTGTAAGCTCCTCGTCCTCTCTCTCAGTCTCTAACCGTTTTTGAGTGACCATTTATGACAAAATTTTTGAACTTTGCATTTGTAACGGTGTGTTGAACTTTGATGATACTTCATAGTCAGTTCGGAGATATTTATCAAGAAGAACATTTTATTAAGTATTTATCCCCCGATATTCGGATAGTTAAGGAACTACCAGAAGAGCTTCAATCTTTGGATCTTGAAGCAATCGGCAGCGTTGTGAGTTTACTTTCAAAACCGGATCTTAATATAATGCACACAAATCTCATCTTTCTTTCTTTTTTTTGTTCATGTTTGACACTTTATATCTCTTAAGGTTACGGACACGGATGTGATGAAAGAAGCTAAACCAGAATTCTATAAGGAACGCATTCTTCCTATACTACTCAAGAACAGAGTAATCCATTTCGTTGGATTCGGAAACCGCTTAGCCTTTGATCCAATACCATTTAAGTTACAGGTAGACATTTCCTCTCTAATCCTCTCCCATTTTGGATCTTTGTTTAGCTTTCTTTGACCTAAACTGTTTTGGAAGTAGAGGCTTCGGTGCAGATGTAATTTCCATGCGCTAAACTTCATTCCAAGCATACAAGAAACAGGTGCGTTGCTTGTGAGAAGATTAAGGAACAGTGAATCTTACCTTGGACCACTTGATCAGCCTCTCTTCGGTCAAAAATCCTTAATCTTGGACAAGAAGTTTGATCCTTCCGTGCAGAAGAAGGCATCTTCTTCTTCTTCTTCTAATTCCAAGTATCTGGCTCTCCATTTACGTTTTGAAATCGACATGGTGGCTCACTCTCTCTGTTACTTTGGTGGAGGAGAAACGGAACAGAGAGAGTTGGATACTTACCGACAAAAACACTTCCCGTCTCTCTCGTTTCTGACCAAAACAAAAAAGTTTGTTCTTCTTTATTTTTTTTCCAAACTAGAGTTTCTTCTTCCTTAATCTTTTGGGATTCTAAACCTAAAATGCTCTCTTTTTCAGATTCCCATCTCCTGATACTTTGAGGACGGAAGGACTTTGTCCACTAACACCGGAAGAAGCCGTGCTCATGCTCGCAGCTCTTGGCTTCAACCGCAAGACACGTGTTTTTGTAGCTGGCGCTAATATATACGGAGGATCAAAACGTTTAGATGTGTTAACAAGTTTATACCCGAATCTTGTCACCAAAGAGAAGTTACTATCTGAAACCGAGCTACAACCTTTCAAGAACTTCTCATCTCAGGTAAAAAACAAAAACAAAACGATTCGATTCGCCTCTATATGATCCTTTTAAGACTTTGGTGTATATATATATGTAGCTAGCGGCATTAGATTTCATCGGTTGTGCTGCGGCAAACGCTTTTGCGATGACGGATTCAGGGAGTCAGCTGTCGTCGCTTGTGTCCGGGTATCGGATTTACTACGGAGAAGGAAAAATGCCGACGATAAGACCGAACAAACGGAGACTTTCGGACATAATGTTGAAGAACAATACGATTGAGTGGAATGTGTTTGAGAAGAGAGTGAGAAAAGCGATTAGACAGACAAAACATGTCTTCGCTAGACCTAATGGTCGCAGCGTTTTTCGTTACCCAAGATGTAAAGAATGCATGTGTAATCATCATTAGACTTGATTTCTTTTGTACGTAACGTTTTTAACCGAGTTTTTTTTTCCCCGGGCATTGTAACCACTTTTCGAGTTCCAAGATTTCTAATCAACCATCAGCTAGACAATTTGAGAATTTTATAGAACCAACCGAATCCGATATACGTACAGCTTAATAACACTAATTTTTTTTCTTTGCTATAGTTATCTCTATATATTAAAGTTTTTTTTTAATTATCATAAGGAATCGCTTTAGGGTTTAAATAAGGTAAAAGATTCAAGAGATCAACAACAAATATTATCGGCTTTTATTTCTGCGTCGACAACTAACATCATTGAAGAGCATACCAAAAAGGATGATGTCTGGGTTTACTTTTCTTATTAATCTAGGCAAATTTTAAAACCCACCTAATTAACATTAACAAAACCAAAAAAAAACAGAAAGATATAGACGAAAGAAGGGACAAACCAATAGACATAAACACTTGAAAAAGAAACCTAGTTTAGCCCTAAACGTGTTAATTAGTAGTTAAAACTAAAAACCACCTCTAAGAGCAAGAACAAGATGAAGAGAACAACCGCCTTCGATTTTGTAATGTTTGGCGGTTTGGTCATCAGCAAGTTGTTTCCCAGTGTAGATGAGCCTTTGTTGAGGAGGTGGGATTCCTTCTTTCTCCTCAACTCGTTCCTTGATCTTTTCAATCGTGTCCATTGGATCGATTTCAATACTTATTTCTTTTCCTGTTAGAGTCTTCACTTTGATCTCCATGCTTCTTTCCTCGGCTTAAGTTTTTGTTTTTGTTTTCGTCTTTGTCTTGTGTTTGTGTGTGTATATATATATCCACAGGTAATCAACCGACTAGAGGTTTAATAATTTCCTTTTAGGAAAAAATCCAATTAGTGTAAGTACATTTGGAATACGAAATTTCAAATAAATCCACGAGTTCTCATATTTTTACCCTTAATCAAAGAATATATAGAAGAAAGCCCTATTTCACAAAACAAATTGAGATTGACTTGAACTATACTTTTCCTTTTAGATAGTAAAATAATTGCAAATTAGACCTTTTGTGTTTATAGATTTTTGTTCTTTATTTCTAAAACATACTAGAATCTAGAATCATCTATTTTACGGTGAGTTTGAAAATAATACTTTCAATGTTCCTAATGAATCTCATGGCCTTGAGAGAAATTAGAATTATGTGGTTAAAAGATACAACAATCTGAATTTCGAACCATTTTATTGGGATTTAATATTTTATTGGCTCGTGCACTCACGATCGACTTAGCCAGGTGAAAATTTGAAGTCGTACACATTGGGTTGCTTTGCATGCAAGAAAGCATTTTAAACAGAACAAGACCAGAATTTCGGTTTACGGCTCTCTCTCTTAACCGCATATTCGATGGCTGATCCGTAAGGGCCTGTCATAAATTGAAGAATGTCTTGGCAGGCCACATCTTTGCACATTGTACATAGATTGTTAAGAGTTTAGATATTATTCATCTAAAATTTGTATCTTTTCACGTCCTGGAGGCAAAACGATGAATAAATATGCACTCTTACTTTCGAACCTTTCTCCTTCAGGGGGTAGGCAACTATAGACTATTGTATTCATAATGGCAATATAACATGTTCTATTGTACGATTTGATAAAGAAGTTTGAAAAGTCAGTTAAAAAAAACGAACACGCAAGGTAAAAAAAGAGAAGGGACGATGATTGGTGGTGGTAGATATAACATACCGATTGCAAAGTTTAAATAAAAGTAGCTTAATCAGCTTCTTTACTCATAGATAAAAGTCTCCTAGAATGTGGACTACAAAACGAGTTCCACAAATAGCATACCGTTTTCACGATACTTAGCTCCTAACACAATTACACAAACACACATAAAGCAAGTCTAATTAAGTCATTCTTATTACAGAACCACAACAAACATACTGTTGTTATCTAGATACTCAAAAGTGACCTCTTGTCTACTTGGATAGGCGTGGGATGATGAAGTCGACAAGGAGACCCGTTGGCATTATGCCCTGAGACTCGTCGCCATCACTCGATAGTTTGGCAAACATACGAGTGAGAGACACCTTCATGAACGACGTTTTCTTCTTGTAGCAGATCTTCACATTCGCAATAGAGTCTCCCTTGAACTTCTCCACACTGCATATGATCACGTCCCTGAGTCCAACATAGCTTGTTCCTTCACCTGGGCCATCGTAGACTCCCTGCCACTCAATGAAAACATTGAACAAGATGAGATCAAATCTCTGAAAAGTTTCAAACGAATTAGAGCACTATATACCTCTCCAACGCTATCGATCTGCGGACTGAACACATGTAGCTTTGCTCCAACGGGTTGCTTCCCCAACAACTCAAACGCTTCCTCCAATTCCTTAGCCTCAATCACTTCTCCTTTCATCGGAACGCGAGGAATGAGAGAGGCAAATGGTGGAACCTTGAACACACATCCAAGATGGCCCCAATGCTCTTGTCTCGGTATCCCTTCTCTGAACGCACATTCAAGACAATCCTTGACGGTTAGCTCGCGGCGTGGCTGCTGATCCGTTTCTCCCTGACTGTTTGGATTGGCGATGTCCCTCAAGTATTCCACGCAGTCTTGCATGGTTACCCCGCGGCGCTGCTGCTCCAGTTCTCTCTGCCCGAGTTCCTTCTTGGGACCAGCGTTGTCCACCAGATACTGAGCTGAGTACTCAGTGAACTCACTGTCCAGCCCAAGTATGACACGCGCAGAGCTGATCAGATTCACAGCTACCATAGCCGCTCTTTCAGATGCATCTGCAAGACAAAAACAAACGAAACTTGAACACAATGCATGTGTAGCCAAATTCATATCTTGTTCTGTCAAATGATCAGTCAAACCAAAACACAGTTTTGTTTCCTTCTAATGACGCAAAGAGAGTAATATCAAGATTCAAGATTGGTAAGTTACTATGCTCTTCTTTGGAAGTCATTGCTCGTTTGCAATCTGGATGACAGCATGAGCATAAGCCTGAGCCTTGAGAAGCCATCTTCAATCACTTGTTCCTGCACAAAAATATGAAATTTGCGGTCAAAAAAGTTTCATAAACGCATTCTGAATGTAAAGCGAATCAAAAGGTACCATTTTTTTCAGAAACCCATTTTTCCTTAAGAGTCATTACCGAAGGAATAGAAAAGCAAGAGAGTGAGTATCTAGATCTAGAGTGTTGCTTCCTAATTAGGTCAGACGTACATCAGAATCAAGCAGAATAAGAAGACATTCAGACGAAAAATCCGAGAGTGACCAAACAAGTTAAAAAACATAGAAAGACGCCAAGACCTCACTAGCTCAAGTTCGGCAGAAACATAAATATCGTGAAATACAGAGAAAAATCGTCGAGCGAGAAGACAGAGAAGAACGTTATAGCTTCTTCTAACAAATAATAACCAGCTCAAAGAAGGATTCGACAACATTTATCAGAAAAAAAAAAAAAGTAAAACCCTAAAATGTAGCTCAAAAGTTCATCACTTTGTTCACTAATCGCAAGGGAAACGCCAAGTTCAGCTGCAGAATCCGTAGAGAAACAAAATCTAAGCTAAAAGATTCCGACTTTGACACAAAAATAAGAAAGTTACCGGAAACTGAGAAAGCAACGACGGAGTGGTAGAGTGACAGTCGCAATCGCCTTTTGCCTAGAAACTTTCCAATTGTAAAGTGTAACAACAATCCTCGCCGAAGATATTTATTTCCCCTCAAATGAGTCTCCAAAACGGCGACGGTTTTGGGATATTCCTCAACACGACGCCGTGTTTTACTCCCTTTTTTTCTCGTCTGGATCAACTACAGAGTGTCAAGTGTCCGATAGTGATTGCGTGAGCCAAAGAAAATACTAAATCGTAATAACCAGGTGTCGTCTTACCATTGGCAATTAGCAGTCTTCTAATCAACGTTGAAAATTGACATGCCTGTCAATCATGTTGCCATACGCCGTCGTTCGCCGTTCCCGCCTCTCCCCTAATTTCAAAATATTTTATTTTCGACCATTTCGAACCATTTTGTTGTGATTTAATATTTTTTGTTTGGCTCATGCAATCACCATCCGCCACCTGGCGCGTGACACTCTCCATGAGGTCACTCGCTTGAACCAAAAGAGATTCCACGTGACCTAAATAAATCCACAATTTCACATATTGTTGTTAAAGAATCCATAACAGAGGAAAGCTCTGTTTCACAATCAAATTGAGCTTGACGTGACCTATACTTTTCCTTTTAGATAGTATGAATTTTGCAAATTAGACCTTTGTGTTTATAGATTTGATTTTTTTTTTGGGTCCCAAGACATATTATAGTCATCGATTTTACTTGGTTATTCTGAAAAAAGATACTTTCAACTTTCCTAATGCATTTCATGGTTATAGATACAACAATCTGAATTTCATTTTTTTTAGAATTAATTTTTAGTCTGAAATTTTTAATAACAAATCATTGATTCTATAAGAAATTAACTCAAAATAACACAATCCTCTAAAATCTCGTTCAGACTCGAATCATTATTCGAAATGTGTGATTAGATATTTTTATTGGACTTATGACGAGAACATAGTGAATAAGTGGGTTTCTTTGCGTGCAAGAAAGCATTCTAAACCGAACCATTCCAAAATTTCGATTTACGGATCTCTTCTAATCGCATCTTCCATGTAAAATGCCTTGGCTCCCGAAGCTTTTGGTATATATTGGCCCAATAACTTTTGGTAGCGAGCATAGTTCTGACATCTTTGCACATTGTACATTAGATTGTTACGAGTTTAGATTTTTTTCATCAATGTCTTTTTATCTTTTAATTTCGAATCTTTGTCCTTCAAGTGGTAGGCAAGGATAAACTATTGTATCTTTCCGATTCGATAAGAAATTTTAAAAGTCAGTTAAAGAAACGAACACGCAATGAAAAAAAGAGAGGATGATGATGTGAAATGCCCAAAAGGTGGTACATTTAATTTAACATACCGATTTCAAATTTAAATAAAAGTAGCTAAACCAGCTTCTGTACTCATAGATAAAAGTCTCCTAGAATGTGGACTACAAAACGAGTTCCACAAATAGCATACGGTTTCATGATATTTCCGAGCATGTTAACACACAGAAAACAAGTCTAAATAAGTCATTCTTATTACAGCACTACAACAAACATGTTGCTGTCTAGATACTTAACAAGAAGCACTAAGCTCTGGTTTACTGGGAGAAGCGTGGGATGATGAAGTCAGAAAGGAGACCCGTCGGCTCTATGACCTGAGACTCGTCGCCAAGTGAGGTAAGCACACGATCAAGAGACACAGCAATGAACTTAGTCTTCTTCTTGTAGCAAATCCTCACTTGCGCAACCTTCTTGTCTCCCATCTCTGTCTTCCCCTCTCCAGTGACCATCACATCCCTAAGTCCAACATAGCTTGATCCAGCACCTGACGGCCCTTCGTAAACTCCCACTTCCTGCCACACAATCAACAAAATGAACAAGATCAGATAGAGACATTCATTCCTCTGAAAATTTGAAAAAAGAAGAGAAGAAGCTTACATCATCAACAAGATCAATCTCCGGACTGAAGACATGCAGTTTAGCTCCAATCGGGTGCTTCCCCAACAACTCAACTGCTTCTTCCCATTTCTCAGTCTCAACCACTTCTCCATTCATGGGGACGCGAGGTATGAGACAAGCAAATGGGGGAACCTTGGAGACACATCCCAAATGTCCCCACTGCCCTCTTCTCGGCAACCCATCTCTGAAAGCACACTCAAGGCAGTCCTTCACCGTTAGCTCAGGGCGTTCTTGATCCGTTTCTCCCTCCTCGCTAGGAGTAGCTATGTCCCTCAAGTAGTCAAAGAGGTCTTGGATCGTTACACCGCGTCCTTGACCCCACTCTCCCTGCCCAGAGTCCTTCTTGGGACCAGCGTTGTCCACCAGATACTGAGCTGAGTACAGAGTGTTCTCACTGTCAAGCTTCAGTATACCACGCGTCATGGTGATTAGATCAACCGCTAACATTGCTGCTCTCTGAGACGCATCTGCAAGGCAAGAAAAACAGACCCAAATTCATTTTATCCTTTCTAATGGTCGGTCAAACTCAAACCAAATCACAGTTTTTCTTTCTTCTTCTTCTAATGACACAAATAGAGTAATTTAGAGATCTCTAGAGTGATGATAAGTTACCGTAATCTTCTTGCGCATTCAATGCTCGTAGGCAATTTGGATGACAATCTGAGCTCGGTCCTTGAAAAGCCATCTTCAATCACTTATCCCTGGCCTGCACAGACAAAATTCTTTCATACGACATTCTGAATGTAAAGCCAAAATTGTTTCATAACACATTCTGAGTGTAAAGCGAATCGAAAGGAACGATTTTTTTCAGAAATCCATTTTTCTTAAGAGCCATTACCGAAAGAAGAGACAAAGCAAGAGAGTATATAGTAGAGTGCTGCTACCTAATTAGGTCAGCAATCAATCAGAGAAGACATTCAGAAAGAAGATATATAAAGCAGAGACCAGCAAAGGAAAACACAAAGCAAGACCTCACTAGCTCAAGTTCGGCAGAAACATAAACATAGTGGAATGCAGAGAAAAATCGTCGAGCGAGAAGACAGAGAACAACGTGATAGCTTATTTAACAAAGGATAACCAACCAAAAGAAGGATTCAGCAACTTTCGTCAAAGAAAAAAGTAAAACCCTAAAACGTAGCTAAAAGTTCATCTTTTTGTTCACTAATTCGCAAGGGAAATGCCAAGTGAGAAGCAGAATCCGTAGAGAAACCAAGCCTAAGCTAAAAGATTCCGACTTTGAAACAAAATAATAAACTTACCGGAGACTGAGAAAGACGACAACGGAGTGGTAGTGACAGTCGCAAATCACCTTGGCCTAGAAAATGAGAGAAAGCATAGCTGAAGATATTTATTCCCCTCAGATTAGCCTCCAAACGACGACGGTTTTGGGATTTTCTCTAACACGACGCCGTCTCGGGACTGTCTCTTTTTCTTGTCCGATAGTGGTTGCACTAGCCAGAAAAATATATTAAATCATAATAACCAGGTGTCGATTCACCATTGGTACATGACAGTCTCTAGTTGATCAACGTTGCCAAACGCCGTCGTTCGCAATTCCCGCTTCTCCGGACACTTGGGGCGTGACACTATCCCATACTCGCTTGAATCAAAATAGAATCGACGTGGCATTTACGAAAGTCCACCGTTGCTGCCCCACGTGGCACTTGCCACATCTGGCTATTTTCATGATCAAATCTAAATACAATAATTAATTAATTGATAATTACATACCAACGTACACTGATTATTTTTCTTTTTCCCGGAAGACAAAGCTTTCTATATCACATGACCCCCAATATTTTCATTGCATTTCGGTTTATTCCTTCAACTTCTTATATTTATAGAAATACCAATTTATTTTTCTGAACTTTAGTTTACTGACTCACTGATACAAAATTTCATTATATAAAGATAGCTTACCGATATTCTTTTTTCTCTTACGAGATTGTAAGATATAACAAGATGTAATTGTAGATTAATATAAATATCAAGTTGGGCAAGGCAGCTGTCTAATAATGTAAAACTATGGGGTTTTAACTTACACTTAACGCTTGACAAGAAATTAAAAAAAAAGTGAATTTAAAGCCTGAGACTATCAAGATTTCAACTTTCAAGAAAGAGCCTCATACTATACGCGGGACCAACGTCACATTATATTTATAATTCACCCAATACCAACGAATAAAAGAATAAAGAAAAAACAAGCTTTTCGATGTCAAAGGTTTTGAAAAGCATTTATCCTTCCTCTTTCTTTATCGTCCGTGTTTTTTCAGCGTTTATCACAGCTAAAAACAGCAGGGCGTCTCTATCTTCCTCTTCCTTTTTGTTTATGTGCATAGCGTAAGACCGATCACTCAGGTTTCTCTATTTTTTTTTTCTTGTTTGGTGTGACTTTATAAGAGTTGGAGTATACTTTTGGATTGAAGCCCTTACTTCAGCAATTTGGTTCTCTAGGTTCGTCACATATTTTCATCCTTGAATTTAAAGTTTCCCTGTATTTTTATAATCTTATAGCTAGGTTGCTTCTTGAGAAGTTTAAGGAAAAGGGTCTTTTCGTTGTCAAAAAGAGACGTTACTACAAAAAAAAAAAAAAAAAAAAAAACAATTCTGGGTTTTGGGTCTCTTAAGAGATCTTGATCAAGGTAATTAGTTCAAATCATTTCTTATATTTAGTAGTTTCTCTAATTAAGAGTTTAACAAGTTTAAAATTTTGAAATCTTGTCTATAGATGTCTTATATTTTCTTTCTTTTTTTGCTTAGTGAGTAGTTAGGTGAATGAGGACGAGAGGAACAAGAAACTTATAAGGAATGAAATTTAAATGTAGACATAAATGTTCTCTCCTTTTTGTTTGAATGTTGTGATAATATTCTTACCATCAATTTCCTTTTTTAGAGATTTTATGGACTTATCAATTTATTTTAAAATCTTAGTAAAATAAATTTCCATAAAGAAGAAGATAACCATAAATAAAAGTGTAATTAATTCGTCCTGCTTAGATATACACACGCAATTTGAATGAATTTAAGGCTGAATACTTTTGTAGGCCAAGCCTCTGAATTCAAAGGGTTTAATAGATTTTAGGGTTGACTTATTTTGCAGGTGAAGCATTTGATTTCAGAGGTGAATTTTAGATTGTATAGATTAAGAGATGGCAACACTAGGAGATATTGGATTAGCGGCGGCAATCAACATACTCACAGCCATCATCTTCCTTTTGGCATTTGCAATCTTGAGGATCCAACCATTCAACGATAGGGTTTATTTCCCTAATTGGTATCTGAAAGGTATTCGAAGCAGTCCTCTGCATTCAGGTGCTCTTGTGAGCAAGTTTGTGAATCTAGACTTAGGCTCGTATCTACGGTTCTTGAACTGGAGGCCCGCGGCTCTGAGGATGCCTGAGCCAGAGCTTATTCATCATGCCGGGTTAGATTCTGCGGTGTACTTGAGGATTCACTTGACAGGGTAGTGTTTCAAGCTTTTGAAAGATTCTTGCTTTGCATAGTTTCATCTTGAAACCTAATGGACTTTTGGATATTTACTCTGTTTTTCTCAGGCTTAAGATCTTTGTACCGATAGCATTACTTGCGTGGTCGATTCTTGTACCTGTAAATTGGACAAGCGATGGGCTGCAAATAGCAAAGCTACGTAATGTAACATCTAGTGATATTGATAAGTTATCAATCTCTAATATCGAAGGTGGATCAGACAGGTTTGCAAATTACTCAAAAATCATATTGTGTGTTTTCTTCCCTTTGTGATTTTGAAGTTTTATGGCTGTTATTAAATATTTGAAGGTTTTGGACTCACCTAGTGATGGCTTACGTTTTCACATTCTGGACTTGTTATGTTCTATGAAAGAGTATGAGAACGTAGCTTCTCTGCGTTTGACATTTCTCCAGTCGGAGCAGAGGCGTCCTGATCAATTCACGGTAAAGCTTTATATTATATGATCAGTTTTGTTTCCTGATGTAACACTGGAATGATCTGGTTTTGCTTTCGCAGGTTTTGGTTAGGAACGTACCAGCGGATCCAGATGAGACCATTAGTGAAAGTGTGGAACATTTCTTCATGGTTAACCATCCAGACCATTATCTTACACATCAGGTTATATAATGGCTCATTGCTCAGAAACAAATAGTTTTATTTTTTTTGGGTTTCGCTTAAATTATCCTGGAACTTGACTATACAGGTTGTTTACGATGCAAACGATTTGGCGGATTTAGTAGAGAAGAAGAAGAGCATGCAAAACTGGCTTGACTATTACCAGTTGAAGCATATAAGGAACAAGGATCAAAGGCCAAGGTTAAAGGTAACTGATGGCTTTTAGAGACTCTTTAGACACATACTTAAAGAAGCTAAACTGTTTTATGTTGTGTTCTTGGGGGAAACCAGACAGGTTTTCTCGGGCTATGGGGAGAGAAAGTAGACGCCATTGATCATTACATAGCTGAAATCGAGAAAGTAAACAAGGAAGTAAGTGTCATTATCTTCTCCATAGCATCTAGCAACGGGTTCTTAGTTGGAAACAACCAAAACTGATTTTTATCTTTTATGTTTCTTAGATAGCAGAAGAAAGGAAGAAGGTAAAGAAAGATGACGAGAACGTAATGCCAGCAGCTTTTGTCTCTTTCAAAACACGTTGGGGTGCTGCGGTCTGTGCACAGACACAACAGTCGAGAAATCCGACAGAATGGTTATCCGAATGGGCTCCAGAGGCGAGAGAAGTGTTTTGGTCAAACCTAGCTATACCTTACGTCTCATTAACAGTAAGGAGGCTTGTAATGCACGTTGCCTTCTTCTTCCTCACATTCTTCTTCATGATTCCAATAGCCTTTGTTCAATCCTTAGCAAGCATCGAAGGCATCGAGAAATCAGCTCCTTTCCTCACAACCCTCGTGGAGAAGTAATTGTTTCTCTCTCTTTCTCTCTATCTCTTATTGCCTCTGCTTGTTATGAGTTGGATGTTGAATTTTGCTATTGTTTTTTTTGCAGGGATCTAGTTAAATCATTTATCCAAGGGTTTCTTCCTGGTATTGTGTTGAAGCTCTTTATAATATTCCTGCCAAGCATCTTGATGGTCATGTCCAAGTTCGAAGGGTTTGTTTCGTTATCATCGTTAGAGAGAAGAGCTGCTTTTCGGTATTATATCTTCAACCTCGTTAATGTCTTCCTCGGAAGCATTGTCACCGGCTCTGCTTTTGAACAGCTCGATTCTTTCCTCAAACAATCTGCAAATCAGTAAGTTGAAAAAACTCCCACACTTCTCTGTTTTTCTCTGTATCGATCGTCAAGCTTATGTATGGCCTTGTTAGGATTCCTAAGACAGTTGGAGTAGCGATACCGATAAAAGCGACGTTTTTTATAACGTTTATAATGGTTGATGGTTGGGCTGGCGTTGCGGGGGAGATTCTGAGGCTGAAGCCTTTGATCTTCTTCCATGTCAAGAACTTCTTCTTGGTGAAAACAGAGAAGGACAGAGAAGAAGCTATGAATCCAGGACAGATCAATTTTCATGCGACAGAGCCTCGGATTCAACTCTACTTCCTCCTCGGTCTTGTCTATGCTCCGGTCACTCCTGTTCTTCTCCCTTTCATTATCATCTTCTTCGCTTTGGCTTACCTCGTCTTTCGTCACCAGGTTCGTATAACAATATACTCTGTTTCTTGTTTTGAACATCTTCAAGATCCTTTTTTTTTTCCCGGTTAAGCTTTTCCGGTTTGTTGTTTTGCTGATTGGTATCATTTTTTTTTGGCAGATCATAAATGTGTACAATCAGGAATACGAAAGTGCAGCTGCGTTCTGGCCAGATGTTCATGGACGTGTGATATCGGCGTTGATCATCTCGCAGATCCTTTTGATGGGATTGATGAGCACTAAGCGAGCAGCTCAGTCCACTCCTTTCCTCATCGCCTTACCGATTCTAACCTTTTTCTTCCACCGGTTCTGCAAAGGCCGGTATGAATCGGCATTTGTACGTTATCCGTTGCAGGTCAGTGAAAAATCAATCTCACATTTGCAACTTAAACCGAGGTATTGTCACCGGTTTTGGTTTATCTGTTATTGATCTCATAAGGCTCGGTTTGCAGGAAGCTATGATCAAAGATACATTGGAACGAGCCAGAGAACCGAACTTTAATTTGAAGCCTTATCTTAAGAAAGCATATATTCATCCGGTATTCAAAGACGACGAGTATGAAGATGGTCGGTCTGAGGTTTCCGGTTCTTGTTTCGATGATTTGGACGAAGAATGTGTTACTGTGCCGACCAAACGTCAGTCAAGGAAAACTACGCCGGCGGTTAGTCATGCTAGCCGCGATTCTCCGATTTCACCGTCAAATGTATAACCAGAACCGTTGATTTTCACTTAACCGGTTCGGTTTTATACGGTATAGAAAGAAACGGAATTAACTGTTGGGAGTCTGTGTTTTACATTTTTGTTTATTCAAATTTTGTATATTTCTCAACCGTAGAAACAACCTCGAACTATATTTCTATTTTTAGTAGACAATTTTTCCAGTTTATGATTGGGTTGTTTTAACTTTTAAGTACAGTAACGCAGAAACAGAACACCATTTTTTTCATATAAAAAAATGAAACAGTACCTTTTTCTTTTTTCTCTTTGGTCAAGAGAAACAGTTCTGACTACACTTTATTGCAGATTTTTTTAAAAATAATAATAATTCAAGAAAAAGTAATGCTGACAAATCAAAAACTTATATGACCACCATAATAATAAATGCAAATTTACTAAAATACACATCATCATAATTGGAGAGTATCTGGTTTTGTGTATCAAAGCTAGATACATTGTACGTACATAGTTTCTTTCCACCTTATTTCCACCTAAATTACACAGATTAGGAAAAACATACTATTTCCTTTTGCTGTTAAGGAAAAATATATTATCCTGATTTTTCATGAAATTACACATATATATCTGTCGACAAAGAAAAGAATTGGAGTAGCATAATTGTTACATTCCGTAAAGCGTTATTCTCACGCGCGGACACCACGTTTTGCCGTACGTGAGAATAGGGAAGTAATTAAACAACATTGACCAAAGAAACAACATTAAAAACCATTCTCTTAATTCAAAAATTAGATAAGCTTTGGTGTATGTGTCCAAGCGCCAATCGATGCTTCCGTCTGAAGAGCCAATCTAAAAACGCCACGCAGGTCTATTATCGCGGTCTGGTCACTTCAGGTTTCACATCCAACGTACGGTACGAGTTTAGCTAACTGTAGAAGCGGCTCTTTAAACGTTTCTCTTGACTCTTTTTAGATTTTTGTTCCTTTTATCTTTTTCTTTTATTACCCATCAAATTCTTTCCTTCGTTCTCTTCCTTCTCTGACTGTGAAAATAAAAGTTCAGAAATATCTCTTTCTTCTGTGTTTTACTGTATCAGTAACATTTTTGGGGGTTTCGTTGAATCATGTCAGATGAATGATTTAGCTAAATCAAGGATTTTTCATCGTTCACCGCGAAGAAATCGTCTTTGAGCTGGTTTTTATTTTTTTATCAGAAAGGTGATGCTCCTCCCTAACCTGTTTCGTTACATCTCTTTTTAATTTTCTCATTTCTTTTCGTCTTGAAACCAATATTTTGTTTATTCGTTAAGTTTTTTTCAATTATCACTCTGAGTTAATACCTCTGTTTGTTTTTTTTCCCCTGATATATCTGCTGTTTGATATTATTTAAGAATTGGGAAAAAAAGAAAAGTGATTGAGTGAGTCGTTTAATTTTGAATTTCTGAAGCTTTTTTTGGTTATTGACATTTGATTAGGTAGGTGAGATTTGAGAAAATGGAGGGTTTAGTTGCTGCTAATGGAGTTAATGTCAAGCATAATGGTGTAATGGAGAGTAAAACGGAAGATTCTTGGCCAGAGAAGAAGGATTCGGTGAAGCCAACAAGTAATAGCAGTGCTTCAGAGATAGAAGAAGAGAGCAGTGTGACATTTCCGAAGCTGGTTTCTAATAAAAAACGGAAACGGTCTAAAGCTGATGAAGTTAAAGAAGGTAAAACCAAACCTCCAAGAAAGACGAGAGCCTCAAAGAAACGTGATTTATGCAATGAAGGAAATGGTAATGATGAAGAGAAAGCGAAGCAGAGAAGCTCTGTGAAAAGGAAAGAAGAAGAGGAAAGGGAACAAGAACTGCAACTAGTTCCTTTCGTCAAGACACGAAGCAGGAACCGTTCGGATATTCGGTTGTATGAAGATGAGACAGATGTTGATAACGGTTCATGTTCAGAGTCTGAGTCAGATTTGTCAGATTCTCGTCTGAAAAACGACAAGTTTAATTACTGCAGAAGCATGACAAGGAGTTTAAAGGTAACACTTGTTCTTGGATAATGTGAAAATTTACTGAGCTTTTGTCTGAAATTCATGTTTTCCTTTTTCATGTTTTTCCTTACACAGGCAGATTTGGGAGACCTTGCAATTTGCCATCAATGCTCTAAAGGGGAAAGAAGATACCTTTTCATTTGCACATATTGTGAAGAGAGGCTGTATTGTTTTCCATGCATCAAGAAATGGTTAGTTGGTTCATTACAATTTTTTCTTCTGTCTCATAACAAAATGTAGCTTTCATCATTATCCTCAAACACAACATTCTTCTTTGCGGATTGTTACAGGTATCCTCATTTGTCCCATGAGGATATCATTGAGCAATGTCCTTTCTGCCGCAGAATTTGCAACTGTTGCATATGTTTGCAGTCTAGTGGATTAATCGAGGTATGGTTGTATTCTTAAAGAAAATGTGTGGTGTTTTGTATTGAGAGGATCGCAAGATTGATACATGTAAATCTGTTTGTGTTACAGACATCAAAGAGGAAGCTCAGTAATTACCAAAGATTCTATCATCTCCGGTACTTGATTGGATCGATGCTTCCTTTCTTGAAAATGTTACGCAAAGCGCAAGATCAAGAAATTATAACCGAGGCAAAGATTCAAGGTACTGTATATATGGATCTTTATCTTCTAGTACCAAAATTGCTGCAAGATTACTTATTGTTTTGTTCTATAGGGTTACTGACTTCTCAAGTTGACATCTCCGAGACTCTATGCTCAAATGAAGAGCGCGTCTTTTGGTAAGTATCATCCTTTGTTACGTGTTGAACAGCTCTATTTTGATATATTACTGAAAAATATATATTTGTGTGTTGTGTAGTAACCATTGTGCAACCTCAATTGTTGACTTGCATCGAAGATGTCCAAAGTGCTCTTACGAACTTTGTCTCAACTGTTGCCAAGAGCTCCGTGGAGGGTGGCTTTCAGAACGACCGGAAATCAAGTCACAGTTCGTGAACAGAAGAAGCCGATATATGCACGGCGAAGATGCAGAACCGAGCTCTGCTTCTGCTCCCGTGGATGATGAAGCTAATAACAACCAGTCCATCAAGTGGAATGCTGATGGAAATGGAAGCATAACATGTGCGCCAAAAGAGCTAGGCGGTTGCGGTGATTCTGTTTTGGAGCTTAAACGCATCCTACCGTTTACTCTGATGTCAGATTTGGAGCAAAAGGCAGAGACTTTCTTAGCAACTCATAGTGTCGATCCAATGATGTCATATTGCAGATGTTCTTCTGATTTGGAGATGAGTAGTAATAGTATGATGAGGAAAGTAGCTTCGAGGAAAGGATCAAGTGACAACTTCCTCTACTCTCCTGATTCTTTTGATGTCCTGAAGCTAGAGGAGCTTCTTCACTTCCAAGAGCATTGGTCTAAAGGCGAGCCAATGATTGTTCGAAACACTCTCAACAACACAGCTGGTCTAAGCTGGGAGCCAAGTGTCATGTGGCGCGCGTTGCTGTCCGAAAACGTTGATTCAGCTGCAACTAGCTCCTCTAACATGTCTGAAGTCAAAGCAATCGATTGTTTAGCTAACTGCGAGGTGGAGATCAAAACTCAGGACTTCTTTGAAGGATACAGTAAAGGAAGAAGGTACGGTAACTTCTGGCCTGAGATGCTGAAGCTGAAAGATTGGCCTCCTTCGGATAAGTTTGAAAACCTTTTGCCTCGTCACTGCGATGAGTTTATCTCGGCGTTACCGTTCCAAGAATACAGCGATCCTAGATCAGGGATTCTCAACATTGCTGCCAAGCTTCCTGATGGAGTTCTTAAACCAGATCTTGGTCCGAAAACTTACATTGCTTACGGAGTTGCAGATGAGCTTGGGAGAGGCGATTCTGTGACTAAGCTTCACTGTGATATGTCTGATGCAGTAAGCTTTCTCAATTGCTTACACGTGTTTTCACAATGTTAAATGAAATTGTGGTTTTGATTAGATTATAATGTTTGTAGGTTAATATTCTGATGCATACGGCTGAAGTAACGATAACTGAGGAGCAAATGACTGCAATGGAAGCTCTGAAACAGAAACACAAGCAACAGAATGAGAAAGAGCTTCATGAGCAAAATGGTTTTGACAAGGAAGAGATTGTGAGTGATGAAAATGGGGTTCATGATGAGACAGGAAGTGCGCTTTGGGACATATTTAGAAGAGAAGATGTTCCAAAGCTTGAAGAGTATCTGAGAAAGCATTGCAAAGAATTCAGACATACTTTTTGCTCTCCTGTTACAAAGGTAATAAAATAGTCTGTGAAACGTTTTCATTTCTGAGTCTAGATGTTGATTATTGTATACTGATGGTTTTTGAGGATTCTTTGGTTAGATTTATCATCCGATACATGATCAATCCTGTTTCTTAACCGTGGAGCACAAAAGAAGACTCAAAGCGGAATATGGTATGGTGCTTGTAACTGTAATAACTGTCACTTCCTGAGTTATTTATTATCCACATTTTATTCATTTGTTTTTTGTTGTTTTTCTGGTTGGTTTGAATGCAAGGGATTGAGCCATGGACATTTATGCAAAAGCTAGGAGAAGCGGTTTTTATTCCTGCGGGCTGTCCTCATCAAGTTCGGAATCTCAAGGTTGTTTTTGAATGATTTTCTGTTTTATTAACTAATTTTTCTTTCTCATTGTTGTTTTAACTTGTATAACGGAATTGGAACAGTCTTGCACAAAGGTAGCTGTTGATTTTGTATCACCAGAGAACATACATGAGTGTCTCCGTTTGACTGAAGAGTTTCGACAACTTCCTAAGAACCATAAAGCCAGAGAAGACAAACTTGAGGTGATTCTTTTTTTCTTAGAAAGTCAAATCTTGAATACTATTGTTTATCTTTAACTGACTGGTGGTTTCTTCAATGTTGATTAAATAGATAAAGAAGATGGTGATCTATGCTGTCGAAGAAGCTCTGAAAGAACTGGAGACGTTATTGCCAGATTTAAGCTAAAAGCTTAAATACTTTTGTTGTGACATATTGTTTCCCAAACCTTTTTTTTTAGCAGGAGACAGCAAATTTTTGTAGATTGTGTAAAGCCATGGTTGTTGTAGTTGGCTTTTGCTGTTGATGACAAGGATTCCCTGCTTTTTATGAATGTAAATTTTTGAATTCGAAGCCATTTTTTTGGCATATGAAATTTTACTAACTTCCTTGTCATGTTTGGTATTACTACACTATTCGCAGTGCCAATGGGACATCCAAACACAAAAGAGAACATCACAAATTAATCATAATAGGCTGTAACTGTTGATGATATATTTTATTTTAAAGAAATAGTATACATTTAGGATATTGTCTTGGTTATACTTTGTGTGTTATATATAATTTGGTAATTAGGTGATGACACCATTTTAAAGATTTCTCTTCGGTTACAAAGAAACCGTTATTCTTTTTCGTGTAATATTTAAAAACTTAAAACTTGATCAAAGAGTACATTATCAATAGAGAGTATACCATTTCTGACATTCGTGATGGGTTTTCTTTCTTTTGATAACTTTTTCCTAGTTGAATTTTGTTTTATTTAGGAAAGCATAATACACCGATTTGGTAATGTTTTAAATTTTATTTTTTGCTTTGACTATCTTAAATTTGGAAACATTGTCAATGGATTTGTAATTTACCTTGTGGGTTGGTCCCACTGAACTTAAAAGTATATACGTAGACTTTTGCAAACGACGTCGTTTTCAAAGTTTCTCCGTCTACCATCATCATTCTCGTTTTCCGTCGTCTTCTCCTCTCAAATCGAAATGTTTTTAACGCCAGTTCTTCGGTTTCAATTTCTCTCCTGAAATGTTGACTTCAAAAACCCTAAACAGATTTTGATTACCCGTTTCCTTAACATAAACAGTTGGGACTCTGGATGATCGCAATCCTCCGAGGTACAATACAATGACGAGGAAAGCGCAGCCGCAACCGCAGCATCCAGTGTCACGCCGCGGCGTCGCGTGGCTCGGATGGAAGCTCATTATCGCTTTCTCCTTCGCATTATGCCTTCTCGCCTTCCTCAGGATCCACCTACAGTACTCCCTGACGACGACACTCTCCGTCGCGGGATCTCTTAACCCCGTCCGGAGCTACTCCGGCGACGACCGTCCGAAAGTCGCCTTCCTCTTCTTAGCTCGCCGTGATCTCCCGCTTGATTTTCTGTGGGATAGATTCTTCAAGGTCAAACTCGCAGACTTACGTCTTTGATTAGTTTTCTGTCACTGGCTGTTTTCTAAATTTGGAAAATTGCTTGCTGCTTCTGGTCAATTTCGCAGGGTGCTGATCCGGCGAATTTCTCCGTTTATATACATTCACTACCTGGTTTCGTCTTCAATGCGGAAACCACGAGATCACAGTTTTTCTATGATCGCCAATTGAATAATAGCATCAAGGTGAGTCTTCATTTTCTTTCAGAAATTCGTCTGAAAATGCAATTGAAGATGAACACAGTACTATTGTATGCCTGAGAACGTATCAGAAGAGATCTAAAATAAAATACTTTTTGGCATTTATTAACCATGAACTGTTCCTAAGGATTATAGTGGAGGAATTGAGACTTGAGATTTCATGGTTATAGGTAATATGGGGGGAATCAAGCATGATTGCAGCAGAAAGATTGTTGCTTGCATCTGCTTTAGAGGATCAGTCAAATCAAAGATTTGTTCTTCTCTCTGACAGGTGCGCTTCTTTGAGCATTACTCATCGAGTGCTTCTTATGCCTGACCATACCTTCTTATATGTGATTACGCAGTTTTTTTCTCTCTTTCCTTCAATTTGCTTCTACTTTCTGTTTTGCAGATGTGCTCCGTTATATGACTTTGGCTATATATACAGATATCTTATCTCTTCACCGAGGAGTTTTGTGGATAGGTAGATTGCAAGTCTGAATTTTTTTTTTGAGATTTATCATTACTTTGTGAATATGTTAGTAGAACCACTTGACTTATATGGCCTGATAACTGGTGTATCATAAGAGGAGTTTTCTAGATGTTGATAAGTGATTACTATGTTTCTCTCTATTTGCAGTTTTCTTCATACTAAAGAGACACGGTACAGTGTGAATATGTCTTCTGTCATACCTGAAGAGAAATGGCGAAAAGGATCCCAGGTATCTTCATTATCTTCTTTTGAAACAAACATTGCAGAATTGATTGCTTTCTTAGAGTTTTAAAGCCTAGTTTCTTCTGGAAATTTAAACACCAGGGTGCAGTTCATGAATGCTGTAATCTCATCCTAGCTTTATCTATTGCAGTGGATGTCTGTGATAAGAAATCATGCAGAGGTCATTGTAAATGATGGTACCGTATTCCCCGTTTTTCAGCAATTTTGCAAGGTAAAGATCGAACTCTATGTGTACTCATTTCGTTATTGCTTGGTTTCATTGAGTAGCGATCAAAATTAAAAAAAACCACAGATTATTTGTTGATTTCTCTTTCAATTTGCAGAGAGCTCCACCTATAGGTTCCCAACAGGAATGGCTGTTTCTTGTAAGTGATACTTCAAAAAAATTCCATTTAACAGCTGCAGACTGAATCATCGATTTATGTTGATTCTTTGTGCTAGCTAGAAAACAAACTCAATTGTGTCTAAATTGAAGTCAGTGACACTTATCTCCATTTGATATGCCTTTTTACGTCAATAAAATAGTGGATGTTTTAACATTTGACGTTTGATGTGAACTCAGAAACAGAAGCGGCGCAACTGCATCCCAGATGAACACTATGTGCAAACATTGCTTACGGTAATCCTATCTTCTTTAAGAAACATCTCCCATTTTTGTTTCTTTCCTTCATCTAAAAAGTTCCAAATTGGTTATGTAATCAAATGTGATCTATTCAGATGCGAGGACTAGAGAGTGAAATGGAACGAAGAACGCTGACATACACTGTATGGAACATTTCGGGTACAAAATATGAAACCAAGTCTTGGCATCCCGTCACTTTCACATTTGAAAACTCCGGCCCTGAGGAAATACAAAAAATCAAGGTCCATCGTTTTTTACTTGTAACTATAACATCACAATGGATCTTTAAGTAGTCTCTTAACTCTTTTTTTTTTTTTCTTATTCGTGGGACAGAAAATTGACAATGTCTATTACGAGTCTGAATCTCGAACAGAATGGTGTAAGACCGATTCAGAACCTGTCCCGTGTTTTCTCTTTGCAAGGAAGTTCACCAAAGAAGCCGCTATGCGCCTTGTGAGCGAAGGACTAATAGGACCATCAACAAACATAACCTTATAATTTGATAGCTCTGTGACCGTAATTTAATATCTCTGTGACCGTGTTAGCAAAGGCTTTTAGGTTACAAACTGAAAAAAGGGAACGTATCTTGTAAGTCAGGCGCAACGAGAGAGTATACATAGAGTAGTGAATAGCATTGATAACATTATCAAAAGAAGATAATAATACATCATTTCACCATGTATACAGCAGCTCTTTTATTCTTTCTCGAATCTGGTTTTGATGTTTAAATACAGAATCAACCTCAATTCTTCTTCGGATACTCTCTCGCCCCAAAAATCGTTGATCCTATTCTCACATTTGTGCTTCCAAGCTCAATCTGTAAAACGAAAACTCTTATATTTTGAGCATAACTCAGAAACCTTTTTACTTGAATCAAAAGTGTGGGTAGATCAAAACTTACAGCTAACTCAAAGTCGCCGGACATCCCCATGGATAGGTCACATTGCTCCTCCGGTATTCCAAGCTCCTTACACACTTCACTTCTGCATTTCGCAAGCATCTAATAAGAAACAAACACGAGCTCCTTTTAATGTTCCCCCATAACAATATACCAAAACATTTTCAGGTCCAATTCAGAGTATTATGAGAACCTTGAAATTCTCTGGGGTTGAAGTGTAATCAGCCATCCCTATCGTCATCAAACCAGAAAACTCAAGATTCGAGCAGGCTTCCTTCACGTGCTTTGCTAGTCCTACGCATCCTGAGGGTTCCACGCCGAACTTAGCTGCAAATACCAGTGAGATGATGATCACGTAAAATAGCACGAAGATACGTGTGAAAGTGGATAACATTTGTGATGGATGTCAAGAAACATGTGGCGGATTTCCAGATTCTTACACTCTTCGCCACTGGTATTTACTTGGACCATGACCTTCAAAGGCGTTCTTCCAATGTTTCCAACCACACGATCAAGCATATTTGCAATCTATGAAGCACATGTAAATAGCGGAGTCTGTAAACGACCGAGAGTTTAACTAATAAGTAGTCTTTACCAAATCTAACAATGTAACTATAGTCTCTAGTTATATAAATGATATACTATCAAGCTCCTAATGCATCAAAGCATTTGACCTCAGTCTATAGATTCCACTACCCTGAATGTTTTTGTTACCTAAGACCACACCTACAAACCAATAAACTCTTCTCTTTCGATATACAGAAAAGAGAATATCTACCTTCTCATCATCGACACTTTCCACCATCTTCAGGTTAGGCACTACAGCTGATCAAACAAGCAACAAAGAACATATCACACCGATTCAGTACAATTTGAATAATGAAGTAAGATTTACACTAATGCACCAAGAACAAAAAGGAAGGGAGTTTCAAATGGCAAACAATTACTTAGCAAAGGCTTCACTTTGTTGCTCTGCAAATTCCCAATGAAATGCCACTCTATATCTTCTGGAAGCTGCAATTTCAAATCACACAAATGAACAAAATTTCAGACTCTTTCACTCCAATTGTTCAATTTTTTTCATTTTTCTGAACAAATTTCGAATAGAACGAACCTGAGGCGCCTTTTCAATGATCTCCTGCACATAGTTCTCTCCAAACGACCTGTGACCAGCGTCGTAAACTTGGCGAATCAAGGAAACTGGTTTCGTCTTGCTCACCGCTACGACCCGTATCCGATCAGGTACGCGACCCGCTTTCTCCGCAGCCTGATTTACCCGCTGAAACACCGATCGCAAAGCCGCCGCGGCCGCCACGCCGTCCATCGCTGCTGCCGCCATAGACGGTTCCGCCACGTGTCCTGTCTGCTCGTTCTTTGGCTTCTCTTCGTTCTCGAGATCGTTCATCGATGGTTGATAGCTTTTTCTTTTCAACACACTCTGTTCCTGGTCACATTTTTGTGGGAGAGAGAAGACGGAGACTGAGACCTGTACGCTGCGTTTCGATGCAGCTGAAAGCCTTGCGTGCCGTTTAAAGGAAAAACATGTATCCTGTTCGCAGTTTCACCAAGAGAAAAGTGTGACGTTTTTAATTTCTTTTTGAGGAAAACGAAAAAAAATTATTAACAAAAAGGTTTACTACTTCAGAGATTCGAACCCGGATCGGAACTTGGTATAGCAATGGGCTATAGCTTTAAACGGTAGATACATTATGTGTTTTAATCAGGCCCGGCCCATTTTCTCTGACTAAAACAGTTTTTTTTTGTTCCCATTATCTTTTTCGAAAAGAGAAAAAAAAAAAAACTATCCGTTGTCGGTATTTGAATCCTTGATTATTCGGGATGAAATTCAACCGACGTACTACTACTATTCGGGAGTTTGAATTCTCTGTATAGTTTCTTAAAATATCTATTGCTGTCTTTCCTAGTAGGAAAAGATATTTGCTTTTGATCGAGTTTATCAATCCAAAACCACAAGAGTCAAATCAAACGTACTCGAGTGCTCTTATAACGGCTTTAAGTTATATGTTATGTCCACTTCAAAGAGAGTTCAATTTCCGTGTATTACAGCTGTTGTGAGATACATGCAATGCAACTTGATCGAAATTAGTGTTATTATACATTTATACATATAGAAATGATAAGTGTATTTGTTATATTAATTAAGTAAATGGATTAAGCAAATTTTATGGACGTATTTATCTTTGTGACTATACCACTGAATTTAAGTTTAACCACGGTGTATATCTGCTAAATGTCAATCAGAACTAGTCCGTTTTAGCGTTTGTAGTATCTTCAAACTGATGCCAAATCACTAGCTGTGGGAACTTTGAACTCACAAAGTTGTTTAAGGATCGGACAACAGATGTTACTCTGATCTGTCTCACGCTCTGTTTTGTGTTTAAACTCTCAACGCGTTACTCAATAGAGAATCATGAAAACCACATACTTTATTAGACATGAAACTGAGTATTTATACAAGACACTCTTGGACTCTAAAGACACGTCTCTCCACAATGACTCAATGTATAGACACATACGACATGTGTAACCGTTTTGCGGTTATTAATTCTACTCGCATCTCTTTCATGTGATGCAAATATAATTGACATGATCACTAAGTTACTAAACTATATAATATACGACTCTAACTTAATTATGAAGACTTGATCACTTCCAACACTAGCAAGATGATTCTAGAGAGCTTAATTGATTATTTGATTGATATATAGATAATAGGCTAATAGCAGCTTTATCTAGTACAAAAGAAAACTAAAAGAGAAAAAAATTATCTGAGAATAAATTTCCACAACGGACTTCAAACCCGGAATTTCAACAAGAAATTTAACAAGTATGCTACAACAGAACCGTTGTTGTGATAAGAATTTAAAATGTCTCTATACTATTTAGGTACGTACGCAATTATATACTTATTCATCAAGGTTTCACACAGTCAACGCCGACTCGAGTGCTCTTATAACGGATTTTAGTCAAGTTTGGAGAAAGATTCATGTTCCGTGTATCACGGGAATTTGGTATTGTTATATGCTCTTTACTACTTGCTTCATAGATGTGAAAGCTAGTTGGTAATTAATATGAATGCTTCATAAAATGTTAAAGATTCTTTCGTAAACATTGCACCGTAAATTGTAGTGGTAACTGGTAAAAGAAACAAAAAGACTAGAAAGGTTAATTTGGTTTGGTTTGGATAGAGGAATAAAGTTCCATATGAACAGAACATAGATGTAGATTAATTATCTTAAAAAATATCTGTCTAAAGTAAGTGATTGCTTGTCACAAAAAGATAAAATCCACCATCAGACGCGATCGAGATGTTACAATGCAATGATCGCTAGTTGGAATTTATTTTTTGTTAAGCTAGTGGGGAATAGCTTTTCCCTAAAAATATCATTTCTTTACTTTGTCTCCAGATAATAAACTCGGATATCTCACGGTTTGGTGTGCTTTGGTTCTTTGCCAATCTTTTTTCCTTGATGTGGTTATAACTTAAAAGTTAATTTGTATTAACAATGATGAGGCTGGCTTTACGCAAGTTTATTTTTTTCCCTGTCGGACAGTTTTTCCTTTTTAGGACAGACGATTGAAAATATTATAGTTCTTGTAATTGACATATAGGAGATATGTTCCTTTTGGGTTTTGGGGATCAATTTGCCAATTCGTCTTGAGCAAATCTTTGCATAGGTTTTAGATTATGGTTGTTTTTTCTTTCCGACTATTCTCTTTGTAATTTGGTAATTTAACGAAATTTAGACTGAAAAAAAAGAAAGAAGATCATTTTGGCTATCGATCCAAACTAGAAAGAATAGTATTTCGCTAAACTATATGAAATCAAATGAAAAATTTCATGTGTTTCCACTTTTGTTCTGCCTAATTTAGAATTTTATTGATTTTTTTTCTACGCGAGCCTAACTCGTTTACTCTTCTGAAAACTAAACCCTTCGATTTTGACCTGTCCACTAAAAGAGTCTAAAAAGTCAAATATTTTTCTAAGAAGACCTAATTATTCAAAAACTTCTTCGTTGACCTATGTATCATCCTATCGTCTATAAATACCATTCACGTCCTTCGTTACTCTTCATCTAAATATATTCATACACATACAAACACACGCAAACACATTCCGATACTAATTTTTTTTGTTCTCTCTCCTTTAATTTCTTGAAAGAAGACAAAAGAGGAAGGATGAATACATTCAAGATATCCTATTTCGTTGTGGTGCTCATAATGGTCTTAGCCGTTGCTATAACACTTAGCGAAACGCTAAGGGTTGAGGCGAAACAGAGTCAGAGAGACAGATTTGGCCGAGTTATAACCGCTGCACGAGGGAAAGACAGATTTGGGCGAGTTATAACCGCTGCACGAGGGAAAAAAGGTGGGAACCGTCCAACTGCAATGATGACATGTGACAAAAGCCCCAAAGTATGTCGTCTCAAAGGCAGCTCCGGTCGTGATTGTTGTCGTAAGAGGTGCGTAGACTTGAGTACCAACAGACTGAATTGCGGAAGATGTGGGAAAAGCTGTCAATACTCGGAGGTTTGTTGCAACGGATATTGTGTAAACCCGATGTTTGATAGGAGACATTGTGGAGGTTGCTTTAAGAAGTGCAAGAAAGGGAGAACGTGTGCCTATGGGATGTGTAACTATGCTTAAAGAAACAGTGCGTATAAAGGTTACTATAAAAGGGTTTAATTTGTTGGTTTAAATTGGATTACATTCATATTACAATTAAAAAATACAGAATAAGGGTCGTCGAATTGTTATTAAAAAGTAAAAAGGTCTTGTAAAAGTTTGTCATTATTGTATTGTTTAATTTTTATGCCCACATGTCATATAACAATCCAATGTATTATTCTTGAATAAAGTTTAAAATTCTTATACACTATGTGATGTCTCGCACTGAAGTTGATTCAAAGTATATTTGCGAAATTAGAAATATAAAGGTTGTATTCTTACAATGTAAACTAAAATATGAACAAAAGAAAACGTGCTATGGACAAGAAAATACCTGACAAAAAGTTACTATGAAATATTTTCAAAAGTTTGTCTTTTGGTGATAACCATTAGTCTCTTTTTTTACCAATGTAATCATTTTTTAAATATTAGTATATACTTCAAATTTGTTTTTTTTTTTTGGTAAAATGTGACGAAAACATAACTTAAAATTCAATAGTCTTTACACAAAACACTCTGATTCTTTAATATTTATACCTAGATAAATTTCAAATTTTATTTCTCAAGCATTAGTTATAACCGATATCCACGAAAGTTAAACGATCTAGGAAATGTAGGGATTGTGACAGAAGTTGACTTTACTTCTTATAAGAAAAGTGATGATAACGCCATTTGTTAATTGGCGTCTCAGATAGTATTCTATAGATAGTGATATTATACTCATTTGTTGTTAAAGTGTGATATTATACTCATTTTCAGTCGTATATCAAATAAAAGCGCATTATATCAAACAAGTTGAAGTATTTACCAACTTATTAAATCAGATAATTGGCCCCATGTTGTATTCATCGGCCGATACATGCATGTCAAAATGCAGTGTCTAATTTGTGTACCAAACTCAATATTCATATATAGACTAATGACGAATTGACTATGTTTATCAAATAGACTAACGATCAGTAATTTTAACTTTTGATGTTCTCTTATAAATAAACTTGTTTTAATAAACAAATACAAAAAAAAAAAAAAATCCAAAGTCAAACCAACCCATCGTCATCTGAAGATCGTGTAACCACGTCTAGCCATAACTAGAGCGTTGATCAAAGAAGTACTTCGATAACAATTTAAATTCTAAAGATGATACAAGTTTCGTTTCATTAGTCAGCGCCATCCATGTGTCCCACCTTCTCATCTTTCACACACAAACATAAAATCAAATTTACAATCAATTCTCTAGCTCATATCTATGTCGTGTATATATATTTGCACACCCATAGTTCAACTCAAGCCTTACATCTTTCAAGCAAATGGCTTCTTCTTTCTTAATAATAGTTTCACTTCTCTTTGCAGCTTTCTCTTCTCCTCTTATAGAGGCTGCTTATAGTAATGGTTACACCATGCCCAAATTATTGCTAAATCCAATAGATTCTTGCTGGCGTAGAAACCCTAACTGGGCGTCTAACCGTCGTGCCCTAGCTGATTGCGCCGTAGGTTTTGGAAAAGCTGCGGTCGGGGGCAAATACGGGTCCATCTACGTGGTTACAAACCCATCAGATGACCCTGAAAACCCTAGACCGGGAACCTTGAGACACGCGGTGATCCAATCTAAACCGCTGTGGATCACATTCGCACGTGACATGGTCATAGTGTTGCGAAACGAGCTAATCATGAACAGCTACAAGACGATCGATGGAAGAGGGGTAAAAGTGGAAATTGCGTACGGGCCATGCATAACGATCCAACATGTTAGCCATGTCATTATACATGGGATAAGTATCCATGATTGTAAGCCGGGTAAATCGGGTCGGGTACGGAGCAGCCCGACACATGTTGGTAGCCGGGAAGGATCGGACGGTGACGCTATCGTCGTGTTTGATTCTTCACATATTTGGATCGATCATTGTTACTTTTCTCGGTGTCAAGATGGTTTGATCGATGTGCTACATGCTTCTACGGCCGTCACTATTTCTAACAATTACTTCACACAGCATGATAAAGTAAGTAATTTTATTTTACCTTTATAGTTGTAACTTTTACAAATAATACAATATTTTGAATACTGATATTATTTTTTATATGTTATTATGAAGGTGATGTTACTAGGGCATAATGACAATAATGTGGAAGATAGAAATATGAGAGTCACAATTGCATTCAACCATTTTGGACCGGGTCTCATTGAGAGAATGCCTAGGTATGTAAATACATATAATCAATCAATTTAATTGAATTAGACTGGTAATTGCTGACGTGGATTATGACGTGGCAGAGTAAGGAGAGGCTATGCGCATGTAGCAAACAATAGGTATGAGAAATGGCAAATGTATGCGATCGGAGGAAGTGCTGATCCAACCATCTTTAGTGAAGGCAACTACTTCGTTGCTTCCGACGACCCTAGCAAAAAACAGGTATGTCACTTTAAGTCATAATATAAGATTTTAATGATTTAATAATTAGCGTTACAATATCCCACATTGTAATAACATTGACTTCGAGATGAAAAAGCTCATTACTTTAACATTAAAAAAAAAAAAAAGCTCATTACTGTTAAAATGATGTCGTGATCTAAAACGTGTTGGTATTGGCGTGTGTGTGAAAATATAGGTGACGAAGAGAATAGATAGTGGATATGACTGGCAGAGATGGAAATGGAGAACGTCAAAAGACGTATTCAAGAATGGAGCTTATTTCGTGCCTTCTGGTTACGGAACCGTCACGCCATTGTACGGAAGAGCAGAGTGGTTTCTGGTGTCCCATGGCTCTCTCGTTCCTTCTCTTACTTCCTCCGCCGGTCCTCTCCGTTGCTACTCCGGCAGGATCTGCTGATTAATTACTCACATACACGCATGTATATACGTAATGTTTTCTTTAATTTTGTCTTTTCTTGTTTGAAACAACGAGGCTGGATTCCTGAATCTGAGGTGTGTTTTGTGAATTCTTCTGTACCCGGAACGGAATCCAAATGATCTTGGAGGATTTATAATATTTTTTCTTTGTATTCTTTCAAGAATTGTTCTTTAAAGACTTGTATAATTATAAAGATTTGAAGTTGATCATGTGAAGAGTGTTGCCTTGGCCTATACCAACTTAGCAAGTTAATATATATTTTTTTGAAAATTTAGTTATTTTCTTGTTGAATACTTATTTTGTTGCTTGTAGTTATAGGGGCTTAACTTCTTTCAAGTAATGCCTACCAAAAGATCTACTATATTTCAGATTTCAGACCAATAAAAATATTACTACAAAAAAAAACCAACACAATATACAAAATTCTTTTATGTCAAGCTTGTAGTATACAAAATCAAAGATAGAAAGGAAAGAAGACAAAAAGAAAAAGAAACAGAAGAAAAGAAGAGTGCGACCATGCTTTTAGAAGATTCTGTTTTCATTGCTTTGAACTCCACAAGTGACCGGAGCTTTGGCTTTCACTTTCCTCAAGTACCAAAAGACTCCACCCGCAACGCCAATCGCTCCGGCTGCTGAAACCGCCGTTACCGTTCCTGATAGCGCGACAAGTTATCCGGTTAAAATCAAATCACGAAATAACAAATAGATATATATAGTGTCAAATTCTAACTTCAGGACCAAAATGTTCATATAGTAAAAACAGTAATCTTGCTTGTTTACCTGCGACTGCTCCAACACGTTTATGCTTTACGAGGTTAGGATCTGCACAAAGTATTAAATAGATTGAATATATGTAATAGTACCGTATAATTCAAAATCATGAACTTTCTATATCTAATCAAAAACGTAGATGTAAACACATAATAGTGTCTGATATATTCCAAACTAACGTAAAAGGCACAAGAATTTACCTTTACAATAAGTAGTGACGTTGCCTTGTTTGCAAAGACACGAGAATTTCTGCGTCCTCGTATCAAATCCACAAATTCCACCACCTTTAGTTGTTTCTTGACAAAGAAGGCACTTCATAGTCACCGGGAATTCGTAATCAACCCTAATCCCGTACTCTGGAAACTGATCATACGGTGCATTCCCCGCACCTGTACTCCTCCAATACACGCTTGTATATGTCGCGCAGTTCTGTAGCATCAGCCTAAGAGACTGAGTCGCTTTAGGGTAATAAGAGCAACAAGAAACCCTAGACCCTAAAGCTGATCCACACTCGGGCAAATGCCTGCATAGGTAGCTCGAGCTATCACAAGACGAGTCACATCTATCCGGAAACCTCTCACAAAAGAGCGGTTTTGGCTCGACGATCACTTTCTCGGCGTTGCAGTTGAAGAACAAGTAGTCGTTCTGAAGGGAGACAGTGAAGTGTGTGCTTGAGTCGATACTGAAAGATCTCGTGGGTCGAAAATTGTCTCGATCTTGACAGTTCCACATGAATGGATCGGAGACAAGAAGGTGAGGATCAGAGTAGCTTATAGATTTAACTGGATATTTACCTGAGGGTGTTCTAAGTTCGAGCTTTGTGTTGTTGTCGGAGCAAATGAGCATGTGTCGGTAATAAGGGCTGCCACAACCGTCGTCGATACCAAAAGGGTAACTTATCGGAATGTTGCCGCAAGAAGATCTGCATAGATTTGATTGGGATAATGTTGTTGATGACTGAAGAAGGATGGTCATGAAAATTGAAAAGAAGATAGAGCAGGAGTGAAGTGGAGACATTGTTTTAAATTTAGGGTTTTTGATTTGATTATTTGGAACATCTTTATTAAGAGACTATAATTTGGTGGTGTGAAGTGTTGAGTAAGCTTGGAATGTCTTGTTAAGGAGTTTAAGAATCAAACTTGTGTCATGTGCTAGTTAATAGTTATTTTGGGTTTTTGTTTTTGTTGCTTTTCAGTATAAAGTATTCCAAGTGGAATCGTGGTTTTTAAATCAGTGTGATCTTTTCACTGGTTGAATGGACTTAGAGAAACTCAGATTGTTCAACATACTCTGCATATGAAATGCTTCTCTATTTTTTTACGTATACCAAATGAGAAATAAAAATAAATGGCATTCATATTATCATATAAATATGGTATTGGTATATTATTGATTTTGTGATAGACGGTAATCGAAGAGAATTATCCATTTAATTTTTATTATTTTTTAATGTTTTTGATTTTACTACTATTTCTATATGTCAAAACAATCTTTCGGATGTATATCGCCAATTTATATAGGGAATATTATAATGGGTTTGAAGAAATCTTGATAACACCGAGATTCTTCAAACAAAACAACAACAACAACAAAAATCTCGATTAAGGGATTAGTGTTCATTGACAACTCTGAAATGGAAGATCGTGTGAATAAGGTAATTTAAATTTAGTAGAAATTTTATCGATATAGTTCCGCACGGGTTTGAGTTGTGATCGTAATTCTTTTAAGTTTTGTTCTATTTTTCAGATGACAGATTTAAAGAAGTTGAGAATGGAGAATCAAAAGCTTCTTGAAGAAACGCTTAAAGTAACATGGAAGAATCAAACTTTACTAGAGATTAACAACGAATTATATGTAAGGTAACTAACAACGCGCAAATTAGATCAATATGTTAACTAATGTATCGATCGGTATTAGTATTATAGTTGGAAATTCGTAACTTAATTTTCGTTATGTTATGCAAATATATCTGATTTTCAGTTGGCGAAATTACAAGCAGAGAATCAAAAGCTTACTGAAGAATTGCTTACAATAGCGAAGAAGAATAACGCCTCACTTAAGATGCAAGCCGAATTATATAAAAAGGTAATCAGTCACAATTCACAAATCAATAGGTTAACTTTAAAAACTCTGTCTTTAGAACTTGGAAGTTAGTGAATTTGATTATTTTTGATATATTATCAGATAATAGAGGCTAACGAGGCCATTTTTCCAAGCCAATCCATCGATACCAATGTTTCTAAGGGCGACGAAGAAACTTGCGTAGGAAGAAATCCCCGAGATTAGGTCAAAAAGGTTTGCGAAAGTGAAATCGTAAAAACATCACTTATCTGAGGATCGGAGAGATTATTATATATTGATTATGATTACAAACTTAAGCATGTTGTATACTACTTTGAAGTGTATATATATTTGTTTTTTTTCTTGAGTATTATTAGTATTATTTCACAAAAATATGTATGGGACTTAAAAAAAAAAAAATCAACGGGTTAAGGGATGCGATGAACAATGGGTCGATTCAGAATTTTTAAATAGCAAGAGAGACGCAATAATGTTTACGTAAAAGACTTTATAAACCTCTCTCTTTAAAGACTCACTCTCGCACCTCAAATCGTCTCTTCGATCTTATGATTCTTCATCTTCTTCATCTGCATTGTGAGGTCTGACGACTCTTGATTCGTCTTCTCCTTTCGGTCTCATCAACGTTAACTACATTCATAATCGCCGTGGTTTCTATTCGACTCCTCCATCGACGATGTCATGCTACGGTGGAACCGGCGGTGGTCAGAACTCCGATGATCAAAGTAACAAAGTTACCGGTGGCGGCAAAGAAACAGTTAGCTTACCGGTAAGCCTCGCCGTAACTCCCCGATGATAATAAAAGATGATCGCACGGAAGTGAATCGATTCCAACTGTTTAAAATGAATGAAACTTCTCTTCCTTTTAGTATCAATTAGTGAGTTTTTTTTCAAGATTGAAAGATTACGTGACTATTTCTCTATAATGATTTTTGATTTAGTATAGGCCGGTTTGAATAATCTTGACACAACGGGGATTGACAACTCCGAGTTGGAAGATCGTAGCAAGAAGGTAATTTGAACTCTCTAATCATTTTCTTGATCGTAGTTTGTTAGTTAGGTTTCGTTTATCGTCACTCTTTTGTATATTTTTTTATTGATTGTTATCGTATTTTTTTTTCAGTTGGAGGAATAGAGCTTCTTGAAGAACTAATTGAACTGACTCGGAAGAATCAAGCTTCACAACTAATTGTACGCGCAAAGTAGATCAAAAGGCTAGCTAGCTATAACAAACTAATGCACATTTTGATTTTCTTGATCTCGAACGTGACTATATTTGACTTTTCAGTTGGCACAAGCGGAGAATCAAGAGCTCATGGAACAAGTGGTTACACAAACGAAGGAGATTAACACTACACTTGCATTGCAATCCGACCTATATGCAAAGGTAAATTCAATTACGCATAATGTTTATGAAAAACATATATAGATCGATAGCCTAACTAAGTAATGTATATGTATAGTTTGATATTAGTGAATCTAATTATTCTTTGATATATTATTAGATGCTTGGTGCGAGCAACTCCGTCGGTACAGACAGCAAAACGGCGAATCCTCCAGATACCTCAGAGACGGAGATCGAAAAGGCTCAGAAATTGAAAGCGGAAGAAGATCAATCATCTGAGGATCGGAGAGAGTAACGTGACGTATATTGCATATGAATATGTTACGTAAAACATGTTGTCATTGAATGGAACAAAAGTATACGTACTACATAATCCGTCAATATAGTTTGATCGGTAATTGTGGTTTTAAAAGGCCCAATATCAACATTACATTGATCAATGATTATTATCAAGAGGAGCTATTTTCTTTTTAGTTTGGGGTTTAGACTTTAGTGCAGATGAATCCTTAATCAACGGCTTAGGATTTGAGTCATCCTAATCAACGGCTAGAGTCATGAAACCAACATCGTTTCAATTAGAGTCATCTTAATCGACGGTTACGATTTTAAATAAACCACGTAGTCCACTATTAGTTCGTAAGCAGGTGATTGTTGTCGCTAAATATAAAACTTGAGACGTTGCCACGTAGGGCCTTCCTATCCATTCGTCAACGGTATGATCTTGCCGTTCATTTATAGGGATCTAACGGCTAATATAGAAAACTGGTTGTACAAGAAATCTCTCTCTTTGACGCGATTACACAGTGGGCCCCGCTGTAACTTTCATTTTAGGAGACAGCTCGGTTAATATAGCATCTTCTCTCGTCACAGTCATCTTTCCCCTTCGATAAATGTAACTATCTCTCCTCGATTTCTTCTTCATTTTTCCTGAGAATCTGGTGCCTAACTTCGGTGAGTTCTCTTCTGAAACCCCATCGATTCTGCTTATTTTCTTCAATTTTTTCCTTCGATTCTCTTCTACTTTTACCTATTGCTGAAATTTTGTTGCTCCTCAATACTTGTGTGGTTTGTTTCTGCATCGTTTTTTGAGCAGTTAGGTGAGGTTTTGGTTGCCGAAATCAATGTCCTTCGAAGTAAATCTGAATAGTATCACTTTTTTGTATGATCTGATTAGTAGATTCGCTTAGATTCGCGTCTTGATCATGATTAATTTTGGTTTTGACTAGTCGGCGTGCTCAATCGGTGTGAATTTTCATGGAGCTCTTGAGTTAGTTTGATTACGTAATCGCTTTAGATGAAGTTTTATCGATGATAGTCGGAATCGTGGCCTTGATCGAATTTCATGAATTAAGAAGAAATGAAGTTTTATGCTCTTCTTTACGCCTGATCGATTGTTGCGATCTCCAGTGTATATAATGAGTTAATGAATCGTTCTGTTTTATGCGACTCTTAATGCAATTGAGATTGTTTCCTTTTATAACTCTTACCTGATTGAACAATCCTTCCTATTTTTGTCCTGATTTAAGGTCTTATCATTTTTCTCTAGCACGAAAAGGTCATTATCGTTTGCAAAGTGAAGAGAGTTTTTTTTACGTTATCTGTTTCTGCCACGCTAGTGCTTCGCTGCTGATTGAGAGAGACTTAAGATAATATAATTAGTGCAATTTAATACGTGTTTCCTAGTCCATCTTTATCTGGTTGAGGAAGAAGACCAAGTAAACGTATACGGTATACCTTAGTCACTTAAGCAATTATGTTACAGAGTACAATATAAACAAGTTTTTAAATATAGTTAGTTGACATGTATGGTTTTACAGGTTCTCTAATTTTCTGCTTGATGGTTGCTTTATTCTGACTTGCTCTGTTGTCAATGAATAGGTAAAATGGGAATATACTCTAAGACGGTTGCTGTGTCACTCATTGTCTCGTTCCTGTTGTTCTTTTCTGCCTCTGCTGAGCGCAATGATGGTACATTCAGAGTTGGTCTGAAAAAGCTCAAGTTGGACCCCAAAAACCGTCTTGCAGCACGTGTTGGTTCCAAGCAAGAGAAGCCCCTGAGAGCTTACAGTCTTGGAGATTCTGGAGATGCTGATATTGTCACACTGAAGAATTACTTGGATGCTCAGTACTATGGTGAGATCGCTATTGGTACTCCACCGCAGAAGTTCACAGTGGTTTTTGACACCGGAAGCTCTAACCTCTGGGTGCCTTCATCAAAATGCTATTTCTCTGTAAGTAACATTTGGTCTATAATGGCTAGCTGTGGCGGGGATTCTTTTGAGAAGTGAACTTAATGTGTTCTGTTTGTTGTGTAGATTGCATGTATCCTCCATTCCAAATACAAGTCGTCTCGCTCGAGCTCATATGAGAAGAATGGTTTGTTCTCTCTCTAGTTAAAACGTATTTCCTGAATTAGTTAATATCACTGCTGATGTGAGCTGTGAAGTTATAACTAAGTTGCACTTGCACGTCTTTGATGCAGGAAAGTCTGCCGCAATCCATTATGGAACTGGCGCAATTGCTGGTTTCTTCAGTAATGATGCCGTCACTGTTGGCGATTTAGTTATCAAGGATCAGGTAAACTATCTACGTCAACTCTCCAACCACGTCTAATGCTATATTATTGATCTTGCTTCTTATCATTGTTTATCTCATCAGGAGTTTATTGAGGCAACCAAGGAGCCTGGTTTGACATTTGTTGTAGCTAAGTTTGATGGTATCCTTGGTCTTGGATTCCAAGAGATCTCTGTTGGAAATGCCCCTCCTGTTTGGTATGCCTGCAACTTTCTTCTCTCGATTGGATTGAATTTACTGCATTCCTGTAATGTTATCTTATGCCAAAATTGTCTTGGTTTTTTACAGGTACAACATGCTCAAGCAAGGCCTTCTCAAGGAGCCGGTGTTTTCATTTTGGCTTAACCGTAACGCCGCGGATGATGAAGGTGGTGAACTTGTATTTGGAGGTGTTGATCCAAAACATTTCAAGGGAAAACATACGTACGTCCCTGTGACACAAAAGGGTTACTGGCAGGTTAGTTATATATCCCTTTCTTGTCTTGGTTTCTCTTAAGCCTCTTCAAATAGACTAACTCGAGCCTTTTTGTGTGTGTGTGTGTAATAGTTTGACATGGGTGATGTTCTCATTGGCAATGCACCCACTGGTATGTGTGACATTATACGCCTCATTCTCTATAATATAATACAGCTGTTCCTAACAAATTAAAAAAAAAGTTTTCACTATTTATGTTTGCTGGATCTAAAGTTTGAGTTACTGTTGTACAGGATTCTGCGAAAATGGCTGTTCTGCGATAGCAGATTCTGGAACATCTTTGCTTGCGGGTCCAACAGTAAGCAAGAATCTAAAGAAAGTTGTAGTGGTTTCTTAAGAGTAATTATGTTAGTAAATCACTCGTATGTTTGTTTTTACTTTGTGTAGCCTATTATCACCATGATAAACCATGCTATTGGAGCAGCTGGAGTTGTTAGCCAGCAGTGCAAGACTGTTGTGGATCAGTACGGGCAGACCATTTTGGATTTGCTTTTGTCTGAGGTAAGAATCCTTATTGGGCTAGCTAATAATATCTGTATATCAAATCATATTTTGTGTATGCAATTCTTGTTATGTGAATGATTTCGACTTACTGTTCCCATTGTGTATTGCAGGCCCAACCGAAGAAAATCTGCTCGCAGATTGGCCTGTGCACTTTCAATGGTCAACGTGGTGTCAGGTAATTGTCATGTGGTTTCATTCATGTTATAGAGAAGCTATGATCTATGGGGATTGCAATCAAGTCCACGATCTTCTTCATCTTGGTTTTCTTTTTCTCTGTGATCTGATGTTTGTTGACTCTAATTCTTCTTTTATCGTACAGTATGGGAATCGCGTCGGTGGTGGACAAGGAAAACGCCAAATTGTCAAACGGTGTAGGAGATGCCGCATGTTCTGCATGTGAGATGGCAGTTGTTTGGATACAGAGCCAGTTGAGGCAGAACATGACTCAGGAGCGCATATTGGACTATGTCAACGACGTAAGACTACAAGTTTCCATTACTGCGCTTTTAATTAAATCTGTTGAACCATTTTATTTTACTGATCTTGTTCATTTTCTACTGTTGTTGGTTTTATCTGGACAGCTATGCGAGCGTCTTCCCAGCCCAATGGGAGAGTCTGCAGTGGACTGTGCAAACCTCTCGACCATGCCAACTGTTTCACTCACTATTGGAGGCAAAATCTTTGATCTTTCTCCAGAAGAGGTATGGTTAAGAAATTGATTCATATTTTGGAGTGGTCACTTGGATATTATCACTATCTAATATCTTGGTGCTGGTTTTGGTGTGAGCAGTATGTTCTGAAGGTTGGTGAGGGCCCTGCGGCACAGTGCATCAGTGGCTTTATCGCTCTCGATGTTGCTCCACCTCGTGGACCTCTCTGGTAAGTCCTTAGTTCTACACTGCAGCATTTTTTTCATATCTTTCTTTCTTTCTTTCTTTTTCTAACCTGAAACGTGATTGTGAAAATGTGACAGGATCTTGGGAGATGTGTTCATGGGCAAATACCACACCGTGTTCGACTTTGGAAACGAGCAGGTCGGGTTTGCCGAAGCAGCGTAAACACGGTTGAGTTTTTAGTTTGGGGTCTATGTGGAACAATCTTGTGTCTCAAGTGTTGTGTGTATGTTTTCTGGAGGAGTTTGTGTCAAAGACCCGAGTCGTAGTAGAACTGGTGGCGCAGCTACTTTTTATCTTTTAATGCTTTCCTAACGAAAAAAAACGAAGGCCTTTGTAGTTTTGAAGGCATTGGCTTTGTATATACCTCTTAAGTAAGTTCGATGGTGATACCTTTTCTATAAAAGTCTCTGCCTCTGGAGCCACCTGTCTTTTTATGCCTTGTGCTAAATTTGTCTTGCGCGGACTTTAAAAGAAACGAGCAATCTGGTATCTGTGTATATGGAAGGAAATAAAGAACTCGAAACTCTAAGAGTCGATTCACTATACACCAAGCACCAGATAGCAAACTCGAAACTAATCTCGATTCATAAGGCAGATTACGAAGAAGTTAAATGTTGGGAGTATGGTCTCTATTCTTAATGATGTTTGAGTGCGAAACTTTCGAATCCAGTGTGCACAATTGGTTTTGGAAGATCCTGATTTTCTTCAAGCAACCGGTTTTTAAGCAAATTGTATCAGGTTTTCTCTTTACACCACTATTTTCCCCGAAAGACAATCGTATTCATGTATATTTTGACTATTTTCCAAATAAATAATCAACGATCAATCGTACATTGGATAAAAGAGAGTACATATCTAAAATTAACATCCTACTCTCCTCACAACGGTGGTTGTGTTTAATCTGTTTTCCCAAAGTGTTTGGCTCTTCTTCTTCATCCTATTCTAAGATGGAGGATGGCCAGAGACGTGTCCACATTGCAATCTCTTCTTTACAATTTAGCTTTCTGATTCCTCCATAGAACCCGTCTTCTTCGCTACCTTCCTCTCTATGATCTCTCCTGTTGACCATCGTTCTTCTCCACCTCGATCCCACTGTGTACTGGTTGAATTCCAACACTACCATCTCTGTTTTCACCATCCATTAAACACTTAACCATTTAGGACAACATGTGAATGCAAAAACCTTTGGACAAAACATCGACGGAGAACAATCTAAGCCATATGCTCAATGGTTAGCTGTAATTAAAGATGCAAGTGGTCAAAGAGAAAATACCAAAATCTTATCTCTCTATTCGATTTCTATCTCCTATTTTCAGTGGTGATGAGATGTGCCAACAAAAGGAGGAAAGAAAATATTTTATTTGAGTGATAGAGAGACGAATAATCATTGTTATAGCCCCACCACCATTTGGTAATGCAGATTCCAACGATGAGGACATAAGTAGAGGTTTCAACATCAATTCAAGACACACATTTATCTAAATGTCGAGAAAAATCAAGACATAGCTCCATCATCATCATCATCATTTGTCTTTTTTTTTTTTTGGGACCAATGCTCGAATTGGGTCTCTTCAATGTACACACTTTTCAACTAAGTTATGGGAATTAAATAGACTTTATAGACTGATGAAATGAGTAAAAGAAAGCACAGAATGTGACAGCCAAATTTTAAGAACCAACCAAGACAGACTCCATTTAAAAAAAAAAAAAAAAAAACATGAAGCTGTGAAAAATTTACCACTAAGATGGCAATGACAATGGTTGAGATTCCCATCACAGGATTCCAAATGGCCAACAATACCATACCACCATCCTACACAACAACAAAACATCACACAAAGCTTGTCTCAGAATCAGATACTGTTCAAACTCAATTGACAACAAGCACCATAGATCATTATTTACCATAAGGGAACTCTTTGTTCCTTCTCCATTGAATCTCAATGTGATCTCCAGGTTTCAACTCTTTTAGAGAATCTGACTCATAAAGATGATGAGGAGATGCATCAATAGGAGCTGCTCTTAGCCTCTCCCATGTCACACCCTTTTCAATCGCAACTGCTCTTCTACCATGTGGTGGATACCTAAAAATCCCAATAAGAGTCTTACTTTATCTGACTTCTTATGAAGAATAGGCCAAAGATTGTGTCAAATGTGAATATCAAATATATTCTTTACCTGGCTTGAAACGTATCAGTGGGAGTATCATAGCTGAGCTCCGCATCATAGCATGACAACATGAACCCTACATGCCCATTCTGCTCTTATACCAAAAGGTCAATACTTTAATCAGATCCAGAAAGCTTCAAACCATTTTAATAACCAGATCGAGTAACTATGTTCTACAAATTGATTACCTCACGGTTGTAAACTTGAGCTGGGAACCAAAAACGACCAGTTTCAAGAGAGAGGAAGCAGCTCATGGTGGAATCAAGTGGCAGAGAAGATTGTGAACAACTCTTCCTCTGTTTCTTATCAGCTCGGAAAACAGAGGAAAGAGATCGGATCAAAGAGATGATTTTGGCACAAGGATGACCAGTTTGGTGACGAGGAGAGTCAAGATCATGCGAGGAAGAGAGAAAGCACTTCCACTCTCTATGAGCAGCAGGGCCAAGGATCTTTCCCCATTTGGTCATCAGGTGTTTCTCCCATAGATGATCACTCACGCATCTCTCTCTCATGGAGCTACAAACCCTAGCCATGCTACAGAGCCCAGAAGGTGGAAGACGGTCTAGAATGCAGTCAAGGGCAAGGTCAGGGAGGTCAAGGACTGACATTTGGTCAAGCACAGGAGAGACTGGATCAGGTTTGGTTGGATGGGAAGTGTTAATGAAGGGGTTCTTGGAGAAGTAGAAAGAGAGCAAGGTTTTGGTTTCAGATGCCCATGGAGGAAGAGATAGAGATTTGGACAGGAAAAAGAAGGAGAGACAGGAGATGAGAAAGTAGAGAAGCATTTAGACAGAAAGTAGGATTATTGTTATTTGTTGTCTGTGTTGCCTTTTGATTTGTTGTTTGTGAGAGTATAAATGGAAGGTTGAGGATAGATAGATGACCAATTGGAGTTGAGGGATTACCTAACCAACTCATAAAAACAATAAACAATTCTCTCTCTCTCTCTCTCTTTCGTTTTGGGAACTTGAAATTGAATGAAGTTGCCAAGTTGAATCAAGAGAGAGAGAGTCTTGGACCCACAAAAACCAAGATTACAGGAAATAAAAGCTCTAATGAAAATCCAATTCTTACAAACAACACCGTGATTAATGCGCAAAGGTGTGCCAATTACGCCGAATGGTTTATAAAATAATTAAAAAGAATGAATTTATTTTATTAAAAAGGCCTACTTGGTGTTTGGTGTCATTGGGATTTCCAAAGACAGTGGGAGGAGAGAGGATCGGATCTGGGCAGCTAAATCAAAAGATTCATTGAACCTAAACACATCAACAACATTTCTTTTAGAATAAAAGTAAAAGAAAACCACAATATTGTTATGATTATTACAAAAACATAAATATTCATAATCAAATAAGGAAGATGAAGAAGAGATTGGGTTACCAGAAACAGATTTCTTTCTTCCTCCTCCCTCCCAAAGTTCCCAATACCAAAACAACCAAATATGAAAACAATCAACTCTTCGTGTCTTAAAAATCTCCATTTCTAAAAATTCTCTTCTTTTTTCTTCTCCCAATCTCTCACGCAAAATAGCAAAAGACCATAACAAAGATTGTGATAAGATGAGAGGTTACTGCTTATTTACCCTTTTTGTCAACAATAGCAAAGAGAGAGAGAGAGAGAAACAGAGCAAATCCTCTTCCATTCCATGCGTACCACAAAAATCATTCTTCCATACTTTTATCTCTTCTTGCTAATCCATTCATTAAGATTCATATGAAGGAGCCTCTTCCCTGCCATTAGGAGATGGGAGCAAAATCATCTTCCTTACAACGAGCTTAGCAGATTGCAGCTTCTGCATCCACCACTTCTTTTTCAATCATCCTTCTTGGTCTGCCACAGCCATACTCTGTTTCCCCTGTGAATTTAATCTACAACATGTCTCTACAGAGAATTCTAAATGCACAGCAACCATTCTCCAACATTGCAGTCTTCACTATGTACCTTACACAACCCCTTCCTCTTTATCATCTGCTACTCTTAGCAACCGCTTTGCAAGATCCATGTTTTCTGAGCTGCTACACATGTATTCCATGATCGTACACGTCAGTTCTTTGTCTAGGACGATATCTCTCTCCACCAGTTTTTCAACAAATCCCTTCAACTTGTCTGTTTCTCCCTGTGAAATACAATACTTCAACACAGAATCGCAAATGTGAGCATCAGGTTCTAAGCCGCTCTCAACCATTCTGTCAAAGAAACCGATAGCCTCGTCTAAATACCCACGTTTCAGGAACCTGTTTATCAGCTTCGAATAAGTAAACAAATCAGGGGAAAGACCAGCTTCAGACATCTCAACAAGAAGTGCTTCTGCAGACTTAACATCACCACCTTTAAGGCTTCCATCAATCATGATGTTGAACGAAACAATGTCAGGTAAGCAGTCGTCACGCTGCATTTCCTCAAATAATCTCCATGCCTGCTCCAAGCTTCCCTCTTTGCATAACGATGACATTAGGCAGTTGTAGTCGACAACACTAGGCCGTAGCTTAGACCCTCTCATTTTACAGAATAATCCTTTAGCAACATTGAGCATGCCGGTTTTGCAAAACCCATCAATCATTGTAGAATAAGTATCTGAGTTCGGAACAATCTTGGAACCAGGAATCTTTTTCCAAATCTCCATTGCCTTCTCTACATCACCAGACTTGAGAGTGATATTAAGCAATATATTAGTAGTCACTATATCTGCACAGCCCAATTTCTCAACCAGCAAATCATAAGTATCTAAAGCTTGTTGGAGACGGTTCTCCTTGCACAGCCCGTTGATCAGCGCATTAAACGAAATAACATCTGGATCCGCATAGTTCCTATCATTCAACATCAAATACAGAAGCTTACTTGCTTCGTCTAGGTCACCTTTGGCACAGAGTCCTCCCAGCAAGATATTGTATGCAATGAGATCAGGTCTCGTACCTCTCTTCTTCATCAACTCAATAACCTCTAAAGCATCCTCCACAAGACCGTCCTTGCACAGCTTGTTAAGAATAACGTTATACGTCACAACATTTGGCTCTTCACCATTCTCTAGCATGAGATTCAAAAGCTGAAGAGCTTCCTTAATCTTCCCTACTCCGCAAAGGCCATCGATTAGAACCGTATACGTATAAACATTTGGACGAACTCCACGTTCCATCATGAAATGAAACATCTCCGAGGCTTCTTTCAACTTTCCTGAATTGCAAAAACCTCGAATTAGAGTGTTGTACGTAATTGCAGATGGAGAATCCCCTCTGGCCAGGATCTCATCGAAAAGCGCCTTGGCTCTATCCAAATCACCAAGATCACAAAAGCCTCGAATCAGAGAAGTATACACAACAATGTCTGCCTCTAAACCTTTATCCTGCTTCATTTCTTTGAGCAATCCCATGGCTTCTTCCATCTCACCAGCCTTGCAAAAGGCATCAATCAGAATCCCACAAGTCACTAAGCTCCAAGAACACTCGCTGGCTTGCATTTCATTAGCCAATTTCATTGCTTTCTCCAACTCTTTCCCTTCGCATAAACCTCTAATTACAGTGTTGTAGCTGACAACATCCGGCAACAGAGAATTCAGTCTCATTTCTCTAAGCAAACTAATAGCTTTACCGTATTCGAGATTTTTGCAAAAACCCTTTAAGAGGATGTTAAGATTGTATACGTTGAAAGCAAACCCACGCTTCAGCATCAACGCGAGAACACCTACCGCAAAATTAGTCTTACGATGTGATAATTGCAGGTAACATTCAAGCAAACCACTCAGCGAGACGAAATTGATGAAGGTATTGGTCTCGAGCATCGTGCGGTAAACTGAAAATGCAAGCTCGTGGTTCCTAGAACGTACCAGCGCTGTCATGAGATTGTTTCCGGCGAAAGCAAGAGAGCCGCCGGAGTCGACTGCTTGCTGGAAAACTGAAACGGCGTTCTTAAGCTGAGGATTTGAATTCTCACACTCACACAGCGATCTCAAGTTGGTTTCGGTTTTAGGGGAGGGAGACGTGAGATTGGGATTGACGTGGTTAGGGTTTAGGAGATATCTGGCGTCAAGAGCCCCGCGTCGGGAAAGTTCACCGGCGGCCGATGTCATAAATCTCATTTTCAGCAGATCGGAGAAGACAGACTTTCGCAAATCGGGTTTGCTTAGGTCTCGATAACTTCGGGTGTTTAATCCGCGTTAACCGGTTTGAACCGAAATATCTTCTTATTACGGTTTAAATTGATTCTTCTTAAATTTTGTATCCTTCTTTTTTGCCAACTAACGTCAATTTTGTATGCCCTGATTTCGTTTTGATACGTAAAAAAAAGTAGTGCAAGTCCACAACAGAAGACCGAACAATAATATTATTACTCTTATATTATTAATTTTATATTATTATAAACGAAGGTAATTAACATAATGTTTTCTTTTCTCTTAGGTAACATTCTAAAATCACCAAAACCATTGAAGATAGATTATCGATGATAGAAAGGTCGTTAAAGAGCTTAGAAAAGAGCTTTGGATTGATAGGCTTAACATCCTCTATCAGCCCATCTCTACACTCAAACACCATGTCAATTGCACTACCAACTTGGCTGTTCAAGCCGCTGTAGTCCTTAGCTTCCAAATGTTTGAGGCCAGAACCAAAAGAATATATAGCATCATCAAAAGTTTCTGAGCATACACGATAGGCACTCTTAGCACCCAAATCGGTTGTGCTGTTTCGGAGTGACTGGAATTGCTTCAGCATCACTGAAGCTTTTTGAGAACTATTATTGATCAGAAATTTGGCGAGACCGGAAAGATCTAGTTTCGCAATTTCAAGGGTTTGTTTTAGAAATTCAAAACAAAGTGAAGCATTGACATCTGTCGGTTTTTTTGTGCATATGCCGTTGATCTCATCTTTGGTAACCATCATACCAAATCTTGCATATGATGAGAAAACAAAAAGAGATAACACTATTATTGAAACCAATAAGAAGTTGTTGTTTTTGACGTATGCAACCATTTTTGATTTGTACCAAAATGTTCGAGAACTTTCCCATAATTTATAAAGGCTGGAACATATCTTCGAATTTAAATGCTAGCAGATTTTATTTAATATATTTCCGTAAGTGGTAATATCTATGGAAGCATTGACACTTCCCTTTGTGCATATGCGGTTGATCTCATGTTTGGTAACCATCATGCTAAACCTTGCATATGATGGAAAAACAAATAGAGATAACACTATTATTGAAACCAATAAAAAGGTATTTTTGATGTATGCAACCATTTTTGTTTTGTTCCAAATGTTTGAGAACTTTCATATAATTTATAAAGGCTGAAACATGTCTTCGAATTTAAATGCTAGCAGATTTTATATAATATATTTCCGTAAATGCTACTCAATAGTCAATACTAATACTAGAAATGATTTAAGTATTGCAGATTTTCTGTACCATACTAAAAATTATATGATAACCTTACCATTTGACCCTTCCTCTCAGGCCCTCTATTATTGTACTCAGCGTAGAACAGCGTTGACAGTCCTCGTCCGTCCACGGCGTCCAGCCCACTGGATAACGAAGGCTTTTAATTCTGATTGTATAATCACCACCGGTGATAGCTCAGTCCAAGGGCGTCCGAGAAACACTTTTGCCATGGGAGGTAGATCTTGATTTGCAGTTATTCTACAATTCTGGATGGTGAACGCAGAATCCAAGCTATCGCTGTCGCGCGACTGAGCGATAATCACGACAGTATCTCCTTTCATAGGACTGCATACCTTGATTTGGCAATTTTGGAACACTGCCAAGGCATGTCCAAAGATGAAGTCTACAGTTCCTATAATGAAGCATTCACGGTAAAACTGCTTCTTCGAGTGAGCGTACATTGTATCCTGAAATGCATCGATTCTGCAACAGAATAGAACTGACTTATCTGCGCTAACCCGGAGAGCAACCGCTTGTCCGTTCTCCAAACCGGCCGTGTTACGGATACATAAGTGTTGAGTGATCACACGGACCTTAGTGTCATTAGTGTCTCAAAAATATAAGTAATAATTTGGAAGAAATACTTTATAAGGAAAAAAAAGTTTAGACCTAAGGTTGCGGTATCAAAGGTTCTGATCACTTTATCAGCGTGTATTTTGCCGGTGATAACCGTCGATTCACTCCCATGATAGTTAAGTTCAGTTTATTAGTCCCCAACATTATGTTATAGTGCGATGTGAGTATGACTCTTGCTTATTTTTGATTATGCGAAAACAAAACCCTTAATTGGGTATACATTAAAATCATGTCCTTTCACAAGGTGTATAATGAAAATCAAATTTGAGGAAATCAGCTTGTATGGGCACATATTTTTAAACTATTATGTTTTTTCACAAGATGTTCTCAACGCTTTAATTTAACATATAATCGATTATATCCGTCGTATATATCCCTATAATTGTATTATAAAGTTTGTTCCAGTAATCAAGAATTGTGGTTTTGGCTTCATTGTTGACAATTAGAGGCTACCGGGACGTGTATTTCAAAATTTGTAAGAAATGTTAGTATTTTACTTAGTTTTTTCTTAAGAAATGCTAGTATTTTGTTTAGTTTTTTCTTAACAAATGCTAGTATTTTACTTAGTTATTTATTTGGTAAGAAATACTAGTATTAGCAAATCAATGATGAAAGAGAAAATATCTAATTTGGTTGATTCGTTTAGTTGTGGGTGAAAAATTAAACGAAAACAGTCAAACACTTGTGTAATTTATTTTCTTAATTTTTCTACTCCTACTTTTAAGATTTCCATCTGCTTTTAACCTGTTTTAATTTGTATTTTAGATCAAGTGCACGAAAAGTGTTCAATCATCTCTTCTTTTGGGATTTGAAGACGAAAAAAAAAATCTATTGAAGATAATATCACAAATTGAGAATGGATTGTGGGAGAAGACAATAAGATAAAACAATCTGAACAATTGCAATAACTGATGGAGTTGATAAGTGGGACAAAAAAATAGATCAAAATTTATTTAACCACATGAATAATTTTGGAGGCTATATTTTTGCCATTTTCTAGGTTCATCCGAAATACTTTATGTTGGGTTTTGTATCACAGAGTTTATTAACATTTTAAATTATCTTTTTCTTTCATCTTTTGATCAGGATTTGATAGGAAATAAATTGTATGATAAATTTGTTTTTTTTTGTTCTTTCTTTCTTCTTTTAAAAAAACGTATGATAAATTTCAATATTAAAAGAGAAATTTTAAGACCTACATGAATGGGTGGAGCAAGTGCCCTATGATAATTTTATAATTTGCTGTTTGTAATACAATTTTGACAATGTAAATATAGCATATTCGGTTAAGTTTTTCTCCTATTTTAATTTCTTTCGTCAATTTTTCGTGATAACTTTTTTTCTTTACTTTTACTAATGACATATAATTATTTATTTTCTCTCATATTTTAGGGGGTTATTGGTTCTAAAGAATTCTATGAAATTTAAAGGAATTGAAGATTCCTTTTAAATTCATGTGTTATTCAAGTATGTGTTTTTTTAATTTTTTTAAATTCTGGTGTTATTCAACTCATCTGTTTTTAAATTTCATTATATTCCGGTGTTATTAGATATCAGAAAATATTTGGTGATATTATCATTTGGAAGGAATTTAATAGAATTCGAAGAAAATTTTGTAAATGCTCAATTCATCCAGATTTTGCAGAGAATTTAGTAGAATTGATTGAATTTCCAACAAATACTTTAAAATCCATTAATTTTGAATTCTTTTGATTTCTTTCCAATTAATTTAGTTTTTTTAATCATTTTTTTTAATCAATTTTTCCGTTTTCACTATTTTGCCACATACAAAATATTAGTCTATTCCGCCCCTAATTCTCTGTTCGTTTTTTTCTTTTCGTATTTTCTGATTTTTCCCATAACAAGAGGCGATCACCAAGCTCCAGATTACAACCTCTAAAAAGAATCTACTCATAAGGCAGATCATATGGAAGTTAAAAATGTTGAGAGTACGGTCTCAAGTATTCTTCTTGACGCTTGAGCGTGAGATTTTCGAATCCACAGTGTGCAATTGGTCTCGAAGATCCTGGTTTTCTTCAAGCAACCTGTTAAACTCAATGAGGAATCCTTCTGACTGCTTCTGTAGAGCAACTGCACTGGTTTTCTCGGTACGAATCTCTCTAGACCTAGCCTCAAGCTCAGAGGCCAGCTGCTTTTGCCTCTCGAGAAGCGACACTATTTCTTCTCTCAAGGTTTTGACTTCATCTAAAGCTCTGGCTTTTACACCTTCCAATCCTGCTCCTTCCTTCTTTATAACTTCCATCATCTTCCTTCTCATCCGTAGCTCTCTCATGTAGTGATGCAGCCTGTCTATCATCAGCCCAAGGAACAGAAAACCACCTGGAAGATAACACACAACGAATGTTTCACAAAAGGCAAAAGAAAAAACTTCCAAAGCCACAAAAGTAATCAAACTATATGAATCCTTCCATAGCCAATTTGATTGTAGCAAGTTGAATCAAAGGAAGATAAAGAGCTAATCAATCACACTAGCAAGTAAGGTTTGCCAAAAGCAGAAGACATAGTTCCAATTCCAAGAGCTCAACACGAAACAGGAAAAGCCAAATTCAAATACCAAAAACCTTTTGGAAACTAGATTAATCCCTCCACAGTCAATTTGATTGAAGTAGAGGAGAAAATTGAGTGACAAATCGAAAATTCAAGAGCTAAATCATCACTCTAGCAGCTCCACCTACAAGTATCAACCTATTTTAGACACTAGCGAGTAAGATTCAGCTCAAACAACAGAGTTTCTAAATCGATATATGGATCTCTAATTCTCTACTAGATTCAGTAATTCCGGTTCAGAGAACTGATCAAAATTGGTGAAACCGGATCCGAAGAGGAGAAGTGAAGGAGCTTACCCATGAGAGTCGATTCAAGGAGATGTTTCGCCATGATAACCTCATCAGTCGGATTCAATGCACCGTCCTCGATCCAGCGCTTCTGGATCGACATCATATTGTACACACTCGCCACCAGAAGAATACAAACCGTCGCCGAAACCGTCTGAATCACCACCGGTCCACGTCCACGCTTCGCTCGATCCAGGCTCATGATCAACAGCTTCCTAATCGGCGTCTTAAAGGAAAGCGCCATTATCGCCACAACCTCGGAGAGCACAACCGCGAACAACAATTGCTGCATCGTCGTAATTCCAGTATAATCAATCAAACGAGAGAATGTGATCGTCTAGGGTTTATAAATTTCTCCGAGCAGCTAAGCGCAACAGCGATCGAGAACTTTCCCGTCGGAAAATACGAAGAAGGAAAGTTGAAGTCGCAAGGAAATTAAGCTCTCTGTCAAAGTGTCATCTACCTGACCGCTTTAAATTTTCGCATATTTATCTTATAACTCCCTGAAGTTTAAGAGGTTTTACGAAATAGCTCGATATTTATTACAAATAAACATTTCCCCTGAAAATCAAAACCTGAAAATGTCGCAAGCTCTCCGGAGGTAGAGATACCGAGGAAGATGACGAAGTGGTCGATGGTTAAGAGAATCCCCATCTATGGAGGTTCATTCATTTCTATGGTACGGATACTGAAAATCCAAAAACCTTTTCGTGATTTACATTTTGATTCAATTCGATGAGTCTCTCTCGCTATTTCTTCTCTGATTGTTAGTTACTGCTCTTCAAGTTTTCTCTATCAACATTTGGTTCGATACAGAGATGAAATTTCGAAAAAATTCTTGTTCTTCTGAGTCTGATCGTCAGTAGTTTTGGAGTCTCCACGCTCCAGATTGTGTTTGATTACGAAGTTTTCTGGGAATTATTGTTTTAATCTCTGGAACTGAGAAATCCAATTTTGAGGCCACATTTTATCACTCAATGGATGAATTCAATTCATATTGTTCATACTTCTGTGTGAAATTCGTAATGCAAACTGATTTTTTTTGTGTATTGACATTGCAGAAACATATGGTGTTAGCCTCTACAGCTGATTTGAGCTGGAGCTACACATTCTCCGCGATGCATTCTTTGATAAACACAGGAGAAGAAGACGAAGAAGACCTACTGAAGAAGACTGTGAACCATAGCGAAAGTAGTTCGAAGATCATCAACAAAATCGATTATACAAATCTTGTTGAGAAGTATACAAGAGATGGAAATCTATCAGCGGCATACGACTTGTTGCAGTCCTTACAAGAGAAGAACATTTGCTTGCCAATTCCTGTTTTCAAGAACCTTCTTGCAGCAGCAGGTGAACAAAACGATACAAAGCTCTCTTGCAGAACTTTCAGAGAGCTATTGGTCTCCGCATGTAATCCCTTGACTTCAGATTGTTATCTCAACCTCGCTAGAGCCTTCATCAACACCGATGATTGCACGCACTTGTCGAGTCTTCTCAAAGAAGTATCAGAGTCTTCTCTTCCGTGTAGGTTGATAGTAATAAACAGAACCATCCTCGCATTTGCCGAGTCTCGACAGGTCAACAAGGTTCTCATGATACTTGACCAGATGAGAGAGTGGGAATGTAAACCAGACGTGATCACATACAACTCGGTTTTGGATATCTTAGGCCGAGCTGGCCTCGTGAACGAGATGCTCGCGTTATTGTCAACAATGAAGGAAGATTGCGATGTGTCTCTAAACATCATCACGTACAACACGGTGTTGAACGGGATGAGGAAAGCTTGTAGGTTCGGTATGTGTTTGGTTTTGTACAACGAGATGGTGCAGTGTGGAATTGAACCGGATTTGCTTAGCTATACAGCAGTGATAGACAGTTTGGGTCGGTCAGGGAACGTGAAGGAATCTTTGAGGCTTTTCGAGGAGATGAAACAGAGACAGATTCGACCATCGGTTTATGTCTACAGAGCATTGATCGATAGTCTGAAGAAGTCTGGAAATTTTCTGAGGGCATTGCAGATTTCAGATGAGTTGAAGAACACTTCTTCAGTAGATTTGGCAGGTCCACAAGATTTCAAGAAACACTTGAGACCACACAGACGCTGAAAAAGCCTCTAGTTTAAACTGTTTCAATTCGGTTAGACAATGTATAAAATGAAGAGAACGTTATCCGGTTTAGTCTGATTTTGGTTTTGATTCTATTTGAAGAAACCTGAGAAAATGACAATCAAGGTCTGAAGTGTATGATGGATGATGATGATAATATAACCAGTCTCATAAAGTTTGCATACTACAGAAGTACAAAATGTGTCAAAGTTTGACTCTGAAAAAAAGAAGATATGTTTTTGGGTGCCGGAAACAGTAGATTTGCGTCGGCGGTAGATATATGTCCGGAGAAGTCTGCTAAATTGCGAAAATAGCCTTAGGTTACCTCCTTTCTTACCAAAGCTTGGTCTTGACCCAGAAAAGTAGGAAAACAACCCCGAACACAATCGCCACTGGTGCCCATTTCCGAATCAAAGCCTGGTTCACCAAATCAAATGTTTCAGAGCCATATAAACTAAACATAATCATAAGATATGAGAGCATCTCATAACGTGTGATCAATGCTGCATTGTGTGATATAGGGAATATACAATCAAACTCACCTGACGGTTCAAATCTTTAGCCTTATCAGCATATATACGAGATTCAGATGTTAGCCGGCTCGACATCTCGCTCACCTCTGCATTTAACACACAATAAGAGGAAATGGTACAAAATGAGCATATTCCTCTGCTGATTATAATAACAAATGCAGAACGATTGGGTCCATTGATCATGAGAAAAGGAACGGATTGGACTTACGCTCTAGCTTTTCACCAACACCTAAGACTTCCTGCACATTCCGGGTCATGATTTGATGAACCTCATAGAGTTCATCATTCAACTTGGCGATATTTCGTTGTGTACGAGTGTCTTGGTACAGCTTCTTGGTTTTCTGAATAAAGGTATCTACAAAAAAAAAGAAAAGCCAAGGGGAAATAGAGTGAAAACTCAGGAAGGGTTTTGTTTCCAAGATACTGAATGAAAAACACAGAAGAATATCTACACTATGCATACGACATACCGAATTTAATGAAGGCATAAGGTCGAGCAGCTGTTTCAATCTGAGGCCCGTTGACACGTTCAAATTCATTCTTGAGATCTTCCAGGTATTGAAAAGCAAGTTTCTTTGGGTATGAGCGGTCGCACATTGTCAAGTAGCAGACACGTGCTTCTATGATGTAACTAAAGGTTTCTCTGGTCAAGGAAACTTAGTTATTCGCTTCTTTCTTTCACATTAGAGATAAAAGCATATCAATAAACCATAATACAAAAGGATTGAAATGTATCATAAACCACATAACTGGGATCCAACTCTACAACACCCTTGCAAGCCTTATGATGACATTAATGTCCTAACAGAGTAGATAACCTCTTAACTATGAGACTATACAGTTGCAACCTATCACTACACAATTTTGTTTTGCAAGCAGGACATGAATTATGAAAAGAAGATAAAAAAAAATGAGACGTTAAAGGATACTGGAAAAGGTAGGGGCCTGTTTCGACCGACATTCTCGAAGCTTCATTATGACCTTGGGAGAGATTCTTAAACAGAGCCTTGACCTGTTGCTTATACATGTCAGAATCTGGTAAGTCACGTCCATCATCGAGCCCCTCTGCTAGAGGTAACCCGTCAGTGACACGAGCTATCAATGTCATTTTCACCATCTTTTCCTAATTCCCTTCTCCAATAGCTGATTCACTGCAATTACCACAAATTTCCAAACAAGATTATGAATCCTGCAGCTCACCAAAATCACAGAACAATATTTTATTAACAAGACTCCAAATGTAAAGCAGACAACTGAACCACGCATGCCTAAGCCAAAAGAGCTAATCTACAATTGCAAAACACAAATATGAAGTGCAAATTTGCAGAGAAGAGCTTGAGCATCATCAAAAGCTTCCATTTTCCACAATGTGGCAATTCAGCTCCAAGATATAATCATATAACCAGTTTCAAACAAACACGTCAAGTTTCAATGAAATCAAATCCAAAACCTGTTACAGATTTCCGCTAATTCCACATTCGTATATCTATGATTAACGAGAAAAATCAAATTCGAAAGAAATCAAGGATCTTATAGCAAAATTCAAAACAGATTTCAAACGAGCAATTGATCGAAGAGATACACACTCGGTAACACCTCTAGAACGTCTCAAATTTTAGATCCCAAACGGAAGCAATCCTCATAGAAATCGAGAGATCGCACAGAATTATCCATTCCATGTACATGTACGACCGAAAACTACACTTGAAGATGGATAAAGACAAACCTGGTACGAGTTTTAAAAAAGGTTCTTCTCGATTCAAAGATCTGAGAACCAGGGAGAAGACGTTGATCCAAGGAAAGAGAAGTAATAATTTTTTAATAAAGGGGTTTATCAAGGGGGTGGATTTATTAATATTGTTTAATTATTATTTTTTTTCTCTGGTTTTTGTTGTTCAAAATCCAATTTATGACGATCGACGTTTTACGATACCAGGCCACAGGTGATTGGGCTTGTGACGCATTTTGTTGCCATGTCATTGATGACGTGGCGCGTTTGATCCAGAAACGCTAGGATTGCGGGTCGACGCTGATAAACGCGAACGTTTGAAAATCACAATGTTTTGAAAGTTGAAACTACACAGAACAAATCGGTTTGATCGCCTCTATGATCCAGCTCTGATTGAACCGGCCGGTTCATGAGTTGGCCGGGACCCTCTTTCTGACTCAGAGGTTTTGCAACTTCCTCAACTTTCAGTTGTACTCCGACGAGAGACTCTCCTCTTCTCTGCTGAAATTGACAAATCGTCGGCTTTTGGTCACCGGATTCGGCCATCGAGAATCAGCGGTCGCCGATTTCTGTCTCTAATTTCCTTCTCAGATTTTCCGTTCAGCCTCTTTCAGATGAGAAATCGAAATGTTACATTTGGTTATTCAGTTTGATTCATCTTCCATTTCTGTGCGAGTTTGAGTACTTGTTACTATTGAAGCCGATCAAATGGCGAAAGCTATGCAATCAAACTCGAAATCCAGGAAAGAAATCACTTTGATAAAATACGCCATCTTCTCGCGACTCCTCGTTCTGTTCTTAACCATTTTGTGGCGGAGCTTCCTCCAACCATACGACACATCCGCCGCACTCAACCCACCGTGCCTGGATCAAAAAGACGTCGCCGAAGATTCTCCTCCACTCGTTGTAGCCAATGCAGTTTCGAAGACCCTTGAGAACAGCGTCGTCTGGGACAGCGTTTATTTTCTCCGAATCACGGAGTGTGGATACGAGTATGAGCAGACTTACGCCTTCTTGCCTCTGCTTCCCTTCTTCATCTCGCTTCTCTCTCGCACAGGTCACCCCACTTTATCATTTCCGTAGTTTCTGATTCTTTTTTGGATCATCGAGTTTTGACTCATGAGCAAAAAATGGATCTTTGTGATTCAGTTTTTGCGCCTGTGGTTCCGTTAATTGGTCTTCGAGCTGTGATGGTGTTGTCTGGCTACGTCGTCAGCAACTTAGCTTTCGTATTTGCTGCAATCTATCTATTCAGGTACAAATTCAACAGCTTTGAGTTTCTCTTAGTTATATTCTCGATTTTAGAGGTGTCTTACATCGTTCGTTGCTAACAGGGTTTCAGCTATTATATTGAAGGACACTGAAGCATCATTCAGAGCTTCACTCATCTTCTGTTTCAGTCCGGCGTCTATATTTTACTCATCAATGTAATATATTTCAATCAATAATCTCTTCATTCATTTGTTGAGAGTAAAAAGGTTCAATCTTTTCTGGTAACTAACTGAAGATCGAACTATTGCCATGTGGATTTTCAGATATTCAGAGAGTCTGTATGCTCTTTTTTCAATTGGAGGCTTGTATCACTTGTTATCTGGTACCAGCAATGTAGCCGTCCTCTGGTTTGCTCTCTCCGGTTGTGCAAGGTCCAATGGAATTATTAATGCTGGTTATATCTGTTTCCAGACTATGCATCGAGCATATGAAGCTTTATATCAGAAAAGGCGCGTTTGTGTGAGTTATACATATTTCCTACTTTACTGTTTTGCTCGTATGCTCTTTAATCTGGTGTAAGCTCTTTTGAGTTCTGGTACCATAGTGATTTGTTTCTCTACCCAGTTGGCTGTGCAGGTTTTGATTACTGGATTTGTTAGATGCGTATGCATTTGTCTTCCGTTTGTCGCATTTCAAGCGTATGGATACTATAACATATGTCATGGACATAAGCCAGAAGAATTGAGGCCTTGGTGTAAAGCAAGGATACCTTTGATGTACAACTTCATCCAAAGTCATTACTGGTAAGTTTGGACTCTAACCTTTTCTTGTTCCTTGCAAGTTTCCGTCTCAAATATTTGATTTTGAGCCTTTGTTTTCTTGATGAAATGAATTGTGACAGGGGGGTTGGCTTCCTTAAATACTTTCAGTTTAAACAGCTCCCAAATTTTCTGCTCGCATCCCCAGTTCTGTCTCTAGCTGTGTGTTCAATTATTAGTTACACGAAGTCTAGGCCTGAGCTCTTCCTTTCGCTGGGATTTCAAGCTACCGAGAAAGAGAAGAGATCTTCTGCCAGGCTTTATTCTCTGAAGGATGCAGTTGAACCAGATGTTAAAGCTTCGCCAAATGAAGGTATCGTTTTTTTCGTCTTGTACTTGAACTGTTCCAAAATTAAGCATTCATGGAGAATCTCTGTTTTCCTGAGTAGGAAGTCGTGACATTAGGCAGCGGAAACATAGCAGAAAGAAGGATGTGACTGTTACCAACGTGGCTGCAGAATCCAACTCGCCGGAAAGATCAGGATACTTTTCAGCTGATGTTTTCCCATTTGTCGTACACTTAGGTTTCATGGCAGCCACAGCGTTCTTCATCATGCATGTTCAGGTTACAAAATCTCTTTGAGAATATATAGAACTTTACATGGAATTAAGGTTTCAATGTTGTTCATTGTCCCTCACGTATGTTGTTGTTCTTGTTATTACAGGTTGCGACACGGTTCTTGTCAGCGAGCCCTCCTCTTTACTGGTTTGCCTCGTATTTGAAACAGAGGAAATGGAGATACTTGATATGGTCATATTGTGCAGCCTACATCCTTCTTGGCTCTCTTCTCTTCTCAAACTTTTATCCCTTCACATGATCAATGGTTTCTCAGCAGTGTTTTACCAGAGTATCGTGACGTGGATTTACCTTCCTTGTCGTGAATCATGTACAAGCAGAGACCAACCGGTTTTGGTGTCTCTGCAGGATTTTAGCCAATTAGTCTTCGTTTTTTGCTCAGTGTGATATTATCTGGCAAGACGTTGATATGTTCTCTTTGGATGTTTTGTAAAAGAATTAACATAACAAAATATTATGAAAAGATTACTGTTAGATTTGATTTGATTTTTTTTTTTTTTAAATGTTAGTATTGAAAAGAATAACAACATTTACCTTTATCTTTATTATTGAATCAAAGAACACATAAGTTCATCGCATCATTCCTTTTGAGAATGTTGTAAACATGTACTTAAAAATTACATCAACGAGAAGAAAAATATTAATAATGAAGATATGATGGGTAGTAGAAGACTTCTACTGTACACTGCATGATGGGTAGTAGAAGACTTCTATTGTTCCCTTACAAAGTTAGATGAAAAATGTGCTTAAACGTTAATTTATTTACTTAATCCTCTTACTCGTACTTCTAAAATTGACATCTGCTTTTAACTTGTTTTAGTTTATGTTTCAGACCAAGTGCACAAAAAACGCTCAATCATCCTTTTTTGGGATTTGAAGAGGAAAAAATAGTTTCTATTGAAGATAGGATCACGAATTCAGAATGGATTGTGGGAGAAGACAAACTTTCCCAGTTTCATTCGAAATACCATGAGTCACTGGGAATGCCTTCCAACAACACCAAAGAACATAAATGTTTAGTTTTCTATCACTTGTTAATATTTCAAATTATCTTTTCTTTTTTCTTGTGATCAGAATTTGATAGGAGATAAATGTCAATACTCTGATAATCAATTCTCGGAAGTGAAGTTGGGATTCGGAGTAATTCATGGTGATTTGTTTTAAAATGACGAATCTATAGTTATTCAAATTATTTGTTCTAAAATCCCATATAAAATCCAGTGTTATTAAACTTGTGATTTTAAAATCCACTTTCAAATCCATTGTTACTAGAAAACAATAAAAGTATATTTTAAAATATAGATTTGATTTTAGAGTTATTTGATAAGATTTTTATGATTTACACAAAATCATCTAAAAACTCACTAAAAATCAAATCACCCTAAATCATTCCAAATCCCTAGTTTAGTCTAATAAAAACTTGTGCCATCGAGAAGCATTTGTCGTCGATTTATATCTTAATTGCTTTCTCAGATTTCCCGTTCGGTCTCTTTCAGCTGAGAAATCGAAATGTAAACATTTCCCATTTTCATTATTATTGAATCATAGAAGACCATAATCTCAGCATGTAAACTGTATAATGTGTAATAAAACCTCAAAATCATGAGTTACAACAAGACTTGCAAAGAGCTAACCATAAAAAAACTATCGAGCTTTGGGAACCGGAAGAGGTTAGGAGTCGGAAATGTACCTCTGTGACTCCACATTGTGGAAACTCACTTGTAGTGTATAAGATGAACTAGAAGGACCCATACTTATCCAAACATGGATTAATAGGTTCTACACATGACTATGAGGCCAAACATGAGTGAAACGGTCTCAATCCAAGGGAGGAACATCAAATGGACCAAATTTGGGAACCGGAAGAGGTAAGGAGTCCGAAATGTACCTCTGTGACTCCACATTGTGGAAACTCACTTGTAGTGTATAAGATGAACTAGATGGACCCATACTTACCAAACATGGATTAATAGGTTCTACACATGACTATGAGGACAAACATGAGTGAAACGGTCTCAATCCAAGGAGGAACATCAAATGGACCTAATTTGGGAACCGGAAGAGGTAAGGAGTCCGAAATGTACCTCTGTGACTCCACATTGTGGAAACTCACTTGTAGTGTATAAGATAACTAGATGGACCCATACTTATCCAAACATGGATTAATAGGTTCTACACATGACTATGAGGACAAACATGAGTGAAACGGTCTCAATCCAAGGGAGGAACATCAGATGGACCTAATTTGGGAACCACAAGAGGTAAGGAGTCCGAAATGTACATTTGTGACTCCAAATTGAGGAAACTCACTTGTAGTGTATAAGATGAACTAGATGGACCAATACTTATCCAAACATGGATTAATAGGTTCTACACTATTGGGTCTTGAGGACAAACATGAGTGAAACGGTCTCAATCCAAGGGAGGAACATCAAATGGACCTAATTTGGGAACCGGAAGAGGTAAGGAGTCCGAAATGTACCTCTGTGACTCCACATTGTGGAAACTCACTTGTAGTGTATAAGATGAACTAGATGGACCCATACTTACCCAAACATGGATTAATAGGTTCTACACATGACTATGAGGACAAACATGAGTGAAACGGTCTCAATCCAAGGGAGGAACATCAAATGGACCTAATTTGGGAACCGGAAGAGGTAAGGAGTCCGAAATGTACCTCTGTGACTCCACATTGTGGAAACTCACTTGTAGTGTATAAGATGAACTAGATGGACCCATACTTATCCAAACATGGATTAATAGGTTCTACACATGACTATAAAAAAAAAAAAAGGGGGGTTCAGAAAGTCATTTGTGATAATAGTCGAGTCTTTCATATTCAAACAGATTTGCATACCAACATCTAGATCTTTTTTTGGTGAACTCGAATCTAATTAGATTCTTTCATTTAGGGAAAAGAGGATAAAATTGAAGAA